GCGGTCCCCTTTGGCTGAAGCGTGGAACCAGTATTTGCTTGAGCTGCCCAGCACACCGGCCTTTGCAGTTGAAGTCTCTGATGCAGGAATCATGGACTTGTTTACCGATGGCTCCTGCCTGTTTCCTACCAACCCTGACCTGCGCATGGCTAGCTGGGCTGTTGTCCTTGCCCCCCCGTTTGCTTTGGACTTTTCCAAGTCACAGTTTGTCCCTGTTGCAGCACAACCATTGTCAGGTTTGTTGCAAACCGCCTACCGAGCTGAGTTGAATGCAGTTTGTGTAGCCATAGAGTTTGCAATCTTGCACCATGCCTGTGCCAGGATCTGGACTGATTGTCAAAGTGTCTTGGATGCCTTTCAACGGTATGTCAAAGACAACGAAGTCGTCAAGCCGAATGGGCTCCACTCCGACCTGTTGTTGCGTCTCCAAGACTTGGCTAGGCAAATGGGTCCTCGCCGTCTAGCGCTGATGAAAGTTCCTGCGCACCAGCAGCGCTCTGAAACGGAATCTGACTTGGAAGCTTGGTTGTTTGATGGGAATAGTGCAGCTGATACAGCCGCTGGGGCTGCCAATCAAGCCAGATCCCCAGCCACGTGGGCTCTTTGGAATTCCTATGCTGAGCAACTGGCAGCAAGTAGCCTCCACGCCACATGGATCCGTTCCCACATGCTTCAGGTTAGTAAGTTTTGGAGCCAATCGGTCATGCCTGCAGCCGCCTCAGTACCGAGACCTCCACAGCCAGTGAGACCCAGCCGTCGTCACCCTGAGCCGTTTTGGGATAGTTCGTCCGGTCTTGACCTTAAACGTCAGACGTTTGTCAAGCAGTTTGGGGCCGCCCTTGCATCCGATGTACATAGCTGGCTGACCGACATCCGTGACCCTTTGCTTCCGGCCCAGTACGTTTCATTCCATCAGCTTTTTCTTAGTTTCCAGCGACGTTTTGGTCCGTGGAACATCGCAAAGATCGATGGTAGGTGGGTCAGTGAACATGGGACCCTTGCAGCTTTGGCGAACCATTGCAAACTCTCCATTCGAGTGAAACACTTTCGGCTCATGATCCAACAGTACTTGAAAGATGCGGGGGTGAAGTATGTTTGTTGTACGATCAGGCCTAGGAGTGATTGGATTTTGTGTTTCAAGGGCGCCATAGGTTTTCAATTGAGTGAGATTGAGTTCAAGTTTGTTGAGGGGATTTTAGCCACCAAGCTCGGGGCTCCCGCCACTGGGAATGGTGCTTCACTTGAAAATCTGGGGGGTGTCTGACTGCCAAAGGCAGCCGTCGTTGCGAGACCCAGCGCGGATCAGCGGCAGTCAGGAGGAAAAAACACTTTTTATTTTCCATAATATATGGGATAATCCTTCCCATTGACTTTCATATTTTTCAAGATGGTTATTGCACCACCAACCAGATAACCAGATATATAATTAAATATTATTTGGATATGTCTGAAAATAGATGGGGTATATCCCCAAGGTCTGGCACGTTTTTTTGGGGAATATGATGATTTTCTCACCAGATGTGGATTTGGGGTATCGTATTCTCAGGTCAGACATACCTTTGTTGTTTCTCCCATCCCCCCTGTAGGCACCAAAGAAGGTGAACCAATGATAGTTCTGCAAAAGATTCGTATAGATTCGTCCAATTCGTAACTAGATAACTAGGGATGTTGTTTTGTAGGGTTGTCAGATCTCTATGACTCTATGACGCTCCATATCAATCTCTGTTTTGTTTTTTCCCCCTGCATGTTGGTGTTGTAACTGTGTAAATGTGTTTGAAGTATTCCAGCACTATGAGTCATGGTATTAAGACCTATTCACCAGGTATCATGGAGGGATTCAGCTCTTGGAAGGCTGGTGGAATCCCAATTTTTATGGTAAAAAGTTAAAGGACCGGATAACCCCACAAGTCAACTTCTCCCTAAAATGAGCTTCAATGGTTTTAGCGGGGACAGGGAAGCAAAGAAAGACAAAGGAGATGGTGAAAGATCGAGAAGGTAAAATGGTATGTATGTATGTATGTATGTATGTATGTATGTAGGTCGGTAGGTATGTATGTATGTATGTATGTATGTATGTATGTATGTATGTCCTGTCCGGTCCTGTCTGTATGTCTGTAACCTGTATGGTTGTCTGTCTGTATGTCCTGTCCTGTCCTGTTTTATGTCTGTCTGTCTGTCTGTTGTATGTCTTTTCATGTCTGTACTGTCTGTCTGTCTGTCTGTCTGTCCTGTTCAGGGGGGGGGGGGGGGGGGGGGGGGGGGGGGGTGTCGTCTGTCTGATCGTATGTCTGTCTTCCTGTACATGTCCCTGTCATGTCCTGTACATGTAATTCCTGTCCTGTCGGTCTGTACTTTGTGTCTGTCTGTACTTTCGGTAGGTAGGTAGGTATGTATGTATGTATGTAAGTTGTTTGTGAGTAGGTTGTTTGTGAGTAAGTTGCTCCGCTTTCTACGAGTTCCACCAGGCTGTGTTATCAAAGCGATGGTGTGCTCAGTTGACTTCTGCTGACCAAAGTAATGTTCTGCACTCTTTCGGGCGCAGCCGCAAATGTTTGCAGATTTGAAGTGACTCCATGTTTGCAGATTTGTTTTGCTTGTTTTGGAAGTTTTCAGATTTTAGAGTTTGTTCAGTGTTGGGTTTTGTTTATGTCTGTTTGCTTCTACGTTTTTGCAATTAAAGCTTCCACTAGATGAGCCTTAGTGTGTGTGTGTGCCATGCCTGCCACGCAAAACGAAACGACGGTAGATGTGACTTTGTGCCACGCCTGCCACGTGAAACGACGGTGGATGTCAGGTTGTGCCACGCCTGCCACGCAAAGTGGCGCGGCGTCACAGGTGCCCAATCCCGGCCCAAGGGCGCCACCCAGTGCCATCTGTCCCACGCCTGCCACGCAAAACGACGGTAGATGTGACTTTGTGCCACGCCTGCCACGTGAAACGACGGTGGATGTCAGGTTGTGCCACGCCTGCCACGCAAAGTGGCGTGGCGTCACAGGCGCCCAATCCCGGCCCAAGGGCGCCACCCAGTGTCAGCTGTCCCACGCCTGCCACGCAAAACGACGGTAGATGTGACTTTGTGCCACGCCTGCCACGTGAAACGACGGTGGATGTCAGGTTGTGCCACGCCTGCCACGCAAAGTGGCGCGGCGTCACAGGCGCCCAAGCCCGGCCCAAGGGCGCCACCCAGTAGCATCTGTCCCACGCCTGCCACGCAAAATGACGGCAGATGTCAGTTTGTGCCACGCCTGCCACGTGAAACGACGGTGGATGTCAAGTTGTGCCACGCCTGCCACGCAAAGTGCCGCGGCGTCACAGGCGCCCAATCCCGGCCCAAGGGCGCCACCCAGTGCCATCTGTGCCATGCCTGCCACGCAAAACGACGGTAGATGTGACTTTGTGCCACGCCTGCCACGTGAAACGACGGTGGATGTCAGGTAGTGCCACGCCTGCCACGCAAAGTGCCGCGGCGTCACAGGCGCCCAAGCCCGGCCCAAGGGCGCCACCCAGTACCATCTGTGCCATGCCTGCCACGCAAAACGACGGTAGATGTGAGTTTGTGCCACGCCTGCCACGTGAAACGACGGTGGATGTCAGGTTGTGCCACGCCTGCCACGCAAAGTGGCGCGGCGTCACAGGCGCCCAAGCCCGGCCCAAGGGCGCCACCCAGTAGCATCTGTCCCACGCCTGCCACGCAAAACGACGGCAGATGTCAGTTTGTGCCACGCCTGCCACGTGAAACGACGGTGGATGTCAGGTTGTGCCACGCCTGCCACGCAAAGTGGCGCGGCGTCACAGGCGCCCAAGCCCGGCCCAAGGGCGCCACCCAGTGCCATCTGTGCCATGCCTGCCACGCAAAACGCGTTTGATGTGAGTTTGTGCCACGCCTGCCACGTGAAACGACGGTGGATGTCAGGTTGTGCCACGCCTGCCACGCAAAGTGGCGCGGCGTCACAGGCGCCCAATCCCGGCCCAAGGGCGCCACCCAGTGCCATCTGTCCCACGCCTGCCACGCAAAACGACGGTAGATGTGACTTTGTGCCACGCCTGCCACGTGAAACGACGGTGGATGTCAGGTTGTGCCACGCCTGCCACGCAAAGTGGCGCGGCGTCACAGGCGCCCAATCCCGGCCCAAGGGCGCCACCCAGTGCCATCTGTCCCACGCCTGCCACGCAAAACGACGGTAGATGTGACTTTGTGCCACGCCTGCCACGTGAAACGACGGTGGATGTCAGGTTGTGCCACGCCTGCCACGCAAAGTGGCGTTTGTGTGTGTGTGTGTGAAGTGATTGTCTGTTAAGTTTGTGTATGTTAAGTTTGTGTGTGTGAAATTATTGTATGTTAAGTTTGTGTGTGTGAAATTATTGTATGTTAAGTTTGTGTGTGTGAAGTTATTGTTGTTAATGTTAAGTTTGTGTGTGTGAAGTTATTGTCTGTTAAGTTTGTGTGTGTTAAGTTTGTGTGTGTTAAGTTTGTGTATGTTAAGTTTGTGTATGTTAAGTTTGTGTGTGTGAAATTATTGTATGTTAAGTTTGTGTGTGTGAAGTTATTGTGTGTTAAGTTTGTGTGTGTTAAGTTTGTGTGTGTGAAGTTATTGTCTGTTAAGTTTGTGTGTGTTAAGTTTGTGTGTGTGAAATTATTGCATGTGAAGTTTGTGTGTGTGAAGTTTGTGTGTGTGTGAAGTTATTGTCTGTTAAGTTTGTGTGTGTTAAGTTTGTGTGTGTGAAATTATTGTATGTGAAGTTTGTGTGTGTGAAATTATTGTATGTGAAGTTTGTGTGTGTGTGAAGTTATTGTCTGTTAAGTTTGTGTGTGTGAAGTTTGTGTGTGTTAAGTTTGTGTGTGTTAAGTTTGTGTGTGTGAAATTATTGTATTTAAGTTTGTGTGTGTTGTGTTACGGAGGCGGCGGGAGGAGGAGGAGAAACCCGGGATACAGAATCAAAAACAAGAACCCCACACAAAGATGTGGGGAACAACACATCTTTCGTCCTGGACCTGCCAGGTGCGCCAACAGCTGCACCTGCAGCTGAAGCAAGCCCTGGAACGTGCCGCACGGTGTTGTGAATGGATTGAATTTCAGCTAGCGGTCCCCAATAGCTGGATGGTTTCTATACGGGAAATCCATGAAAATAGATGGATGATGATTTGGGGGTAGCCCTATGACTTAGGAAACCTCCATTTGAATTGGGATCAACCGGAGTTCCACCATCCAATTCCGGACAGCCTATGGACTGTCTCCACCGCTTACAGGTTGCCTCAGCCATGTGTGAAGACACAGGGCAGGGCTGCGCCGCCTGCGCAGCCGCGGCTTCCAACGTGGCAATGCTCAGCTGTTTCAACAGCTTTGGGGTTGAAACCGCAGAGCAGGTTTTGTCTTGTCAACCTGGCAATTGGACATAGGGAATACCATTCTCATCTACAAATTGGGCATATCTGGACGAGTTTTAGTTGGTTCAAACAGAGATGGGTCCAAGATTTAAGCGGCCAATGACACCAATTCATGACCTTGATTGTTGGCGGTGTGTTATACCTCTGAGGGGCATGACTCCATGGTGATCTTCCAAGTACAAAGACGGTCCATGGATGTCCCACCAAACTAGCCAGAAACATGGGTTAGTGGTCCTGGTGATCATAACTCTCTTGCATATGCATGCTTTAGATGTTTTATACGTGTCTTATAAACCAACCCCACAGTTGCACCAACCAGCTAATAATCATCGTTGACTCCACTAAATCACATTTTTTGTTTGTTATATCACGACTACTTTACTGGTTAAATCACCATTCTGGCTGATGAAGTCACTAATTTGCCTGCTAAAATCGCCTTTTGTGGTTAAGTATCAGTTACATCCCCATTTCTTCCTGGTTAATTTTTCACCATTGCTGATCAGGTTCAGGATCCGTGGGGTTTTCTCACATGAAACACCAAGGCCCTTAAGGCCTTTGCCCCAGCCCCCAAGCGGGCCCAGCGGGCCCAGCGGGCCCAGCGTTTCGCCCGGCCCTGCTGCTGGGCTGATGAACCTGATGTTTGCAGATGACTCCCAGGACTCCTTGCTTCTGATTGAACATGATTGATCATAGAGAAAACTCCCAAGAGCCCAAGAGAGGCCGAAAAACAAAGATACAACAAACAGTGAGAATATCAATAATGATTTTTTTTTTAAAAAAATGTTGTAGTCGATCCCCAGAAGATGTCGGAAAGTGTGAAACCAGGATGGTAGTTTGATGATGTCTACCTCACATTTCTGGGTTTCCAGTTGTTCTATCTATGTTGCTTTAGTGATTTACAGATCGTTTGGATGATTGCATCCCAGAATAGGCATACATACATATAAATACTGTAACCGATGATGGTCATGATTGATAGATATTAATAAGTTTGTTGTTGGTTAGTTGTGGAGATTGTTAACTATTGTATACGGATCTAATCATTGAACATAGCAGATATAATTGATAAATCAATGGCGCTTGGCTCTTTTGATGATTGATACCATGCTGTCTCCAGCCTGGTGTAATTGGGATTATCAGATTTATCACATAATATATAATCTAGCATGGTATCAACCATCAAAATACCAATTAGGACCAGAATATGGAATCACTATATTAGCATACGGTTCAAATAGCATGGTATTTACCATCAGATTAGGTGTAATATGGACTTACTATACCTAACCACCCAGTAGAATGGGATGGGGTGATATGGGGTGTGATTTGTTCAGCTCATATGGAGTAGGTGATATCAATCATCAATCTGTCCCAACGGATTCAACACGCCCCCGTAGGGGTGCACTTGGATACGCAAGCCATAGAGAATGGCCCGAAATACCAATGATAAGTCAGTGAGTCACCCCCACTTATGGAATGATTTACCCATAAACATAACTATAAACATAACCGGTAAAGGGTCTTAACTCTACACATCCCATATTTTCACTTCCTGCCCACAGCCAAAACCTGACAGCGCAAGCCCCGCGCCACGTCAAAACGTGCGAAGGACGTCTCCCGCGATGCGCCGGCGCCGCACGGGACATCAGCGACTCCGGCGTCGCCGAAGCTGCAGAGTGCTGCAGAAGAGGCGGATCGAGTGACATGTTAAGCCGGGATTCAAAAGCCCCCAGTTGATTGGGGGTCCAATGTGATGCAAATAATGTTTGGGATACCACCGAAGTTGGTTATCTTAGTTTATTCATCCGGCCAAAGTTTGGGGGTTGACATTAAACATAACAGGCATGTACATAAGTTACATAAGTCATGTTCATAGACCCCATGATCGGCCCATCATTTGCTGGTTGGATGCAGCCATCATGATCGTCAAGCTTGAGGTTTCCAAGCCAAAACTCGACACGGAAACCGCGCCGGTGAGAAACGATGCACCGGAGGTGCTTGGGTGGGTGGGTAGGATGGTGATGGCATGTATGGCGTTGTCTTGTAATTTGGAACTCCATTGGACTCCAAGGCCCCATGTGTTTTGTACATTGTAAATTAGTTAAATTATCATCAGTTTCTTGTTAAATTGGAGCCAGTTTTTTTGTTGTCAAATATCATGGTTTATTGGCATATTGGGCTCACCCCGCTGCCAGTGATGGAAAGAGCTTAGATGGCTCAGCCAGTGTTTCATGTGTGTTTCATGTGGTTCAGCCACAGGTGGTTTTCATTTGCTCTTTGGGCCAATTGTGCATGGATGATCTGCATCGGCATCACTTGTTCTGCTCGTCGGCTTGCGGCTTTGCATATGCCCGGCATCTGTTGCTCGCGGCCATGGTGAGGCTCCAATCAAACTTGATCTCACTTCGGGCGAAGAGAAGCTGGTGGGGCACCTCAGCTTAGCGACGGGGCCATTTTTGAGGCCTTACAAAGGTCCGTAGCCAAAAGGTGGATTACATATGCCCATAGTTCAATGGGAATTTCAGGATCCTAAAATGGAGGTGCCTACCATATATAAGGCCTATATAAGGCCCATATAAGGCCCATAATTTGGGTATTTAAAATCTGGTATTTTTAATGAGGCGCTCATAGAATTTGGGTAGACTTAAGATGTGTTTTTCGGGGATGGTCATCAATCCATGAATTGTTGGGTATATAAAATCCAATAAAATCCATGGATTTCGTTCATTACCCATAGGATCCATGTATGGTATATTACATGCTAACATTTGAGGTATTTTGATGGGATCCATGTTACCATATATAGCAGCACCATGGATCCTATGGGTTATAGATTAGATGTTTCTGGATTTTACCCATTGAACGGATTCCTCTTAAGTGAGGAACCCGCTGAACCCGCTTCCTGAGAGACTAGCCTGTCGACAAACTCATCGGACTGGCAAAATTGTTTCACCTGTTTTTTTCTCCATGGTTACTTAGATGATATCATGTCCGATGACACACTCCTAAGGAAGCTCCACCTTTTAATGTGCCATAGCATGGCTGATGATATTCCCCCCTTAGCCAGTTGAACTATCCCCAATTGGTTGCTGACGAAAAACACCCCCCAGTGATCCCCAGTGAAAAATGCAGCAACTGTTGATGGCGTGTAATCAACAGTATTTTCAGGATTCAATATATCTAAACATTTCAGTTGGTCAACAATTGAGTCACAATTACCAAGTAAACGTATATGATACATATATATATATACACACATCCGGGACAATGTGAACAACTTCCCATGTTTTAATCAGCATCATAATCATGACACATGTTTCGATCTTGCGCCCCTAAAGTATTTCTTGATTGGATAGTCATCATAGTCTGGGGAAACTCTACTGCACCCCAGTCTATCTGTTGGTTAGATATACTCATGATAAGTGATCCATCGCACCCTGCATCCTAAACACGTGAGCACACAATTCGATAACATATAAATAACATCCCACTTTTGACCCATCATTGGAATCATTTGATAAAGACATATCTAATCAACATGTTAGTTCACTATTAACAACCCGATATTAAGGCATTATGCATTTCCCATCATCGAGCAGGTTCCAGAGCGAGAGCTTCATTTGCAAACCCTCGACCCTCTGGAAGCACCGGAAGCGGACACGCTTCCCGGCAGCCTGAATGAGGCGCGGGGCCCGGGGGGAGAAAGGGGTCATTTCGGTCATTTCACTGGTCATTTAACTTATAGATAGCCATGGAACATCACCCTGTTTTCATGAGTTTTAATAACTTATACTATAGATGGGCAGTTTTCCATAGCTATGTGGAATAACCCGTACTGACAAAGCTCTCTTTGAGCACATTCCATTCAAAAGCAAAGTACGCTCACCACTGAGTGGGAGTAGCTACCGTATCCCAGGCCATATATGCGATACGCGTATGATAATGCTATTTAACCGTATGGATGGATGATTTTTGGAAAGCATCTTGCGGCTCACTACAGCGACAGGATGATGTGGGTCTGGGTAGTGATGCCTCACTCCACGGGGGGGGGGGGCGGTAAGATGGCAAATCGCTGGAATGTGGCCTAGCTATAGCTAGGTTTGGCAAGCTGGAATCCAGACCAGTCTAACCAAACATATCCAAAGAAATTCCATAAAACACTAGTTTGGTTATATTATGTTATATTATGTTATATTACTATCTTTACATTACAACCAAACATACTACTATTCTAAAACCAAACCTACTAAAACATATCCAAGTTGTTCATGTTATCTTTACAAACTGTAACCAATCTTGGGGGCCCTGTAGAGGGGGTACTAGCCGTCCAGGTCGGATTTGAGCCGTTCAGGGTACCTTCGGAGCCGGTGGCAGATGGCCCCGTTGGGAAACGAAGCGGGAATGGATGGCCATGGGATGACCACTGCTTGCTGGTTTCAACATGTTTCAACACTGTTTTCAGCGATTTCAAGGTTGATGAGTGTTGATGTTCAGTGGGATTTTCCATTACGAAGGGATTGTTTATATAAATTTATATAGTTTATTAAATTTGATGTCCAGTTTTTGGCTGGTGTTTTGTGTCTATGTCCATCGCCAAAAAGTCAGAGTATTGATCCCGGCAGACTTCGATATGTTTTGGATGGGTAGTTGTTTCTGAGTTGATAGACCTGACTCTCAGTCGTAGAGGTTTCCTATAAAATACGGATACCCCTAATTTTCATCCATTTTAGTAGGATTGCCCATTGTAAATCATCCATTTGGGGTACCCCCATTTTAGGAAACCCCCTAGTAGAACTCTGGTCTGGTTGGTGGTTTGGAACATTCTTTATTTTCCCATATATTGGGAAAACTCATATTTTTCAGAGGGGTAGGCTCAACCATCAACCAGTGGTAAGTTCCCTTCATCATCTGAACTTAGTCTCAACCCATGAGTTTTTCACAGCATCCCAGGTCCTGCAGACCGTCAGCTTTTTTGACATGCTCAAGGGTCTTGACTGACGGGCTCAAAGCACGGACACGGACGACGGAGTCACCATCCGGAATTGGTTTTAGAAAATACGTTGGCTCCCAGAAAATATCATGGTTGAGGCGTTTCCGCATGGAAATGGTGATGTTAATTGAGTTCATGTACCCTCTGGTTATTTAACATAGCCATGGAACATGGCCCATTTATAGATGGTTTACCTATTGAAAATGGTGATTTTCCATGGCTATGTTCAATAACCAGATGGTATGTTTTTTTTCTGAACAAAAACCTATTGGTTTGTCAAAGAGCGAAAGTGCCAAGCGTGCTCGACGCGCTCGACGCAATCCATGTCAGGACAAGCAATGGATTGATCCAAGGGATGACAGTCGGTGGCTTCAGCCAGGGATCAGATGGCACCAAAAAATGTGGGTACTGTGGGTACTGTTGATCTGCTTGGTGGTTCAAGGATTTCATTTTTTGTTTCCCCTGTTTGTATCTATTTGTTTCAGTCCATAGGGACAGGGATTCTTATCATATATAGATTCATATTAATTCGCAGTACTCTTAGTTTCATCTAATTTGCAGTACTCTTGGGATGGGGGCTCGTGAAAACATCAAGTGAGGTAGTGGAAGGGAAACTCCATGAAACTCCTCAATTTCCGTCGACAGATCCAGTTGTACAGAAGCAGTATAGGCTGTGGCGTGTGGGAGAAAAGGGAGCAGAGCTGAGGGCGGATGCCATGCACCCATTGAAGTCGTGGAACTCTCAAGAATTGGGTCAAAAAAATGCTAAAATATGCTGATTTCAGAGCCACCTTGGGATTCTAGGTCCCTAGGTTTTGTATAAAATGTCTAGGTGCTAGAACATTCACCCACAGTTGGAGGTTTCTTTTTCCGGATGATTTGCAGTCAAAAACTTGTAGATGTTGTTTTTGTCCATGATTCACATTGCCATGTTGGTTTACTGTGGATCACCAACCCTCAGTTTACCTTCAACCTGCTTGATTTCGACCATCATTTTGCGATCACGACGAACTCCTCGAACAGCCAAAAACGAACTGATGACTTCGTCCCAGCAGTGGTCGGTCCTCGAACTGGGATGTGAAGTACCCTCTGGTAATTTAACATAGCTATTGAAAATGGCCATAGAAATAGTGAGTTTTCCCATAAAAAATGGTGGTTTCCCATAGTTATGTAAACGTTTACCAGAGGGTATCAGGGTGACATGGCAATGGCAACCTTGCCTGGTCCCAGGGCTCGCTTGATGCCATGGTCTGTTGGCTGGGGTCTCAGAGTGGGGAGATCCCCATGGTCCCATGGTTTCAATCTGTTTCAGTAGTCTAATGACTTGGATGGGTTGGAGAAAAATATGAAAAACCTATGTTTTTCCGAAACCTTCAGATGGTACTATAGTGCTATATTAATACCGTTTTTTCTACTATCCAGGATGCTATTGGAGGTAATTGTTGTTGTTTCATCAAGGTTCATGTCCACCAGAGAAATCTGAGTATAGAAGCAAGGACCTAGCCGTGCTTGGGGCTCACGGCTCCACATTTGGGGCCCCCATCGCCACATTTTGGAAAAATTGCTTAAGCAATGTGGGTTTCACCCAATCAGAGGCCACACCAGATTTCGGTCCCTTTTTTGATCCAAAAACCACCCAAAAACACTGGGCATCCTGAGTCCCAGGGGGGTTAATCCCACATGATTTGCGGCACCATCAAAATCGGCGGCACGAGCGGATGTGCATCGAAGTGGTTGGAATCGGTTTGTAAAACCACGTGGTTGACCCAGTGATAAACAGGATGCATGGCACCAATTCCATCCAATTCTAGTGTGATCTATTGTCTATGGATGTCTATGGTCTCATTCTACAACATCGCTATCCCCAATGGTGTTCATTTCTGCGGAAAATTCTCTACAACTGGTGGATATAGTTTATATATTAATATATAGTATGTACATAATATATACATCTGGGAAAAAATTATAACGACCTCACTGCGACCTCACTGGAATCATGGTTAGTAAGGGGAATCATCCCCAAATGGCCGCAAGATTCAGGTTAGTGAAATATTATATTTTACCCAGATACATGCATACGGGTGAATTTCCTCGAGAGTCTCTGGATCATGGTTTCAATAATATGTGCATATACACACCCATATGCTCTATGTATGCTGTATTCAGCTACAGTACATTTGGCTTATTCTTGGCGTGCATGTTGGTCAGTATTCCTACGTGGAGCATCTAGGACATACACACATATTATATATATATATATGTATATCATATATATATGTACACATGTAATATTATGTAATCATATCCTGAACTGGATAGAACGTGGAAATTTCACAAAACAAATTACCAAGTATGGTAATATCTTTGAAACATCCATATTCTATCAACTTCAGGATGATTATATATATATACATATGCATGTGAATGTGGTGAACCAAGTAATGCTAATAATAATGACAATCCCCAAACTTGCATATTTTTGGTTTATATAAACCGTCTCCCAACTGGCCTGCTTATATATATATATATTATTAGATTTCCCACAGTGTGTGTGTATTCATAATGTATATTTACATTGTATAATGTGTATATATATATATGAATATATATGTATATAAATTTATGAATGTATATATATATATACATACAGAATATTTGAGTATATATATAATAATATATATAAAGATTTAAGTATATACATAAGTTTATGTATATTTGTATATACGTACACATATATATATATATGTGTTATATATATATATATGTATTTATCAACATACAACACCTTGAGTCCATTGCATTGAGTCCAGGTTTGAGATCTGGTTTGGCGCTTGCCACAAACCCATCTCCTTCAGCACCGGCCCCGAGCTGGGCCACCCAAAGAGCAGGAGCTGTTGCATGATGTATCATTGCTGTTCAGGAGATTTAGGATGTTTAGTTTTTTGGAGGATGAGGATGATGAGGGTGATTATGATGATGATGATGATGATGATGATAATGATGATGATGATGATGGGTAGGAGGATGATGATGAAACTGTCGTTTTTTCCATGCATTCATCAGGATAGTAATACGAAACATTGTAGCGACATGATCCAGAAGTTTGCACCTGGACCGGCTCTGTGGCTGGACTTTGCCCAGGTCTACTTTGACATGCTGGAAGCAGACCCTCTTCTTCCTCCAAGGCGTCTCAGGGCTCCAATGGCTTTGATCATCATCTTCCTTTGTGTTACTTGTTATTTGACAAGTTTTTCGCCATGAATCATTGAATCATGTCCAACAAACGACGGCGGCGAGCCATATCTGGGCGATCTCAGCCCCCTTCACCGCAGCTTTTGGATCATCGATCCGTTAAGGCCTGTGACAAGGTGAACCCATTGGTTAAGCCTCAGCCCTTCACATGGGGTTGACGTCTCCACCAAGAAACAGTGATTTGATGTAATATCTTTTGTTAACCAAGTCACTGTTTTCCTTCTGTTGGTTTTGAAAGTGAACTATCTCATATCACTATGATTTTTTCTTGTTATTATACAATATTAGATAATATTTGTGGTTTTCTAAACTTTAATAATATATAACTATTGGTTTCATATCACTCATGGCTTTTCCTGCCTATGTTTGATTTGTTTCATTATATCTTGCCCGGAGTGACATTGCTGATAGCATAGTTTCGGCTTCCGAGGTCACCAGATCGGCGAAGATTTTTTACTTCTTTCCGTGTAAACGAAGTTTCCCGAATGCTTAAATGTGTATCAGATCTGGGTATATTAATATAGTTATAATATACATTTATTAGAATCATATATATATATATATAACTATAATATACATTTATTATAATTAAATTATATATATGTATGCTTCCTGCTGTCTAAATGTTGAGCGGGCCTGCCAGGAACCCAACGGAGGTAGTCCAACTTGTTTGTTTTATCGATCCATTAAAAATAAACGTGTTTAAATGTGGGCGCCGTATGATCCTTCATGCAGAGACACCAATCCTTTTGTGTCACAGTGACATTTGGCACAAAGCGCAACGCGTCGCAAAGTTCGGCGTACCAACTATGTCGAGTCCTGGGATTGACAGAAACTATGAACACACCAATCGGCGAAAAGCAGCACAGAACCTGAAATATGATGATCGACATGATGTGGCAGTCAGATTTGGGGACTTCATTGTGATCCCTAGCAATCATTGGCCCCCAGACAGCCATGGGTTGCAACCATCCTTAGGCCTACTGCTGCCATGTCCCGTTGCTGGCCAAAGAGCCATGTAAATTATGCGACCATCAGCCGTGGGCCACTCGGTACAGTAGTATCAGTGTTTGTGGTGAGTCAAAAAAAACACCAGTGAATATTACCCAGGATGGGCCAAAACCAGCAGTTAATGAATAGAGGGTGTGCTAACCTGAATGAAAATTGATGAACACCACCCCAATCATTAGTCACTGTTCATTGATCTGGGACTGGCATGATTGAAAAGGAAACCATCATTTGGGTATGGTTGAGCTCGATCATGATTTTAAGGACATCAAAAGACCCAACAATGTTCCTAAATTTCCTTCATCATTGTCTCAAAGAAACTGAACCGATGGTTGATAAACCAATTGTTATTCTGAATCTGATGTGATTACTATGCTATGCGATGGCGTATTAACTTCGGGGCAGGGATGCCATATGTGAATTATCATAGCTCATCCCTTGTTTTTGAGCTTCCCCGCAGTAAATGAACCAGAGTTTCTGACTCCGCAGTTGCAATTCAATCAATGTTGGGGTGCCAAAAAGATAGATGGTCAAGAATTTTGGGATGCAGGAAATCTATGGCTTTAAGAGTCCTAGATTTGGAGCAATACCCCACACTTCAAAGGATGGCAGCTCAATGCAGTTGGAGACATATTGTGGATGGATTCCATACTGTTGGTCAATTTTGAAACACCATATTTTGGGATGACAATATTGATATACTAGTCAATTATGATGGCACTATTATATTGGCCAATTGTAATATATATATATATATATGAATTCCAATCATGTCGTTTTATTTGGTGTTTCCATTTGATGGTGATCCATGTGATTCCATGTGCACATCTTCATATCTTTGATGAGTTTCCAGCTCAATCCTTTCGGCAACCACACTTCCAGAACTGTGTCCCGACTTCCCCCCTTCCCCCAAAAAATCAACACCCCCTATATTTAAATGGGGAACCATATGTTTAATTTCCGTACGAAAGCATGGTTTCTGGGGAGTTTGATACTAATTGTTTGGATCGGAGGAATAGATCTATTTGATAACTTGAACATAAGTAGTACCATCTGGTTATTTAACATAGCCGTGGAAAATTATCATGTATGGGCCATTTTCCATGGCTATGTTAAATAACCAGAGGGTACTCCAGCTTCTCAGAGTTTTGGCTCCTCACACAGTGACTTTTCTTTCAGGGGGCTGATTGGTCGGCAGCAGCATTTGATGGGTGATCTGTTAACCACACGTCCCTTGGAACCTTTACTGGCGGCAGTGGATGGGGGTTACTGCAGCGCCGGGGTTGCTTGTTCCCATCAAGAAACAGGGATTGGGTGGGAGAATCTCTATAGATGTTTGTTTCAGAAATGGATAGTGGATTGTTGGGTTTTTGTAAGGTGGTCAACCCAATCATATTATGTTCACCAATCTTTGGCCACTGATTCAATGGCAAAAACCAGATCGCCGGGTCAGGCTGGCGCCAAAGTGTTGGATTTGCAGGATTCACAGGATGGTGTGGAAGATGGTCCGTTGCGAATCGCGAATCGGGACCTGGGGGGTGTCAAACAAGGAAAGGACGAACAACACATATAATCATTAATCAATGCAGATATTCAACGATATTTGACTTTATAAGCTAGAATAAGGTGGTGACTGAAAATGATAACAAAAGTGTTTGTACAAGTTTCTATATTCATCTACTGTATATATATATGTATTATACATACTCTGGATGCAATTGTTTGATGTCAATGGATTGCAGGTGTACCCTAATTGAATCCTAGCATCCAAGACAGAATTGTTTGACCTTATGTTCAGGAGGCTCTCTCCTCTTCTCTGTATAGTACATAGATAGATGGGTGGATAGATGGATATATGGATAGATGGATAGATGGATAGATGCATAGATGGATAGATGGATGGATGGATGGATGGATGGATAGATAGATAGATAGAACAAACTATTTATGTATAGCATACATTGGTGAAACTTCCAGGGCCCAACTCAGGAACCAGCTCCCGCAGGTATGAATCAACTGATGGTCAGTGAGCTTGTGTTTGAGCTGCTCACTTGCCAACCATAGAGATCAATAATTTCAATCTCATATATATATATATACATATAATTACATATATAATATTATATATATATATATATTGCAGTATTTTACTACATCATATTTTACTAAGAGACACATGTCACATGTTGTTTGGTTATATATATATATATATGATATCTCAGCTCCGCCAAGTAGATAGTAGATGTATGTACATGTTGGCTATCATAAGAACACCATCCTCAAAACTTCCGTGAAACACGCAACAATTTGACACATGTCCTGGCCCAATTTCCAGACGTTAGGCTACGAGGTGGTCCGGGAGCTGGGCAGCGGCGGCTTTGGAAAGGTGAACTTGGTGCGTGAGAAGGCCACAGGCGCGGAGAAGCCATGGAAGCCATGGATGATGCATGATGATTGTATGATTTACCAATGGTCCAATGGTGATTTCAATGGTGCTTTTTTCACTTCGCTATGTGTTAAATAACCTGATTATTGTTTGATTTACCAAGACACAATAATGGTGAGATTCCACTTTGCTGTTAAATAACCAAAGGGTACAGGTGAACTAATTAAGATTTCGATGATATCAAGATGGATGGAGATGGGCAGATGTTTTTCTCTTTGAACCAACAATATTTGGGGATAACTATCAAGGGGATATCTTGGATATTTCAGGGGCTTCACCAACAAATGAATACAATTATATACTGGTTGGTGGTTTGTAACATGTTTTTCCATATATTGGGAATAATCATCCCAACTGACTTTCATATTTTTCAGAGGGGTTCAAACCACCAACCAGTATATATATATATACAAATAAGTCAAAGAACGCGATTTTGAAAATGGGATGGGTCAAAATCGTGGTACCTCAATGGCTTGACCCTATGGTTTTTCTTGACCAACAGAGTTGGTGGGATGTGTTCGGATATGAACTGGAAAAACATGTTGTGTGTTTTTGTTTGAACATACACATATATAGGTTGCTGGTTGGTGGTTTGGAACATTTTTTATTTTTCCATAATATATGGGATAATCCTTCCCATTGACTAATATTTTTCAGAGGGGTTGAAACCACCAACCAGTATAGGTAGATATTGGGGGGCAAATAGTCTATTGGTTAAACGGGGATGCGATTACCAACAAGTAAGCGACAATTAACCAACCATAAGACCATCACGATGAAGACATTTTGTGTTATTCTTTTCTGGTATATCACCAGCAATACTGCGGATAATCAATATAGTAGTATAGTAGTAACTACCCTCTGGTAAACTAACATAGCTATTGAAAATGGCCATTTATAGTGGATTTTCCCATTAAAACCAGTGATTTTCCATAGCTATGTTAGTTTACCAGAGGGTAATGATTGGTATATGCGGTATACGGTATATGTATGTAAACATGGAAGGGGCCACCTTATAATACCATTTGACTAGCTCAAGGTATTGCTCACAATGAGAGCAGTGGCTGTGATCTACCCTATTGCTTGAAGATTATATATAATTAACTAAATTTATGAGTATACATATATACAACTATATGATTATGTATATATATATATGTGTGTGTACATAACTATATGATAGTAGAATATATATATATATATAAATATACGGGCTTATACTAACCAAATCAAACCAGGCTTAATTGGAGAAGATCACAGTCCCGTTCAACCCGTTAACGCCCCGTTTTTCGGTGGCCAACGTGGCCGCTTTGGATCGCAGGTTTGATGCGGGTCATCAAGACGGTGGACACCACGAAACTCTCTGAGCGCCTCCTGGAGAACATGAGAGAAGAGATCCAGGCGAACGGAAGCCTGACCTACCCTCTGGTAAACATACAAAAAACGATGGAAAATCACCATGCTATTAATGGGAAAATCCACTATTTCTATGGCCATTTTCAATAGCTATGTTAGTTTTCCAGAGGGTAATATGTTGGGACTATACCACATCAATAATATATATAGTATAATATAGTATCGGGATTATGGTTATACTAACTGGTTTACGATTGTGGTTGAACATGACCTTTATTGATCGATTATATATTGGATTATACCACATCAACTGATTGAATGATAGGGAGTAATATGTAATCCTTCAGGGATTATGGATATAATATTTTTCTATTGGGTATTATAGTAACTAACCCGTAAGAGGATTATTTACTAACCCACCGGTATATCGAGATGACATATTGCAATAGGTCCAATAGGTCCCTGATTTTTGGATGTAAGATATGGTCTCGGAAAAATGGGATAAACTGCCGATAGTGGAGATGTCACGGGGAAATACCCTCTAGGATTTCAGATGTTTAATGGGATTTTATCGGGATTTAATGGGCTTTTATGGTGGTTTAATGTGGTTTAATAGGATTTAATATGATGTACCCTCTGGTAAACAAACAGTTTGCGAACTTGAAAACGACCATAGACATGGTTGATTTATCCATTAATAGCATGGTGATTTCCCATAGAGAGCTGTTAGTTTACCAGAGGGAAATGAAATACAACTCAACTATTGCAATAAGACCATTATTGGATTACTATTGGACATTCTGGTACTATTGTAATTTCTTGGATGTGTAATGATTTATATAGTCTATATAATTGGGATAGGTAGCAATATATGCGAATTGATGGGGATGAACTGGATGTAATGGGGATACCATGGGGATTTATGGTGATATAGTGGGGATTTAGTGGTATACCTAATACGTAGGTTTAACCGAACCATCAACAATAGGGCTTTTTCATTGGATTTAATGGGATCTGGTTAAATGGGATTAATTAGTAACAATTCAATGTGGTTTGGTACCGAAAAAAATGGGGTTGTTACCATCATTTTCAGTTTTACTAAGGGGAAATCATGTGATATATGGGTACCCAATTTTGACCTATACTCATATAGCAACAACTCCTTCAGAAAAGCTTCCGATGTGAGGGCCGGGCTGTTTCTTGCTTTGGGGCTCTGACCGCTGGACTTTCAACCCCCAATCACTCACGAAAATTGGTTGAAGGCACCATTTGCAGGAAGCTATGTGAATTATTCTTGGGTTTGATACCTAAGACTGCAAGATTTTCCTTCAACCAATGTTTCATTGTTAAAATACAGCATATACGTGGTGTCATTTCCACCAAACTGCTGAAGCACCTCTAAAAGTATTCGAAAAGGTGTTTGCCGATATGTTTCATATTTTTTCTACAACAATCCAAAGATGTTAGTGAAACATATCAATGGGGGAAGCAACATTAGTATCCCCCATTGTCCTACAAGGAACCAAGGACAATGGGGGATATTAATGTTGGTTCCTTGTCCTCGTTTGGTGGAGATCATTGGTGTAAGTTGCAGATCATCCATATATCATCTAGCCACACATATCTATTGACACATATGACCATATGTATATTACCTATATGTATGAATTGTATAGGTAGTATATCATATCATATATATATATATATATGTATGATATCTCCGTTATAAGGCTATACACTATATATATATATATATATATATCAGGGTAAATTATAACGACCTCACTGGTCTCCCTCACGAAATATTTATGATATTTCATGGGTTTTCAAAGGGGATTTTATAGGATAAATCATGGTATAGCCTCTGGTAATGACTAACTGATACCCTCTGGTAATGACTAACATAACTATTGAAAATGGCCATAGAAATAGTGAGTTTTCCCATTAATAGCATGGTGATTTTCCATCGTTTTTTGTATGTTTACCAGGCCGGGTACATTGATTTTTCGAACCGATTCTCCCAGCAGGGCACCGTATCTCCGACAGACAACAGGTGCTCCGAGCATTGGACCATCCCAACATCATTCGACTCTTTGAATCTTGGCAAATCGTGGATGGTGACGGAAAAATCGTGGCTGTTCATGGCGATGTTTTTATGGGGATATCATGGTTTGAAATGTAGAGTATATACTGAGTATACTGAGTATACCATTCTATATAATATATATATATATATACACCTTGTATTACAAATATATATATATACTCATATATGATTATACCGTATACCTGATTAGCTGGTTCTTCAGTGAGTGAGCGAATTTCAACCACCAATGGTCACTGAACCCAAAAAAGGGTCACTTTGAAGAACTTTCTAGTTAAGTATCAAATGGCATCTTTTGCATAAGTTTCAAGTGGCCGCTTTATTTCCCGTAGGTAAATCCTTGCATTTGTTCCATGGTTTGACATGGTTTAACTGCGCGAAACCAAACATTGGTTTTAACATGTTTTAACCTACTAACTATATATATATATATATATTATGTCTATTTAGTTCGGGGATTTCCCAGCTAGCCATCTTTGACGACCAGTAAAACCCACTAATGAACCATATGGCTTTTAAACACACCAGATGATGGGTTCTCCAGATTCTCCGCAGTTGGGTGTTTCTGAAACAGGTTTTTTCTTGCCGACGAAACAGCTGCCATTTTCGATCATGGTGAAGCATCAATGGAATGGTTGTTGGGCATGTTCAAATCATACGAATCATTCGACCATGACTGTAGAATCGAAACCCATGTTGACTTCATCCCACAGTTTCAGAACCCTAACCCCCCTTTTTTTATTTGGCTTTTGAAAGCTCCATTTTCGGCTCCCAAGCTCTTGGATTTTGGCAAACCTCCCATAGGAAACACCACTTCACCTTGAAGCGGTTGCTGCGCTTCAGGAATATGGCGAAGATGTGGAGAACCATAAGATTCACCTCCTCATGGATCGGGCAACGAAACACATTGAGGGTTGATGGGTTAATGAATGCATACTGTAAATATACACTACTTTATTTATATATACCTTATATGATCTTATATTACTGTATATGTTTGGTTATATAATTGTTGTATTCATCTTCAGATTTTGTATCTATTTATATATCTATTATGCACATATAATTATATATACACATGTTATATGTGTTTATTATACATTTTTGGTTTTGAGCTGCTCTTGGTTTGCAGTGATCAAAAGTTGATTTGCAGATGACACGTGTTCACAAGTACATGAGGTACATGTTGCCATGATGTGTTTGTAAGCCTTGAGATAAAACAAATCAGGTGGTCACTGTCAGAGCCAAAGATCTGTTTATATCCACTGAACATGTCATGTTCCCCTTAAACATCATTTGGTTGATTACTTGCCCCATTTTGTCCCATTAAGTTTCACTAAGTCCCCATTTTGTACCATTTTTCGAACGAAGAATGTGGCAGGAAAAGTGCTCCGGGGGCGACGTGGACGAACTTTTAGAGAAGCCACTTTTTGGCAGAATGTTGTCGTGATGGTATACTAGTTGATGGGTTCCATTACATGGGGATGGGTCAAGACCTATGAAATTACCATATGACAGTGGGAATAACCATCCATTAAGCAGCTATTTTTGGGTACCTAGGGTGGATTTGACCCATAACCACATCAAAAGCCATGAAACTTGGTCTCCGACAATATAATAGAGTGGTGGATAATAAAGTGGAGATAACTTTAAAAGATCATGGGGTCAGCTAATACAATGATACCAGAATATCTAGCAATGGTAGATTTGGTCATGAAATGCACATTTTCTCCAATGCCAATGAAATGGACATATCCTTGGTTTGACCTTGGTGCTATTCCATGGGGCCTTGGTATCACCTTGGGTTTGAACAAAGGGCATCTCCCATTCCGATTATCATAATTTTCTCCCATTGGAATAGCTATTTCTGGTTGTGGTTTGGAACATTTTTCATTATTCCATATATTGGGAATAGTAATCCCAACTGACTTTCATATTTTTCAGAGGTGTTGAAACCACCAACCAGATTTTGCCGGTTTTATTTTGCCCCTATTTTCAGACACACCCAACTCTATATACCATCCATGACCATCCATGACATCATGATGAGATTCTCTAAGACGCTGGTTGTGTATTGATTGATGTTGGCGTCCCCATAGTTTCTGTGTGATCATAGGATGGGACGAGGAACTTTCCAACTTGCTTTGAATGCTATACACACATTTTTAATGGTTTACAGCATACTAAATGGGGATGGACTAATCAAGGGATTGCAAACGATACACTTATGTGGGTACACATCATTTGTTTATATCTTTCGTATATCATCTTTGAGTTTTTTTTTTGGATAGCACTGTACATATATAATCCAAGAATGACATACTCCAAGAATTGGGATTATTGGGATATCCATATACCTTCCGTAGATAATCGGGATGACATACTCCAAGAATTGGTACTGTCCCCCCCCAAAAAAAACCTCCGGTAATCATTGATGACACACCCTAGTTCTGGGACTTCCCAGTGGCCCGCTGTGTTGACACCGAAGTGTACTTGGAAGTGCAGTTTCATTGATAAGTGGATATACATATTTATATATGGATATATATATATATATGGAGATATCTCTCTATATATATACACATGTATTTATATGTGTATATATATATATATATATATGTACGGATATATAATGGATATATAATGGATATATATATATATGGATATATATTTGGATATGTGTATATATATATATATATGGGATATTCCCTTTTATATCTGGTATAATAATCCACTTACTGGGATGCACCACCATGGATAGGTCCCCGTTTGGATCACCGAGGGCGGGCTATTTGTCGGAGGACTTGGTGGCGCAATTGACGCGACAGGCGACGTGTTACAACTGTTACGCGACGTTCATAGCAATCGCCCCTCGTAACAGTTGTAACAGTTGTAACATGTGTGAGTTGTTAACACAGTTTTTCACTTTCTTTGTAACGTTCGTGTAACACGTTCACTTTCTTTGTAACAGTTACACATTCCTAAGAAAGTGAAAAAATGAAGGTAAGATCCTACAGGATGGGGCCCCCAGGATTCAGTGGCCTAAAAAAAGTGGCTGAATTCTATGGTTTATGGATATAGCTTAACGAACTAGTTACTGGGGTTTACAAAGCAACTTATAACTGGGGGGCACCTTCCTGCAGTTACTAAGTACTCAAATAGTGGTATATAACTTTCCTATATTCATTATATTCATGTTCTGTCTTTTTGGGCGTTTCCAGAATCCAATCCCCCTTTCCACATAGATCGACATGTTTTCCATATGTTTTCCATATGTTTTGGTAGATATAACTGTAGTTAATGGGGGTTATCATGGTAACCTATCTGGGTAAATTTGATCACGACCTCACTGTTCTCCCGAGCCCTGGAAATCATAGTTAGTAAGGGGAATCATCCCAAAATGGCCCAACAATTCAGGTGAGTGAAATATGATCATTTACCCAGATATATTGATGTGCCTCAGAATTTCGAGGTCTTTGGCTGTTCAATCTACTTTTTGGGGTCGATGAGGGTCGATGCCCCCCCTTTTTTTGGGAACCCCAGAAATGAATAGAAGCACCGAAACACCTCAGTTTGATAGTATGCGGAAGAGATTCTTCAGATTGTTCAAACTACCCTCTGGTAAATTAACATAGACCCTGAAATTAGCCTAGTTTTAATGGAAACTAATCTTCCAACCCCTATCTGCCAGGTTCTATGTTAATTTACCAGAGGGCCGGGTAAATCAAGTATGGAAGCAGAAATTCCTCGTATCAAACTGGATTCTGTCGGATTCAGCTTTGTAAATTGCCCATCAGTTCCCGTTGTCCAGTTTGTTGGGTGGTGTGGTAAACCCAACAATAAACGATACCTAACCTAATTCCATCAATTTTATGTTTATAATGTGCAAACTTAAAGGAAGTTCACGTCAGTGTGTACTTATGAGCGATTTTTTTTGGGTCACGTTGTTTTTTTTCATACGCCTTTGATCCAGGATGGTCCAGGAACCAATATCAATGTTATTATAACTTGTAGATTCTAAGATATAACGACCTCACTGCGACCTTACTGGAATGATGGTTAGTAAGGGGTATATGACTATTGCAAATAGCCTCATTTCAGGTTACTGCAGCATTATAATTTACCCATATATTATTATTATTGTTATTATATTCTTCTTCTTCTTATTATTATTATTATATATATATATATATTTATTAATTATATATATATTATTATATTGTATTATATTATATTTTATAGTATATTATTATATTATATTATATTATATTATATTATATCATATTATATTGTATAATATTATATAGTATATTATTATATTATATTATATTATATTTTATTATATTATATTATATTTTATTATATTATATTATATTATATTATATTAAGGTATGTTACATTATATATATATATATTATTATATATTATATTATATGTATATATATATATATGCTCTTGTGTATATGTTCATCACATGGTAATGATATTATTCGCTATTATCCCACCTTTTGTATAAACATGTAAGTATAACTTATTAAATGAGTAGGTGTTGTTCAATGATCTAAGATAAATATAATTCATCAGTTCCATATGTTACAATACTTTGCATGATCAAGTGATATTCATTCATCTCAACTGGATATGGTTCACCTGTTTCAAAAATAAATGCGAATAACTATGAAATATGATCTTGAATATTACTATGCATATCAACAAAGATTAACTACAATTGGAAAGGACTTAGCAGTCCTATTGATCATTGGGATTGCATAAAACCATGAACAAAAAGAACGTATACGTTATACAGTAGATACAGATATGCAATGATATGCATATATGACTAGCTCATAGGAATTCAGAATCTTCAGCATCTTCCCAGTGTATCACCATGTATCACCATGTATCACCTAATATCTGGTTGGTGGTTGGAACATTTTCTATTTTTTCCCCACCTGCCAGGTGAGGGTTGTTAGATTTTATCTAAGTTGCCTGGTCCTCCTCCTCCTCCTGCCGCCTCCTTCTCCTCCTCCTCGTCCTCCTCCTGCTCCACTGCGATCCATGTCAGTGTGCCCTGCCGGACCTCAACCACGACCATCCACGTCAGTGTGCCCTGCCGGACCTCAACCACGACCATCCACGCCCAGTGTTCCCTGCCGGACCTCAACCACGACCATCCACGCCCAGTGTTTCCTGCCGGACCTCAACCGCGAGTATCCACGCCAAGTGTTCCCTGCCGACCTCAACCACGACCATCCACGCCCAGTGTTTCCTGCCGGACCTCAACCGCGAGTATCCACGCCAAGTGTTCCCTGCCGGACCTCATGTAGGAAGATATGGGACAAAGAATGTGCAGAAGAAAGTTAGAAAGAATGTCAGAAAGAATGTCAGAAGATATGCCAGAAGATATGCCAGATAGAATGCCAAATGGAATGCCAGATAGAATGCCAGAAGATATGTCAGAATATATGCCAGAAGATATGCCAGATAGAATGCCAGATAATATGCCAGAAGATATGCCAGATAGAATGCCAGATAGAATGGCAGAAGATTTGCCAGATAGAATGCCAGAAAATATGCCAGAAGATATGCCAGATAGATATGTCAAATAGAATGTCAGAAGATATGTCAGATAGAATGCCAGAAGATTGTCAGAGAATTCCAGAAGATATGCAGATTATCCAGAGCCAGAATGCCAGATTTGAATGCCAGAAGATATGAGAAGATATGCCAGATAGATATCCCAGAATATGCCAGAAGATATGCCAGATAGAATGTCAAATAGAATGTCAGAAGATATGTCAGATAGAATGCCAGAAGATTTGCCAGTAAGAAAATGTATAAATGTCATGGTGGGGATCACACGAAGTAAAGTAATTTCCATATATGGAAAACATTCATCCCAACTGACGAACTCCATCATTTTTCAGAGGGGTAGGTATACCACCAGCCAGATACTGAACTGTTGGCCAATTTTGAAAGCACCATATTTTGGGATGACCATATTGATATACCCTCTGGCAAACTAACATAACTATGGAAAATCACCATTTTTAATTGGTAAATCCACTATTTCTATGGCCATTTTCAATAGCTTTTTGTATGTTTACCAGAGGGTAATGGCCATTTCCCCAGTGAATACCTATGATCCCACTAGTGTTATCCACTGTTTATGGCCGACTCCCCGCGGATTCGCAGGTCTTGTCCGGCATCGCTTTCTGCCACGCACGTGGAGTGGTCCACCGGGATTTGACACTCTCCTGGAAACTCACCGGGCCACCGGGAGATGGATTCCTTCCATGTCGTCACCCTGAGGATCTAAGAAAAACCCAAAAAAAACAAAGGGATCTGATCCAAGCGATAAAACATGTAGATAGATGTAGATCCATTTTAGAACCTGGAATCCACTGGAATGATGGTAGAACTTGGGATTCTTCTTGTCTAGTCTTGTAGGAATCGTCGTTGTCCATCATTTCACGCGGGTCTGAATAAACTCGAACTTGCTAGAAATTCAGTGGCGAATCCAGCCTTACCTTGGGAATTTGTTGTTTGATCAGTAGCTTCTACAAGGTCTCCGTAGACCTTGTACAGTTGGTGTCGATTTTCTTTAGAGAATCCATGGATTAACATGGGACCTATACCCAACTGTATGGCCAAACTGGGTGTGTTGGGATGTCCAAATCGATTGATAAATGTCCAGCATGGCTTGGGGATAAGATTAGTGTGACTCTTCTTGTAATCTAACAGTGAATCTAACATAGCTATGGAAAATCATCATGTCTTATAGACATCTACCATTTCTTATAGACATCTACCATTTCTTATAGACATCTACCAATTCTTATAGACATCTACCATTTCTTATAGACATCTACCAAATCTTATAGACATCTACCATTTCTTATAGACATCTACCATTTCTTATAGACATCTACCATTTCTTATAGACATCTACCATTTCTTGAAGACATCTACCAATTCTTATAGACATCTACCATTTCTTATAGACATCTACCATGTCTTATAGACATCTACCAATTCTTATAGACATCTACCATTTCTTATAGACATCTACCATTTCTTATAGACATCTACCATTTCTTATAGACATCTACCATTTCTTATAGACATCTACCAATTCTTATAGACATCTACCATTTCTTATAGACATCTACTATGTCTTATAGACATCTACAAATCAACATTTTCCATCGCTACCATCGTGGAGGGAAAACGGCAAATTACCGCCATCAGAATCCACTGGATCGATTTAAAACGATCGGTATGATTGCCATGAAATATCCATTATATATCATTATATATCCATTATAGATTAATTGATCCATTGGAATATTAATGGACCTAAATTACATAGATATTGGAATATTAATGGAATATCAATGGATCAATGGAATATACCCTCTGGTGGACCCTGAAAATCACCAATTTTCTAGAGGAAACTCATCTTTCAACCCCGATGACTGGCAGGGTATATCCATTATATATTCAAACCATAATATATATATATATATATTATATATATATATATCTATCTACACAATATCCGTTGCACTTGCATTTGAACATTATATCCATCTATTTGCAACCATTAGAAGGGTTGCTCCAACCTACTGTAGTTATTCATGATAGCCAGTGTTGAGAAGTAAATGAGTGATTTGACCCAAACGTATTCACCCAAACGTATCTGGGAATATCTGGGATGCTAGGAGCAACTAAAAAAAATCACCCTATGTTATTCCCATCTACAGATAATTTTCCCATTTTTTCCATTTGTTTTTGCTCCAGCCGCAATTGTAACCTGGAAGTGTCTTCGCATCTGAAGGTCCATAGATTCACTGCCGATCACTGCCCTAAGGAAACCCGGCAATGTCATGTTGACCTCTTCATTTCTACGTGAACTGTTCCATGGTGAAGAACACAGGGATTTTCCTGGAAAGGTTTCGGAGTGAGAGCCTATTGAGTCTATTGGGATCCGGATTTTACATGCATAATTAATCATGCATAATTGTATATATGTGTAATACAGGTGTTGTGGTCAACACTGGGTATTTTTCCCAGTTCTTGGGCTCTTGGGTATGGGCAATGGGCATCAACTCATGAAAAGTGCATCATAATGTGATTCATGCGTCCACGATGTTTGCATTCCTATGGAATGGATGACCAGGCTCCACATTCATAGCATGTGACTTGCCCATGGCACATCTATATATATATATATCAAACCAAGAATAATATACCATACCCGTGACCTAATATTTATAAGATTTCATAATCATACATACATATATATATACATAACTGACTTACATTGTATATATAGCTAAATTATATTATATATAACTAACATATGTATATATATATATGTGCAGTATACATATGCACTATCACATACATATATATATATATGCAGTATGTACCATAGACATTAATGTTTTGATATAATTTAAGCCACAGGACGAGGAGTGCACCGAGCATATTCTTCCGCTTCCCACTTAGCACCAAGGCCCCCAGTGCATCTTCATGGCAGCCCCTGCTATGGCTGCGTCATCCTCTGTCAAGAGAGTGACGAAACTGCAGCGGACCTGCTATGGGCCACGGTGATAGACATAGTTTCAACACCCCCAAGAGATGCAATTTCAATTTGGCAACACCCTACTTTAACTGGTTGGTGGTTTCAAACATTTTTTATTTTCCATAATATATGGGATAATCCTTCCCATTGACTACTATTTTCCAAGATGGTTAAAACCACCAACCAGCTAATTTACCTCAGTGTAGTGGTAAATTGAAATGTTGTGTCAATTTTTTTCGGGGTCACTAAAACCAGTATATGGGGATAGAAGCAACCAAACTTGGGGATGTTTACCCAACCATAGTGATATAATGGACACATAATCAACAATATAAGAATAGCGGGTTTGTCTGAAAAGAGTAACTTATTTCCATGTAGGGTCATTTTGATAGGAACAATATTTTCTGAAACTATAGGATTTACTTGAGTATTCTATCCGGGGCCAAACTAATCTGATAATTGAACATAATTGAATGAAAATTCACCAGGACAAAGAAAATAAAGCATCTTCACTTTTTGTGTCCCAATTTGATGCTTCTGGCAACTGCATAGGCATGCTGGGTTCCATAACCCATGCAGCTCAAGCAGTTTTTGTTCACCAACTACATCAACATGCCTCAACAATTCCATAGTGATTAAAACAGGAAACTGTCCATATTATTCAGTTGTAGTCCCTTATTGTTCTTCTTCTTATTATTATTATGCGTCTTATTATTATATATTCATATCTATTCCAAATTTTACAGTTCCTTTTCTTTTTGAGATGCTGAGGTTTACAGATGTTTACATGCTGCATTCGATTTTTGGTTTCTTTTAACCAATGATGAGCACGCTATGACCGGACCCCGGGGACCCCGGTTCGGGTGTGCCGCTGGACGCATTGGACCTTGGTTTCCTGTACCTATTCTCTTAATGTTAATATTGTAGCATTGTGTGTTAACTCATAGTATTGTAAGTATGATATTGTGCTGGAATTTTATACTCTTCTGTTATATAGTTGACTCTCCCTGGCTGGTGGTTTGGAACATTTTTTATTTTTCCATATATTGGGAATAGTAACCCCAACTGACTTTCATATTTTTCAGATGGGTAGGTATACCACCAACCAGTTCCTATCTTCCTTATGTTTCTTAGCTTTTTTAACATAGCTTAAGTCTTCACCATCAGCATCCCAGGCACCTACGACTGCAAGATCATCGACTTCGGCTTAGCCAAGACCTACGATCCCAGCGATCCCAGTAGCGGCATCAGCGACGTGAACGGCACGCCGGCCTACATGGCACCCGAAATCTGCTGGCGCCAAGGCGGCCAATAAAAATCGCGGAAACAACGGGGAAATTGATGGACAGTTGCCTCAAAAAAGTGGCTGAATTCTATGGTTTATGGATGTCTATGGTAGATATAACGAACTAGTTAATGGGGGAAATATGATGAAATATGATGAAATATGGACCATTTATACCATATTCCTTAAGATTTTATGGTTGATAGAAATTGGTTGACTACTAGATGCACTATAATGCACTATTAGATCACTGGAATTGCTATTACTACCATTTTCTGTGAGTGTGTTGCCCTTTTTGGCGATACCAGTGCCAGTCATGAACACGACGTTAAAGGCGATACCATTTCCTGAGATTAGATTGCAATGAGGTCACACCTAACACAGGTGGTGTGGATTGGATTAGCACAGGATGGACGAAAAAACCATTTGGGCAAAGTCAAGGCGGCGCAGAGTTTTTCTTGCAACCATATCATTGGCGATTTCCCGCTGAATCGCCGAATCCAACCAGCTCTGAGAATTTCCATCATGTCAAGGAGGGCGGGATAACAAGGCAGATAAATCTATATAAATCAATAGAAAAAATGTTTAAATCAGTAGTTATAGCATGTCATAGTTATATTCAATAGTTATCTTCTATACTTACCTGGATGGGCTGCTCTCTTGTATTGTTGTACTATAAATTACTCCACGGTGCCACCGCGCTGGCCAGGTAAGTACGGCGCCCCCAGCGATGTGTGGTCCATTGGTGTTATGTGCTACGAGCTGTTGACGGGCTGCCTGCCCTTTGGTCACTGGATCGGAAATTGATCTGTAAATGGCGATGAGCCTCTGGAAATTTCTTACAGTTTGCGAACTTGAACATGGCCCACTAAGAAATAGTTGATTTACCGAACTTAAACCATAGAAATAGTTGATTGACCTATTAAAGATGGCGATTTTCCACAGTTTTTTGTATGTTGAAACCAGGCCGGGTCATGGCTTATTTTTCATGGAGACTCGATGGATTTACCCACTTTTCTGTGGTTTATAAATATGTTTATATCATGAGGTCATTTAGTTATGGAGTTATGGGAATATTGTAAGTTGAGTTTTTCGGGGGATGGGTCATTTGAATTACTTTATAACCGGATTTCTGTTCGATGCTGATTTTGGGTGTCCATTTACAGCATTGGAATACCTTGAGAGGTCAAAGTGATTTATTTGGGCTTGTCGAGGGTAAACTAACATAGAAAATCACAATTTTATACAATTTTAATAGATAAATGAACTATAAACAAGCCATTTTCATCCATTTTCCATAGTTATGTTAAATTATTGGAGGATATTGGAGGGTATTTGAGATTATGAAGCCTGGGTTTGTTTGAAGATTGGGTACCCCGAGATCTAGTGTTTTATCATCATATTCCCCATTAAAGTAGCCTGTTGGGGAGGTTTGGACTGGTTGTTTGAAAAGATTGAAAATTCTGAGATGTATATTATAATTACCCTCTTGTTATTTAATATAGCTATTGAAAAATCACCATGCTATTAATGGGTAAATCAACTATAAATGGACCATCTATACCAGTTCGCAAACTGTTAGTCATAACCAGAGGGTATCTTTCTTGTCACCAGACATGGAAATTACGGCATAGCAACATGTAGCAACCCTTAGGCTCCAGAGCCTCATTTGGAAGCAGGTGATGCTTCGGACTATGATGGTGGCTTTCGAGAGCTCTTCGCCCTTTGGATGTGATGTCTGTGGAAATTTCATCATGATCTCATGTTGTGATTGAACCCTGGAATTATGGTTAGGATTGGGGTAAGTATCCCAAAATGACCTTATTGCTTTGTGATTTATATTAATTTACCCAGATTTTTTTTTGTTTTGGGGCTTGCAGAGAACTCACATATTTGGATCATGAGATTAGCTACCTGGCAAGGGTTTTCTGCATATCCACTGGATTCTTCATGGTCCGACCTCATGGACGAAGCCGGTCATTTGTTTTGCGATGGCCCACTACTCGTCGCATGATGATCTTATGATTTAAATGGTGGATTTTCACCATCAAACGAAATGAGGATGGAAATGAGGATGGAAATGAGGATGGAAATAGAATGGGCTAACGCCCGGGTGCCGCCGACCCTCCTTTGAAGCACCAACAAGGCAGTGTGGCTAGGGATTGAAGGCTAGCAAACGGTGGTCTTGAAGCCTCAACAAGACAGTTTGTAGAGCCGCTGCGGAGGGTTTAACGGTTTGAATAAAGGTCTGAAGGCTGGCAAACGGCACTCGTGAATCGCCAACGGCAGAATGTGTAGTGCCGCTGCGAACAGTACGCGTCTGAAGGCCGGCAAACGGCGTAACGCCCCAACAATAGAGTGTGTAAGGCCGCTGCGGAGGGTTGACGCGTTTGAAGGCTGGCAACGGGAGTTTTGAGTAGAAGCTTCAGCAAAACACTGTGTAGGGCTGCTGCGGAGCGTTTAGGGGTTTGAAGGCTGGCACTCTCGCAGCCCCAACAAGACAGTGTGTAAGGGGTTGGGAGTTGGGAGGCTCGCAAATGGTAGCCTTGAAGCGTCAACAAGACAGTGTGTAGGGCGGCTGCAGAGCGTTTAGGGGTTTGAAGTCTTGAGCCTTCAACAAGACAGTGTGTAGCGTCACTGCGGAGGGTTGAGCCGTTTGAACAAGACAGTGCTGTGTAGGGCCGCTGCGGAGGGTTGAGCCGATTGAAGGCCGGCAAACAGCCCCTGAAAGCCTCGACAAGACAGTCTGTAGGGCTGCTGCGAAAGTTAAACGGTGCGAAAAAACGTTTGGGGGGTTGAGGCTGGCAAACGGCACTCTTGAACCCCGACCAACAGAATGTGTAGGGCCGAAAGGCAAGTGGTCAGTGCACCGCAGCCTCATCGTTGATGCCATAGAACGGGCGCAGAAGCATTGGAACACGCTTCCGTGTGAATCCTGTCCGTTACCAAACCCATGCCAAGGCTTGGACAGCAAGAGCCTCCTAAAAAGTGTGCGATGCAAGGCGCGCACGGTCAGCTGTGAGAAAGACAGTTGCGTGCGGGAGCCCGAGGTGCAGCAAGAAATTGTCAATATAACAGCACTTAAAAACCATGTGGAAGAATGGGCCGGGGGCGTCGCGCAAGATGGATGCAATGCCAAACAAGCAGAAGTTTGTAGAAAAGTTGCAAGCCAAGTCGTGCAGGAGATCTTGTCTGAAAACCTTGGGGTGCTAGAGCCATTGCGGTGGGCTGTGCATGGCGGACCCGGTACAGGGAAATCGTATGTATTGAATCGTCTCCGGAAAGAATTGTTTGAGGATATTTTGGGCTGGAAGCAAGGTGATGAATTCCAAGTCGTGACACTGCAGGCTGTTATGGCCCATGACTTGAAGGGCGACACTATCCACCACGCGTTTGGTTTGAACTGGCAAGGCCTTGGCGATGAGCGCATTAGCGGGCACAAGCTCCTGGAGCTGAGCGCCAAAGCGTTGCGCTGGCGATGGCTCATCATGATGAAATCAGCATGGTTAGCGCTGAGCTGTTGGCCCGGTTAGAGTTGCGTTGCCGAGAGTTGGTCCGGGATCTCGCCCAAGGCAAGTATATATATCTTGGGTACGCTCGCACTCGACCAGTTCTGTCACGCCATGGATTCCGTCCGGGGTTTCGCCCCAGACTAATTCCTGCCCCCGGATGGTATGGGCTACTTTCTTCGTTTTGCATTGCGTCAACCATTCCCATGGGACATCTCCCAAAAAGGTTCCACGTGGCGGTGGCAGCTGCCACATATCACCTGCCAGAATAACGTTTAACCCTCCAAAGGGACGAGCATATGCCGCATCCTTTGCGGTTGCAGAGTCTACAAAACGAAGTACGAAACGGCGCGTTGTCCGATACGAACCACGCATTTTTGCATGGCTGTCCTACGCCGGTACCTGGGAGCTGGAACGGGCACAGACTAGAGTGCAACCACACCACGTGCCAGGAGTTACTGAGACAAAAAGCAGCGCCAGAAGCAATCCTTAGTTTGGAATGTGACATATGCAAAAAGGAGCGCCAGTCCAAGGCTAGAGTTACAGACGGTTCCCTCGCGGCCGCTGCGAAGTTCGCTGGGGCAAAGGCTATTTTCGCCACAAATGCCGTGAAGTATCACGTGAATAAACTGCGAGCCAAAGTTTGGGCCTGGGCCGCAGAAACAGGGCAGGTGCTGCACCATGCCATTGCAAAAGACAGGATATCAAGCGCGGCTTTGCGCGAAAAGCCAGATCTGGGCAAAGAAAAATTGACATGGCTGCAGCGCCACGATCAGGACTGTGGATCCTTGTATGGTGTTTTCCCGCTGTGCATTGGTATGCCAGTTGCTGCCGCAGATCACTTGGATCGTACCCGTGGAATTTTACGTGGGTGTGCTGGGGAAATCGTTGGCTGGGTCTGGCATGCGGATGCCGTCGGAGGGGCGAGTCAAGAGGCGACGCAGATTTGGAACGAGTTGCCGGCGTGCATCTTGGTCCGGTTCAAGACCAAGACCACCTGGCGTGTCGAAGGGATTGATGAAGACAACGTTTTTCCCGTAGCGCCGCAAAAGAAACCGTGGTATCTGGACAAGGGGCGGAAGCGGCCAGTACTCCGTGTCACGCGGAAGCAGTTTCCATTGGCTCCAGGGTTTGCCGCCACCGCCCACGCAGCCCAAGGGCAAACGTGCAAAGAAGGCGTTGTCATGGACATGCACATTGGGGAAGCAGGCGACCCATTGACAGCTTACATTGCATTAACGCGAGTCCAAGACAGGTATGGTTTGTTTGTGTACCGACCGTTCCCTGCAGCACCATTTCAAAAAGGGGCAAAAGTAGGGCGGGAATTGCTGTTGCGGTTCTGGGGTGATGAAAAAATGGATTGGAGGGCGCTGCGAGCGAAATACCGAGACGAAAGACAACGCAAAGAATGCAATGAAGCAAAGCCGGCGTCTGCATTCACGGCTGGTCGATGGAAACGAGCAGATGCGGCGAGAGTATGCAAGGAATGCATTCGTAGGCACGTTGAAGCGCAGCAGCCGTGGCAATGCATGGCCTGCACGGCGTGGAAACAGGAAGATGCATTCAAGACAGAACATGCAAGGCCACAAGCCACATTTTATCGTATTTGTAAGACGTGCGAACAGACACAAGTGTGTAGTGTTTGCAATACACGCAAGGACGAAAAGAAATTTTCTGGCGGGGCCTGGAAACGAGCACGCAGGGGCGGTAGAGTGTGTCTAGATTGTTCGAGGAAAGCATGGGGCTGGTGGAGATGCAGCGTCTGCAAGGTAAAGCAAGCAGCGTGCGCTTTTGAATCTTGGCTGGCGCAACATCGTTCTTGTAATGGTGACCAAATCTGTAGCAACTGCTGGCAGTGCCCCATTCCCCGGGGAAGCATCAGCAAAGCGGTACAGCGGGTAGCGGCAACGCAGGCGAAAGTGGCGAGAAGGGCAGCGGAAGAAAAAAAGGCACGCGCCATCGCCGATGTCTGGGATGCCATCGCGGAACGAAAACGGAAGAGGGAACAGGAGAGCCCCCAAAGGAAGGAAGCAGAGCCGAAGCCAAAACAGCGCAGACAAGAGAACGGAACAGAAATGACCACAGAGGGGCCTGCAGAGGTACATAGCCAACAGGACGACAGCAACGAACGGCCGAGGGCGGTGCGGCCAAGAAAGGCAGCAGAAGCCATGGCCAAGGGCAAGATTTTCCAATACGTGTGCCCGCATTGCAATCAGTCTGTAAGCAGTACCGTACGAACAGGCCAAGTAGATCACCGCCGCACATGCGGTAACTTTTTCCGCGTCAGGGAAGGACGCCCCTGTGCGAAACAGTATGACTACGTTTGTCCCACCTGCAATGGGCATGTGGCCAGTAACGTGGCAACAGGGCAAATAGACCATCGAACAGTCTGTGGGAACCAATTTTCTGTTCAGGATGGCGTTGTGAAAGAGAAAGGCGTAGTTTACAGGTGTCCATTTTGCAAAAGAAATGTGAGAAGCGATGTCAGGACAGGGCAAATAGACCATCGAACAGTCTGTGGGAACAAATTTTCTGTTCAGGATGGCGTTGTGACAGAGAAAGGCATCGTTTACAGGTGTCCATTTTGCAGAGAAAGTGTGAGAAGCGATATCAGGACAGGGCAAATCAACCATCGAACAGTCTGTGGGAACCGATTTTATGTGAAGGACGGTGCGGTCAGCAAGAAAACACGGTGTCATGCGCACAGTTGCCCGGTGTGCTCAACGGTTGTTTGGTCATCGCAGTCATGTGGGCGCATTGCGGTGACGCATGTCACGCCGTCGGGAAAACGATGCCAGATGAAACATTGGCACGTTCCCGACAAAGAGTCAAAGAAAAAAAGGAAGTGAAATAGAAAGAAGCTGCGCTTGCCGTAGGAACAGATGGCAATGGCAAAACCTCTGCCGCGAAGCATTTGAGAGGTGTGAAAGCTGGCAAACGGAAGGAATGTACGCAGGAACAACAGACGCGATGGAAGCAAACCGCGGGCGGCAACAGTCCCCCAACAAATGCCTGCGGCCAGAGTGTCTGGTGGAAGCCTGCCAAGGATTTTGAAAGTTTTGACGATTGGAAGGCTGGCTGCAACGCTGGAACAGCAAAGGCTGACCGCCACACGGTTTGGTGGAAGCTGCCGGGAGGGAGGAAGGGTTTGAACGCTGGCAAACGGCAGGCTTGAACGCCCTAACAACAGACGCTATGTGCAGGCAAACAGCAGGTTGCAACGCTGGAACAGCAACGGCTGACGGCCACAAAGCTTGGTGGAAGCTGCCGCGAGGAAGCTGCCGCGAGGCGCCCGAGGCATGGACGCCGTAACAACAGAGCGCTATGCAGGCAAACGGCCGGCGAGGCATTTTAAGCGTTTTAAAGGTTTGAAGCCTGTCAAACGGCAGCCGTGAACGCCTATAAGAAGCCATTGCTGCGGCCGGGGGGATGCCTTGAGCCATTGCTGTGGCCTTGTGGTGGCTTTTGCCTGCGGGCGTGCCCGAGGCATGGATGCCCTAACGATAGAGCGCTATGCAGGCAAACGGCCGGCGAGGCATTTGAAGGGTTTTAAGGGTTTGAAGCCTGTCAAACGGCAGCCTTGAACGCCTATAACAAGCCATTGCTGCGGCCGGGGGGATGCCTTGAGCCATTGCTGTGGCCTTGTGGTGGCTTTTGCCTGCGGGCGTGGCGCCTGTTGGGCTTGTTGGGGTACCGTTTGCCTGCGAAGTTGGGCGTTGTGCATGCGGGAGTGGCGCGTGTTGGGCTCTGTGCAGGCAAACGGCAGGCTGCAACGCTGGAACAGCAGGGGCTGACGGCTACAGGGCTTGGTGCAACCGGCCGGCGGAGTATTGGAAGCATTGTAAGGGTTTGAAGGCTGGCAAACGGCAGGCTTGAACGCCTATAAGAAGCCATTGCTGCGGCCGGGGGGATGCCTTGAGCCATTGCTGTGGCCTTGTGGTGGCTTTTGCCTGCGGGCGTGCCCGAGGCATGGACGCCCTAACGACAGCGCTATGCAGGCAAACGGCCGGCGAGGCATTTTAGGGGTTTTAAGGGTTTGAAGGCTGGCAAACGGCAGGCTTGAACGCCTATAAGAAGCCATTGCTGCGGCCGGGGGGATGCCTTGAGCCATTGCTGTGGCCTTGTGGTGGCTTTTGCCTGCGGGCGTGCCCGAGGCATGGACGCCTTAACGACAGCCGGGGGGATGCCTTGAGCCATTGCTGTGGCCTTGTGGTGGCTTTTGCCTGCGGGCGTGCCCGAGGCATGGACGCCTTAACGACAGAGCGCTATGCAGGCAAACGGCCCGCGAGGCATTTTAAGCGTTTGAAGCCTGTCAAACGGCAGCCTTGAACGCCTATAAGAAGCCATTGCTGCGGCCGGGGGGATGCCTTGAGCCATTGCTGTGGCCTTGTGGTGGCTTTTGCCTGCGGGCGTGCCCGAGGAAGCCTGTCAAACGGCAGCCTTGAACGCCTATAAGAAGCCATTGCTGCGGCCGGGGGGATGCCTTGAGCCATTGCTGTGGCCTTGTGGTGGCTTTTGCCTGCGGGCGTGCCCGAGGAAGCCTGTCAAACGGCAGCCTTGAACGCCTATAAGAAGCCATTGCTGCGGCCGGGGGGATGCCTTGAGCCATTGCTGTGGCCTTGTGGTGGCTTGTGCCTGCGGGCGTGCCCGAGGCATGGACGCCAGAACAACAGAGCGCTATGCAGGCAAACGGCCGGCGAGGCATTTGAAGGGTTTTAAGATGTTTTAAGGGTTTGAAGCCTGTCAAACGGCAGCCAAGAACGCCTATAACAAGGCATTGCTGCGGCCGGGGGGATGCCTTGAGCCATTGCTGTGGCCTTGTGGTGGCTTTTGCCTGCGGGCGTGGCGCCTGTTGGGCTTGTTGGGGTATACCGTTTGCCTGCGCCTGCGGGCGTGCCCGAGGCATAGACGCCCTAACGACAGAGCGCTATGCAGGCAAACGGCCGGCGAGGCATTTTAGGGGTTTTAAGGGTTTGAAGGCTGGCAAACGGCAGGCTTGAACGCCTATAAGAAGCCATTGCTGCGGCCGGGGGGATGCCTTGAGCCATTGCTGTGGCCTTGTGGTGGCTTTTGCCTGCGGGCGTGCCCGAGGCATGGACGCCCTAACGACAGAGCGCTATGCAGGCAAACGGCCGGCGAGGCATTTTAGGGGTTTTAAGGGTTTAAAGGCTGGCAACCGGCAGCCTTGAACGCCTATAAGAAGCCATTGCTGCGGCCGGGGGGATGCCTTGAGCCATTGCTGTGGCCTTGTGGTGGCTTTTGCCTGCGGGCGTGCCCGAGGCATGGACGCCCTAACGACAGAGCGCTATGCAGGCAAACGGCCGGCGAGGCATTTTAAGGGTTTAAGGGTTTGAAGCCTGTCAAACGGCAGCCTTGAACGCCTATAACAAGCCATTGCTGCGGCCGGGGGGATGCCTTGAGCCATTGCTGTGGCCTTGTGGTGGCTTTTGCCTGCGGGCGTGGCGCCTGTTGGGCTTGTTGGGGTACCGTTTGCCTGCGAAGTTGGGCGTTGTGCATGCGGGAGTGGCGCGTGTTGGGCTCTGTGCAGGCAAACGGCAGGCTGCAACGCTGGAACAGCAGGGGCTGACGGCTACAGGGCTTGGTGCAACCGGCCGGCGGAGTATTGGAAGCATTGTAAGGGTTTGAAGGCTGGCAAACGGCAGCTTGAACGCCTATAAGAAGCCATTGCTGCGGCCGGGGGGATGCCTTGAGCCATTGCTGTGGCCTTGTGGTGGCTTTTGCCTGCGGGCGTGCCCGAGGCATGGACGCCCTAACGACAGAGCGCTATGCAGGCAAACGGCCGGCGAGGCATTTTAGGGGTTTTAAGGGTTTGAAGGCTGGCAAACGGCAGCCTTGAACGCCTATAAGAAGCCATTGCTGCGGCCGGGGGGATGCCTTGAGCCATTGCTGTGGCCTTGTGGTGGCTTTTGCCTGCGGGCGTGCCCGAGGCATGGACGCCCTAACGACAGAGCGCTATGCAGGCAAACGGCCGGCGAGGCATTTTAGGGGTTTTAAGGGTTTGAAGGCTGGCAAACGGCAGCCTTGAACGCCTATAAGAAGCCATTGCTGCGGCCGGGGGGATGCCTTGAGCCATTGCTGTGGCCTTGTGGTGGCTTTTGCCTGCGGGCGTGCCCGAGGCATGGACGCCCTAACGACAGAGCGCTATGCAGGCAAACGGCCGGCGAGGCATTTTAGGGGTTTTAAGGGTTTGAAGCCTGTCAAACGGCAGCCTTGAACGCCTATAAGAAGCCATTGCTGCGGCCGGGGGGATGCCTTGAGCCATTGCTGTGGCCTTGTGGTGGCTTTTGCCTGCGGGCGTGCCCGAGGCATGGACGCCCTAACGACAGAGCGCTATGCAGGCAAACGGCCGGCGAGGCATTTTAGGGGTTTAAGGGTTTGAAGCCTGTCAAACGGCAGCCTTGAACGCCTATAACAAGCCATTGCTGCGGCCGGGGGGATGCCTTGAGCCATTGCTGTGGCCTTGTGGTGGCTTTTGCCTGCGGGCGTGCCCGAGGCATGGACGCCCTAACGACAGAGCGCTATGCAGGCAAACGGCCGGCGAGGCATTTTAAGCGTTTGAAGCCTGTCAAACGGCAGCCTTGAACGCCTATAAGAAGCCATTGCTGCGGCCGGGGGGATGCCTTGAGCCATTGCTATGGCCTTGTGGTGGCTTTTGCCTGCGGGCGTGCCCGAGGCATGGACGCCCTAACGACAGAGCGCTATGCAGGCAAACGGCCGGCGAGGCATTTTAAGCGTTTGAAGCCTGTCAAACGGCAGCCTTGAACGCCTATAAGAAGCCATTGCTGCGGCCGGGGGGATGCCTTGAGCCATTGCTGTGGCCTTGTGGTGGCTTTTGCCTGCGGGCGTGCCCGAGGCATGGACGCCCTAACGACAGAGCGCTATGCAGGCAAACGGCCGGCGAGGCATTTTAAGGGTTGTAAGGGTTTGAAGCCTGTCAAACGGCAGCCTTGAACGGCTGCGGCCGGGGGGATGCCTTGAGCCATTGCTGTGGCCTTGTGGTGGCTTTTGCCTGCGGGCGTGGCGCCTGTTGGGCTTGTCTTGGTGTTGTTTAGCTGTTGCTTGGTAGCTCTTGGGTGGTTCTGACAGTCTTTTACAGTTGCCAGGCTGGAACCTATAAGAGATGTCCAGTTGCTTGGTGAGTTGCCAGACCAAGGAAACCAGGAGATCTATGTGTGGTGGCTTATTATTATGACAGACTCCAGAGCAATCCCAAGACATGAATGATTGCAAATGGGATATTATTATATATTATTATTAAATTAATTAATATGGTTATCATCTTTGATTCACAGGCATTGAACCCCACCCCTTGACTTATATTATTATCAACTTAAACTTAACCCTGCCATTTCCAGCGCGCTGCCAGTCAAGCATTTTTTTGTGCTGTCTCAGGTTTAGGTCAAAAACTAGCTTACTCCGTCGACGAGACTAAGCTAAGCCTAATTTCTAAAGCGCCTGGGCTGCTTGACCCCGTGTCAGTGCGGACTCTTGCCACTGACTTGTCAATGCCACTGACTTTTCAATGCCGACTCTTGACTTAAAAGTCAGCGAAGCTCGCGCAGTGTGGCTTGCCACATCTCGACCAACAGGTCCTTTTTACTGCTGGGCCTGGATGAGTCAGCTCCTCCTGACCCGGGGTCAGGATCGTCCCTGTCGTCTTTGCGCCGCTTTCGCTCAGGGTCGGCTCGGTCAGGTGGCGGTGACCTGGGTTTCTTGCCCTTGCCTTTCTGCTGACCCACAGGCTCAGGGATCTTCACGTTCGTTTCATCGTCTCCTGGCCCTGTTTTGTTCTCTTCCCAGAGCATCTGGCTCCAACGCTTAGCGTCGGCCATGCACTGACCCCAAGCTTTTTTTTCACTTGTGGAATAATAAATCCACGATGCCAAGTGGAACGGAGACCGGCGATGGGAAAAATTTCCCTGCAGGCCCCCGCCCACGTTGCGTCCGCAGACGGTGCACTTGTACGACCCAGTCTTAGGGTCGCCAGGTCCGGAGCGTGGGCAATTGGCAGGCTCTGGGGGTCTTTCTGATCCCTGACTGGTTTTTTTCAAACCAGCAGGGCCCTCAGTCGTCGCTGCCTTAGCAGTAGAGGCAGTGCACTCATTTCTGAGTCGACTGTCACTGCTTTTGGCACTGTGGACCGTGGTCCGTCCTCGACCTCAGCGTCTTCAGCCCGAGGTGCTTCTTCCTCGGCGGATTCCTCGTCGTCGTCGTCGTCATCAGGCTCGACGACTGGCGCCGACTTGCCCGGAGGCGCCGGCTCTGAGGCCATAGCCTCTGGCCGCTTTTCAGCGCCGCCAGCTGTCGTCGCCGCTTCTGCCGATGCAGGCCTCAGCACGGCCTTGCCCGGAGCCTCGACGCTTCTGCGACGACGGTTCCTTGAACGACTCTTTGTCTCAGTGCGCCGTGCACGACTGCGACCACGACGACTTGAGTCGTCTCCACGGCGGTCAGACCCGCGGTCTGAGTGGCGGTCCTTCTTATGAGACCGATCTTTGTCGTCACCGCGGTCTTTCTTCTGGTTCTTCTCCGCCATCACGACCTGACAGGACGCGAGCGACAATTGTGGTTTTAACTAAAATTAAGAGTATATTATAAGAGTTTCATATCATTGCCAGGACCATGCAGATCAATTCTCATTTGCTTGAAAATAAGGAGTCCGTAGACTCTAGTCCGTAGACTTTCCCTCGAGTCCGTAGACCCAGTCCGTAGACTTTTTTAAATAAACTCCGTAGAGTTGGACAGTCCGTAGACTTTAGATTGGAGTCCGTAGACTGAGTTGAATGTCGTCCGTAGATTCTTTCAGTCACTTCCAAGTGACAATTGATCCTTGGTCCTGGATTCAATTCTTAATTTATTTAATAGGAAATAAGAAGTGAATTGCTGTTGGGTTTACACTGTGAAGATGGCCCTGCCTTCTGCAGGGCCGCCGCGGCTACACACAGCAGGCTGCGCGGGTCGCAGACGCTAACCATTGAGCCAAACACCTTGGAAAATGACGTGACAAGTTGACTGTCAAAAGTAAGTGCTGGTTCCTGCAACATGTCCTGATGTGCAATTTAATTTTTGAGTCTGAATTGGATTCTTGTTCAACCCTTGCATTTCCATCGCATGATAATTGATTAAACAATGATTCATTATTATTCTCACAGAAGTATGTTTACTGGTTGGGCCGCAGTCCATTTTAATCAACAGAAGTATGTTTATTGGTTGGGCGATGCGTCTTTTTTCTTCTTCTCGTCAGGCTTGGTGGGAAGACTGTACCGGCCGTCTCCTAAAAACCCTTCTACCGCAGCTCTTTCAGTGTGGTTTGCCACATTTGCAGCAGCAAGTTGCTACCGGAGGACCCTGATCCTGTGTCCGGGTCAGGGTCTTGGTGGTCTTTGTCACGGCGGGAACGTTCCGGGTCGCATCTCACTGGAACTGGAGACCTTTGCTTTTTCTTAGGCTTGTTGGGCAATGCGTCATCCTCCGGACCTGTTTGGTTCGTCGCCCAGAGGTGCATGCTCCAGCGTTGCCCTTCCTGGAGACAATTCTTCCAGGGAAGGGTCTCTTTGTTGTTCCAGTAGACATAAGAAGCCAAATGGTGAGCTGACCGGCGATGTTGCCACGAGCCGGCAACTCCACCTCCGACTTTGCGGCCGCAGATGCTGCAGTCATACCGACGAGTCTTGTCGTCGTTCCCACCTTGGTGACGCTTGTCATCACACCAAGCTTGGTGAGATTTGTGTTCCTCATCAGGTTTGTGACCTTGGTCACGCTCAGACGTCTCACCTTGGTGAGGCGGCTGGTCACCTTCGCGACGCGCCACCGCCTCAGCCTTGGCTGGACCTGGACGGGCTGCCTTGGCAGCCTCCCTGGTCGGGGACTCTGGCGCGGCGCGCTTTGCAGGTGGCTGTACGGGTGGGTCCTCAGCAAGAACCGACTCCTCCTCACCTTCTTCGTCGTCGTGCGACGCCTTAGGAGCTGCAGCGTCCGCAGACGGAGCAGGAGGCGGAGCAGTTTCAGCTGGGACTAGGAGAGGCTTGCTGCCGTGAGACTTGTCAGTCTCCCTACGCCGCCCTCTGTCTCGGCTACGGCCTTTCTTTTTTTCGCGTCTGTCACGGCTTCGACCCCGTTTCTCCTCGTCTTTTTGGCGATCACCACGGTCACGGCGGTCGCCACGACGACGAGAACGTTCAGTGGTCATCAGCCTGGCAGCAGTGGGGGAGGACGATTGGGTTTAATATATTTAATAACTGTGTACCGTACATATCATATACATATTATTTTTTTAGGTGGGTTTAGGAAGATTCGCGATTAATATTAATTTATATTTTTTTAAAATTGGGTATGCAACTTTCACCCTCGCCTACTTGGTCTCAGCGGGCTCCTCCGAGCAGCGGGGTCGCAGCCACAGTCTCAGTTAACTTGAGCCAGAGCACCCTGGGCAACCAATAATAAAAATGAAATGTTTCAGTGTGTCACTCAGTGTCAACATCTGAGCGAGACTGCCGTGTCAAATCATGTGAGACACTTGCAAGCACAATTTGACAATGCTTCTTTTTTACACCCCTGCCTTGTTTGAGTTTCACTCAGTGGGTTTGCCGATTGTTCTCCAAAATTGGAGGGCAGCCGTTGGAAAAAAAACAGTCTTTATTATTTATTTAGGTATTTATTATAGGTGTGTCTGACAACAACTGCTGCCATCCAAGGACCAAAACTTTCAGCGGCGACGAACTGACCTGACTTGACTACCTACCACGGAAGTGCGTCCGAACCGTCCTCAGCGTCGTCGTCGTCTCCTGCGTCAGGCGCCGTAGCTTTGTCGTCGTCTTTGGTCTGCTCTTTCTTCCCCTTGGCCTTGGCCTTGGGGCGTTCTTCTTTGGAATTTTCGTTTTTGCGCTTGCTCCCCTTGGTGACCTGCTCTTGCTGCTTTCCTTGGGCCACGGTATCTGAGCGGTAGAAAGTGGAGCCCTCTGTCTGCATCAGAGTGACGACAAAGTTGGTCAGAATCATTTCCACCTGAGTGGAATGTGAGTCAGACAGCGTCAGCCCGAGGTAGCTGACACGCTCGGCCACACAGGCCTTTGCCAACTCTCCCCGAGAAGTGCTGAGGTCCAACCTGAAATGAAATGCGCGAGGAATTCTGATTCAGGATATCATGTGATATAATTCGGGATATCATTTTTAATCGTCAGGCGATTAACGTGAAACATTATTATTTACCCATACATGGGATGATCAATATTTTAGGGTTGATGTGGTTAGATTGCTTCCCAGGCACACAGCTTTCACAGAGTGGGCTTTGAGAAAACTTCTGTAGAAAGAGCAGGGCAACAAAGCTGCACTGAAGACGCTTTCGCTGGAGGCCTCCTTGGCTTTGTTCATAGCGGCGTCAGTCGGCGACACGCACCTGCCTGTGGTGAGCACCTCCTCCTTTTCTTTCCTGCAGGGACAAGGATTCATTATGTCATGCGCTTGGTTCATTATTCATTATTCATTGTGAGAAAAACTCTGCCGGGGTCCTTGTCAGATGCCAAAGGTCCGCTGCCTGCATGGCGGAAATGGTGCCAAAGACATCTCCAAAGTTGTGCCCTGAGAAGTCAGTGTATGGCTTCTCCGGGACCATGGTTGACACTGGAGCTCCGGAGAAGAGACAAGCGGTGGACCTGGAGGTGTAAGCTCCTCGAACCCTTTGCTTGCGGTCCCGAATGGAGGTGTCAGAAAAGATCAGGAGAACGTCTTTCATTTCCGCTTCGATGGCTTGATCCTTTCTGGCCGCAGCCGGTCGGAACAAGGCTTCTGCTTCTTTGCTGGAACGTTCCATGCCACAGTGCACGAAAACCAGTTCACCCTCTGACGGAACCATGCACTCGTCCCCTTTGCGCTGGCCGTTTCTTGCAATCATCGAACCATGCAACAAGATTCTGAGGGCGGACTGGTCGGGAACAAAGCGCTTTCGGAGAAGTGGTCTCTGACCTGGGCCCATGGATTCTCCCAGCGCGTCTAAGTCAAGATGAGTCAGAACGCAGCTGACACCTCCCTCTCCTTGGAAGTCTTTCAAACCACTTTGGCTCACCAAACTGATGATGCCGTCCAAGGTCTTAGGCTGCACATGGAGAGAGCAATAAGTGCGAACAGTTTGGTTGCCAACCGCCTTCCAATATTTCTCAGACCCTTCAGAGTGTTGGCTGGGCGGCTTTCGCACCTCTTGAAGCTCGTCCTCTGCATGGTCCGGGTCTGCAGCGTTTGCGGCTGCCCCTGCAGCCAAAGCTTTTACTTCAACTTCTTCGTCCTTCAAGGTGGCGAGGAACTGGTTCACCTGTTCTTTCACCTGTTCGTGCTCCAGAACTGCCTCTGGAGCTCCCCCGGACCTCGTGGCTTGTCGCAGGCCGTTGTCATACTTCTTGGTGTAAGTCAGGTCCTGCGATGACAGGTGCCAATTAAATTGCTATGTCATGTTTGAAATGATTAAAAAAAGCACAGGACCATTGCAAACAAAAGAACCTGTCCTCCAGCAAGTGAAAGCAGTCAATGCCGGACTTCTTAAGCCGCGCCATCCAGGTACAATCTCCGTCGCCTGAATGTTGCCGGTACACCTCATGGGCAGACAGCTTCTCCTTCAGCAAAGCCCTGTCACCCTCTGCCATACCGCTCTTCGGAAGCAGCACTTCGAAGAAGTGGTCCAAGACCTGGCAAAAAACATGGAAACATAATTACAATCGGGAAAATGCAAGAAAAAAGTGCACCATATTCTGTGGACCCGGCCTTCTTTTTCATTTCAAAAAGACCTACGAGACCAGTATGGTGCTTGTCTCCGGAAAGACTGCCCTTGGAAATTTCTCCGATTTGCAAGACGTCGTAGGCCAGGCCATCATGCAAGCTCTCCAGCACCCAGTCTCGCATCTGATTTGTGCTTGGCTTGGTCGAAAGAACGTGAAGCCGACTCATCTGGTGGAAGGGAGAACGCGTCCCGTATAACTGTTCCAGCTCCAGCAAAAGTTCAACTGCCCGCGCTGAGCTGAGAATGCCCTTTTTGACGGCCAGAGCTTGCGTCACCAAGTTGACGGTGATTTTGCCATCGCTGTCATCCTCCTTGCGGCCGCCCTGCACGGACAGCAGGCCAAGTGTGTGAAGCTCCTGTACCAGCTGCGCCGGCTGCAATTTTGATTTACAGCTGGGCAAACTTTCGCACATAGTCTTGAACTGGTCAATTTCCACAGCAATCTGCATTGCTGTCCTGCTCATGGACTCATGCTCTTGCTTCACCGCTTGTCTCCGATTGAATGCCTCGACCCACACATTGTGGCCTTGCAAAGGGTCCTGTGTCTCCACAAAAGAAGCCGGCACGCTCAGCAACACAGCACGCCACTGTGCTTTCCATTCCTTCCATTGATCCTCGGAGAGCTCATCCTTGCGCCTTGATGGATCCGTGGAAGTTGTGCTTTTTATTGAATGTGATATGGTCTGGATGTGACAAACTAATTTTAAACAAGGTCTTTAAATTCAGACAAGGCACCGAACAGCGTGAGCGCAGGAAGCCACCAGCGAATGCACAATCTCTTCTGGCGACAGCATCTGAAGGTTCTGGGGTTTGGCGCTCAGAGCCGACTTGTCGGCCAGAAGCTCCACCATACGGCCTGTCATGAAAGCTGGTTTTCCGTTCGGGAAGTAAAACTCTCCCATGTCGAGAACTCTCCTCCGGCTCATCGGAATTCCCGGCGTGGGCGACGCCAGGATCTGAACCCAGAACAAGGAAATGCTGCAACGAAAAACTCTATGAATCCCAAGTGCATGCCGAGCCGACTCCAAGTCAAATGGCTCTTGAACCCCAGTCTTGGATCCGTCCAACTCAGACTTGGAGAGCGGCAAAGGCATTTCCTGGTCAATGCCTGGGAACTCCTGCAAAATTGTCTGGAGGTCCGCCTCTACCAGAGCATAGTAGCCAGCATTCGTTGGGTCTGGAGTCGCAGCTGCAGCCGTGGCTGACTGAGTTGCAGCCGACGACGAAGTCTTTTTGCTTGCCTTGGGACCCGTGGATCCAGGCTTGGCAGAAATCGCCGCAGCAGACTTCTTACGCTCTTCGCAGGCCACAGCCTTCTTGGTCTGAAGCTCCTTCTTCACCACCGCTTCTTCCTCTCCTTTCTTAACCCTTTCAGCGAGCTCGTTCATTTCAGCCTTATTCAAGCGCCATGCGGAAATGTTCCGAATCTCAGAGGCTGCTACGGTCATTGCAGTGGCCAGCAACTTGGACAGTGTCTGTCAAGCACTTCCTGTCAGTTCCTACAAAAACACTTTGGGCCGACAGTGGCAAACAATGGGCATGGCTGTCACAGAGGGAATCGAAATGCAGCAGGTGGGACAGGATATGATGTGCAACAGTGATGATAAAATCGTAAATGCCAAAGTTAATAATATGAACCATTATCCTATCATCAATTATATCATGAACACGAGTGAGTAAGGACACTGGGCGTGCTACCGCTAAACGTCGCGCTGCTTACCCGGGTCTGGCCTGGGCTGGGATCTTGGGTAAGACAAGTGGGCAACGCTCTGTTACGCTCCAACGGGCATGAGTAGAGGAACTGGGGAAATCCCAGTCTCCTTACCCGGGTCTGGCCTGGGCTGGGAGTGGGTAAGGATAGTGGTAAAACTTGCGTGCGTGATGGGGCGGCGATTGTCCCAGTATGCTTAACACATTCCCTACTATCCTTACCCGGGTCTGGCCTGGGCTGGGAGTGGGTAAGGGAACTGGGGAAATCCCAGTCTCCTTACTCGCCTCCGTTGATGCGGCCGCCAAAAAAAGCACTGACGAGGTTCATTTTAAACCTGGTCCCGCCCAGGCTGTTCCGTCGAACAAACGGTCACTCAGCGTTGCAGCGTCCGGACCATTGGCAACTAATCTCCAATGATCTTCCTGTGCACTGAATTGAACTAAGCGAGAGTGTGTCAAGCCTTTCATCAACACACTTGCCAGGACATTGATGCTCATTGCATCGCCAAGGCTTGCATCCACTGTGCGCGCAGGAAGCTTGTGTTCCTCAGCTGCCCTTTGCATGGCTCTGACAACCTTCTTTGGAACTCCTTGTAATGCACCAGCTTCCTCAAGCAGCAAGCGCCGCCTCAGTTTTGGGATATAATATCCTCCTTGTCCCAAGCGCGTGTGCGTCAAGCACGGTGCGCAGTTTGTCATCGCTGCTTGAAATTTTTCCGAAGATCCTACGTCGAGAATATATCCCTTACGCCACATCTTGCTACCTAAAAGTTCTTCGTACCTCGGTAGCTGCAACACCTCGGAGCCGGTCTTGTCCTTTTGGATGAAATGGTGTAAGTCAACCTTCTCTGACCGCTTCTCCGGTAACTTCACTGTTCCAGCGCAAATCTCCTTGGCCACCGCGAGGATGTAGACTCGGGGGCGCGATTGCGGTATGGCGAAGTCCTGGGTACTCAAGACTTGGTGGTCGAACACATAGTCGAGCTTGTTCAAAATTTTGAGAATGTAATTCCAAATTTGCGAATGCTTCTTCTCGAGTATGGCTTTGACTTGTTCCAACACGACCACCTTGGGTCTGCACAAAGCCACATATTCCAACCCTTTCAGGGTCAAAAGACCCCGCTGGTCAGAGACGCCTTGGCGTTTTCCTAACTTGGAGTACGACGGGCACGGATAGCCAGCGACGTAAACGTCGGCTGTTTTCATGCTTTCTTCTTTCCGTAGAAACATGTCAATGACCTGGTGGTCGTCGTAGTTCCAGCCACATTCTTGGGCGACAGCTTGGTGCAACAACACCTTCTGTCGGCTGACCTCTGACATCATGACGGGCTGCACTTGGCTTTGCAGCCCCAGAAGCCTGTATGCTATCAGGTCCGAGCCGTGGCCCGAACAGTCTGATGCAGTGTGAATCACTCTCTGTTTCTTTGAAGCCTTGTGCCTGCCCAATCGAGTGAGCCAGTTGGACGCCAAGGCGTTAACCCGCTCCAGTTGCGAGCGTAGCACCTCCTTGCTCACTACGACAACTTTCTTCTGAAGTGTCCGTTTTGGACCATGGCTCTTGAGAGGAGGCGCTTTGCCGGAAGACGGGCTCGACTTGCCTTTTGTCATTTTCTGTTTGAATTGAAAACTCTGCGGAAAAAGAAATGCAATGCAACAGCGCGAGGGATTACTGACTACTAACTGCTCTACTCATGAATAATGAAACTGTCAGCCATGGCTTAAAATCGACGATCGACAAAGTCTGTTTTGTCTGTCAATGAAATAAACCGACGGGAGAACACAGTCAAGCCAATCATTGAATCTGGAAATTCAATCTTCGTCAACAACTCAGTCAGAGCTGCAGCTTCCGTTTTCACTCCACGCTTTTCAGTGGTCTCTGTCGACACTGTTCCAAAACTCGTAGGCCTCATTTTGTCAGAGGCGAGACTGACTAATCTACGGCCTACGTCATCAACCTTCACTGCAAAACCGACACGTCCGTAGACGCGGTAATGAGCCCAAGAAGTCATTAAGCCGTAGCCGTAGCTTATTTTATTTTTCCTCGTGAGCTTCAACCGAAACTTCCTGCGAATCCGTTTCTGGCTTGGGCAGCAAAACGCTTTCAAACACCGCAGGTGCATGCGCGTGGGCTGCCTCTGCCACTCGCCAGGATTCATCAAGAGTAAAAGGTTCCTCCACCGCAGCCTTAGCTGCAGAGGCCGGACTTGTGTTAGCCCCCTCGGTTCCTGAATCGCCCGCAGGCTTCTTTCCTTGTGACCCCTCAGTGATGTCAGGCTGAAGCACCGGCTGGGGTATGTCTTGCGCGAGGCCACGGGCCAATCTGTTCATGAAGTCGAAGGAGCGATCCGTGATTCTCCTGAGCCCATTTTGAATTCGATCGACCTCCTGCTGCTCCAGGCCAAGTTCCTGGATAAATGTAGGGTTGTCTTGTAGTCGGTCAGTGAGGTCGTCGAACAACACGACCGCCTCCCTACTTTCACAGGCAAGGAAACACGCCTCTTGGTATGTTTGCACCCTATCCATGGCCGAGTTGTTCTGCGGTCTGTTGTGTACCGGGCTGAGAAGCAAAAGCTGCAGACGTGGATTGTTACAGCGGCAGGTAGATCAGGCAGGAAAGATGGCGGGAATCGTCCACAAATTGAGCGATTAAATCTATGTCCTCCATGCGGTATTATACAGTATCACCTATTATCATTATTATACCAACCCGGGTGTCATGCCCACATGGATCCAATGAAAAATATGATATCAGAGCCAGAAGAGAAAATCTATAGTATAGGCAAGATGGTGGCTGTGATGTAAAATGATTTCCGGAAAACTGTCCCCATGAAAAAAGGGATAGGTTTCCGATAATACCCTTTTTATTGTCTTATATAGTCCTCATGTCTGTCGTGTATGCTGTCAACATTGACGATCTCTGACAGGCAACTGTGACTGATTGACATGTTTGTTTCCATGTGTTTTGCGCCTTGGCCGACCACAATGGAACTCCCAAAGAATTTACTTCGTACCTAGTATTAAAACCGAAAACAAACATCCTCTTGGAATTTTTGATACGGGCATTCATTCAATGCATGGCCTCTGCTTCTCGGGTTTGCAATTTAGACCGACACTGCTCTGCATGCGTGCTTTCCACACATGTCGTTTTTTCCCGCAAGCATCCCCTGTTGCAGGATCGTTCTCAAGCAGCTGCTATCTTCACACGGGAGCTTGCCGTCTTGTTGAGACAAGTTGCCGTGAGCCAACGCAAAAATTCGGTGACAGTAAAACACTTCACCCTGGTTTTGTTGAAACCAGCTGGGATGGCCTCCCCCGCACCCCTGAGATGGAGACTGGGCTTTCGCCCGCGGCCTTTCAAATCTTCCGCCCTCACTGCCTGCCACCCACGGGCACATGCCTCACGTAGCAGTAGAGTCATTCCTGGCTCTTCGGCCTTGAAAGTGTCAGTCACGAAGATTGCAACTTGTATCTCCTGACCCGGGTGAAACGTCAACTTCACACCTCCTGCTCCAAGCAAAGCAGAAGCTGACATCAAGACGGATCCACTCAGAGCAGCCATGAAACGCACTTTTCTTTGCACCCTAACGAAGTTTGAGACCACGAAGAGCTTGGCTTGCCGCAGGTCCTGGACATGGGTAGTAAGATGCAGATGCTTGGCAGGAACAAAACAAAAACAAACGTGCAAATCAATGGCAGGCAATTCACCAACAAAGGATTCCCCCAGGCTCCTGAGTTCTCGTCGCAACCCCATGTGCCGTCAAAGATTGAGACACTGCTTGCGCCTTGCCGCCTTCCATCTTGGAGCAACACCACGCTGGGCCACTGAGACCTTGGCAGGCCCACTGATGCCTTTTCTTCGTGGAGGTCAATTTACCGGACACTTCGTATGCCTGTCTTTTTTTTTCCTGAGACCATCTCCTTGTCGGTTTGCTTTGGTCAGTCGCAAGGCCTCTTCCTGAACCTCTTGGGTGACCTCATCCGGCAACAAACAGCCATCTGCCAGAGCCTCAGCCTTTCGTTACAAACCCTGTTTTCTCTGGAAATTTCTTTCCTTCTGGGAAGATTCTGTCAACAGCTCGGAAGGTTTCCGAGGAGGTGTTTCGCATTTTTGCACTGCTTCCAGCAATGCTTTCTTTCTTGTGCGGTTCCAGTTGGCAAAAGATCCGGTCTTCACTTTGCCTGTGACACCACAATCGAACCTTGGTTTTGTCCGCGGCCGGGACCTTCCACTGGACAGTAGGGAAGCGTAGATTCGTCGAGCGGCTTGAATCACTTCAGGTTGCACTGCTGGGCTCCTGGCCTGCCCATCGCCCATGACAATTGCAAGGCGACGGTCTGTGTCCACAGAAGCGTTGGAAAGTTCCACAGGACTTCTCTTGAGCTTCGAGAATTGTTGCTCCACTCCACTTGTGGCTGCGGTCCAACATTGATAAGCTGCCATGACTTGTATCAGGGCCGTGGCCTCATACTTCCTTCCCTGGGCACCTTTCCGACTGCTTGTCCGTTGAAGGGCTTCCCTCCATGCTTCTCTGTTACTCAAACCTGCTTGCTTCTTCAAAGCTGCAGCAATGGGCAGCAAGCGGGCATACTCTTGCTTCAGTGCCTCAAAAGGTACCGAATACACTTGAGCCAGCCTCTCCAAGTTCCGTAAAACATCCGCACTGCAGTCACGGCCTCTTACGCAGTCAGACAAATGAAAAACTTGAAATGCCGCCGCCAAGTGCCAACTCGGAAACTCATGCGCGACGACTTCCTCCACGAGAGACACCCATTCCTGCAGCCGGCTGCAACGACGACAAGATATGATACAGTCAAATTTAATGGCAAACTGACACAGCCCCCCCCCATGGAAAAGCTAGGCTAAGCACCGGGGTCCTCCATGACTGCAAAAGCCCTGTCCAAGTCTCGGTTCGAAACTTGGATGTCCAACGCAAACCCATCCTGAAGAATGGTCACGGGAATTCTTCTATCTAAGAATTCTTTCGTGAAAGTGGGTAGTGTCAACACCTTCCGGTCAACGAAGAGAGACCTTGCCGAGAGGACAAAATGGCTGGCTCGTAAATTCAAATCAGCAACATCAATGTCTTCACGGTCGCATTCCCTTGTGTAGTCGTTGCTGATAGCTGCAGCGTCGGTAATCATTGCAAGCAAAGCTGCTTTGAACGAACTGAAATTTTGGCAAAGCTTGGTTGCCCAAGTTGCCTCAGCACCTCGCATGGCTTGGACCCTGCCGCACACATTGAAAGCTGCTTGCAAATTCCGAATTATCCGGCTGAGAGGATTCAAGTATGACGAGAACCTGTGCTTCGCCGCAGACATGGAGGTGCAAAGGTTTCCAGTCAAGTCGGAGTCCTCTTTGCATTGGACGGCCTTGGCCCACCATTGGCTGAGGATGTGGCTGTGGTGCACCTTCTGAGCGAAGCTTTCGGACCCATGGATCCATTCGTTTGTCAAACTTTTGACAGGTTCCAATGCAAGGAATGGTCTCTTCAAGAGACGGGTCGATGCATGCGCCGCATCTCTGCCGACGATCTTGCAATTTGTAAATTTGGATTGAAAGTCGGTCGCGGCCCTACGGCGCCCTCTCTCTAAGTCACCTGCTAAAAGTTCGGATGCAGCAGCGTCACTGGCCACCATGGTGACCCTGTCCTGAATCTTCCGTAGAAGTTCAGAGTCGACCGGCTGCTCGCTTTCCTTGGCTTGTCTGGGAGGCTGCCGCATCGGTTGGCAGAAGTTCTGCATGATTTCAGCAGTTGCTTCAGCTATGGACTCAGCAGAACCTGTCACAGGCTGCAAGCCAAGCGCGCCACTGATGGTGGTTAGGTCCGGTAGAACAGCGCGGAAGCGCACAAGAAGATTTCCTTTGCGTTCGTCTCTCATCAATGAGATGCAGCGAGACTCTGCCAGCAAAGTCCTGTTGCGAGCACAAACTGCTTCCGAGAGGGCATACCGCACTTGAGTTTTTTTATCGGACGATCCGCCACCTTGTCTCGCAGATTGTCCTTGCGTCATACCCTGCAAACTTGACTTAAAAGCCTCGTCGCTAGGGGCTCCGCAAAGATCATCTTGGCTTGCTGTCATGTGTCCCTTGGACTTCTCATGCCTCTCCAAGTTGTGTTTCTTCAACACGGAAGTCGGAGTTTGTTCAAAGTTGGCCCATGGGCCCTCCAGACCGGCTTTCGCGCATAAGCTGCAGCCGAGCTTGGATTCTCCATCGACCAGAAGCACTCTCAGCCATGGTTTTTTGTAAAGTGACCATGACTGCTGCACGGCGCACAAGCTGCACTTGTGCACTCCTCGCTTGCAAGTCTGAGTGTGTTCAGTGACCAACTTACCTGGAACCAAGTGCTTCAACTTGTCGCGAGAATCTCCCATGGCGCGAAGAAGGAAACCCCTGGAGAGCGAAGAACTTATTGTATTCATTGTATTGATAGAATCTCATGATAGTCATAGTACTTTAAGGCTTACTTAAGATGCATTCAATGTGATTGACAGTATTGGAGCTTTGAATTGAAAGATGCGGAAATCTTCAAATTTTTGATCATACCTTAGATGTTTTAAGGTGCGTGTTTCAAAACCCTGCAGCCGTTGACGGCAACACACAGAAAGAGTCACAATTCAATGCAATGCTTTCGCCCCTCGAAATGAAGAAATCAAGCAACTACGACAGTAGTGGCTGGCAGTAGTGGCTGGCGGCGCGACATCGACTCTTCTTATTTTCTGAATAATAATAAGTCAAGCAGCACCCGCAGCAGCAGCAATTGCTCAGATGATGTGAGCTGACTTGACACACACATGTCCGTAGACAGTGACATTTAAAATTGTCCGCAGACACTCCCCACGGCACGTGTCCGTAGAGTCCGTAGACTAAGATATTTTCCTGTCCGTAGACCAGAACCAATGATGTGTCCGTAGACCAAGTCAGTCCGTAGACTATGATTTTCCTGTCCTTAGACCAGAACCAATGATGTGTCCGTAGACCCGCAAGTCAGTCCGTAGACTATGACTTTCCTCTCCATTTAAGACGAAGTGCAGATCTGTTACTTTGTTCGTGGACAATCATAAAGATTCATTCAATGCGGTCCGTGGACTCGAGGATCAAAAAATGATCAGACCTAGTCCGCAGACAACTCCGTATTTAAGATGTCCTTCAATATTATTCCTCGCGGGTGAAAGACAAAACAGCATTTCCATGGCAAGGTAAACAGACTGCAGATGCGATGGCAAAACGATTTTGAGCAAAAAATAACTCTGCTAGGGCGCTCGGCTGTGGAAGTTGACCAAGGGCTTACAATAACAATTTTACAAGTGGATTTATCACGACTAAGCTCACATATAATTTACACACCATTAACAAATATATATATATATAATCATGGAACTTGAAACTTATTATATACAACACCTGTATGGGGTATCCAACCTTACTATGTTTTCCCTTTGTAGGCATTCTATGGATATCAACTGGAACGCTGGGCAACACTGTTCCCCTGATCACTTACATTGAAATAATGACGAGGTGGATGCTTTGAGACAACCATAGGAACAAGAGGACCCATGCCAACCAGATCTGTTCACGCATGGAGTGAATGACTCAGTGGTCAGGTGGAATGTTTTATTATAGATAACCAAAACCAAAATAAAACTGGTCACACTGTCAAAGAGCTTAATACCTTGGCATTAGTGGTGGTGGAATAGTTTCAGTGACAGACTGGATGCATACTTGAACACATCACACACACTTCACTTAGCAACAAAAAAGACACCAAGAGCAACCAAGCTACTGCTAAACAACGCTAAGTTGTTGGGGTACCGTTTGCCTGCGAAGTTGGGCGTTGTGCATGCGGGAGTGGCGCGTTTTGGGCTCTGTGCAGGCAAACGGCAGGCTGCAACGCTGGAACAGCAGGGGCTGACGGCTACAGGGCTTGGTGCAACCGGCCGGCGGAGTATTGGAAGCATTGTAAGGGTTTGAAGGCTGGCAAACGGCAGGCTTGAACGCCTATACGAAGCCATTGCTGCGGCCGGGGGGATGCCTTGAGCCATTGCTGTGGCCTTGTGGTGGCTTTTGCCTGCGGGCGTGCCCGAGGCATGGACGCCCTAACGACAGAGCGCTATGCACGCAAACGGCAGGCTGCAACGCTGGAACAGCAGGCAGCCTTGAACGCCTATAAAAGAAGCCATTGCTGCGGCCGTGGGGTGCTCTTGAGCCATTGCTGTGGCCTTGTGATGGCGTTTGCCTGCAGTGTGGGCGTGGCAAAGGTGCAAGAAAGACAGGATCCACGGCGTGGCAAAGGTTCAAGAAAGACAGGATCCACACCTCCGGTGGTCCCAGGCGCCGCCCCGGCCTTGGCGAAGGCCAGGGTCGGCGGATAAATGATTTTCATTGATTTTCTACATAGTAGATGATTTTCTTATTAGCTATGGTTAAACCACTTAAATACAGGATGTAGAGACCACTGGATTGGCCCTGCAAAACATGACGCGGTTGATGATAAGTTTTCGTCTCTATTGGCTAGTCATCAAGCTATGGGGAGATCATGGGATAAAACTGAGAATGATGGTTGGTTGATTAGAAATAGGGGACTATACTCACCAATAAATGTTGGATTCTCCCAGTACATTCGTGTCCCATTCTCAACCGATAGGGACGACATGGTTTTTGAACACTGCAATGACTGCAATGCTTCATCACCAGGGCCACAAAAAAATGATCACTGGTTTGACAGAATGTCCAGTGCTGCAGGACACAGTTTCCCCAAAAAGGATTGAACAGGATTGAATACACAAGTTCTATCGCCGTGTTTTTTGAGACTTCTTGAATATGTACTTATGGTGTCAGTGTGTGTATATATGGCATGGTGTAATAAGTACATGCACACACATATATAGTCATATATATAATATATATGTAAGTCTATTATTTTACATCTACTACATATAATAGATCGAATATATATATATGATTTGATGAAGTACGGTCAGTGGCCTTTGTTTCCAAGGAGATCACCAAGAAGTACGAGAACATGGACTCCTTTTGGCAGTTGATGCCGGAGGCGGGTGCACGCTGAAGGATCGTAAGTCCCCATCAGCGGCTCCGGTTATCCCATCTGTAAACACGTATCGGTGATGCCGTTTTCTGTGAAATGTTTGTTGGTTAACCATAGCAACCATCACAACAACTGTTGAAATGGGTTGTAATAAACCCCCATGCAACTTCGATATTTACCATCCCAAACGTTTATGGTGGGATGTGACACCCAGAAACCATGGTGGGGATGAATTCACATGATACCATTTATGTGGTATTTAATAGGGGCATGGAAATAGTAAAGTAGACAATATATTTAAAAAAAAACAGATATAAACCTAATAATAAACTTTATTATCCGTTGTTAATATATAGCTCTTATACTTGGTTTTGACCGTGGGAATGACCAGATGTGGGTTTCTTGAGTCATGAGGGCATGGTTTTATCGTCCAAGTTATTTGGTCATGTTTGATGAACAAAACACGGGCGAAACTGAATGTACCACATTGTTTGAAACGCGATTAGAGGAAAATTCGACATATTTGTTTGAGTCAAAACATGGTTTCAGGGAAACAGTCACTTCCAGACCCATTTGATAGTGATGCTGGCGACCCAGAAACATGTTCTTGATGTTTTCAATTGATGAAGATGATGAAAAAGGTGAAGGGCCCAGTTGGAACCTGTTTTTTTTTGTGCAAAAAACGCCATACAATGCAGTTCTTGGTCCATGATTTCACCATCATTTAATAGGTTGGGATTTGTAGCGCGTCAAACTATGGAGATATGTTTGTGGTAATATAGCTGGTACCCTCTGGTAAACTAACATAACTATGGAAAATCACAATGTTAAATGGGTAAATCAACTATTTCTATGACCATTTTCAACAGTTATGTTAAATTTCCAGAGGGTAAATGATGGTTGGTGGATGTTGGTTGGGGATTATGCCAAGAAATCTTGGTGATAATAATAAAATAGGAAAATCTCGATAAACCAGGATTCAATGGAATGATAGAGGGATTTTGAACACTGCTCAATTGTATGTTTTTTTCCTGCCATAAGATCTCAGTATATCCATGTATATCCGCCATATTTGCATTTTTCGTCAATCCCAATTATTAGATGGGTTTTATACACCAGTTCAAAACGAATGGTATCGAATTATCTAATGGTTTTGTTTGGGTACCCTAAAGATCAATCCCAAGTATTCTATTTATTAGATTGGTTTTATACGCCAGTTAAAAACTAATGGTTTTGTTTGGGTACCCTCTGGTAAACTAACATAACTATGGAAAATCACCATTTTGAATAGGTAAATCCACTATAAATGGCCATTTTCAATAGCTATGTTAAATTACCAGAGGGTACCCTAAAAATCACAGGTTTCTCCATTCAGCGAATGCCCTGTGTTTTTCGGTTTTCGTAGTGCTGCCGTTGCCAGGAGCACTGGCAGAACGCCCGAACACTGTGGACCCCTGGCGACCATCGTGGTGAAAGCCAAAACAGTCTGGTTTTAGGCAAAACACATTTTCTAACATGTTAACATTCTAACATTCTGACAGAATGTTCTAACATTCAAAAAAAAAATAATGGTCATATGTTCTAACATTCCATATTCCAACATCATATTGAAAACAAGTTTAACATTCTAGCATATCCTAACATACCTAACATATTCTAACACCATATATTCCCAAAGCTCTATACTTGTTTGAAGGGCCAGTGGCCATTTGTGGTCCGATTTCGGTCACCTTCTTGGCCCATGGATCGCTGGATTAGTACCGTGTACCCTGCTGAAAAAAAAAGTACTGATCCATTTCTCAAAAATCATTCAAAACCATGATGAACACATAATTTTTGAATGAATGATTGTAATTCTGAATGTAATTGTGCGTTTTACCTAGGGAATGGATGGGAATAGGGGTTGCTGGGATTATTATTGATAGTTTATTGTGGATCATTCCCGAAAATTCCCTGCGTTTAGCACCAGCAAGCTCAAAAATCATTCAAAACCATGATGAATGATCGTAATTCTGAATGATTTTTTGAAAGCCATAATTAGGGTAATATGGTTCATAAATGAGTGATCAAACATATTATCCAACCAATATTCAGATACTTTTTTATTAATATTTTAACATATGAATCCCTATGGATCCCGCCGTAGCTTCTGTGCGGAAGTGGATCCATGGATCCATGAATTCTGGAAGGTGGTAGACACCCCAGTTGGGGATGATATAAATTTTGTTGACCCCTCAGGTTGATGGGATCGTTTCTTATTGGGTTTTCTCCACATGAGTGACCGCAATGCATTTTCCTGCCAACGAAACCACATGGGAACTCTTCTCGATGTTGCGAAAACGCTGAAATTCCATGGTTTTACTAATGACTCAAGTCCATTTTCAGAACATTTGAGCATCCATGTTCAAAAAACTCACCAAATCACGTCCAAATCACGTCCAAATTTGTCATTCGGGTTGCCAAAAGCTCACATCACATGAGCCTCTGATCCTGGGTCCCTGACTTTCCGCAGGAAGCTCGGGCAGTTTGAACCGCAGGAAAGAATGGTTGTGGAAGATTCTCCCCATGGTTGGTTGTTGGTTAGTTGTTATGGTAATCCCATGGTTAGTTGTTGGTTAGTTGGTTAGTTGGTCAGTTGGTTAGTTGGTTAGTTGTGCCCAGAATTGTCCAATGACGGATGGATACCCCTGGCTATCTAGATGATAATCACCAATATGCAGTCCTCAATCATCCTCAACCCTCGTGAGTACCTGTATATAAAATGACAGATGAAAGAAGTACCAAACATTTGGGACATGATACCCGCATCTAAAATCTAATGTAGACCACGCCAGCTATTGGGGTTGGAAGACTACTTTAATCTACTTTTCAATCTGAAAAAAAACATGTAGCGAGTCTTAAGTATGGTGTGTTTCATATATCTAGTTATCCTAACATACCTACCCTCTGGTTATGTAACATAGCCATGGAAGCCATGGCCCATAGAAATAGATGGTTTACCTATTAAATACCAGTTAATAGCATGGTGATGTTCCATGGCTATGTTCAATAACCAGATGGTAACATTTATATTCTCTGTCTTTCTACTTTAATCTTTCATCTGTTTGTGTTCAAAAAGAGAGGACGGACTACCCTCCAGTCACCAAAACCTGTTGCGGAACATCCACCATGGTCGGATTGCCCAGCCGTGATTTACCCTCTGGTAAACATACAAAAAACTATGGAAAATCACCATTTTTAATGGGACAAATCCACTATAACTGGCCATTTTCCATGGCTATGTTAAATAACCAGAGGGTACCCAAAAGATCCCATCATCAGATGTTCCTAATATGAATTCTCCATGACTTTATGATCCCATTCTGAATGTGTTGCTTCAATTCCCCCATGAAAAGGATACTATTTACCCGGCCTGGTAAACGTTTACATGGCCATGGAAAAGCAGCATTTTCAGTCTGTGAATCTATAAATGGTCCATTTTCTATAGCTATGTTACTATAGCAAACTGTTAGCTATGAATCACCAAATCACCAGATGACCCACAGATGTCGCGTATCTCAGGGAGAGCCGCAGCGTCGGGGTCAAAGACTTTGTGACCCAGCTCTTGTTGCGCGATCCAACGACCAGGCTGGGAATGGATCCAGAAATTGGCACTTTAGCAGCACAGCACAGCACCCCAAAAAAAGAGTGACCTGTCCTATCTAAAATGTAGCAATGGTCTGTCCTATCTTTTTGGAGGGTTACTATGACTTATGTATGTATGTATATATATATATAAATCATAGACTATATATATAATACACCCAAAAGGAGCAAAGAAGTGTGAGTTCCCAAGAGATGCAAACTGAAGCAATAGCAATTGTGACTTGAAGCGTATTGGATGAAGAATTCGCAATCCATCGGTGAGTTTTTTTGGGAAGTTTACTGGGAGTATGCTTGTAGCATGCTGGCAGCAAAGAATGCGGGAAACTCACCCACACCATCATGTAGATATAGACATGTATGTAAAGTCGTAATCTCGTGTTTGTGCATTTTTAAATATGTTTTCTAATTACTAATTATATAGTTTAAAGTGGTCATTTATATATATTCAACTATTATTCAACCAATGAATCCTTTAGCACTACAGCTTGAAAAACGGCATCGTCCAATTGGTGTTTTATCTCCCAACATTGGTTGGCCGATAGATTTCAGCACATGTCACCCATAGCCCTCCAAAGCCCACCAAAAGGTGGACGCCAAGAATAGATGGTTCATAGGCTCTTGTGATTATAGTAGTTGGTGGCTGATAAGCCCTTACTAAACCACTATTCTTCAATATGATTCAATAATCTGAATTCCGTTATTGTAAACCCTTATTAAAGATTATTTAAAAAAGCCCAAGAGTGAGCCTTGGAGCCTTGGTTGTTCATAAACCTCCTCCAGTAGACAATGGAGCAAATCAGCAAGTCATCTAGCTGCGGAACACCGCTGATGCAAAGTTATAAAGACATACAGAGTTGTATTATGTTGTATTAACACGGTTCTATCCCTAGGTTCGCCCACTAAAGAACTTTATAGATATCAGCAAATGAATAAATAAATAAATGAATAAATAAATAAACGAATAAATAAATAAATAAATAAATAAATAATATATATATATATACATATACATACATATTTTTTATATAACGTATAAATCTAAGGTTCCAACATGTTCCAAATCAATTCTTGTTGTTCATGGTATGGTCGTAAAGCTTCCACTTTGTTACACCGGCCAGGTGTTTTTGGACCAATGAACCAGTTTTTCCCATCCCCCTAAAATCAAGCACCCAATAGAAACCATGGTTTAGTAGGGAGATTCCACATACTTGGGACGATAAAAAGGGGGTGTTTTTCATAGTGGATGGAATAAAAAAAACTCAAGTATGTGGGAAATAGTATTAGTGTTGATTTATGTGGAATAGTTGGAATAGTAGTGGTGTTGAGATTCTCGTTTTTGAGCGATGAAATCCCCTATTTTCAGTGCTGCACTGTTCCCCTCTCCGCAGGTACACGGCCCAAAAGGCGTTGCAACATCCGTGGATTGCTAGCTACAAACAAGAGAGAGACTTGGGTTCAACCTTGGGTTCTGAACAGGTACCGTTGAGGCCTGGTGAAAGCGCGTTTTTGCCAGGCTTTTCCATGGGGATAAGGCCGATAAGAGCTGCGGATAAGACCTGGGGACAAGATTGATGTGTTGTTGAGCTGTATTTGAACATAAAATCTTGCTTCACAGTCTTTGGGCCATCGAAAAGATAGCAAGCCGAACACCATCAGCAGATGGCATCTGGGCCATTCAGAGGCAAAGGAGACGAAGAACACTGGGATGCTACAGGCAGAAGCTATCGATTCGAGGTTTGCTGGCCATGCTTTGTGAGCAATGCAGTGACCAGCGGCAGTTCTGGAGGAAGTTCAGCTCGGGTAAAGGCAAAGACTCGCTGTGGCAGCATCGGAGAAGCTGAACTTTCCATAACTTTCCCAGCCAGGTGCGCTACAGCCATGGGTTGTTTCATGGTTGATAGATTCAACCTGTACTCCCCCAACATTCCTGGCATCATCCCTGGCCTTGGAATCACCGGAATCTCACCGAGAAGTCCCCGGGTCCCGTCCCAGGGTCCCAGTGATCCCTATCGAATCCTCCCAGAATGGACTGTGGCGGAAGTTGTTTTGGCTGAAGGTCAGATGTTGGTCAATCATATACCTAATGTGAATTAATATCATGGGAATACCATGTTGGTCGTATTTATATACATATATTTTTACGTATATCATTTAAGATGATGGGAGTTGGTCATTAATATAGCTTCAAATATTCCCACTGTATTCCCCCAAAAATGGAAACTATATCATCAGCCCACCGTCATGGTTTGGAAGTGGGTCATAGGTGATTTGCGGGCAAAATGTTGTGATTTTCGGCCGCCCTGGCAGCAGGTCACCACTAGCAGTTAGGCCGCCCTCCGAAAAGTTGGAAAATGCCAGTATATAACCTATATTAAACAGTATATAACCTATATAAACAGTATATAACCTTTATAAACAGTATATAACCTTTATAAACAGTATATAACCTATATAAACAGTATATAACCTATATAGACACAACAAGTTTGTTGATGAAAAAAAGTGAACCATTATTTTATCATTAGGAAGATTTAGGAAGTGGTTGTTAGTTTCAAGCTTCACCCATCTGGCGATCTCATGGATGAATGATGATTTGTTGATGATTATAGGGGGATTTAAAGAACAATATGTGTGTATATATATAATGTGTATATATATATATTATCATAAAAATCAGAGAAATTATTTATATGATGTCAACATTTAGGGGGCTGAGTGGGCAAAACATTTCAAAACATCTCAAATTGTCTCTGATAGACTCGCATCTCCACAGCTGGATCCAGCAACCGACTCTAGCGATCCAGCAGTTTCGGCGAGCAGCTGATGCCAGTAACACCAAGATTTGCTTGTTATTGTGTTATTATTTTCTTATTCAACTAAGGGTCCTCCTAACAGTCCCATAATTTCCCAACTAAGGGTCCTCCTAACAGTACCATTATGTTATTAAACACCTCCTAACAGTCCCAACTAAGGGGATGTTTCTCAGGGAAGATGATTCACATCAAGTCCGTACACCGCCTTAATGCCTTAGGCCCTGCATAGGCCAGCTGTATCCATCACTTCCAGATTTACCAAAATTGAATGGAATTTCCAGCTGGGTAAATGATGTATTACATTGATGAAATGGAATCATATGATGACATATAAATTATAATGGTTCATTACGCCCTGGTATTTCCACACTTGCAATCTTCGATTCGTTCCCAGAGGCCCTGAAGTTACATCCTTGATTTCAAGGATGAAATTAATCCGAACGTCACTAGAGTAGATAGTCAAATTACCAAACTCATTTTTACAAAAATATGAGTGATATTCTTCCACCTTTTGCTCACTGGTTAAGTCAGTGATCTTACTCCCCTTTTGGATGGTAACCCCCGTTGACATCTTGGTTGAAATACACAATTTCAACACACCAAAGGAGACGGTCTGAGCTCCAAACTCCTCGAGTCAATCAAGGCCTATGCACAGGCCGCTGGAGGAGTTTTTTGTTCGGTGATCCACCAATGCTGGTTGTTTTCAACTGGAAAATGTGTGTTTTCAACTGATAAAATTATAAAACACAGATGTTTGAGATGGTGATGTGAGATTATACCAATTTGTGTAAATATAGTTGTTCAGATAATTTAAGATGAGAAAAAAACAAACTGACTCTTGAACTGATGATGTGAGATAAGTGGGAGGTTATTGATCGTTAGACATCGGCTGCGTTGGGTTTTGAGATGTTTTGAGAAGAGTTGAAATAAGTTTGATTGCCGTTGTTTTGAACATTAGATTGAGTAAGGACGTTTTGTGTCGCATTTTTCCTAAACAGTTTTGCACAAAAAATTGTGATCTGACGAAAATAGGTCTTCGAACTGAACTGCCATAATAGCGGTCCCTTTTTTATGCTACACCATGATGCCATATTAGCTGGCAACATGTTTGCAGGTCCATTATGTACTACTCTCTGGTAAACTACCATAGCCATGGAAAATCACCATTTTCAGTGGGACAATCCACTATAAATGGCCATTTTCAATAGCTATGTTAAATTACCAGAGGGTATCAAGGTTGGTTGTCGTTCGCATTGTTAGTTGTAGCAGCCCCCCAAACTGTTATGCTTTGGAACCGGATCGTTGTCATCTCCCCCGTGTAGATTCTTGTTATTGCAGTAGTAGAGGAGATCCTTATATAAATGTCTTCTTCAGAAATACCACCTGCATTAGTTACAATGGTATGGAAACACTATTGTTAGCGATTGTTGCTCAATTCCCATTATGTGTGCGTATATAAACAGAAAGACATGCAACAATGTGTTTCTTCCTTGAATTTGTCTTCTCTTCCAATCTGTGTGCATCAAAAAAAAGTATCTGTTGAAAACAGATCTCCCTTCTGTTCGAATCGTCATTGATGCCATTGCAGGCGACATACTTCGTCAAGGCTTGGACTGGTTCGATGGGGAGTGTCATGGGGAGCTACCCGTGGAGTTTCCTAACCACATGATTGGATATCATGGGATATTGATGGTGATATTAATGGATAACTAATGGGAATATAATGGGATGATATGGGATGTATCATGGGTTGGGTCATGTTGGGAGTTCTAGATTAGATCCATGGGAGAACAAACAGCCGCCGCCTGGTACGGAGAAAGCCTTGGACCCCTTTTTGTGTCACATGGATCTTTTGCGAAGCTCCTTCTGTTGGATGTTGTTTGCCATGCAACCAACAGTTTTAACATAGACCCGAGTCGCCATTTTCAGAGGACAAAAAATGGGGAGGTCTCAACTTTTTTTGCCAAAAACGACCTGAAAACTGCCTTGAGCGCCATCAAAATCCTCCTGGAGAAAATCCGATGGAAACTTTGGCCATCAGTGTTGGTCATATTCCCAGTATGGCTGATGAAATCCTGGTTTTTCCATTGGTTACTTGAAATTATCTTCAAATCCCCCATGAATTTGATGCTGAAATCCCATCATTTTAAAGCTGCCTAAATCCTCATTTTGGCCAAATCACCTATTCTTGGGGTCGGAAAAGTCCTGAATTTGGTGCTACCCTCTGGTCATTTAACATAGCCATGGAAAATGGCCCATAAAAAAAGATGGTTTACCTATTAATAGCATGGTGAATCTTTCCATGGCGAACTGTAACAAATAACCAGATGGTTTCATCACTATTACCCCATTATTAAGTCACTATTAATCATCCATATGGACTATTATCCACCATGGTTATGTTTAATAATCCATATGTAAATGGACCATTAAAAAAAAAAATGGACTATGATTATGGGTTATCATCCAGATAATCCCCCTTTTTGTTGTACAATGCCATAGGTGGTTTTTTGTTGGTCCCATAGGTGTTCAACCCCCATGGCCCCATGCGAACGAAGTCCGTAGCCGTCCACCTCGGCAGATCTGTTTGCTGCTCATTGCGGCGCGTTTGGACGCAGAGACGTTGGAGCCGTTTCGCCATGCCTTTCTGGGCGTGGACACGGACGCCTGTCGCGTAGCAATTCCGCGAAGTCACCATGAAACATGGGGATTTCATGGGATATAGCTGGGAACAGCGACGGGATGACTGGCAAGTACCTCAATCTGTCGCTATAAATGGATATAATACAGTAGTGCTATATGATATGATATCTATATATATATAATATATATATGTATATATATATACATATTTCTATGTATATATTAATAATATATATATATATATGAATTGTACATGTATATATATATATATATGTATGTATATGCACACACTAGCAATTTCGTATAACAATGTAGGGTAGCCAAGGTTGGCCATGGATTGTTTGATGTAGCCTCAATCAACAATAATTGATGAACATGGAGGATTTAAGCTTCAAAATATGGCTATATAAACCAGAAATGATGGTTGTATTTACAAGAGCGAAACACCTCACATGTTGATTTGCCACTCAAGATGGGGAAAATCACAAACATGTATGGGGAATGGCATGGGCATCACATTGGACCTAAAAGCCCCTTTTGCTCACAGGGGGTCCACATGCGATCATATTTTATGTCGTTGGTTTTGGAAAAGACGCTTGTCGAATCTTGTTGTTGATATTTGACAACTAGGTGGGTGAACATCCACCCACAGTCATAGCATTTTTTCTTTTCTTGGCGGGGGTTCACAAGGTTCCCAAGGTAGGTTCATAGTTTCTACCGCGATGCTCCGAATGTACCAAAAGCAGAACGCAAAGCCTTGCCCCGGATCTGCCGCACTTTGGACTGTCCACTCACTGCAATCACTGTGATGAGGCCGTCTCGTCGTCAGAATTAGTGACTGCATCTAAATCAAATTCCTGAATCCGAAGTGGGGCCCCCGTTGATAGCTAAGTTGGTATCGTTCACAAAGGGAATTCGATGTTTCATGGTAGATTTATATAGTTCATACATATATATATATCTGGGTAAATTATAACGACCTCACTGCGACCTCACTATAATCATATTTAGTAAGGGGAATCATCCCAAAATGGCCCAACAATTCAGGGTAGTGAAATATTATAATTTACCCAGATATATACATCGAACTACTGAGTAAGTTATTAATACACCAACATTCACATCACGTGCGACGGTCTCATTGGTGAGGAGGGAAATGGAAGCTTATCCATGGAGGAGTGACTTGTCCTGAGTCATCGGATTACAGGATTTGCACAGGGGATTGCCATAGGCATTACCCTCTGGTTATGACTAACATAGCCATGGAATCCTGGAAAATCACCATTTTTAATAGGTAAACCATGGTAAACCATCAACAGTTCTATTCTTACCCTCTGGTAATTTAACAGTTAGCTATTGAAAATGACCATAGAAATAGTGGATTTTCCCATTAAAGATGGTGATTTTCCGTTATGTAAACGTTTACCAGAGGGTATGGGATAACATCACGTTGTGTGACGGCAGACATCCCAAGCATAGCTTCAGTTTGTTTTTGTTGTTTTTGCATTAATTACTTGTCCACATAACCCATGTATACTGCTGTAATAGATGTATGTCCACACGTGTCCGTACGCATATCATTTATACTTATACAGATACATATCATCATATATCATCTGAATATTTGGATGACTTCATGATTGTCATCATTCATGGTATTTCCTATATATTTCCTATGATTTCCTTTTTTTTTTGGAAGCCGTCTCCTGACTCTTTACGAAGGTTTCTGGAAGCCGTCGAGAATCTCCAAGATCGAAGAGTTTGCTGCGGGCACAGCCGTGGGCAGATTCACCGCTGGTTCCAACAGATCGATTTGAACAAGGTGCGACTGCCGCAGATGAACCATGTGAGCCATTCGAAATGCCCTCTGGTAATTTAACATAGCTGACATAGCTATTGAAAATGGCCATTTATAGTGAGTTTACCCATTAAAAAAAATGATGATTTTCCAGAGCTACTTGTATGTTAAATAACCAGAGGGTACATCTGCTGATGGGTTGATAAAGGGTTTATCTCGTTTATTGGGTATGGATTATAACATATTATAATCCACAACAGGAAAATGCCCTTGCGAAGCAGTAGTGGAATGGGATAGGGTATTTTTCATTGCTCTGGGTCCATTCTTGGTAAAATCTGAGATATTTTTTTTGGGAAAAATTATATTGAATAGAACATTGAGATTTATATATACCTTCTGGCTATTTAACATAGCCATAGAAAATTGCCCATTTATAGATGATTTTCCCATTACAACCTCCATTTATAGGGGATTTTCCATGGCTATGTTAAATAACAAGAGGGTATATATATATATATATATGTATATATACACAAATCCATACTGGAGAGCTGACCAGCTATGAAGGTAGTACTTGTCCATCCCCGGCCTACATGATATTGCATGATCTATATCATGTATGTATATATATATATATATGATAACAATAAGAATAATAATAATAATTTGTCTAGAGTCTGTATATATATAATAATAAGCACATGTGCATGATACACTGATCAAGGAAAAACCAGTGGACACATGTTCAAACCCCCAGTTGGTTCATCCAGGATGGTCGCCTGGACTACAGAAGCTTGGCATAGCCCAATCCTGATATATTTATATATATATATATACATACAATTATATACAATCATATACATATATACATATATATATATATATATACACATGTGCATATATATATATACATATAGATATATATGTATATATAGGCTTGTCCTGGCTTCTGGAACTGCGGCAGCAGTTACGCACACGCGGGGGGGGGGGTGGGGTGGGTGGGGTGGGATGTTAACGTTCATGTGAACTTGCGGCAGCAGTTGATGCTACGCACACGCGGGGTGGGGGGGGTGGGGTGGGATGTTAACGTTCATGTGAACTTGCGGCAGCAGTTGATGCTACGCACATGCGGGGTGGGGTGGGGGGTGGGGTGGGATGTTAACGTTCATGTGAACTTGCGGCAGGATGTTAACGTTCATGTGAACGGGACAAGTTTTACCAACCTAATTCAGGTTTGCGCGGTTCCAGAAGCAGGGACGAGGATGATGATGATGATGATGATGATGATGATGATGATGATGCTGATGATTATGATGATGATGATGATGTGATGCTGATGATGATGATGATGATGCTGATGATGTGATGATGATGATGATGACGATGATGCTGATGATGATGTTGATGATGATGAGGATGATGATGATGAAAATGACCCAAATGAAACTTGTAAATTCCGGGACGAAATTTCGTCCCGGAATGGACAAGTTTTCCCAACCTAATTCAGGTGGTCCGCAGTTCCAGAAGCGGGGACGAGGCTATATATACATATATATATATATACATATATATATGTATATACATATATATCTATATATACACCATGCTTTGACCATGGCACATGTGTTTAGTTCATCTCTAGAAATGGCACGATGATTCCCTAGTGATTTATTTCTCGTTTGAGGGTTGCTCAGCGATCCACCTGAAACTGCTTCATATTGGCATTTCCACTGGTTCTTGCCATTTCTTTATCCGGTTTGGTTGGTGAAGCCCCCTCAGCAATTACCCAGATGTTCCATGTTTTACATCTTTCTCGACATGTATCCTCAGTGTTTTGCAATATTCGAATAAGAATGCGACGTACTCTAATGAAGATGGCAAGCAATCATTTGTAGATTATTTCCTTGGGAAACTGTGTGAAACCATGTGAATCAATGGCTCTTCCAGTTCTTGTATATGTTTCATGACTTTCCAGATTTTCCTGTAAAGTATCCTCTGGATCCCTCTGGGTAATTTGACAGTTATGGAACATCAAAATGAGAGGTAAATCATCAAACGAAACGGGCCATGATCATGAAATATCATGGATTACTCGTCACTAAATCAATGGATTAGTTTTATTGGCGAAAACATCTTCACCGGCGGAACATGGATTTTCCCATGAAAAATATGGGCTTTTCCAACGTCGATTTTCCCGGATAAAAAACCAAAACCCCACAAAAAATGAGGCGAATTCCTGGCGGCGTGTCTGCATTCCAAGCTCCATCGTTTCGGCGGTTCCGGGGAGTCCGGGGAGGCGGGCGCCGCGGTTCTGAGAAGTTCCACTGTTATTTTATGGGATTTTATTGTGGTTTAATGTGGTTTAATGGGATTTAATATGATATACCCTGTGGTAAACTAACATAGCTATTGAAAATGGCCATAGAAATAGTGGATTTAGCCATAAATAGCATGGTGATGTTCCATAGTTTTTTTGTATGTTTACCAGAGTAGTAGCTACAGCCCAGCCCCGTTGTTTCTAGAAGTTCTAAAGAGGGTTTTTTTCGATGTTCTACGTGGTAAAAAACGCCACTTACCATGACTAGTGTATGAAAAATGCCCTTCAAAAAGGGTAACCATTCTTTTACTACCTGTAGATGGGCGTGGAAGTGGAACAAGAACCGGAATTTCACGACTCCAACGGTATCTGGGGACACTTCCGTTCCATCATGCCATGGGACGGAAAGCATGGGGGAGATCAAGTTCTTCCGTGATAGATTCATAAGGTCCTGTACACTCAAAATCCTACAAGGTGGTGCCCCCGTTCGATAGCTAAGTTGGTTTATAACTCCAATAACTATGGTTTATAGGTGTGATATATCCATAGTTAGTGGGATTATAAACCAACTTATAACTAGGGGGGCACCATCAAAATCCTATGTTCATCTTTATGTATTATGAGTCATGTTACATCAATTTTCCCTCAACGGCCATCATTTCGGGGACCAACCAGATCTTTTTGACGCTGCAGGTGCTGGCTTCGCAGGCCTTCCAAGTGATCGATGCGGACGGAGATGGCTGGGCGACCTTGAGATCCTTGGCCGGATCGGAATGTGTCCAGCTATGGGTTGAGAACTAGGGGTTATACCTACCGTAAGTAGTTTACTAGGGGGTGCCATAGTAGCAAAAGTTTCGATGGATGCCAACATAGTATCTTACTACGTGGGTATACCACCTAACAGTAGGAAGCGACAGTTGGGTATAACTTCAGCGTTTGGGGTTATGGGGTTGTATCTGGTTTATTGGGATTGATGAACTAAGCAACAATAGGCATATTTTCTCACCAACCTGTGGGGAATTGGGCGGTACCATTGAAGTTGCAACGTTTGAAATATTCCCCAGCTATAGGGGGATACTCCCCTAATCAATATCCACCAGGATGACCCAAGATTTCATAAAATTCTGGGGTTTTCACTAGTTATGTTTCAGAATATCTGTAGATCATTGCAGCTTAATCTATCTTAATCCCTAAAAAACAGATAGAACTAAAACTGCAATTCTATAGACCATATTTCTATTATATCCAGCTTTTATCTGTGAATTGTAACTACTAGCGTCGGCGCCACCATCGGTGATGCCCTGGGGATGGCGGATTTTTTCGGCAGGTGACCTGGAGCACTTCTTCCACTCAGATGCGAAGACCTTGGAGCTGGAGTCTTGGACAAAATGAGCATTCGTTTTTAAAGAAAACATGTGGTTGAATGGTATTTTTTTGGGGATTTGAATGGGATATGTGAAAATGTCTTTTAATGGCAATATCATGGGATGAATCATATGTATACTGTATACTATATTTGTGTGTGTGGGCCTAAAAATGGATAGTATATTCCATATCACCCAGTTATGGCGAGTCTGAAAAAGAGAACATGGTATGATTAATCAATGGATTTTCCGGGGGTGTCCTATGTTTTTCGACAAAACCAATGTCTGGGACATGCCAGACATTGTCAATCTGGCTACTGAAACGTGGGTCAAAATCTCGGGATGCGACCCCAAAAAAGATAGAAATTGCATTTATCTCACTACGTTTCTATGTTCTTGGGAGATGCTATACAGTAGCATATCCCATGTATATGAGCACATACCCGCTGATATCAAACATGGCTTGCTAGAAAATGCCACATTTACTGTAATTAATTAGTTCGATAGATGATAGATGTAGACGTAGATGATTATCTAGAGCCGTCTCTTCATGTTGATTCCTCGCTTGCAGGTGTGCTAATTAATCATTATTATATATTATTATCAATTGCATCATGTGGTGAGATATACTCCAACATGCAATCCCGTTGTGAAAGTGTGATTTGCACCAATACTATCTTCACAGTACCAGTGCTGGCATTGAAATACCCTGTGGTAAACTAACATAACTATGGAAAATTCACCATGTTTAATGGGAAAATCAACTATAAATGACATTAAATGACAATTTTCAATAGCAAACTGTTAGTTTACCAGAGGGTAGATTGAAGTACCATCCTGCTGTATGATTGGATCCCCAATCTATCTGAATCTGGCAATGATACATGCTCTGGTTGGTTTTGGTTGGTGGTTTTGAAATGTTGCAAATACCCTCTGGTTATTTAACATAGCTATGGAGCATGGCCTATATATATATCATATATATATATATATACGGTGTATGACGATTTCCCTATGAAACATGGTGATTTTCCATAGCTAGGTCAAATTACACGAGGCTATTACTTTCAATCATAATCCAGATAGTAAAACCAGATAGCTTGGGGCCGGTTTGCTGGTAATTTGCCATCATCTACGAATTATTTACCTATAAATCAGATGTTCCAGAGCGGTATCCCCTTTGATACTTCCGCGGCCCCACTTAGGACGGTTTGTTGCCACGTGAGAAATTCGATGTGGGCTTCCCAAGGGCGCCAAGGGAAGGAACTTTGAGGCTGATCTGAAAGGTCTACCTAGGTGCCCATCCATAGATTATCCATATATATATATATATATATTATCCATATATTATCCATAATCCAATTTAAGTAAAGAACAAGTTGTTCCATATCCCATTCCTTGGGGCCGTCATAAATAATCCAGTCGTTATCTAGGGAAAAATCCAAATGATGAACCACAAACTGGCACCCCTTATTGTGTTTACCTATATGTATACTGGTTGGTGGTTTGGAACATGTTTTTTTCCATATATTGGGAATAGTAACCCCAACTGACTCATATTTTTAAGAGGGGTTGAAACCACCAACCAGTATAAGTGGGTAATGATCACGGTAATAGCCCAGATATGAACGGAATGACTACAGTTGGGGTACTTTCCCGCGTTACTAGCCGCTTACTGGCAGGGATGCAAATCCAAGTATACAGAAAACCTTTTGGAACCAAAGTTCTTTGCAGGGAGAAGTTAGAACTTTTACAATTTCAATGATGCGAATGGTGGCAATTGCGTGATTTTCGGGTGTTTGGCCATTTGTGAGAGCCATCCGTGCAAGGGTTGGACAAGATAGGAAATTGATCACCTTGTCATATTGGCGCCTGACCCAGCCTGAATTTGGCGAATCAAAGCAGATATGGCAGTGGGTCGGAACGATTCCCAGGCAGCCTTTTCTCAGCCTGTACATCATTTACAGCTGTGTGTGATTTTCAAATATATAACACACACACACACGTGTTCTCACTGGAAGAATGACCAAGTACCATTTGATATTTGGAATGTACCGGAAACGAAATGATATGATCGAGGTAGCCATCATATAAACACATCAACAATTGGAAATGTAAATTCAATGGTCTTGTCGTATGATGTGTGGTGGCATCTTTAGATTAGTAGACATTTAGTATACATATGTTTGGACATTCCCCAAAACATCATGCCCCCCTCCATCATTGCCTCGTCTCATCTTCTGAGGTTCATACCTTCCACGCCTGTCTCAGAGGGGAAGATGTTTCAATCTCTTCATCAGAGGGGAAGATGTTTCAATCTCTTCATCCTCCTCAGACAATGAAGATGCACAGTGTTTTTGCCATTTCGGCAGGGAAAAAAAACAGATTCGCCGCTGACGCGGATGGTGGGTGATTTTTGACGTGCAGTGGGACACTAAGCCGCTTACTTAGGGGGCACATAGGCGATTGTATCATGGAAATTTTCGTTGAAATCCCATGGAATTTTGTGAAGTCCCATGGAATCATGTTACCCTCTGGTAAATTAACAGTTGGACCCAACGAAAATCACCAATTTTTAGAGGAAACTAATCTTCCAACCCCGTTTTCTACCAGGGTCTATGTCAATTTACTGGAGGGTAAATTGATTATATAAAATCCTATATCACACCACCATGAAATCCCATGAAAGTCTCATGAAATCGCCATTCAAATCCCACAATCTGTGAGGGACCACGCGACGGGTGAAAGCTGGAGATGAAGTGCTGGGAGTCCCAGTGATGGCTTTTGGGTTCCTTCTTATTGGCCAAGCCAAATTCATGAGAATATTTACGAGCCGACCATATATACATATATACACATATATTATGTATATATATATACATAGGGATGGGATAAGGCTATTTTCTTATGGCTGAATTGGTAGCTAGTAGCTAATTTAAGCAACCAAGTACGGGCAATGTCCAGTTATAATTCGGATGAAGTAACCCACATACGATTTCTGGGCTGAACACTACGGCTAGATAGCTAAGTTGGTAAACATATTTCATGGTCTATAGTCTATAGTTTATAGTAGATATATAGAACTAGTTGATGATAGCTAATGGGGTTTAGAAGCCAACTAATGTCTGAGAAATCCCCAGTTACCCTCTGGGTCATCAAGCAATGCAATTGGCTGGAAAGTCCGAAAAAGCAAAAATTCTCCAGCTGTTCCATGTCCGGATTCCGCAATGGTCACTTAAGGGCTCCGGAAAAGGCTGGAAACCATTATTTGGTGAGATTTTGGAGAATAATGTGTTTTTTCTCCTCCAAATTAAAGAGGTTTCCGGAAATCAGGTGACATAAAGCTGTCCTGTCCCTTGCTGTGGTTAGGGTCATGCAGTCTTTGTGTTGGGGCCCTGGCTATGGCTTGTGCCCCCAAGTTTGTCCTTTGGACTACAAGCAACCAACCAATAATTGAGTCGAGTCATAACTATCATTCAGGGTTGATTTGGATGCTTTCTGTAGTTGAGTTGAGATTAGGGGAGTCATCTCAACATTTTCCAAGAACTGCCTGTTCAGGCTATAAAGTATCTACCCTCCCCCACATCAACATAGACGCCAAACAGGGTTTGAAAGACTACTTTCCACTATCAAAACTTGGCTATGTTCAGGGTCTATGTTGATTTACTGGAGGGTAATTTGGGCTTGGGGAGACCCTACTTTGGATGGAAAAAAATCCTCCACCAAAACCCCCACAAAGCAAAATCGCATAGATACCTTGCAACCACTGTGCCCCCCTTTTCAATGTGAGTTTTGGGGAGTGTTAAGCTGATGCAGGATTTGTTCATTCAATTATGTACCAGAATGTTCATGTATTTTCGACAGCCATTCATTGATCAGAACAGGTTAGAAGGATGTCTGATCTCAACTTTTCCATGCATGGCTTCATTGTCTCGTTGGCTCTCCAAGCAAGGCATTGCATGATGGCAATCAAGAAGCTGGTGGAGGTGCGAGCAGAGAAATTCAACAAATTCTTCAAGTGCGACAGTTTTGTACAATCCATCGGAATGACCACCCCCCCGTACCACCAAACTAAAACATACATCCAACGCTGAGAACAGCTCATGTCTATTCACTTTCTTTGTCTTCTAACGCAATCGCAGGACAGGAGGCACTTGGATATCAAGATCGCGTGTAAAGTGAACACTGGCAGTCAGCGGATCCAGTCCCATGGCTGCCAGGTGGTGACTAGATCTTGGTAGGATCTAAGCGCAGCATTTTTTTCTCCAAGAAGTTTAAAAAAGGTGATGAAATATATGGCTTACCCTCTGGTAATTTAACATAGCTATGGAAAATCACCATGTTTGATGGGAAAATCCACTATAAATGGCCATTTTCAATAGCTATGTTAGTTTACCAGAGGGTATATGGCCTATATATGGCTTAGACTGCAGTATGAAAAATATTTTGTGTAGCTGGTTTGTTGGAGATTACTATTTTTTGCATTCGACGAAGCCCTATGAACCGACCATTATGAAGGACTTATGAAGGTATGTCAAAGGGTTTTGAGTTTATATACTAACTAGGTCCAACTACTCATAGATTTTATGGATTAAAATGGGATATAATTGTCAGAGAGTTGAGTAATTATGTGCAGTAGATATTAAATAACTATATATGATTCGATGCACATGTTTTTCAGCTGTGTTACCAACTAGTTTGGTTTGTTTTGAAACTGTTGCAGTTTTTCTTTTTCTCTGGAGTGCATGTTGCATGCTTGAGACATCTTGACACATACATCATGTAATCATGTTTTTCTTGCTTTAACAGCACAATTTAACTTGAGCCTTCTAAGTACTTTTCAGATCTTTTCAGATTTGTTCAGCTTAAATAAAGCTGGCAAACACAACCTTTGCAGTTTTAGGAAACCCCCATATGATGTATTATAAACCATTATAAACCATTATAACCCCCATTTGTTTAGTTCGTTAAATCTACCATAAACCATCGAATCGGAGTTTCAAGCAGGGTCAATCCCATGGTCCCACGCTGACCGCGCCCAGTTACTTCCGATGGATGTGAGCCGGGTTTGGGCGAAAAAATGCTGGGTGAACGCGGGAGGATGTGCAAAACGGCAGACACCTTCTATATGTGTTATGATTTGTTTGTGGTTGTGGGGTTATAGTAATGGCATCCAACAAAACATGGGGATATATGGAGATTTAATTTCTGCACTGGAATGATTCTTACTCAATGTTCATTGAGACTATCATTGGGCTGACCGAGTGGTCAATGCAAGGTTTGTGGTACCCCCACCATCAATACTTACAGTATATGGTTACATTTGCCCCCAAAAAAATAGCCAACCTGAGTTATAAACTCTGGTTATTAACCATTAGACCATAAACCAAAGTTATTCAGGCCGTATCTATAGGTTTGAAGTCGTTTGTTATTTCACTGGGTAGCACCAGCCATCCTGGCGATTCAGTGTGAACTTTTTCGACCCTTCACTAAGGTGGCTTGTTGGATATGATTCATGGTGGCTCAAGATGATTGACACCAGACAAGTTGGAGGTTCCAATTCACCAGAAAGGCAGTATGACAAATATTATCTAAGAATGTAATATACATATCCCATAGGATCCATGTATGCTATATATGGTAACATTTACCATCAATATACCCCCAATGTTAGCATATATACATATATATATATACCAGCACCATGGATCCTATGGGTATGATATTTGGGAAACTATAATGACCTCACCAAGCGACGTCACTGGAGTGATGATTAGTAGGGGTAACTATCCCAAAATGTCCTGATTTCAGGTCATTGAATTACTTGAAATTACCAATATATATATAATATAAAACATTTGAATGTTACTAATTCTTGAAAGGTCCACTGTAACCTAACATAGACCGGCCCATAGCTCCTTCTTCCTGCCAATTCCAGACTACCTACCATGTCAGTAGCACCACTCATTGCTATGTTTCCGAAAGTGCCAAGAAGATTCCGAGATAATTATCTCGTAATCATAGAACATGTTCAGGCTAGAAACAGCAACTTCGGAACAAGACAAGGTCACCTGCGGTAAAGATGAATGTTGTTTGTGTTCCCCTGCCCAAAAGGCGACCTGTACAGTACTAAACCCACTGCCGTAAACATTCCAAGTGGGATGATTTGTCCCATCTCTCCCATTTTTACGAACGGTCACTAGGTCATGTGCTATACCACCAACCATGGGGGTTTAGTAAGTGTTATGAAATCTTTTAACACCAACACCTGGGGGGTAAGACCAACTATGGGGAGCAAGTGTTATATACCTTTTAACACCACCTTATGGTTTATTAAATGTTAATTATGTAATATTATATACCTGTTAGTAAGACTTGAAAGTCCAGGTATGAAACCTTTTATATGAGTCTTTTAATGTTGGGTTGACCAACCTTTACCAACATGTCGCCGTACGTTTAAACGTTTCATCTGCCATCCACCGACCGGATTGTTCGCTTTCGGCTCAGTTAACCCCAATGGGAGACCCGTTCCCAAAGCTGATGTTTTCGGAAAAAAAACTGCAGGAAGCCTCCGGATATTTATCATATGGTATGTTGTGATATTTAAAAACACATTAAACAAACAATTAACACTGAAAGGTGTGCTTTGTCTTCGAAGCAACCAACTGGATGATTTTTCCACGTGTCTCATGCAATATGTTCATCCAAGCATTCTGAAAAGTTGCTTCCAGCGGGTCTCACTTAAGATGCTGGGATTCCCCAGAAGGGGGCCTCAGAATCACGTCACATTCCCTGAATGACAAACTACCACTCATCCACTGGATCAACATGTCAATTAAAGTTAACTTAGTTCCGAACCCGTTCAATTCCTTAAAAATCATACGTGTCATGTCCATTGCAAATATCCATTTAGAAGTGTAGATGTCCATTTCCTCAAATCCTTTCCATCCTCAAATCCATCATCAACTGTCATTTTTTTAATGATAAATCATGATACAATCATGATAAATCATGATAAATCATGTGTCATTCAATTGTCATGTCCATTTCCAAATATCCATCCTCTTTGGTTCGCTCCTATGGCTCCGCGCCGCAGAGGGCGTGCAGCTGGTCGACAGGTGACGACGTGACGACTTTTTTGGGGCGTTGAAGCTATTGACATGTCAGATATCCCATAGGATCCATGTATGGTATATATGCTAACATTGGGGGTATATTGATGGTAAATGTTACCATATATAGCATACATGGATCCTATGGGTATTAGTATATTCAGTGAGGGACATTAGTATATTCAGTGAGATTTGTTGCATCTTATTGAGAGTTCATAAATGAATATTATTAAATGAGAATTAGATAGTCTAGTCAGTGGTCTTGCTTTCAAAGATGGAATTTTTCTTCAACGTTTTGTATTTTCTGTATGTGATGATGATCCTTGATTGACTACTATTCTTCAGCGGTAGACCAATGATATACAGTACATATTCGCAGCATGAGGATTTGCAATACCAGTTTGACTTCTTATGATTGTCCAAAAATCGATGCAAGGGTAAAAGACCGTATCACTTTGCTCAAGTTTCTAGTCTTTTTTGTCCCCTGTACATTTGTCTACATATGCATATGAGATTCAAAACCATTTGGTTTCAATTCATCTCAATGGGGGCGTACAGTATGACAAATACATCGAAGCAACCAACGTTGCTAGCTAGGATGATTCCTGCGTTCAGTGCCTGGCCAGTGGACACCGACGTGCTACGTCGCCAGTACTTGTTGATGGTTTTTGATAGATGTTATTATGTGGCTGTCCATCCCGATGACTGGAATCTCCAATGACTTGTGTTCAAGAATCGTGGCTTAACCACCAACCATGTCCAAGAAGATAGACATTGACAAAAATCCAGCAAACTTAGATAGAGATAAATAGAACCAGTTTTCTCTTTTTTGGTGTGACTATCGAATTGTGGAAATTAGGACTTTCGCGGTTTCTTGACCCGTTTCTGTTGCTTTTTTCTGCCTGTTTTGGTGGGCGGGCAGCAAAATCACCATCTTCTGAGCCAACTCTTCACTGTAAATGATCGTTGGCATCGTTGGTAGTTAGTAGGGGAAAATCACCCTCAAATGGCCTTGTTTCTAACAATGTGTATATCTATATTTTTTCAACCAGAATCCCATGTCCCTGTTTTTCGACATACCCCCCTGAAATGGTACCCCACAGATTGAATAGATCCATGGGGGTCGATTTTTTCAGGGGATTTTTTTCACATCTAATGATCAACATATCAACATTATATAAAGTTGTTATATATCAGCATATATGAGCATATATCAGCATATATCCCATTGTTATAAAACCATTATAAAGTTGAAACACCAAAAAAAAATATGTTGAACGTCGTGAATCATCCGTTTCGTTCCTTTTTTCCGTTCCATCTTTTAGGGGTACCCTCATGGCTTGGAAAGCATCTCCATGAAAATCTTATCCAACCAATGGACTCATTAATTGATGATATATCATATATTATATGATTATATATATATATGTAATATTATAATATTACGGCCAGACGCCTTGTGTTGCCCAGAGATTTACAGGGACGTTCCCGGCATGTTGATGATGATGATGATGATGATGATGATTGAAGATCTTCAATGAATGTAAGAGTTTCACGAGGGTGAAGAATTAAACCCTTTTTGAAGATCTTCAATGAATGGAAGAGTTTAACGGGGGTGGGAGAATTAAACCTTTATTGAAGATCTTCAATGAATGGAAGAGTTTAACGGGGGTGGGAGAATTAAACCCTGATTGAAGATCTTCAATGAATGGAAGAGTTTAACGGGGGTGGGAGAATTAAACCCTTATGGAAGATCTTCAATGAATGGAAGAGTTTAACGGGGATGGGAGAATTGAACCCTTATTGAAGGTCTTCAATGAATGGAAGAGTTTAACGGGGGTGGGAGAATTAAACCCTTATTGAAGATCTAAACCCTTATTGAAGATCTTCAATGAATGGAAGAGTTTCACGGGGGTGAAGAATTAAACCCTTATTGAAGATCTTCAATGAATGGAAGAGTTTAACGGGGGTGGGAGAATTAAACCCTTATTGAAGATCTTCAATGAATGGAAGAGTTTCACGGGGGTGGGAGAATTAAACCCTTATTGAAGATCTTCAATGACTGGAAGAGTTTAACGGGGGTGGGAGAATTAAACCCTTATGGAAGATCTTCAATGAATGGAAGAGTTTAACGGGGGTGGGAGAATTAAACCCTTATTGAAGATCTTCAATGAATGGAAGAGTTTAACGGGGGTGGGAGAATTAAACCCTTATTGAAGATCTTCAATGAATGGAAGAGTTTAACGGGGGTGGGAGAATTAAACCCTTATTGAAGATCTTCAATGAATGGAAGAGTTTAACGGGGGTGGGAGAATTGAACCCTTATTGAAGAATCTTCAATGAATGTAGAAGTTTAACGGGGGTGGGAGTATTTATATGAGATGTATAGTGTGAACAAAAATTCCTTGTAATTTACGCTATTCTGGGCTTGGGCAACACAAGGTGTCTGTGGGTAATATTACAATATATATTTAATTATATTAAAAAAAACTATTTATATATATATATATATTTACACAGTATACAGTATATATATTATAGATTGCACCATCAAGATCTCCAAGATCCTCGCGCCAGGTGGAGCCGGTGGTCTCCAGGGCCTCGAGTTCCTTCGATGCCTTGCAGATCAACGGCTGCAAGGACGAGGTGGTGGGGCCCATCATTCGAGGCCTTGGGGGGCTCCCGGGGGTCCCCGGAAGTCGGAGGGGTCGGAGAAAAAATGGGAGGTGAAACAGGAGAAAAATGGACGAAATATGGACGAAATGGTGATTTCTAGGTGTTAACTAGATGAAAAATGATGGAACATGATGGGTTTTAGGGGTTTTAGCCAGGAAAAATGATGAGTTGTAGGTGGTGGGATGGAAACAGTAGACACAAACGATGGAAGACATTGGAAGACTCTGAATATACGATGGACACATGGCAATGAGATGGGTCAAAACCATGCTACTGGTGGCGTCATTTTTCACCTTGTTCATCCATCCCCACATGGATTCTTTGCAAAAATACCATATTTTGGGGATAGGTTTTCCCATATTCCTTAGCCAATGGTTAGCCAATGGTTAGTCAATGGTTATATTTTCTGTTCCTGATATCCACAATGGTTAGCCAATGGGTAGCCACAAATCATACCTAGACAATCCAACGGGATCCAGTCACCAGAATTACGGCGTTGCATGCCTTACATGATGGGGCCCCCGTTCGAAATCGCGTTCAGTTGCCCAAAAAAAGTGGCTGAATTCCGTGGTTTATGATGCATACAACGAACTAGTATTCATGGTGTTTACAAACCAACTACAACTATAGTTAATGGTGTTTATAAACCAACATTCGCACCACTGGGGGGCACCATCCTGTACTTTTACCATGTCTTGCAGATAGAGGGTCTATCGCAGTTGGACTCTCGAGTTGATCTCTTTTGGGACACGGTGAAATGACCAAATTATTTTGAAACATGTATGATATTTGGTTAATGATGGTTAATAAATGGTTAATACATTGTTATTATATGGGATCATAATGGGATATACCAATAATAGTGGTCAATGATGGTTAATGGTTAATAATCACTGGTTGGTGGTTTGGAACCATGGAATTTTATAACTTTCCATTCAGTTGGGAAGAATTTTATCCCAACCGACGAGCATATTTTTCAGAGGGGTAGGTAGGTATACCACCAACGAGAATACTGTTTGGGTCATTTCAGGTCATTTCTATGGGAAATGACCTGGTTTTCATACCCTCTTGTAAACATACGCAAAACTATGGAACATCACCATGCTATTAATGGGTAAATCCACTATTTCGACTGGCCATGTTCAAGTTCGCAAACTGCTAGTTTACCAGAGGGTAAATTTCGATGTTTTCTAGACACAACATTCCACCAGGTCATTTTTCGAACCATTGCTGTACTTGACCGCGGCACAGGCAGCTATACCTTGGAGGAGAAAAATCACGACCGACCCGTCTTTCGAAGCTCGGCGAGGGCAGATATCCCTTTTTAATGGGAGGAGTTGCCTTATAAGTGGCATATTGCCAAGTCAGTATCTCAACATGTTATTTTGTTTATACAATTAAACCATTTTTTACACATCCTGCAGGAAAAACAAAGGTCCGCAACTGCGTCGACATAAAATGTGATGTACTGTGTTTATCTATCGTTTAATTAAGGTGAAAACGTGTAGGCTCTTGAATTCCGCAAAGCGCTTGCCATTAGCTTTTGAATTTACACCCCCTGTATCCCTATCCTCTGACAGCCAAGCTGGAGTGGGAGATGCTAGCCATCGCTACATGGTGTTCAAGGACAACAAGCTGCGTCCTTCTGACTTCTTTATGTCACATACATTCAAATACCGAAAACTTGTATGTAGAATCTCTCAGGGGTATAGCATATAGCATACACATTCATACAAATTCACATATATTGTAGAGCTTCGCACACCGGCGATGCCGTAAGGGTTGGTGTTGCCCAGAATGTCGGTCGATTGCGCTGTTGTGGTTGTTATTGTCTTGGTAGTGTCACAAACCCTTCTTATTCCGGTACGCGCTCCTCCGTGCTCCGCCTCAATTCGGCGGATTGTATAATGATATATATATATACATAGAATCATATATTTATATAATCATATATTTATATAATCATATATATATATATACATAGAATCATATATTTATATAATCATATATTTATATAATCATATATATATATAATCATATATATATAATTATATATATATATTATATTTATATATGGTGTATTTATATATTTAAAGGGAGATATAACATGAACCTGAGATGAGAAAAACAAATATATGTTAATTATGCTACTCCCCGGCGCCCCCAGCCACAACGGGCCCAGGAAAGGATGAGAAGGTTGGAGCCAAAGCCCTGGACGTCATGCTGTACTTCTGGGAAGACAAGGACAGCCGCAGTGAAGCTTCACCAGTTTTGGGTTGAAACCAACATTTTAATAGGATCTAATGGGAATTTATGGGAATTTATTGCGGTTTAATGGGATCTAATGGGTTTTATCCCCTGGTAAACATACAAACACCTATTGAAAATCACCATTTTTAATAGGTAAATCAACGAACTAACTGGGCCAGTTTCCATAGCTAGGGGCCCCAAGACAGCCTTGAGGACACAGTACGACATGGACACAATGTTTTATCGTGGTATATATCTGGTGTTTTGTCATCGCACAGTCGCAAAGTCTTACTGAAGGGTCTATATCTCAACCATCAACTATATGGATATAAGTATAATTATATAAGTTATATACTGAAAATAGTTGGATTCAATCATAGTTGGTATATCCGATTGCATCCCCAAAAAAACTGGACCCGGTGCAGGAGAGTCCTGACTTTTCGGGCTGGTGGTTTGGTCCCCACATCGGCGGCGATGAAGTCTGGGCCTTCCATCCAGTACCTTGGTCGTCCAGGATGGGGCCCCCGTTGGAAATCGCGTTCAGTTGCCCAAAAAAAGTGGCTGAATTCCGTGGTTTATGATAAATACAACGAGCTTGTATTCATGGTGTTTATAAACTAACATTCGCATCACTGGGGCGCACCATCCTGTAGAAACCAGTGGATATTTAAGGTGGTTGTAAAGTTTATAAATATTTATAAATGGGGTTATCGTGAACCATAGGGGTGACTTAACGACTCATAACTTATAATTGCTGGGCCATCACTGTGATACAATCTGTTTTGATGGGATTATCATGATTAATGGGGTGACTTAGTGGTCTTACAACTGGTGGGCCGTCACTGTCATACAGTCATAGTAATATCATCCCCAACATTGGAAAATAATGGAACATAGATCTACTTACGATCCCATGGTTCATCATCATTCTCGCATCACAGGATAAACATGATGTTTTGTGGTAATAGTATTCACCGTTATCGGACAAACCCAAATTAAAGGTTGGTGTTTGTTTATGTTGGCATTTGTTTCTCCAACAAATCCTGATGTGTGTTCTTTTGTTTCTTTGCAAAGAAAACTATATGGTTTTCCATTTGAACACTGATCGCAAAATTGATGAATCATGCGCACTAAGATATCAGAATTCTCGGTACTCACTAACAGTTAAGCTCTGATTCCAATCTGATTCCCTGAGAATGCTGTGTCATCTCTTCTATACCAATTCCATCATGAGGATGCGATGAGAACAACCAAGGCCTTCATGGCCTCACCAATTGATCTGGTGAATTACCATGGTAAAAACCATGGTTTACTCACACAAATTTTCCATCTGATTCCATATGAATGATTGGGTGTTTCATGGTGTTTCTGAAAATTTGGAATACCTCAACAATCCTCAACATATTAGTACCTTAGGCTTCCAAAGTACCTATGAAATTAGGTGCTCAACAATCTTCAACCCCTACGAAATGTTATGTTTGTTGGTTTATAATCCATTGTACACGTCATTTACTACAGTTTCCATGGCGAAAAATCTTAGCGATTGGAGCTATGTGCACCCAACTTTGCTAACTCCCATCGGACTCCCAAGACATCCCATGGAAAATCACTATACTTATATCCATCTTGTCCCATCGAAATCCCAATGAATCCCATGGGTTTTATCACAAGTTCTCCCATGAATTCCTATGAGTTCTCCCACGAGTTTTGCTGGACGCCTGGCAGCCTCATCGATTAGGACATCTCGGCGAAGACGCCACCCACCAGCGGCTGGCAATGTCCATTCGCGGCTCGACGTCCGTGGGCCGGGGGATGCAACAACTCCTGGCAAACAAGTGATGTAAACATATTAAATATATATCATGGGGATATAGATTTCATGGGTTTTCATGGCATTCATTTATGAACTTTACAAAGTTTTGATATCCAGTGGTTAGGGAGGGTTTGGGATCTACGAAATGTGAAGCCAAGGAGCTGCGAATTGAGCTTCCTAAGCACATGATCAGAGTAGGAAAACATGAGTAGAAAGCGTGGCTAGTCAATTCTCCAACTTGTTTTACCCTCAAATATGCCATGTATATACAGCTGGTTGGTGGTTTGGAAAATGTTTAATTTGACATTCAGTTGGGAATTTCATCTTCCCAACTGACGAACTCATATTTTTCAGGGGGGTAGGGCTCAACCACCAACCAGGCCATGTTTTTCTACAGGATTTTACAAGTGACTCAGTGGTGACTTGTCGCTTTCATGGTGGGTTGCAACCAGTGGGATCGCCAATGTGGAGCTCAAGCACTGGCTCTAGTGGGGTGAATGTTCACAATTCCTGGGTTGACAATGGTTGACATACCCGGCCTGGTAAACGTTTACATTGTAATGGGATCTAATGGGAATTTATGGGAATTTATGGTGGTTTATATAATGGGATCTAATGGGTTCTATCTTCTGGTAAACGTTTACTTAATGAACTGGAAAGTCACCATGCTATTAATGGGCAAATCAACTATAAATAAATGTCCATTTTCAATAGCAATGTTAAATTACCAGAGGGTATCTATACATATTTGATATTTGGTGACTTTTGAGACAATACTTTCTAGCCAGTCTACTAGTTAGATCTAGTTAGATCCAGTTAGATGATGTTAGATGGCTAAAAACTGGATGAAGTGATTGATGATTATTTCCGTGGACACAGTCTATGCTTTGTTCCTAGACAGTCTCCATTTGAGTCAACCACAGTTCTATGCTTTGTTAATCACTTTGCCGTGGATGTCTAAACTGGATGTCTAAACATGGACACGGTTGATGCTTTGTTCCTAGACAGTTCCTGCACCTCTCTGGGTTGGTCCCAGTCGCCCAAATCAGGTCCTTTTTCTAAATGGTCAGACGGGTCCTGTCGCAAAAACCTTGAGAATCCCAACCTTTGAAAAAAAACAAAACACACTTATGATATCAACTTTTAGATTATAGTGGTTGTTATTTACCAACTCTTTGGTTTGACTATGTTTGATCCTTGACTGTGAAATGCTCAAGGCCATAACCCTTGTTTTGTCGCTAAAACCGTTAAAAACTTGTTAATTGTTATGATTTGTCGATTCTTACAGCTAATTAATCAGTATGCATCTACATCGACATTCCATTCAATTACATAGTAATATATGTATAATATAATATAATATGATATAATACAATGTAATAATATAACATAATATAGTTCAATAAGTTCAATATATAATACATTTTTATATAATGTAATACAATATATAATATAATATAATACAATATATATTTATATAATACAATATAATAGAACATAGTATAGTGAAATATAATATTATATATAATATAATATAATACAATGTATATACATAATACAATATAATATACTATGATATAATAGAATACAATGTATATAATACACTATAATATAACAGAATATAGTAAAATATAATATATCATTTAAGATAATACAATGTATATAATACAATATAATATAACTTATAACATAATATAATAATATATATTATAAAATTTAAGATAATATAATACAATGTATATAATACAATATAATATAACATAAAAAGTAAACTATAATATATAATATAGTATGATATAACATAATATATATATATATTACAAAATAAAATATAATATAATACAATGTATATAATACAATGTAATACAACATAATATAGTAAAAATATATATATAATATAACATAATATAGTTAAATATAATATAAAATATAAGATAATATAATATAATATAATACAATGTATATAATATAATATAATATAATATAATATAATACAATGTATATAATACAATATAATATAACATAATATAGTAAAATTTAATATATAATATAATATAATACAATGCATATAGTACAATATAATATAACATAATATAATAATTTATATTATAAAATATAAGATAATAAAATACAATGTATATAATACAATATAATATAACATAATTTAGTAAAATATAATATATAATATAACATAATATAGTAAAATATAATAGATAATATAATACAATGTAATACACTGCATATAATACAATATAATATAACAAACTATAGTAAAATATAAAATATAATAAAACATAATATAGTAAATATAATATATAATATAATACAATAAAATGTATTTAATACAATATAATATAACATAATATAGTAAAATACAATATATAATACAATACAATGTATATAATATAATATAATATATGCAGACGGGTCCTTTTTATAAATGGTCAGACGGGTCTTGTCGCAAAAATCTTGAGAATCCCAACCTTTGAAAAAAACAAAACACACTTATGATATCACCTTTGAGAATATAGTTGTTGTTATTTTACCAACTTGATTATGTTTGATTATGTTTGATTTCATCCTTGACTTTGAAATGCTCAAGGCCATAACCCTTTTTTTGTCGCTAAAACTGTTAAAACCGTGTTAATTATTAGGATGTGTCGATTCTTAAAGCTAATTAATCAGTATGCATCTACATCGACATGCATGTCAATTACATAGTAATATATGTATAATATATTAATAATCATTATATGTATAATATAATATAATATATTATAATATAATATATTATACTATAATACAACATATATAATATAATATAATATAATATAATATATTATAATATAATATATTATTATACTATAATACAACATATATAATATAATATAACATAATATAGTAAAATATAATATATAATACAATACAATGTATATAATATAATATAACATAATATAGTAAAATATAATATATGCGGGATTCACCCGAAACCCCAAAGCATTTCGCCCAAGGATGGCCCCATCGATTCCAGCATCGAGATCGTCCCGAAACTGGTGAAGGGCGCCCAGACGCCCGGCCGCCAGCCGGGCACGGCGCGGATGCTGGGCTGCAGCTTGGGAAGCTTGGGAGGCCATGGTGAACTGCAACGTGAAGTGAACTTGTGAAACGTTGAATAGCTAATGGAAAATTACATACTGTAATACTCAAGTATAGCTGAATTAGTTTATCCAACATTTGGATGAACGATCAACTTGAGATTGAGTTTGGGTCATTGATAATCTACAAGATTTCAAAGTGATGTTGTTTTATCAAGATGGTTGGTGTCAACATACATTAAGTTGAATAAGTTGATCCTGTATCGTTTCTACACAGTAGCAGTTGTTCAGTTGCGGGGTATTGAAAGTAAGCAACCTATGGACACAACGCGATGATAAACCGGAGATGTTCTTGAGGATTTTGGCTAGAGATCCACAATCGTCACAAAGAAGTTGATTGATGTCATAGGATGGGAGGAAGATGTGAGGTTTGTACTCATTTCTTTGGTTTCATGTAGATGCAACATATGCTCGCAGTTGTTCAACAACTATATAACGGTGTTATGCTTATGATAGAATATTGCATTGAGTTCCGTTATTACAAAGGGGCTCATCGATCACAATGGATGGCAGAATCCATTTTACCGATATTTACCGTATTCCACACGCATGCCAGTTAGCTACACTGGTTATCACAACGGTTGGTGCTTTGGAACTGGTTTGGTTTCTGTCCTATGGAAACGGATGATATCTGATAACCCCATAGTCGTCATCCCCCTGGATGCGAGCAGGCTGTTTTTTGAATGAAGGATTTCACCAAGTGTCACAGATGAGATTCTTCAGATATCATATAGATACTAATACCCTCCGGTAAGCATGGGCGTTAAGCTGGGAAAAACATCGAACTTAATGGGTATTGTTTTAAAACATATGGCAGTGTGTCAAAACCTTGTACCCCTTCTGTTCACATCAAAATAGCTGGTTTATCTGGATGTTCATCCCTCTAAAAATGCTATTTTCATAGGTATTGATCCATAGCCATATGGTGATACCCATGCCAAAGTGTCTTGCTCCCCTTTTTCCCAGTCATACCCATGGATTTTTTGGATGGCACCGTTCACCACCGAGCCCATTAGGAAGGAGATTGTGCCGGTGTTGACGGCCGCAGAAAGGGAAGCTCGAAGGATGAAGGATGCACTGCGCACGGGATTCAGCTGGCATCTTGAGGATGAGGGCAACTCATGGATACATTTAGTCACTTTAGTCCCCAAATTTAGATCCAAATACAAGTATTGTTGTAGGTCGAAACTTGTAAACTGCTACTAAAATAATGACAAATTGCGTTTAAACATTTTTTGGGGGCTTATTATATATATATATATATACTTGGGCTGAATTGTAGTGACATCACTGGCCGCCAAAAAGATGATAGGCATTCAGATGCCGACAGAGGAGACATTCGAATTTTGTTGAGTTTCCATGTCAATCCGACCCAGACGCTTTCAATTTCAATGATGATATAGCCATATGTACATATATATATATATATACTGTAATGAAATTGAAAGGATGGGTAATTAAAAAAAAACACGATATGCAAACACATATATTAATATATGCAAAAAAATATCATTGAAATGATAACAATGTAATGATAACAATGCGTCTTTGCTATGGCACCCAGTGTGGGATGACCGTTACCACATGCTGTTCGGTTAGCACATGCTACAGGATGGTTGTTCCCGTTGGAAAAGCTAGCGTTCGGTTGCGAAACAGTGGCTGAATTCTATGGTTTATGGTAGATGTAACGAAGTAGTCAATGGTGGTTATCATGGTTTATAAACCAACTTATAACTGGGGGGGCCATCCAGTACGGTATCTTGCATCAATTCATGTATGACATGTTTCAATATCATGTATGCCGTTTCGGAGTCTAGATCATTTGCATTTGGTCGAAAAGACATACATCATCATACATTATCATACATCATCATACACAGCGATATAACCACTGACTCTGCCATCCATATGTACGCATCATTTCATCCACATATGGTGGCCCCCCGCGGTTGGTCTATAAAGCGAGTAACCTTTTTCAGCAGTTCGACATGTAATATCTATCACAAAGCCATAAACCCTGAAATTATTGGAGTTATGTCCACCAGCTTAGCAAACTAAAGGATTTCACGGGATTGAACGGGATTCATTGGAATTTCAACTACCCAAACATTACCTATACATACATATATATATATATATATTATACATTTTACATACCTTTTACATTCCTATGACCATCATGATATTCCCATTGAGATCCCATTCACCTCCCAAAACAACAAAGCCATTGTTATGTCTCTATGGATTCTAATACAATAATATAGATGTTTTGTTTCCCATTAAATCATATTCTGGTTGGTGGTTTGGAACATGTTTTATTTTTCCATAATATATATATATATGATATGGGATAATCCTTCCCAACTGACTTTCATATTTTTCTGAGGGGTTCAGACCACCAACCAGTTAATAAGTGATTAATGATTAATAGTGATAGTGATTAATAGTGATTAATAGTGATTAATAGCGATTAATAGTCATTAATAGTCATTAATAGTGATTAATAGTGATTAATGATATTGGTAATCTGATTTTCATATGACGAAAACCTACCATTATTATTTGTGATTTTCATAATGATTCATGACTAGTTCATAATTTTTCAAGATGCTTAAAACCACCAACCAGATATAGTTAATGGTATTGTTAATGGTATTGTTAATGGGATTCCCATCATTTGAACCATATAGAAATGGGATATAGATCATATTAGAAATCTGATTAATAAGTGATTAACCTACCATTATTATTAGTGATTTTCATAGTGATTAATGACTAGTTCATAAGTGATGATAGTTAATAATAGTGATAGCCAGGATAGTAAATCACTAAATTATTAATAAGTGATAATTGATGATAATTAAGTACTATCACTAAATAGGATTTAGTACTTAATCGCTATTAACCATCATATGAACCATATATTAACCATGTAGAAATAGTGATTAATAGTGATTAATAAGTGATTAACCTACCATTGTTAAATCGCCATTTCTATCCCATTTCTATCCTCTGGATTTCTATCTTCGCCAGGAGCTGGAGCTGATGCAGCAGCACGAGGAGCTCTCGCGGCGGCTCATGGAGGAACGCATCAAAGTGGCCATCCAACGCCAGGCGACGAAGGGCACCGGAAGGGCACCGGGGTGGAAGGGATTGGAGATGAGACCGGTGGAGATGAAGATATATATGTTATCTATCATATATATATAAGATAGCAATGATGATAATATCGACAACAGTACTTTAATTATGTCTGTACAAAATTATATATGTATGTGTGTACAAGTATGGTATCAAGTTATTGTTCAGGATTTTTTCAGGACATGGATGGATTTGTGCCATTCATATGGGGATGGCCACGAGAGTCTTGGGGAAAAAAACCCGGCACAATGGATTTACCCTCTGGTAATGACTAACATAGCTATTGAAAATTGCCATTGAAATAGTTGATTTACCCATTCAAATGGTGATTTTCAATAGTTATGTGACAGTTTACCAGAGGGTAACGTGTTTTATTCCTTAACATTTTGACTTTGTCTGAAAATGCTGGCTAAATAAATGTTTTATTATGTAAATTCGATTTTTAAATATTCTTAAATATGGTATCTGGGTGTATTAAAAAAAATTGGGTATATTCTTTGAATGGCAATTTTACTGCAAGGGATTATACCCATCCTCCCAACATCAAACACCCCTAAATGGCCCAACACATGTGCAAATCCCTCTGCGAAAACGATGGTGCGGAAGGGATTCCTTGGAATTGGTGCTACGTTATTTTCAGACAAAATGTCAAGTTTGGATTACCCTCTGGTAAACATACAAAAAGCTATTGAAAATGGCCATAGAAATGGTGAGTTTTTCCGTCAAAAATGGTGATTTTCCATAGTTATGTGACAGTTTACCAGAGGGTAATAAACATCATTTGAGTATTGCCCAACACATGTTTCCTGGTGTGGTGTGGTGGTTGATTAATCCCTATAGTAGATATATTACATCCTAACTTTACATTACCCGATGTTGGCATATTTTGTTGCCCCTGAAAAGGGGTGATGGGTGCTAAGATGTGCTAAGAGACGCCTCTGACTGTCATGAACATGTGCGAAGAAGACCCAAAGTCACCGATGAAATCATGTGAAATGGATCTATGAAATGTCTTCACTCAATCGGGTTGAATGGTTTCAAATGCGTACTGCATTGTAATGTTCATTATTGTTGCTTTCTGTCCCAACATACCAAGTGAAAATGTATAGATAGTGATCGTTCCCTTTGATTTCCCTTTCAGGAGGACTTTGAGCGTCGCAAGCAGCAGGAAGCAGAACGATGCTTGGCCGATATCGTCTGTAGCCATGGGACGTGGATCAAAGTATAAAGACCTGGACCACTGGACCTTCCACATTCCCAAAATTTCCCAAATATTTGGGACTTACTTTTCTGACCCAAATATTTTGCTTTGTCAAGGGTAAAGGGATATAGGAACCTGGATTGGCCGATATCCATTGAAGATGATAGTTATCATAAAATCGAATTGAGTCACCTCGAACGCACACCCAACTTGGGAGATAAGTAACTATGTCCCCTTGGTTGCTTGGTTATGAAGTTATATACCAATTATATATTCAGATCAATATGTACCAATGTACCAATTATTTATAGAATATGTGTGTTTGGTAAACCCAGCTCAAAGTAATCCTCCAAGTTATATCCCAATTAGATATACCCTTCTTGTTGCTTAAAATAGAATCCCCAATCCATATCAATCCACCACATACCTCCAAGAACTGTGTCCTTAGGAAAGCAGCATACTAACATAGTTATATCCGAAACTGTGTCCCATGTTTGTTGTTGCCTATACCTCCATGTTGATACTGTGCAGTGATCCTCCAACCACATCCTTAGGGAAGCATCATATTAGACATATCTAACATAAGATACACATAAACATATTAACGGTTGTATATCAATATAAACACAGTATCAATATATCAATAATATATATATATATATGTCTTATAAATATAAAACTGTATCAATATAGACATATGTCGTATATCAATATTAACGGTTTTGTACACATAAACAGGTTGTATACCAGATATCCAAAAACAACAGGCGCCCCTTTTTCAAGATTTTTCCACCTTTTGCCCCCTGACCTCCCGCATAAATAAGGAATGTGCACAGGTAGAAACTGAAAGTACGAGCTGATTAAGCTCCTAGATCTTCGATATCTCATGACTATAGTGCTACCTTAACCATTTTTTTGGTGTAACCACGTTGCTGTCACCAGCCTCCAAGCGACGCCTTGTGTGCCGTGTCCGTGTCAGGAAAGCAACGTGAACACCACGTGCAGCTTCTGCTTCGCCGTGCGCTGCAGAAGTTGCGCCTTGCTAAACCTGAGACCTTCGGCGATCTCATGGAGGAGGTCGCAGCTGGGTCGTGGCGTCTTCATGGAGGTTTTAACGGATGTTTTAATGGTGAAAATAGGTGAACATACAGGACCTGACATATGACATTAATGATATTTTTTCGTGATTTTAATGTGACATGATATTTAATGATTGTTAATGATATTCAATGATTTTGAAGTGTTCGACCTATTTTGTTGAATGATTCTTTGAATGGTTCTTGAGCGAGAGTAGGGAGATCGGGAGATCATCCCTATTAGTAAATGGCTGTTAACCCGGTTGCTAGGGGTTTATATATTTAAAAAATGTGTACCAAAAACTCTCCATGGTTTGAACCACATAGTACATACTCTATAAGCAAAATGGCCAAAGGTGTATATCCTATCAGTTTGGGCAAACCCATGGAACAAAAAAAATATGTAAAGCGATGACATTAAGCAATGAAGTAGCAAGCTCACAGGTCTGGGTTGCCAGGCATTGCTTGGGTGATCCACTTTGACCCGGACTGGACATATTTTCCTTTGGATCATGGCATGTCTATGCTCCATGTAGCTACCCTCTGGTTATTAAACATAGCCATGGAACATGGTCCATTTATAGATGGTTTACCTATTAAACATGGTGATTTTCCATGGCTATGTAACAAATAACCAGATGCTAAATGATGGTCAATGAGCAGGATGGCTCGGGTGTGGCTTTTGTTTGGAGTCAAAACTTGACTTTGTGACGAGGTTTGCTAATCCTGGACCTGTCCATTTTTGAAGAGTAGCTGGCTACATGGCCTGCATGGCTTTTCCTCAACTTTGGGATGAGTGAGCATCCAACCTGTCCGCCCATGGGGTCCCGTGGTAGGTGAAGCAATGAGAATTACATGTCTCGTTTGGCGTTTGGCAAGATTGCTACAACAGCAGCAGCATCCCCCCAGATGATTTGGCGCAATCGACCTGCTATGCGGAATATTCACCCTCATCAGGCCCTCATCCACACAGATAAAGCCCGCAAGTCTTCAGGGTTCTCCGCCCCTTTGCAACTGGCAAGATTGACTTTTGCTAGCCGAATCTAGTCGAGTTCCATGCTCGTCATTTTCACATCCACCACTCCTGCTGCTAGTTTCAATCCTTTCGCATTGACTCAGAACTTCAGTGCTTATTTTTTGGCAGGGAACTTTTGAGAACTTGGGACACTAATTTGTAGGGGACTCATTTGTTGGCTGGTGTTTTATAATGTTTTATACCTCTGCCGATGCTGGACCCAGAAAAGTACTAAGTACTAGCTAGGTTTGTCGGGGATATCCGAACTGCACTTTTCGGGGTTGTACCCATGGTTGTACCGATGGTTATACCCATAAAAAAGACACCTCAACTGTACCCCCAAGTACATGACCAACCAGTCCTAGCTATAACATGTTGTAAACCCAAATCAATATAGATTAATTATACATAACATTTTATAACCATAAATCCAACAGTTGTTATAGTTGTCAACCACCTCAAACCCATCAAACTTATCATATAGTAACCCCCCCAAAGATGCAGAACATGTTCAATTTACCATTAGTTAAGTAGGATTTTACTTTTATCTTGTTGGGAGTTACTATATATATATATATCCTATCTTAATTCCTTTTTTTCTTGTGCCATTGTACTATGGGATTTTGGTGCTGAAATGCCCATCATGGTCTATTTGAAAAGGCTGGCAAAAAATATGTAAGTCTTGTTCCAAGTCTGGTGGAATCCTAAGTTTTCGCACTGTTCACTATAATCATTTAGTATACTAAAATCCCACAGGATGGGGCCCCCGTTCGAAATCGCGTTCAGTTGCCTAGAAAAAGTGGCTGAATTCTATGGTTTATGGTAAATATAACATACTATAGTATTCATGGGGTTTATAAACCAACATTCAGGTGTTTGTCCAAATTCGACGTAAAATCAGCGGTTTTTCCAAGCGTTTTTATCGAGTGAACTCGGCAGGTGGATCACCTGCTGCAGACGGAGGCGGAGGTTCTGAGCCGCGAGACGCGCTTTGAGGCGGAGAAGGTGAAGCACGACGCCAAGCGCCGGGTCCGGACTCCCGCGGGATCCCGCGGGGTCGTGGTGGTGAAGCATGGTGAAGTGCCATGACACGAGCCATGAAGCCATGGGGGATTTTTGATGACTTTTAAATGTTTGAATTTCATTATTTTTTTAAATCTGGTTGGTGGTTTGGAACATTTTTTATGACTTTCCATATATTATTGGGAATGTCATCATCCCAACTGACTTTCATATTTTTCAGAGGGGTAGGTATACCACCAACCAGTAATGGTGAGAGATATGATTAGTATGTATTAGTGGGAATCATTTTGGGAATATGAATTTACATATGTATATATATATATATGCCTAAGTACAATGGTTTTTTTTCATGGGATTTATGCAGTTTTAGTGGAAATCGATGGGAATAGTAATATGAAACCATTCAACATAGTAGCCCCCCAGTTGTAAACTAGTTTATAACCCCCCTCACTATCCAAAAATCAACCATAAACCAAAGTTAGCCAAAAATCATCAACAGTTTGATGATGTGCCATGTAATACCCATTGATTCGGGAATGGTCATCAATTCATTCGTAGAGATTTTATACTCATTGCAAGGAATCCCGTTCATGATGGTCGAATGTGCAACATCTATTTAAATCATTTACCATGATTTGGCGTTGGCACGGCACAGATGGGGGTCGCGATGGGGGTCAAAAACACCAACTTCACTTACCTAGTCACAGATTTCCAGCCTTGTCATGTTACCGGAGGGTGAATAGATGTAAATAGTACCAAAGGATACCAAAGGAATCCATGAATCCAATGTAAATAATAGCACTGCCGGGAGTCGTAGATGTGGGGAGATGTTTTCTGAGTCGAGGTAAAATTTGAACAAACCTTGGTAAATGGTGGAATGGACTACAAGTTGATATATGGTTAAATATATCCATTACTATGGTGAAGTATTAGCTACCGCTTCTTGCTAATCCAAAAAAACGCTTTGCATTCACCATACACCATACCGACAATATCAAACATGTGGATTTTCCTTGATTTGGATGTTCTGAAGATCTTGTGGTTAAACATGTTTAGTATCCATTCACAATGGGGAATCATGGTTAATTAATACCAACCACTCATTTTCATTACCATAATTGAAGAAATTGGGGTTGAAATTCAAACACCCAAAGAGGGTGGTCCCGTCACCTCTTTGAATGGTTAAACACACCATTTCATATGTGCTTGGCAGATGGGTTTCGAACACTTTTAATCATCTGTAAGATAACAACCAAAATGGGGTTCCACAGCGGGAATGAACTTGAATTCAGCATCTGGGTTGACTAGAAACCCACATTCTTTTCGGGGATCTATAGGGGGGCCTTAACCGTCAAAACGTTGAGTTTAACCATCAATCAGGGTAATTGATTTGTGTTTGCTGAATCGGTGTTTGTTTCTTTTCCTCATTGGTTTACTTTGGTCCTCTGATATAAAACCAATGAGGAAAACCATGTCATATAACAAGGTACTATCAGCCAATCATATATCCTATGTCATGGATTATCATGTTTGGGTGATAGGTGTCATAGCCCTCTAAGTTGCCATCAAAAAAGGGCGCTGAAGCAAGAAAACTTGAAGATCAACTTCAATCGACCGTTTCTGAGGTGAGCCGGCTGTATACTGTATATAGTTTACTAGTCATATTAGTAATTAATTAATAACTATTACCCTCTGGTAAATTAACAGTTGGACCCTGAGAATCGCCAATTTTGAATGGAAACCAATCTTCCAACCCCTCTCTGGCAGGGTCTATGTTAATTTACTGGAGGGTAACAAAATTCCTTCATGTTCGATCATATTCGTGCTGGTTGGGATCAAAACCAGCCAGATGAAAAGCGTGTTTTTGGAGGGGAGTCCTCCGTTAAGGGCCCTGGGTTTTGACGCTGGGATAGTGAGAAAATTATAGTGAAACACCAATGAGATACCCAGAAAATCCATGCGAATCCAATGAATCCTCCTAAGGTCCTGAAGATCAATCAGTTCAACCAGCAAGCAGATCAGAAGAAGAAACAAGCTGAGGACCTCCGAAGCCAGTCGCCGCCGGAGATGAGGATTTAGTTAGGGCCGAAACATCATTGATCCATTGACCATGAAAAGTGCTATTCATAAGGCCTAGATTAAGCCTTAATTTCAATGGATCATGATCAATACCCTGGTAAAAAAAGTTCGCTATTGCAAATCACCATGATTAATAGGTAAATCAACGAACTAAATTGGGGAATTCATGTTATAATATGTTATAAACTATAAACATCACCTATTTTCAACTAATAACATCACCATGTTCAATAGCATTTTTTTTGTCATTACCAGAGGCGTTTAAGCCCCATTGACGGCAGGTCTTCCAGGCTTGGTTCTGTCCGTTAAAGGGTGGATAGTGGATATGAAACAACTATTGTTCAATAAGATACAATAATGCATGGATATCATTATTGAGTGTATATATATAGTCAATAATAATAATAAAAACATTATTTAGTGCATAGTCAATAATAATAATAATAATCAACATGAAATAACAATAATAATGTAGATGGATATCAACGACTTATTGAGTATATAGTCATATATATATAATAATCCAACTACACTGTGTTCGCTCGTGTTCCCAGCGCTCCAGGAATGCCAACGGCAGCAACAGGACCTGTTTTGATTTTCGCAGTTAAATCACCACTTTGAAAAGGAAAATCCATGGAAAATCATAGGAAAATCCATGGAACATCATTGTTAAATATGGTTAAATATGGAAAATCCTCTAATCAAGTATCAAACAATCCAGGATTTAACCATATTTAACCATCATAAAAAATGGTTTTGAACGATTTCACCGCTGAAGAATGGATTTGGGTCTGTTTGAAAATGGTATACCAACAAACGCCCGCGACTATTTCAACGGGGAACATGGTGATGAGCCATTGGACTTTGGGGTATGGACGCCATGTCAACCATCTCATTCACCATCTCATTCACCATAACTATGAACCACCTAAATCCCATCTAAGACACATCTAAGAACCATCTTGGCACAGCATACATACATTGACAGTCATTGACATAATACGTTTGCCATTTTCGTCCCAGGATTCTCTGTTAACCATCTACGAAAACCAGTCCATATGCTTCGAAGTACCCAGGAGGCAGTCCATAGAGCCACGCAAGAGCAATCATCATGTCCAACAAATACCAGCTAGAATCAATAGCTGGAAGTTTAGGACCTTAAAACTAGCTCCAAATCAATAGCTAGAATCTCAACAACTTTAGATTTGCCGGATTAATCAATAGCTGGAAAGTCCTTTGTTGGAAGGACTATTCGTGAGTTAAATTAAAAAAGTGGACCTGTCAAACTCGTGATTTTCCTATTTCCCCATTGCAACTATATATTTTTGGGCTAGACAATTTGGAGCCATTCTCAATACACTCTCTAAACGGAGGGAGCGGTTCAGAGGTATTCAGTTCCACCGGTCCTCAGGGATTTCCAACGATTTCCAAGGTACATCCCGACATCCCATGTTCAAAGGTGAATCTCCAAAGTTGCTGGGTCAAGCGATGGGGATGTAACCCTCAGCATGGGCGAAACATGTTGTTATGCTTAGAACTTACCCTCTGGTTATGACTAACATAGCCATGGAAGCCATGGCCCTAATCGAAATAGATGATGTTCCCAGCGAACTAAACCTCCATTTATGGTTGGGATTTTCCATGGCTATGTTAGGCAATGTCATAACCAGATTGATTCACTCTGGTCCAGAGACTTCAGATTCAGATAGATTCACCAGTCATGGGGGTAGTGTACCCAAAACACACCCCTTTTCCCATCCAAGTCATCGGAGCATCACTTAGTATTGAACGTCCGATGATCTTTTTTGGGATCCCCCATTTTAAGAACCCCCCCTATATTTAAACTAACACAAGCAGAATTATCCATCAATCTAAGATTTAGCTAGATATGTGTTTCTAAGATTCACCATGATTTTTTGGGTGAAGATGACCCTTTAAAGTTGCGAAGAGCTCAGTGAATTCCCGTGCCAGGAGGCATCCAAGAAACTTCTGGAGCAACTGGAGCAGTTGGTGGAAACAGTTGAGACCTCTGCAGAGATGTTGGAGGTGAAGATGAATAGCATCTTGGATGCTGGGAGAGATGTTGATGGGAAAACTTACCCTCTGGTAAACTAACATAGCTATGGAAAATGGCCCATTTAGTTCGTTGATTTTTTCCCATTGAAAATGGTGATTTTCTATAGTTTTTTGTATGTTTACCAGAGGGTAATGGGATTGATTTTTGTTTAAGATCAACAGTTGGTAACTGATTATCATTTTGATTCAGCAGGGATTACCATCACATGATTCAACATTCACATTAGGGTTTCCCATGGGATTGTTTTAGAACATCATCAACAATGTTTTTTTTCAAAATATTGAATATCATTCCCCATGGGATGTTTGATTCAATGGGATTGCATGTTGATTGAACGCCTTTTTTTTTGAATATCACCAACTGAGTTTGGATTTCCCAACTGGATGGCTAGAAACTAATCCTGTGTGTTGTTTTTGATGTTTTTTTTTGCTATACATGGAGAATCACCAGCCAAGCAGCCAATTTGGCTCTGGCCGAGCCACCAGAAACCTACTGGGATTTTCTGACGAAGCTGCGACACCATGGCAAGGGAATATAACTGATGGATCTGATGGGTGTATAGTTGGGAGGATACTGGGATAATCACCCTCTGGTTATGACTAACAGTTTGCGAACTTGAAAATGGCCCAGTCGAAATAGTTGATTTTCCCATGAATCGCATGGTGATCTTCCCATAGTTTTTTGTATGTTTACCAGGCCGGGTAACTGATTTTTTACGGAGACCTGATGGTTGATGATGAAATTTATGGATGCACTATTGTGATGGATGAATGGAATGATAACGTCTAAACGTGACATCACTGGAGAGATTGGTCTTTTGGATTCCAGAAAAAAATGGCCTTATGATAATACTTATTTTCAGGTTAGTAAAGTATTTGAAATGCAGCCAGTTTTTTTCTTATAGAGTCCCTCCCGGATCTTTGATGCCACAGGGGTTCCCGTTATGGGACATCGATGACCGTCGATGTTTTTGGAGGAAAGATCCAGGAAAGGACCCGACCTATTGAAACGAAACGCATGGCCAGTTCACCGACTTTTGCTGGTTGAAATCAATCTTTTACCTAGTTTTACCCATATTCCCACCTTCCCTTATTTATGATTCTATTTTGCGGAAAAATAACAATCTAACAATCTCCATCAATCTCCATCAATTTCCACATCTTTCAACATGCCGATTTTTGACCAATCTCCCGATCATTTATTGATAGGTGCGTGCCCGAAATTGTAACTTGTCTACCCATGAACATCACTTTTTAATCAACTTTGCAATATGATATATTTACACATATTTACATACATACGTAGGGAGCATGCATACGATACCTTCTGGTAAACATACACAAAACTATGGAAAGATCCACCATGCTATTCATGGGAAAATCAACTATTTCTATGGCCATTTTCAAGTTCGCAAACTGTGAATGTTTACCAGAGGCTATATCATATTAAATCCTATTAAACCACATTAAACCACCATAAAATCCCATTAAATCCCATAGGGTAACTGCATGCGATAGCTGACCCAAGATGCCTCGGAGATCCAGAAGGTGGTGTCGACAGTGGGGGATAAGTGCCATGTCCCGTCCTCCAAGGCATACAAGGAGAAGGCTTGGAGGCACCCACCGATGAGGACAGGATAACAGGGACCCGGCGTTGTAGCCTCTGGTAGTCATATATGGAAATCCCCTACGTATGTATATTATATATATATATATATTGACATATTATATATATATATACATATGTATAATCATAATATATATATATACATATTATGATTACACATATAAGTAATGTGTAACACAATATGGAGGCTTCAATGGGAAATTCATCGAAGTAAGTGATGTTCACCAACCTTTTTTTATTGGGAAGTAATTGATGTTCACCATTTGGCAATCAAACATGGCATTGCGGACAATCCACAAAACTATAATCGATTTTCCCACCAACACATCCATTCATAGGGGATTTTTAACTGCCATCTTGACGAAGGTACGGGTACTTAGCATGTTGGTTCGGTACGTTTGGGCGTTCAGAACGCGCGTTTTAAAAACTCGCGTTCCAGAACGCGCGTTCTGAGTGAATCCTTTTTTCCAATGATATAAAATCAATTTATTTCCGGGGTTTGAACAGAGAAACCTTTTTCCCCCACTAAAAAAAAGGATGTGGAGCTGTGGAGCTCTTGTGGGCTCAAAATGGTAGATGCAGCCACCAGAAGGCTGATCAGCGATCTGGGCCATGACTTGGACCTTGATGGGATATGTTTGGATTGATAATTAAGTGGATAAGTGGATAAGAGTTAGTGGGAAGGGGATATATGAGATATTAAAAGGATTTTTCTAGGGTTTGATGTTGCTTTGTGTTGCTGAGAAGAACCGTTTGGACAAAAAGCCTTAGGTCGGGCAGGCCTAAGATGGAATCCTTTTTTTTAGAGGCTTTAGAAAGCGCTGGGCAGGCCAAACACGGATCCTTTTTTTAGGGCCTTTAAAAAGCGCTCGGCAGGCCAAAGACGGATCCTTTTTTTGCCTGGTTTTAAAAGAATTGTGCAGGTTAAAGCCTGCAAGTTTTGCTCCTGGACTGCTTGAAGACTTCTTGAGAAACTCCATGTGCTAGAGTGGATCCTTTTTGCAGGGAGCAAAAAAAAGATTCGGACGCTTCTGGGATCCATAAAACCACTAAAAACACCCCTGCGTTCGGAACACGCGTTCAAGAACGTACGTTTGGCGTTCTGCGTTGTGAACGTGCTAAGTACGGGTACAATCAACAATGTGGTGCATTGATAGGTCCATAATTACTAACTAACTGTCCATCTCGGGCGAAACTGTCTTTCACAGTTTTTGACATGGTGCATTTTTAATATTTTTCTAAAATACATATATGGTGGTTTCTGAAAATGGGGGATCCCCCATGGGCTTCAATACCAAAATCATCCAAAATGGTCTCTTGGATGATTTGGGGGTACAATACCACCATTTTAGGAACCATCCATTTGGTGGAAAATTAGCCTTTCATATTTGTAGCTCCTGTTTGGTGATATTGGTGCTACCGGGCCATTGTCATGTGTGCCATTTGACCATGGTCAAACATGGGTGGTTTTCTCATAGGGATTGGCCATCAATCCATAATAATCGGGATTCTGTACCCATTTTTCGGATTCCCACTATAAGAAGGATGACCAGAAGCCATAAATCTCATCTTTTGACAGGGGCACATGTCATATTTCTCCGGGACAGTGTGCCGACCTTTCTCCGGGTTTTGTAACGGCAAACTCGGCAAACTCGCTGGAAATGGTTGCCACATGTGGCCAGCCTTTAACTCACATTGTCTGGTTGGTGGTTTGGAACATTCTTTATTGTTCCATATATTGGGAATAATGATCCCAACTGACTAATATGTTTCAGACGGGTTGAAATCACCAACCAGTTGTGATCATTTCAAGCCACCACTACTCTGCCATGGTTGCCTCCCAACCTGTATGACAAGCCTGCCTGACAAGCCTCGAAATTCATCCTGAGCCTAGGTAAATCTAGGCTCAGGATGGCTCAGGGCAAATAGGTGATGATATATGATGATATATGATGATATATGATGATATATGATTATATATGATGATATATATATATATAATGATATATATATATATATAATGATATGATGATCCCATTAAAACCACTTAGTTTGGCTATAAATGTCCATCAGCCACAGAGGAACTGGATGCCTTTTCCGCGTCCATCGTGGCTGCTGAGCAGGAGCGCTCCCAACGGGGGGAGCAGCTGGATATACCATGATATATACCTGGAGTTTGCCAGCGTTGAATTTAAGGTGTCATTTTTTTTCGGAAGCATGTACCCATTATATGGTTTTGGGATGTTTTTTGGGAGAACGAAAACCACAACTTTCGACAGATCATGATCCACATTCCAAACATCTTTTGTTGGTTGAATCCCCAGTAGTTATTGATCCCATAAATCAATGGGAGATCTTCAGGATCCAACAGATGGAGGTACGTTAGTATTTTTTTGGCCATATGAATTGTGGGAATATTCCCTGAAATTTAGGCCTGAAAAATAGGCCTTATATATGGTAGATACCTCCAATTTAGGTTCCTGAAATCGCCATTGAATAAATGCTCGTGAAATACCCCGCACGATCCCCGTGTGCGTTGCTTAGTATATACAATTGATATTTGTAGATCAAAGATATCACAATCCATATCACAATCAACATTGCAATTTAGTATAATCATCACCAATAATCCCCAATCATAAATAAAGAGAATTGGGGTCTGTGTTGATTTGTGATTATTTATTTATCTATATATCTATGTACATAAATCATCATCCCTATTGAAAATGGCCCATTTAGAAATAGTTGATTTACCCATGCATAGCATCGTGGATCTTTCCATAGTTTTTTGTATATTTACCAGCGGGTAAATACTATAATCCAATATAATAATCCCATTGTGATACTGTATTTGTAAACATCCCATTATTATCATTATACTATACCATTAATCCCATAGGATCCATGGTGCTGGTATATATGCTAACATTGAGGGTATATTGATGGGATCCATGTTACCATATATAGCAGCACCATGGATCCTATGGGAATTATCATCATACTATAATAATCCCATTATTTTCATTAATTGTAAACATCCCATGGGATTATCCCAATTATATACTTTGATTTGCTTAAGGGGTCCCCAAAAATAGCATCGTATTCACTATAGATACAATAATAATTATCATCATACTATAATAATCCCATTAGTTTCATTAATTGTAAACATCCCATTATTATCATTATACTATACCATTAATATCCATTAATTATCATCATACTATAATAAGCCCAGCAGGTACATCACAACTCCAGGAGGTGGAAGCCTCGTATCGCAGCTGCACGGACTTCCTGCGGGAGAACAACCAGGCCATCGAGGAAGTGGAAGAGCACAACGGCAAGCCCGGCAAGGACGGAGGGTTTTCACCACGTCACCGCGGGGATGGTGGGGTTGGATGGTTAGCCTGGTGGGATGGGGGTGAAATGCTGAAGACGGGAGGATGTTTGATGATTCTTGGTTTCTGGATTTTTATGGATTTGTTATTGATTTATTATTGATGTTTTATGGATTTTGATGGATTTTTATGGATTTTCGGAGTCTGCAGATGCAGTTTTTTGGTGTGTTTTCACTGTCAGAATGGGAACCTATAGGTGGATTTAGTCTACTTGAAACATGGCAGCAGTCAGCAAATTCTACTACGTGCAACTGGTGGAGCGGTGGTAACCCACTGAGAAAAGTGAGGGACTGAAACTTCCAAAAAGTCAATGGGTATAACGGGCTTGGGATAGGAAACATGACCAACAACATTGGTGATAAGCAACGAAGATGAGATGACAGCAGCAAAAATGATGACCGGCATCTCGAACACTGGGATGGTGTCATGAAACCACCCTAAGTCTGAAACTTGTGCACCCCACGGGAACAAAATGTCTCAATGTGATACCCAACTGTCAAATCCAATCAAACCAACATTCGGAATATGTAAATGATTCATGTTATTCTTATATATGTTTAGCCACTATCAACACCATTTAACTTCTTCAAACACTTTAACCATATTGATATTTCGCCATGTTTTAGCCAATCTTTAGTCAATATATACCCTCTGGTTATTTAACATAGCCATGGAAAATGGCCCATTTATGGATGATTTTCCCACTAAAACCTCCATTTATAAGGGATTTTCCATGGCTATGTTAAATAACCAGAGGGTAACCCCCATGTTTCGCCAAGGAGGCGGCACAGCAGCTGCTGAAACGCGCCAATGTGGCGAATGCCAAGCGCACGCAGATCGCCTCGGGAGGAATGAGCGCCATTCGCGAGGCGGGATTTCCATGGCGTTTGGTGATTTCCCATGGGACTTTTCATGGGGATTCAGTGGGAATTGACAAAAACACAGTACTTTTTGGTGATGTTATATGATGTTATTGTAATTTATGGTGTTTTTTTTTTTTTTGTGATTTTATGGCTATTTATGGGAATTTGTTGGTGTGTTGTGGGAATTTGTGGGTGTTCTCCGGGATTTGACTGAGGTTTGAATGGGATTTTGCTAGAATATCATGGGATTTTGCTAGTGGTTTTCATATGTTCATAGACTGATGAAAATGGATGGGCTGGTTGCTGGGGAATCTATAGTGAATATGAGGGAATCTATAGATATCTATAGTGAATATACAACATTATACAACCAACCAGTGGGTGAAGCCTGATTTTATCACCGGGAACCCCCCCCTGCGGGCCAGTTGGCCCTGCAACGCCACGCCGCCTTGGTGGAAGCGTTGGAGCGCCGCAGCCTGGCGGAAGCGCTGTTGGAACGCGAATACGCCATCTTCAAACGCGCCTCGGCGCAACGGGAGGTTGGGAGGCAACGGGACGGCCTCGACCTGGTTGGGGGATTCCACTACTGGTTGGTGGTGACTGGAACATCATAGTGGGATATACCATTTTTATAGTGGTTAATGATGGTTAATGGTTAATAATCACTGGTTGGTGGTGACTGGAACCATGGAATTTTGAATGACTTTCCGAAAATATTGGGAATTTCATCATCCCAACTGACGAAGTCATATTTTTCAGAGGGGTAGGTATACCACCAACCAGACTAATCTGGTGAGATTTGTATAGATTTGTGCCAGGGGTCTGGTCCAAAGGTAGCATTTACATTTTCTTAGACGGTTTGGAGCTTTTGAATGCTTTTGATATCTTTTGGGAAACTCCAATATGAAGATGTTGCATGAGCGGAGGGGACCTTTCACAGACAAAAAAATAGCTGTTTGGTGCAACCAGGTTGTGGGGTTATAACTCTGCACAAATTATAGCGAGGACAGCCGAGGCAACGAGGCAGGTTGCAGGAATTAGCGAGGTCAGCCGTTAGTTTGCTCATCAGAAATAGCCGACCTCGACGAGGTAGCCTTGCATTGGTTCTGTTGCATGCTTGGGCTTAGCTAGAAAAACTTTTTTGGGGGCCAGAGGCCGGTCAGCAGGCAAGGAAGGAAAACAAACTTTTCAGGCCCCAAAAAGTTTTATTTTCTATCGCCAGAGGCCGGTCAGCAGGCAAGGAAGGAAAAAAAACTTTTCAGGCCCAAAAAGTTTTATGTTCTATCGCTAGAGGCCGGTCAGCAGGCAAGGAAGGAAAAAAAAACTTTTCAGGCCCCAAAAAGTTTTATTTTCTATCGCCAGAGGCCGGTCAGCAGGCAAGGAAGGAAAAAAACTTTTCAGGCCCCAAAAAGTTTTATTTTCTATCGCCAGAGGCCGGTCAGCAGGCAAGGAAGGAAAAAAAACTTTTCAGGCCCCAAAAAGTTTTATTTTCTATCGCCAGAGGCCGGTCAGCAGGCAAGGAAGGAAAAAAAACTTTTCAGGCCCCAAAAAGTTTTATTTTCTATCGCCAGAGGCCGGTCAGCAGGCAAGGAAGGAAAAAAAACTTTTCAGGCCCCAAAAAGTTTTATTTTCTATCGCCAGAGGCCGGTCAGCAGGCAAGGAAGGAACAAAAACTTTTCAGGCCCCAAAAAGTTTTATTTTCTATCGCCAGAGGCCCGCTTCGTGGGTTGACGGCTGCAGAAGCAGTAGGATTCAGAGTTGCTCCAGAAGAGCATTGCATCTCTGCGATAATGTCAGAGATGTCACCACCCAAGCGCAAGAAGCGCAAAGACCGATCAGACTCAGATTTAAAAATCCCTGCAAGAGACCGTGGATCGTGGAAAAAAACTTTTCGGAAGCTGAAAAGTTTTTTTCCTTGGGGTTGGACCCTGGAAAGAAGGCCCACAAGCTACTTTCTTCCTTCGAATTAACGAGGTAAAGCCTTAATTTGCACCTGCAAATTAACGAACGAGGACAGTAATCATGGGGAACAAATTAAGACACGAGGGAGACGAGGTAAGAATTAAAGTAATTTGGCCAGATAACTGGGTCAAGATGGAGACATTGAATTCGGAAACCTTTGTTGGTTGATGACACGGAGATTATACTCACATAAATTGGGGATGACCATGACACTGAGATGATAATTGGGAATGTAATGAATTGGCATAGTTCACACCACTAACTGGTTATCTGGTTAGTGTCTGGTTATAGCCGTATATAGATTGGATTGCAATGGTGATATAACCAACTGGATTGTGAGGATGTACCAAGCTAAAGGGCTGAATTCAATATCATATACAGGTTAGAAAAAACCTGTTGGGATAACCCATCAGTGTTGATATAACCAACAAACATCACGATTTAACCAATCCTACCTGGTCAGGAATCTTGGAATCAAGGATTATAATTTGTCATCTCTCCTTCAACTAGACCCTATTAGACCCTGCAAAATCAGCTGCTGGAAGACTAGTCTCAAGAAAATGATGGATTTTCTGTTGGTCTATCTGTTGGAACCCCCCAACATTTGAATACTCACTGATGGAAACAAAGGCGATCTGGAGATTCTGAGAATTATCTATATATAGAATATATAATATAATATATATACTGTATATGATATATACAGAGATATTTACAATTTACACATTTTCACAGAAACTTATTATTGGCATCACTCAACAGTAGTGTTTCGCGACAACTGTAACCAACTTCGGTGTTGATTACGACGTTGAAACAATCAGTACACCCATACGTAGTATGCTCCACGCGTATTTCCCAAACATTTGAATGTTTGTTTTTTTTGGTATAACGGCTGGTAAATGTTCAAACACCGTAGAACATATTGGGCCACATTGGGGCATATTGGGCCATATACTACCATTCGGGAATCAAACGTGGTAATGGAACATCGTTTATATATAGCTAATGTTCCTAAATGATCCTAAATGTCCATTGATATATATATATATATGTATATATCTCTCTCTCTATATATATATATATATGTATATATACTGTATATATATATATATATATATATCTATATGTATCTATATATATATATAATTCGGGGATTTCTCTGCTTGCCATGTCTGACACCGCAGGGGACCATCATTGAATCCTTGGGAATCTGGTAATCATCTGGTAATCGACAATGAAAATCACCGTGAAATCCATCATGTTTTTAGGTTAAATCATGTTAAATCCGCCCTTTCTCCACAGTTTTCCCATAATAAACATCATGTGTTCCCATCTTAAGCCTCATATTTCCCATTATTTTCTCAGCTTTTCCCGTGGCGTATTCACCACGCGTCCCAAGTCGCTCAGCCAGCGCCCATACGTCGCGTGGCGTCCCCGTGGCTCAGGATACGACTCGGGTGGGGAGGACCGAATGACCATCAGCGATGCCATGCACTACGCACGAAGCGAGTTTGGCTTCGAGGCGGTGGACCGAGGTGATCAGAGCTTGGGGGCTGGCTGTCTATATGCACAGCTGGTGACATATACTTAATGATACAGTAATTACTTCAATAATAATGATAATAATGATAATAATAATGTGTTTTTTCTGGATATCAGAAAAATATGATAACAGCAGATTTCTATATATGCTGATAGACATCATTTATATTACTTTTAGGGATATCTGGATGACCATATATACTATCACCATGGTCTGGGATATTCATATCCTTGATATACCAGTCATTTGGGATCACCATCTGGGTTTTCTATACATCATCCACATTACTTTTAGGGATATATATATATATATCCCATATGCTCCATGGTGCTGGTATATTTACCTACATTTGGGTGATTTTTTGGGCAAATGTTGGTAAATATTCCAGCACCATGGAGCATATGGATATAGAATATACGTGTACATATACCAGTATACTCAATAATGAACCCCAATTCAAAATGGCTGATGGCATTCTTATCCTTTCAAGTATTAGCGTGGATGAAGAATCCCTTGTGTCGACGTCAGGTGTCTCCAAAAGACTTGGAGAGGCGGGACTGTTGGCCGAACCATGATGCCTACATGGAGGGATGGGTGACCCGGTGTCAGGGAAAAAAAACATGTGGATGTTAACGCCACATGGGAATGTCTATCAAGGTTGGGTGGTTCACTCAACAGTCGGGGACATTTTTTGGTTTTTGCTGTAAGCCAGCGTTGTGTGGGGTAGCGGGTATTTAAAGGTTGGTATCCCATTATTTCCCCATGAAACACAACTATTTTGATTGGGTAATGATTGGTATTTATCCCATGATATTCCATTTACAACATATTTTTTTTATGGTTGGTATCCCATTATATATCCCCATGAAACACCATTGGTTAGGGGATTTACCATTAACGCTTGGTATTTTATCATCATACCCCATATATTTGACCCAACCTATTATTTTGACCCATGGTTGGTTGGTTAAAAACCTACAATGTGAGGCCCCCAAGACATCTAAGTTGGTTTATAACTCCAATAACTATGGTTTATGGTATTTATAACAATAGTTACTGGGGCTTTTGTTAACCAACTTATAACTGGGGGGCCTCACATTGTAGGTTTAGTCCTTTTCGGGCCGAGTCCTGCAGGCTATTTCAGCAACTGGCAGAAAGGTGGGACAAGGTGCCTGCCGGTTTCTGGTGGTTTCCGGTAGTTTTGACTGGCTATAACTGTAATTTTATGGTGGATATATCATAGTTTGTTTGAAGCCAACTAGTAAGATTAAGAAACCATACATGGATAATAAATGGTAATATGTATGTATATATATATATATATATTCAACCAATAATTGATAGGTGTCAGTGGGTTTATATCAGGGCTAAGTGTTACACCAGCAATCAGAACGTTTGGTCTGTAGATCTTCACAAAGGTGATTCGGAGCCTCCGAGCATCAAGCCTGGCACTGCAAAATCAGCTGTAGATCAAGGGCCTACCAAACATGGATTTGTATGGATTTGTACGAAAATGGTGGGTTCCTAAGTCATGGGGGTACCCCCAAATCATCCATTTTAGTAGGGTTTTTGTTTTTGCTCATGTTTTTCCAATATAAACCATTCAGCTGTTGGGGTACCCCCATTTCAGGAAACCTCGAATAGCCTTTCCGGCACAGAAGTGGACAAACCCAAATGGTCATTTTCAAATTGACCCTCGGGTGTCATCAAACGTGGCTGGCTAATCCTCGAACGAAATAAATGGAGGTTTATACATGGTTGATTTTCTATTAAAATTAGAACATCAATTGACAATTCACGATATATATATATATAAATAAATAATATAATATATATAATATTATATATATATTATAATTTATATATAATATATTATATATATATATATTATATACATAATTTTCCATGATTTTCCCATCAAACAAACTTGCATTTTCCCAGCGCCGCAGTCCTACGCAGAAAGTTTGCCCTTCGAGCGTTTCCATGACCTCAAGGTGCCATGCTGCACCAGTTGGATCCAGTTGGTAGATGGGCAGTCTATGCTGCTTGTAATCCCACGATTTACCATGCTATTCATGGGTAAATTACCACTATTTCGACTGGGTCATTTTCAATAGCTATGCGAACGTTTACCAGAGGGTAATAGTCACTTGTAATGGCACTATCTTGGCCAATTACCCTCTGGTAAACGTTCACAGTTTGCGAACTTGAAAATTGCCATTTTGAAATCGTTGATTTAGCCATTAAAGATGCTGATTTTCTATAGTGATGTTAGTTTACCAGGGCTTGATAAATGTCACATGGCTTGGAGATTTTGAACATCACTTTCAAGTATCTATTGGAGATTATATTACTGTATATCCCTAATAGTTGGGTGATGTTCAGTTAGGACATTTACCAACCCCTGCAATCCCACTATTTACAGTGTTTCATAGGAATCCCAATAGTTCCCAACTGGTGCAGGATTCCTTTCAGAGTATCATAATATGGTTATGGGTCAAGTCATTGGATACCGGTACTAAAAAATCGACTTCAATTGCTGGCATTAATCCGTTTATCTCCATCCAGGATGATGTGTTCTTAATGACACACTCGAAGTTTTGTTCAAGAGTTTGATCCACCCTCTGGTAAACGTTTACATAACTATGGGAACATCACCATTTTTCATTGGAAAACCCACTCCAAATGGCCGTTTTCAATAGCTATGTTAGTTTACCAGAGGCTATATCATATTAAATCCCATTAAACCACGTTAAACCACCATAAAATCCCATTAAATCCCATTAAACCACATTAAACCACCATTAAATCCCATCTGAAATCCCATTAAACCACCGATGGGATGCAACCGGTGGCAGTTTCTTAGGTGGCAGTGGGCATTTTTCGAGAAATCGCTGGGAAGCTCAGCGGCTGCTTCGAAACATGGGGAGTTGTAACAAACTCAATGGGGAGGGGGACCATGTCTAGTAGCCATGATCATTGGAATATATATATATAATATATAAATATATGAATTATCTAATTATAATAGATCGATCTATATTCAATGCACCATGATATATATTGTCAAATACTTGGGGGTGTTTGATTGCGGTAAACAGGGTTTTCATTTTTTCTTGGATCACATCATTAAGCATTTCGTGATTTGATGCCCAGAATGGGTTGAACCCCTATATTTGGGGTGCCCATGGCTCATATTCCCTTGCCTGAAACCAATCCATTGAATATCCAAACTCTTGATTATGGTTAAAATTCTCATTTTTATAAAGTTTATTCATGTTTTTAAACATGTTTAATCCCTAACAACCCCCCCCCCCGTTAGGAAAAAAACAACTTTCCATTTCCGGGACTCCAACGTATACTACTGCTCTCCAATGTTCCAGGTGATCAGGTTTTTATCACCGCGAATTTTAGGAAAGAACAAGTGGATTGGTTTAAGGGAACGTTTACAAGAAATCCCTGATATTTGATGGCACACATCCATGGTTTTTCTATTAAGACTTTCCCCTTCAACAAATCCAGTGAATCAACCATTCCCCAACTAGAGGTGTTTTGAAATTGAAGTTACCACTCACTGTGGATGTAGGGAGCCATCAGATGGTGCAGGTAGCTGGGAAATTGCCGAACTAGGCATTTGATCGGGAAAGTCATCGAAAGTTAATTATATGGGTATGGGTCAAAATTAGGGACCCCAATAATTGGATGGTTAATACTAAACTAGACTAACATCTGTGGTCCCCTAGGTCTTCCATTTTGACCCACATCCATATACCCTCTGGTTATGACTAACATAGCCATGGTATAGATGGCCCATAGAAATAGATGGTTTACCGTTTTTAATAGCATGGTGGATCTTTCCATGGCTATGTAGCAAATAACCAGATGGTACTGTATATGGCAACATTTCCAGAAAGAGTTTGACCGGAAGGTATCGGATTTGCTCAGGCAACATTCCTCTCAGTTGAGGTGTACTTATTGACTTACCCTCTGGTATACGTTTACATAACTATAGAAAATCACCATTATTAATGGGAAAACTCACTATAAATGGCCATTTTCAATAGCTATGTTAAATTACCAGAGGGTATACTATATTGTTGTTTTGGCATGCATATATCAGTTTGCTTTCGCTGGTGATAGATAGATTTTACTTGTTTGGTTTACTTTGCCGTTTGCAGTTTTTTGGTTCAAACTCAAGGGAGTGCAAGACAATCCCTATCTATGACTGGGGAATCATCTATATGTATAGTTACCTCCAACTTTTAGTAGGATAGTAGCAAGCTCCACATTCAGTTGTTTCTTGATTTCAAAACATGCCCGAATGGTCAAGCCTGTGACGGGGTGCTGAGGCAACTGTAGAGATTATTTTGATCAGGACATGTGACATCATTGTCGGAACATGGTACTATATTTCACAATAGCTGCAGCTTCCGCCGAACTTCCGAGAACTATCATTATTACAATTTTGACAAATAGGATTGTCAAGGTCAAGGTTTCTCATTATGACATCCACAACAATGACTAAGGGATCCTTCTCAATATATCCTGCAACTTGAAAAGAGAAAAAAACAAACAAACATATATGGCTTTCTCAAAATCTAGGACTCACTAAACTCCAAGTGATTATCAATTTCAAAATGGTCATTGTCCCAAAAAATGGCAAGAACTTGTGGCATTTCCCATCTTTCAACGGGCCAAAAAATTGGGCACTTCCCTGGAATGAGCGGCAGCCGTTTTTTGCAAAGCTTAGCCCAGCGCCTTTCAGAGCGCGAGCCCAAGCACTCGACTCCTGGATAAATCATCCGGCTAACCCGGGTACCCGGGTGCCCCAAAAAAGAAATGGAAACCCCCAAAGTGGGTACCCTCTGGTATTTAACGTAGCTATTGAAAATGGCCATTAATAGTGGATTTTCCCATTAAAAATGGTGATTTTCTATAGCTATGTTAAATTACCAGAGGGTATGTAGCATGTACCATGTTAATCCATGTTATTTCACTGTATCGATGTAGCTTGAACATCTTTGAACCATCCTGGAATATGCCTGTACCAAGTGAGCATAGCCTACACAAATATGGGTGGATCGGTGGTGGATTACACAGTGGTGTCAGTGTGGGCATGTAATCATGGCTATAACTTAGTCCCGGCCATGAGCAAAAGAACAGCTTGTTGATTGGGGATACTGTGGTGACGCCACAAAAAAAATATCTATCCCCAAGTCATCAGCATCGTTGTGATATAAACCATGCAGTCATCTAGTTGTGATATGTTGTGATATTGGGTGAATCCCGGAAGGTCACTGGTTTGATTGCGGGAAATCATCCCCTTTTATGGCCCAACATTTACATGGTCAGTGAAATATGATAATGTACTCAGAAAAAAACCTGCACCATGTTGGTATACTTAATTTTACCACTTGTTATGGCGACATAGAGCTGGATTGGAAGCCCCATCAATTGCAGCAACCCTGCAGGGATCTTCAATAGGAGAACGATGTCGTAGCCAGCAAAACCAACCTTCATCCCAGAGGATGTAAAATCTGATCATCCCAGAGGATGTAAAATCTGATTCGAAAAATTGTGGTATCTTACTGTATAGTACTATGCCAGTAAACCCATTCTATAAATCCCATACCATAAACCAATCGGTATTTCACTGTACTATGCCATGAAAAATCCCCTCCAATACCGTTAAATCCTATATATAGATCCTATGAAATTCCCTCAAATCCCATGAAATCCCATAGAAATGACCATGAAATCCCCTTCACATCGCTTTTTCTTGTCTCATGAAAAGTCCATATGAATTCCCATGAAAATCAGATGGTTCCCCCCAAAAATCTTCCCCCTTTGTTTGGTTAGGAACTGTACCAAGCGCGCCGCGGTGGCCTTGATCTTCCGGGTCTCCTGCGATCACAACGGAGGGCCAGCAGGGCCTCAGGCGGAATCGCCCTCGGACCTGTCGGAGGTGGAGCTGCTGTACATCCTGCGCACGGCGCGGCAAGGCGGACGACTCGGCGGACTGGCGGGATCTGTGGGATCTGTCGGGATTTTCGGTTAATATTAATGGTTAATATTAATGGTTATTATATGGGATCATAAATAATGGGATATACCAATAATAGTAGTGGTTAATGATGGTTAATGGTTGTTTTTATCACTGGTTGGTGGTGACTGGAACCATGCAATTTTGAATGACTTCCCAGAAACAGTTGGGAATAATGAATCATCCCAACTGACTTGAGCATATTTTTCAGAGGGGTAGGTATACCACCAACCAGCCTGGGTTTGTTTACGGTGATGTTTTATTTTTCCAATGGAAAATCCACCATTTGAGGAATCTATAGTGAATATGATGTTATTTTTTGGGGACCCCTTAAGCAAATCAAAGTAATTGTGGGATAATCCCATGGGATGTTTACAATTAATGAACATACTGGGATTATTGTAGTATGATAATAATTAATGGTATAGTATAGTGATAATAATGGGATGCTTACAATTATAGTATCACAATGGGATTATTATATGGGATTACAGTATTGATCCGTTTAATTAGTTATTATAACATATTAAATTATAATAAGGGATGTTGACCATTTGGTGCAGGATTTCGCCCAGTTTACCAGTAGTCCCTTCACTAATATTAAACGTACCCCCAAATGATAAAACCTAGGGGTAGTTATTATTATTGTATTTATATAATATTCGGGGGAGAAGCTGGCTCCTAATATTGAATCAAAAGCCTTAATGAAAAAAAAATGTCAAAATCAATTAAATTCCCTTTTAAAATTTAAAATCTAATTAAAATATTTCCCATATTTCCCAAAATTGGATTTCGAAGCTTTCCCCCATAATACTAAATTAAAAACCAAAAAAAAAGCAAACAACATGTTCGATTTCAAAATCAATTAAATTCCCTTTTAAGTAGCTAATTAGCTAAAATATTGCCACAACATGGATTTTGAAGCTTTCCCCTGATATTAAATTTCAAACCGTAGTTTAAAAAATAAAATGTTCGATTTCAAAATCGATTAAATTCCCTTTTAAAATCTAATTAACATATTGCCAAAAATTGGATTTCGAAGCTTTCCCCTAATATTAAATTTAAAACCTTAACAAAAAAAAAGATTTCAAAATCGATCAAAATCCTTTTCAAAATCTAATGAAAATATTGCCAAAGATTGGATTTCGATGCTTTCCCCTATATAATATCAAATTTGAAACCTTAATTAAAAAAGCTGAAAAACAATGATTTCAAAATCAATCAAATTCCTTTTCAAAATCTAATTAAAATATTGCCAAAAATTGGATTTCGATGCTTCCCCCTAATATCAAATTTAAAACCTTAGTTAAAAAAACTGAAAAACAATGATTTCAAAATCAATCAGGTTCCTTTTCAAAATCTAATTAAAATATTGCCAGAAATTGGATTTCGATGCTTTCCCCTAATATCAAATTTAAAACCTTATTTAAAAAAATTGAAAATGTTGATTTTAACAAACGGACCCTAATAAAAAACACCCCGGGGCTAACTAGTTTTTATTATTAAGGGGGTAGAACCTTCAAATGGATCTTGATTTTTAAATTGTTTTCGAAAGGGGATCAATTCAAAGTCAAATTCACCAATCTGAAATTTCCCAAAACAAATCATCTGGGGTAGTTTTTTTAATTTTATATATTTTATGGGGGGGTTAGTAATAGGGAGAAGGGATTATGATTATAATGGGTTTTGAAAACACTTTTTTTCCGCTCAATTTTACATGCTCTATTCTTGGGGTTCAATTCAGCTCAGCACTGGAGATGACTGGAGATGACTTGGATGTAATTTAGAGTTGATGTACTACCTATTTAAAAATTGCCTTTTTTTGCATAGCTATCTTAAATTACCAGGAGGTAACTGATATCCTAGTGATCTAGAGGTCTTTTGGTACACTTTTTCCATTTGTTTCCCATCGGGAACCTGAAATTGATCCAAAAGTGGCACAAATTTTCTCTTGTGACTGGTATACGCAGAGCTTGAAAAAAGATGGCTGACAGGATCTGCCAGGATCTGCCAGGATCTGCCAGGATCTGCCAGGTGTAAAACGGATGACTGAGTAATTCCCATGACTCCTTTGCCTGCTATGGGACCACTGTGGGAGGTGACAAATGGAGTGGCCACGTTGCTTTCCCCGGCGGAAAGCGTGAAGCATCGGACAAAGACGATCGAGCTGCCGCGGTGCGGGAAACCGAGGAAGAGATCGGACGCTCGGATGTTTAACCTCCCATTTCTGGAGCATGTTCCCAGTCTCAATGGGTAAATTAGCTATGAGTGGCGGATGTTCGGATGTTCTTTGAAGGAAGTCCCCAAAATTACCATATTGCTGGAGCATGTTGAAGTCACCAGCCAGATGCAGCTCATATACCTCACAAGGACCTCCATCGTTTAGATATGTTTACATAAAGTTTACATATTATCCGCAAAATAGCACACTTTGATAAAGATGTTACCCTCTGGTAATTTAACATAGCTATTGAAAACGGCAATTTATAGTGGATTTATCCATCAAAAATTGTGATTTTCCATAGTTATGTTAGTTTACCAGAGGGTAGGGATGGTTTTATGATGTGCCATGGTCAATATATATATATATATATATTGTGATTGGTCAGCGGATATCAACTCCAAATCACCAAGCGAAGCCTCTTCGCCCAACCTTCAAGCTCGTGCAGCGGCCTCGCTGCTTTTTCCACAAACGCTCCAAGTAGCCCCCAAGCTACTAACGGCCGTCCACGGCCAATGCCAGTTCTATGGCGTCAAGGCTTTTCCCACCCGCCTCTCTTCCTGAAAAACCAATGGCTTCCTGAGCCACGTGCCTGCATGAGACAGCCCCTTTGGTTACCTGAACGTGCATGGCATGGTGCAACAAGTGGAAATAGCCAAGGACACTGGTGGGAAATGAGCATGATTCACACTCCCAAAACTTCAAAGTTTTGTGCTTTTAGCTCATTTCCTCAGTAGTGGTTTTCAACCAGCGGATTCGATTTCGAGTGGTGGCACGTTCCTTCAACACTTGCTCAATGTCGTGAAGACAATATGAACCATGTTTGAGGGTTGAACGCAGGAACGTGGCTTCCATGGTCTTGGTAAGTGCATCCGCAAGTTGGGCCCCACTGTGAACCCAGTGCAGTTGGATACCTTCATCAAGTATGTCTTTTATGGCTCTGGCTTGCAGTTGGGTACGGTATTCTTGGCACTTTGGAACCGCTGTTCGTGTGGTGAGATCAAACAAGCTTTTACAGTCTGTTATGGCTAGATCCTTCTCATCAACTTTCATAGTGGGAACCGTTAAGGCCTCAGGGAGATTTGAAACTTCGCTAGGGTTTTGCCATCTGATACTTTGATCGAAGATCCAGGCCCAGTACAAACGAAGCCAGGTTAACTGGTCTAAGGTTGTAGACAAAGCCGATGTCTCTGCTGATAAAGTGCTTGTGACAACCCTCTGAATTTTCTTTGATCCCCATGAAATGGGACTGATGGGACAAGCTTTGTTTTGGGATATATCCTTATGGGTAGCCAAGATTATCATCCCCGCATGTGATTCAGGTTTCACCTTCGATGCAAAGGAAGCGTCCGAAAAGGCAAGAAATCTCAGGTCATTTGGTTTGATGGGTTGTATTTTTATGGTGACATCATGATGTTTCTTGGCAATGTGAAGGGCTTTATTGGCTGCAATTAAGGTGGAAACGGTGGCCTTGTTAATGTCTGATTGAAGAAAACTCAAAGAACTTGCCAAATCCGGTCGAGTGTGGACCGCAGCATACTGCAACGAGCCGATCAGGCCACGCAGGAGATGTCGTTCAGTGTCGGTCACTGGTGCATTCTCGTCAGCTTTTCTTTCTGTGGTGAGTGAAATGGGATTGATATTTCTTACATATTTTGATTGGGAAAGTTCAATGCTGTTATCAGTATTTTGGTGAAGGTCAATGCCAGTGAATGTGAAAGTGTTTGACTTCTTTGATCCGAATGGGTACTTTTGTTCAAGTTTGGATATCTGTTGATGGAAAAATTCATCACCTCCATGTATGCCATCATCGACATGTATCCCAAGCACTCCTGAGAGTCTTTGAGTCTCTGGATTCTTCAGCAAGAAAACGCACGGATCAAATGGAGATGCAATGAACCCCAGGGACAGCAATTCATCATGTAGGGTCTTGAACCACAAAAATGGTGCATCGATAAGTCCATACGCTGACTTGTCAAGCTTGCATATTTCGTCCTTAGACAGGTTCATGGCTTTCGCAAGTTCAGCTACTGGTTCCAGACCAATGGTTCGGTCTTTTTGCGGTCTGCCCTGCAAAAATGCTGCCTTTATATCGAAGGATCCAAGGTTCCATCCCATGGACGCTATCAGCTGAAGGATCAACATTTTTGATTGGCGACCCAACGTGGGACTGTCCCTTGGTACCTCAGTGAGCTTTGGATCCATATACCCTAACACCACCAAACGTGCCTTGGGCTTGTGAGTGGCCAGCTTTGAATTGCCTGTGCAGTTACCTGATTGACCATCCAAAGGCTTCCATACTAATATCCAACGGCATCTCAAAATTTGTTCAGGTGCAAGTTTATGTCTGAGGATTTTGGATACTGTTCCAGTCTTCAACCAATTATTAACCTCAGCTTCTTTGGCATGTTGAAACGCTCGTTGTTCTTCAGCTGTTAGCATGGACAGTTTTACCTCTGTGCGTTGTTTCTTTTCGGTGGTGGCCAGAAGGATGTCATCTGGTGACCAGGATTCGAGGTCTTTGGAGCACAAGGCATTCGGGAGTTCCAGTTCACAGCGCCACGCACAGGGTTCCTCAATTGGATCCACAACCATGACTTCATCTTCAACACATAGGAGGTGTGTCGTTACCAACTCATCCCCTTCCTCAAGTTCTGGAATTGGAGTGTTTATTGCAGGGTTATTGACTTCATGGAAACTCTGGGAATTTGGTGTGGTAATAGCTTCAGGTTCATCATCTGGTTGTTCTTGAGATTGGCTGGCATTATCGGATTGCAAGTTAGTGAGGGGATTATTTGGGTTGGGATTATTCATCTGACTTGGATTGATTATCTCTTGAGGATTATCATCGTCTTGAAATTGGTTGGTGATTCTTTGCAGGGTGTTCGAAAGTGGACTATTGGAAGGGATGTTGTCGGGTTGGTCACTGCAGGGTATCTGGCGAGCTTCATGTGAACAAACTGGTCGGATATGTTCAGGTGCCCTTCTATGGAGTTTTCCCCCTTGGGTGGCCCATACTGAGTGCTGGTCTTCTTGAGTGATCACTTTAAGTGGTCCGAACCAATGTCCCCCTTTCGGATTTGGTTGCCACATCATGACCCATTCTCCAGCTTCATAGGCGTCTCGCTTGGGACGAGACCGTCTCAGGCATGCACGTCGGAGTGCCATGTCATTGTCTGCCTGGTGAAAGGCAGTGCGAGCTTTCTCACGCAATGCCAAACTCCTCCTGAAAGCAATGCCTGTGGCATCTTCGCGGTCTGCACTTGCCAAAGAGGAAAATCCTTCAGAACTGCAAAGGGATCCAGGTAGTTTTGAGCATTTTCCAAACACTAGTGTTTCTGGGGAATACCCTCTACGAATACTCAAAGTGTTTTTCGCGTTGGTACATTGCAACAGGGCTTGCAGCAAGTCTTCATAGGTCTCTACTGGATACTCAAGATCTACTTTGGATAACATGTGCTGAAGGATGTCGCCATGGCGTTCACACCGGCCATTCTGCCAGTGGGCATACGGTGCAGTGGTCACGGGCTTTATGTCGTGACGTTGAAGAAAATTCTGAAAGGCTTCACTGAGAAATTCCGTTGCAGAGTCTGTTACTATCATGTTCGGTGCCCCTGCCCACATGAGCCATGCCTCGGACAAACACCTGATGGCATTTTCGGTGGTTCTGCTCGGTGCTGGAACTGCCACATGGTAATTGGTTGCCTGATCAATGATGTGGTAAAAATGAAAGTTTCTCCCTGACTTGTTTGTCCAAGTGATTCCATCTATAAAGATTTTATCGTTGAAGTCCAATTCATGTTTTACCGTGCTTGGTCGGGCAATCTTTGGTTTCTTCATGGTGGCACATACCGGGCATGACAAGTCAAACACTGCCTGCTGGAGTTCAGTTCGAGCTCCCTGCTGGCGCAAAAGTGCACTGAATTGTTCTGGGCTCGGGTGGCAGAGATTCTGATGGGCTCGCTTGATCATTGCCTGTTCTTCCTTCGGCAAGGCCATGAATCTTGGACCATGTACTGCTGATGTTGGTGTCTCTTGCGAGATTTGGGAAACTGCTGGATCCCTTTCGATTATCTCATCACTTTCTTCAGAGGATGGTGCAACCAACGGATTACTCTCGGGTTCCTGCGTCTCATGCTTTTCCTGGGTTGCTGGAACAGTTTCGGATGAGACACCTGCATCTAGCCGAGATGCTTCAGCCTGTACATTTGGATCGCTCTTTGGCGGCATCGATGGAGCTGCTGTGGTGATGGGATTGGCTGCAAAGACAGTTATATTGACCCGACAGGGCAGTGACTTGCGCACGATTTTCCTTTGGGACAACGTGTCATGCTTCTCCCATTCTGGCTCCATTATGATACTGCCATTGCTTCTAAGTTTCATGATGGCTCGCCGAAAAGGTGCTTCCCTTTTGTTGAGACCTTCAGGTGGGGCCAAGGCACGTTCCGTTCCCTTACATGCAACAATACACTTGATTATCTTTTCAGGAAACATCTCTTGCATGGCTTGCTTGATGTCGGGCTGATCAAAAACTTTGCGACCTACTCTGGGAAGTAGTTTTTCGATCTTCTGCATGATTTCATGTGCTTGATCAGGTGGTTCCTGACATGCTTCGGTGTTTGATGACGTGTCTTTATCTTCACCCATGGTCTTGATTTTCTTGTGGATATGATCACTGTCGGATTGCCTGTCTGCAGACTGAGATTTCTTGGAACGGCCGGCAGACATTCGCTGGCGCTTGGCTTCCCTTTCACCGGCTGCACAGACTGCATCAATCAACACCAATGCTGGATCGCACAAACTGCTGAAAGGTTTTTCTTTGGGATATTGATTCTTCATCAGGATTCTTGCTACCCGTCTGGCAAATCGGCGGGGATACCATTCGGAAAAGGTCGACCTGGACACTGTTTGGCCAAACGCTCTTGTGGATCCTTCGATCTGTTGATGTTGGTGATGTCCATGGCAACGCAGGGAATCCAGTTCATCAAACAACTTGCATGAAGACGTAGCGATATGTAATCCCTTTTTCATGGGCATGTGATTCACAGGATCTTTCAAATCACCGGCCACACACAAGTCTGGATATGCATGTTTGAGATACCTATAAATTTCCTGCACGTATGGAATGGACATCATGAGGGATCCTTTGGGCTGTTCCCAATGGACATGGCGTTGCAAACGAACTTGGTATCGGCACAGCGCAAGGCAAAGAGCTACTTGGATGAGACTGTCATGTCTATCAGCATGGATTTTGTCCCAGCTTTCTACGGATCTTTGACTATTGAACTGTGACCAACATGACCAGGGTTTACAAACCGGACTCATCCAAATATTTCTAGGCTGGTGCCTTCCAACCAACTGGAACAGCTTGGCTCGGCCTTCTTCAGATTGCAGGTCTCCTTGGCAGAGTCCAAATCTCATGGCTTTCCCTCCGAGAGCGTTTACTTGATTTGTCAGATTGCTATCTTCACTGCAGAACACTTCAAGCAAGTCTATGGATTTACCTAGTGGTCTGGTTTGGGAAATGATGTTGCTCATCTCTTTCGCAATTTTGTCCACTGTTTTCCAAAACTGCAAACGTTCTTTGTTCAAGTTGGATTCTCCAAACGTGTCAACCTCCCCTGCTGTCAGAGCTGAGTCGCATGTAGTCATCTCAGCCATCAATTGTTCCAGGGATCGTTCCATTCCTCGTCGATGGGCATCGTCGGGAAGGTCTCGACCGGCTCTGGCACCAAGTGCTGCAGGATCTGGTGCAAGGCATTCTCCAGATTCCCCATGCGAGCCTGAAGAGCATGGATCTCGGACTGATCTTCCGACGGTACCCACGGAGTTTCCACACCTGTCGACTCTCCGGGATGACTGGTTGTCATCGGCATTGCCTTGGCTTTGGGACGTGTCATCATGACCTTGGGAGTGGCATGACTGACGGGTGGCACTGGTGATTGTTGAACTCCTTCTCCATGAGTCTCTGTCTCCTCTATCATCAACTTGATGAATCGAATCATTTTTCGATGGGACAACTTCTTGCTGGACTCGTAATGTTGAAGGAACCACTTGGTCCACTCCGGGCTCGACATCCACACCTCCATGTAGGTCTTTCCGACGTGGGTTTTGCCAAATGACATTCTCTCTTCTTTCAGAGCTGACAGTGGGATGTGATCGATGGCTTCCTCCTCTCTGGGTGAGAGGACTGCTTGGACCTTCTGGAGACGGTGGGTCCACTCGCTCATGACGTTCACACGATGCGATCACTTGGGACACGACAGGATTGCTTTGAGGCTGATGGTCTTTCGGATTCTGTACAAACTTGGATTGATCATCTTCTGAATTGCATGACGTGGACATGATGCTGTTCGGCATGTTGGTTGATTTCAAAACGGTCTCTTGGCATGACATGTGATGTTGAGTTTCGGCTGACGAGCTGGCTTTTACCTTTGAACCTGTGACGACCTTCTGAACATCTTCCTCTCGACCCATTGATTCCGATATTTTGCTTTCTTCGGCGATGCTGTCTTGTGCAAAAGTTTCAGCAACCCTGGAGGCATCTTTCTCTTGACAACCCGCCTGAATCAGTTTGTTTAAATCAAGCAGGTACAAGCCTTTGGGCGACAAAGCAAGCTGGACCTGGGTACCATGTTTAGGCATGACCAAGGCATTTGAGGCGGTGTCAACCACTGCACCAAGAGCTCTCAACAGGGTATTGGAGAGTAAAAACGGTGTGGCACCTGGGACCACAGCGATTTTCAGGCCTAGGCCGCCTACTGGAACCATGATTGCGTGTTCTGATTTAAGGGTCCCCTGGTTCCCAAAACGAAACACTACATCACAACGGCACCTTCTGACCTGCTTTCTGATCTCCGGCAACAACCCTTGAAGAAAACTTGGAACATGTTCACTACCAATAACCGTTTTGGTCGCCCCAGTATCTATTATTCCCCATGTATCATGTGTTGAAAACAAGGCTTCGGCACTGTCCATCTCGGAGAAACCAGCATTGGCACTTTGTGCCAGGGATGCTTTGCTTGAAACTTTGATGGCGTTCCTTTGGATCGGAACCGGTGGGACGGATGCTCTCTCAGATTCACAGGGCTCGGCACGGCTGTCAACGGCGGATGCACGCAAGCGAGATTCAATCCTGCTCAAAAGGGATGTCACTTTGGGATTATGGCTATCCGTGTTACCCTGAACATAGCTTCTAATCCTCTCCCTAGTTACCCTCATGTTATCAGAATGGGCTTTCTCGACATGCTTGTACTGACCGCTATTGGAAAAAACTGACTGTACACAACAAATTGATGTGGCACTATGGATGTCCTGGGTAGATGGTGGATCCACCTCTGGCAACTTCATGAACTCGAGCGGCATGACTTCATCCATGGATGCGAGGGCTCCAACAGAGAGCGTCACTGGGGCAGAGGCTGCGGTGCTGGAAGAGGCACTTTGACTGCGCATTGGGCACTCACTTTTCCAATGCCCTTTACGTCCACACAGTCTACAGTTACTTTCCAATATCCTCTGCTGCAAGCTCTTGCGGCCTGACCATGGATTCTTGAATTTCCCTTTTCCCTTGTTGTTTCCTTTTCCCCGACCTTTCTGAACTGGCCAGAAACCTCGGAATCTCACTTTTTCACTCAGCTTCCTCCGTGCCTCAGTGTAAGCTGAAAAAGCCGAGGAAAGATCGGGATCACCTTGAAGTAAATCGGCTGCTGCACTTTCGAAATCGGCCACAAAACATGCATCCTCATCGCCTTCGGCGATAAGAGCTTCCATTACTTCTTCTTCCGGTACATCGTCATGCTGGGCAGTGAAAGCTGGGTCATCAGCTTCAGTTTGGTTTTCGGTTTCATCTATGGCGGCATGAACTTGGTCATACACTTTGGTCTTTCCTGAAGTCTTTGACAACCCTGTCATCTCTTGAAAGAACGTGGTTCCCAAAAGTCTGATTGCCTCTTGGACCCGAACGATGGTGAGTTTCCCTTCTAGAGATGCATCACTTTCCAGAATCACTCGCTTCTTGTCATCGCTGCTGAGAAGCGATCCCCTCAGTGTGATGTAAGCCTGCAGATCTTCTATCTGAAGCTTCTGGGTTCTGAGCTTTGTCCACAAAATGTCCGCGCGGGCCAGAAAAGAGTCGTGACTCTCGTCAGACTTCTGCGTGCACTGGAACAAAGCTCTTTCTGCGTCGGCATACTTTTTCTCAAGGCCAATTTGGCCCCAATGCCCTCCAAGAAGTTCAATGAGGCGTTTCACGCCTTTCGAATCATTCACACAGAGCTCTTCCTGATGTAGCTGGAGTTTTGCAAAGGCTGACCCTGATGTATTCAAAATCAATCGTGTGATCAACTCTGACAGTTTTCCAGGAGGCCAGACTGCTAAGACCAACTGTATCTTCTGCTGATACACCTGTAAGTCATCCTTCGATGGGTCGAAACTCGGAACTAAAATTGCAAGCTGACTTGGGATACTTGTGGATGCTTCTGCACCTTCGACACCAGCCATTGCAGAGTTGTAAGCGCAGGATCCAGAAAAACCCCAACAGGCCAAAAATTGAAACCTGGTCACCAAGCGAACTTCCAAAGGTTCCCGGATGCCCCCAGCGTGTTTGGATTGCTGGGGGCTCCGCTACCAATGTGATTGGTCAGCGGATATCAACTCCAAATCACCAAGCGAAGCCTCTTCGCCCAACCTTCAAGCTCGTGCAGCGGCCTCGCTGCTTTTTCCACAAACGCTCCAAGTAGCCCCCAAGCTACTAACGGCCGTCCACGGCCAATGCCAGTTCTATGGCGTCAAGGCTTTTCCCACCCGCCTCTCTTCCTGAAAAACCAATGGCTTCCTGAGCCACGTGCCTGCATGAGACAGCCCCTTTGGTTACCTGAACGTGCATGGCATGGTGCAACAAGTGGAAATAGCCAAGGACACTGGTGGGAAATGAGCATGATTCACAATATATATATATATATATATATATGAGGATATATAATATATGGTTCCCTGCCATCATGGCATCATGGCATCAGGACTTCATTTGGAAAGTCCCGACTTCCAATTCCTGGGTCAGCTGGATGATCGTGTGGTCACAGGCGCTGGAAAGGTCACTTGTCGTCAGGTGAGGTCAGGTGAATGTTGATGGATCAACGTGGCTTTTCAATGGGACTTTCCATGGATGTTTGATAGATTTTTGGTAATATTAATGGATGTTCAATTGGACTTTCCATGGATTGTTGATGGATTTTGGGTCATATGAATATTAATATTAATGTTCATCGGATTTTACTGAGATATAACCAAATTATACCGAATTATGATATGTGTTCGGTTTGTCTGAACATGGGGGATACCTCAAACGGCCATTTTGAATGGCTATGTGATGATAAATCATCAAAGTTTGGGTACCGGGTACCGTATTTTCAAACAAACCCATATTTGTTCTATGACATTTTAAGGGTATGAATTCAAATCAACCCATGGTTGCTGTTTTCATGGAAATTTCAGGATACCTCCCGAGAGGCCCCCCAAAAAATAGTCTGGGTTTCACAAACCCGGTCATTGATGGTGGTTAATATCAGGGTGGCAAAGAGGGGATCTAGATGCGCAGGGTTTACTTAAGTGGGGTTACAACGTTCAAAGCAGCAACACAATCCTTTTCCCCAAGAGTCAGAAAAAAAACACTTTAAGAATGACAATAAGCAAACACACTGAGAAAGTTTGGAAGTGATGAAATGCAAAGTGATCAAAACCAACTGCAGAAATACCCAAACTAACACATCCACACTACATTTTTCACAACCCAAAACATACATCCGAACCTCAAGGTTAATCCCCAGAAAATCCAGGGTTCCCCAGGGTGGCGCGTCACCAGCCCAGCCGGGTCGTTCGCTGTTGACACAAACGGTGGTGAATTCTATGGTTTAGTTGCGGTATGGTCCGTTGACACCAACGTTGACATCACGATTGGAAAGCCATTCACTATATATGATTGATATTTATAGATTATATTCATGTTAATCCGCATTATAGCTATGTATATATATATATATATGAATTCCCCATGAACATCCGTTAACTATATGTTGTTTGTTTATCCCCGTACATACAAGATACATATATATATAAGCTAATCCCCATGAACTATACTATACTATACATACATACATGCATGCATGCATGCATGCATGCATGTATGTATGTATGCACACACATATCCCATGATCTCCAGGTCATTGATGGTTTTTACTTGGCTCCCTTGCTCTGGTTTCAGCGCGCTCCCACGACGCCGCAACTCCAGATGCAAAGCTCCGAGGCGACGACTCCCAGTGCTTCAAAAAGTTACATATGCTACATAGTACCATAGACATTATATGTATGTATATATATATATATATTTGACTGGGCTGCTGTTAAGATAATCAAATAATCAAATAATCAAAAAGTTTTCTATATATTTCAAAATATTTTTTAATGCAACATATAATATAGTGATTAATTAACAATGATTGAAATTACGCTATTGTCTTGTTTGTTGCAAGGGCTCAACCTTTCTTGAAATCTCGTTGCCTAATCACATGGAACACCAAATATTCAGCCGCACAATACTTCCCACAGGTGGTGTTTTGCTGAAATTGCTCTTCGTTCATGAAAATTGTGGGTTCCCTCAATACAGCACAGCAAATACAAATATAGTTTTCTGACTTCTCTTGGGTTTTCCGACCTTTTGCAACATGGAGGGGATTGTAGCAGCTGTTTTCAGCAATGGTATCATGTTGGCAAATATACAGGCTGCTTAATTTTATTTCAACCATCACATAAAATATACTTGCGCATGTTGCATGTTATTATGTTTGAACCGTCCTCGTCGTGTTGAGTTGGTTCGTCAACTAGTCTAAAATTTGTTGAAGCGTTTCAGTGAAGCATCACCTCATCACTCAAGGTTTTGATCCTTTAAACCATACATTTACAGATATTCATGCATAAACATGTGTACAAGGAGAACTTCACACATTGACACGCACACGCACGCAAGTCTATATCTATCTTTGACATAAATATATGTACATACATACAAATAATATATCTATACTTATATATTGTAAATATATAATACATATTCACAGCATGTGCATGGACATTGGAGTGGCCATTCCCTTTGAAGAGAATGCACGCCTTGCCATCACGGAAAACTACCTGCCCTGCACCCCCAATGCTCCCCTTATCTGAAGAGCGAGTATGCATGGTGATGTCCCGCAGCAACGCCTTGCAATATGGTTTGAACTTGTCTGCACTTGGGGGGCCAGAAGTATGATCACATGTCAAAGGGAGCTTGTGGTCTTAGACGTAAAAAAAAAGGTGCACTTGGCTGCCTACTCAATTTGTTCAAGATTTGTACCAAGCATGTTGTATGGCCACGAAACAAGTAATATACCACACTTGATCAAATCCCTGAGATACCTTTTGAAAAATGTTATTCTTGCTTGATGCTTCTCCATATTCTTTAGATTCTTTGCACATATTCTTGTTTAATCCATATGTATTTTTATTTGATCCGTCGCCCCTACTCCTTGCTTCGCTCCTTCCGTCTTGGTTTGGCTTTGGCTTCTCAGGCTAATTCCTGCTCGCCCACCAGACTTTTACTTCACCCACTTGAAGGATTAGCTACATATACCTGTTTGACACATGTTGTTCATTATTATGCGTATATACATGCATGTTTTAGGTGTAATGAACAAGATTTTGTATATATATATCTCTCTCTATCTAGACATAGGTTTATATACGACCAAAAAATGGTATGCAGATATATACATTTATAATACACATGTAAATTAATGTCTTTAGTTGCTATGCTCATACGTTTGTACATAGGCAAATGCAAAATTGCCGATGCCGACAGCATGGGAGGTCCTATGGTCCTATTGCTTGCCTTCACAGGCGGTTGGGCCCAGGAAGCCTTCTTTCTGATCAGCCCCTTAGCGCTCACGACCTTGCAATGCTTACCCTTAATATTTTAATTTTTTGTTGGTGCTGTTAAGCAAATCACCTTGTACAGGAGAGGGGCTGCCAGCCCCTATGCCCTGCAAGGTCCCGAGCGCTACGGACCTTGCACCGCCTGAGTATGATTATCTTAACAGCACGTTAAAAATATTCAAGATAGGGGGCTGCAAGGTCAAAACCCATGCCCCGAGCTACGGTGGGGAGAGGCGGTGCAAGGTCCCGAGCGCTACGGACCTTGCAGGGGATAGGGGCTGGCAGCCCCTCTCTTGTGCAAGGTGATTTGCTTAACAGCACCAACACAAATTTAAAATATTAAGGGTAAGCATTGCGAGGTCGTGAGCGCTAAGGGGCTGATCAGAAAGAAGGCTTCCTGGGCCCAACCGCCTGTGAAGGCAAGCAATAGGACCATAGGACCTCCCATGCTGTCGGCATCGGCAATTTTGCATTTGCCTATGTACAAACGTATGAGCATAGCAACTAAAGACATTAATTTACATGTGTATTATAAATGTATATATCTGCATACCATTTTTTGGTCGTATATAAACCTATGTCTAGATAGAGAGAGAGAGATATATATATATACAAAATCTTGTTCATTACACCTAAAACATGCATGTATATACGCATAATAAAGAACAACATGTGTCAAACAGGTATATGTAGCTAATCCTTCAAGTGGGTGAAGTAAAAGTCTGGTGGGCGAGCAGGAATTAGCCTGAGAAGCCAAAGCCAAAACAAGACGGAAGGAGCGAAGCAAGGAGTAGGGGCGACGGATCAAATAAAAATACATATGGATTAAACAAGAATAGCGCAAAGAATCTAAAGAATATGGAGAGGCATCAAGCAAGAATAACATTTTTCAAAAGTTATCTCAGGGATTTGATCAAGTGTGGTATATTACTTGTTTCGTGGCCATACAACATGCTTGGTACAAATCTTGAACAAATTGAGTAGGCAGCCAAGTGCACCTTTTTTTTACGTCTAAGACCACAAGCTCCCTTTGACATGTGATCATACTTCTGGCCCCCCAAGTGCAGACAAGTTCAAACCATATTGCAAGGCGTTGCTGCGGGACATCACCATGCATACTCGCTCTTCAGAAGGGGAGCATTGGGGGTGCAGGGCAGGTAGTTTTCCGTGATGGCAAGGCGTGCATTCTCTTCAAAGGGAATGGCCACTCCAATGTCCATGCACATGCTGTGAATATGTATTATATATTTACAATATATAAGTATAGATATATTATTTGTATGTATGTACATATATTTATGTCAAAGATAGATATAGACTTGCGTGCGTGTGCGTGTCAATGTGTGAAGTTCTCCTTGTACACATGTTTATGCATGAATATCTGTAAATGTATGGTTTAAAGGATCAAAACCTTGAGTGATGAGGTGATGCTTCACTGAAACGCTTCAACAAATTTTAGACTAGCTGACGAACCAACTCAACACGACGAGGACGGTGCAAACATAATAACATGCAACATGCGCAAGTATATTTTATGTGATGGTTGAAATAAAATTAAGCAGCCTGTATATTTGCCAACATGATACCATTGCTGAAAACAGCTGCTACAATCCCCTCCATGTTGCAAAAGGTCGGAGAACCCAAGAGAAGTCAGAAAACTATATTTGTATTTGCTGTGCTGTATTGAGGGAGCCCACAATTTTCATGAACGAAGAGCAATTTCAGCAAAACGTCACCTTTGGGAAGTATTGTGCGATTGAGTATTCGGTGTTCCATGTGATTAGGCAACGATATTTGAAGAATGGTTGAGCTCTTGCAACAAAGAAAACAATAGCGTAATTTTAATCATGGTTAATCAGAATATATAATGTATTGAAACATATTTCCCGAAAAAGATATATAGAACACCTTTTTGATTATTTGACTATCTTAACAGCAGCCCAGTTGACCTTTGGATATTACATATAGTATATCACAGCATATTACATATATATATGTTTATGTACATATGACATATTGCATCATGATGATGTATATCACTAATATGTAGTAGCAAGTGTAATTTTATGCAAACCATAGTTGAATAGTATATCACTACAATACTACCAATATCATACTGTAGATATATAGTTTATCACTACAATACTACTATAGTTAATCAAGGATATATCATAGATATTACATGTACTACTACGATATACTATATCTATCATTTGCACATACTACTACATCTAATTAGTTATATACATCGTCAACATATCAATAATAGCCGTATATCACTGTTCTATCACTTATTGGGTTTATACAAATAATACATGTTATATGCACATCATTACTTATCAAGTATTTATGTATATATATATGATATTACTATATGATTATAAATTATATATATACATATATTGTATTATTATACACATTTATGATAATTATTTTGTGTTTGAGGTGCTTTTCTACTGGGTTTACTGGTGATTATGGATGAATAAAAAATGAACCCCGGCCCCAGGGCAGCAGAGGGGAAATTGTTTGCAAACTAGCGGATCGGTGAAATATAATGTTGTTTCTCGATCTATAAGACATGCCCACAGTGTTACCCACATGGCAGAAAATGACACCAACAGTTTCAATCCATTCAACCAAATGCAGTGGACATATAACGAACAAGCCAAGCAGCTGAAAGCGAAAACGCCCAGTGTATTCTACAGAAAGGGCCCCCCAAGTTATAAGTTGGTCTATAATTCATAACTCCATAACTCTCTGGTTATAGAAAAACATATAGACATATCCACCATGAATTCTGTGATTCTACTTATACCCCAATTTTTATCCATCTAGTAGGCCCTTATCCTGCGGGTAGCGACTGTATAAGTTCCTTCTAAGGAGCTATGGCTAACCATATTCTCTATAAAAATAAGGATAACCAAGGAGCTACAATCAGATTTCACCATCATCATCATCATCATCATCAATGAATCATCAATGAATCATCAATGAATCATCATCATCATCATAGTAAAACACCCAATGGATTCCATGCTTGTAATTCGATATTTACACCATAAATCCAACAGTCACTGATTCATAGAAACCACCAGATCCCTCCCCGAACTCATGTTATATCAGGTAGATAGTGTTACATATAATGTTATGCATGTATATCTACGTCATGTTATGTAATGATTACTGTAGTACATGTAAATATATGTATATATATATATATATGTACACACCACCAGAAACCCCTCGAACATGTGGGACCTTTTCTATAGGGTTGCGCACTTTTTCATGGCGGTCCATCATTCGTTACTTCTAAGTTGGCAGGTTGCGGCTTGGCGCTGGGTGCCCTTGTCGACCTTGACTCCTTCCACAGCTACTGGGCTGCAACCCACAGGACCTTTGAGGGATCTAGGTATGTTTCAAGGATAGGGCTATATCCTCAAAACCGGTTACTAAGTGGGATGATCCTCCAACTATATAGTGGGGATATTATTGGCATATACAGTACTTTTCATGAATCTTGATGATACAGAACGGGATATGCAAGCAACAATTTGATGAAATCGGTGATTTAACCCCCGTTTGGGTCCCGATTTTCAGTCAATCAAAATCCCTGATTTCGGGGCAACCGACCAGTTTTTTCCTGTACTCAATTTTAGCACATGACCTATACCATGGGTATGGTTCAACAGAAAGGAATACCAAATAATCGCATGTCATTAAATATTTAGCGTCTACCCATCCGAAATTTAGTTACATGGTTTTAACCGTGAATTTCCTTCCAATAAATCCAGTGATCCTAGTGTTCAGCTGAAACTGGCTTATGTGTGGTGGGTGATTGTCTGAAAATGATCTAAACACCAAATTCGAATGTTTTATTATCAGTTAAAAAATGGTTTCCAAACCCATGAATACTATACTGGTTGGTGGTTTGGAACATGTTTTATTTTTCCATATATTGGGAATAATCATCCCAAATGACGAGCATATTTTTCAGAGGGGTAGGTATACCACCAACCAGTATATATATATATATAGTTCGATATCTCTACCATCACAACCAGTTGCGGGCCCAGGTGAAGTACGAAGTGCCCTTGCAGATCACCCGCGACTTGGCCAGCAAGGTCTTTGGAGCCTCGGCAGATGATTTGATGGAATCTGAATGGTCATTTCATGAGGATAGAATGGGATCATATGTGACATAGCCATATTGATATGATTTGGGTTTATCTGAAAATTGGGGATTAAGCCCGCAAACTAGCTATTTGATGCTATTTGAGGAGGAAAATGATGATAATCCTTCAGGTTTCTGGGGCATCCTATGTTCAGACAGACCTAAATGGGATTGTCTCAAACTGGGGATACCTTAATCGAGACCCCCCTCTGGAGTTTGGGGATGTTTGGGGTACCCACGGATATCCTAGTTTTGAACATACAAAAACCATGAATGTTACCCTTTGGTAAACGTTTACATAACTATGGAAAATCACCATTTCCAATAGGTAAATTAACTATTTTTATGGGCCATTTTCAATAGCAAACTGTTAGTTTACCAGGCCGGGTAACGTAGAATTTTACCACTTAAATGATGTTAAGCCATTGGGGTTTGGGGTACCCATGGGGATCCTATTTTCCTGTGTTTAGCTGCAGATCTTTGTCGCATTTTCTCGTAGCAAACTTTGCGCGCTTTTCTCAAAAAAAATGACCCAAACAACCTTTTTCTATAATATCAAAATCAATTCAGTATTTTTTCGTACTCGGATTCTATGCACTATGAGTTCCAGGTGTGATCTGGGGAGTATTGTAGGACCGTTAAATGATATATGGATCTGGCCTGGCTTACAATTATTGGCCATTCGGGATGGTCAATTGCATGATCCTGACCGGTCAATTTTGGTTTCCCAATTTTGGCACCATACCCATATGGAGGTTTCTTAAAATGGAGGGTTACCCCCAAATCATTGATTTTGGTACAATGTGAGGCCCCCAAGATATCTAAGTTGGTTTATAACTCCAATAACTATGGTTTATGGTATTTATAACAATAGTTACTGGGGCTTATAAACCAACTTATAACTGGGGGGGCCTCACATTGTAGGATTTCCCATTATAAACCATCCGGCGTGGGAAACCAGATCCCACGGACATCGCCTCCAGGATTCCCAAGCACCGTCCTGCCAGCCAGACTTCGTAACTTGGCTGCGTGGTGACCTGACACCGGGCCACGGTTGAAGAGTTGGACCTGCAAACTGATGCTTTCCACCTCAGCGGATTGTGGTTTTTAAGCCTCGGATAACTGAGACCCATGGCGGTTCCCAGCCACTCCCTTAGACCTTTGGCTTTTTTGTAAGATAAATTAATATAAAGTTGTAATTTCGTTGGATATAAATAAACTCTAGGAGTTTAGCAGGGGAGCTGGAAACCAATTGGATGGATGTAGGATACTTGATGGTACTTGAATCTTTTGACCCTTTGATGGAGATACAGTTGCTATGGATAACTCCAATAGCTGTTGGGTGTATGGTAGAGATATATCGAAGAAGTTACTATGGTTATGCTTCAGAAACTAACAAACATTTCACTGGGGGGCACCACCTTGCGGACCTTGCGACATGAGGAAACATGTTATCCGACAATGTTATCCCATAATATTAGTTATATCCTAATAATGGTATCCCAATAGTGTTATCCCATCTTATCCCATAATGTTATCCCACTACTATCCGATGTTATCATATGCTGGTTTCCTAAGTCATAGAGGTAGCCCTAGTTTTCATCCATGTCACTAGGATTTTCCCTGATAAACCATCCAGCTATTGATTGGGGTAGCCCCATGACTTCGGAATCCCCTTAAATAGATTGGATTTTGTTTTATGGATTTTCCACTATAAACCATCCATTTTGGGGAAGCCCCATTTATGGAAACCTCCATATACTTACTTTTTGCATGTTTTTGCAGAGTATCAAGATGAGCCCTGGATTCCATGGATATCCTCCATCCGATGAGCCGTGGATGCCACTTCCTGTTCCATTCTAACCTATCTGATGTTAATTATAGCTAATAGTTAAGTTTATATTATACATGGCTATAACCATTAGTTCATGGGATTCCCATCATATTAAATTCCTAATGGGAAAAACTAGTGGTTATAGCCATGTATAACTAATTCCCATGCTCATGGCAATATCCCATCATATTTCATGAATATAGATATGTTATCATAATCCCAGGATAATTGGATCCCATAATGTTCTCCCATCTCATTCCATTAACATAGTCTGGTTGGTGGTTTCAAACATGTTTCATTGTCCATAATATTTCATGATATAGATGAAATAGAAATGGAAATGGGAATTAGTTATAATTTCATCAATGATCCCATTTCTATATTAATGAAATTTCATGGGATTTCATAGAAATGGACTATACCCTCTGGCTATTTAACATAGCCATGGAAAATCACCATTTTGAATAGGTAAACCTCTATAAATGGGCCATCTCCCATGGCTATGAACCAGAGGGTAATAAGTTCATAATAACCCATAAGAATAGTCCATTATATAATAACCCATGGTGGATTAATAACCTGTTAGAATCCATAATAATCCATAATAATCCATAAATAGCCAGAGGGTAAATCATATGAAATCCCATGAGAATCGCATACCGCATCGCCCCAAGGTGATGCCCACATGCCCTGCATCGACCTTGAGGCGAAGAATTCAGAGTCCACCAGCCATCAGGACCGGCCAAAAATCTGGAAAATGTGGCGACAACATTTTTAAAACTATGATTTTTATGGTGAACAAATGGGACAACTATGATTTTTATGGTGAAAACATGGGAAAACTATGATTTTTATGGTGAACAAATGGGAAAACTATGATTTTTATGGTGAACAAATGGGAAAACTATGATTTTTATGGTGAAAACATGGGAAAACTATGATTTTTATGGTGAAAAAATGGGAAAACTATGATTTTTATGGTGAAAACATGGGAAAACTATGATTTTTATGGTGAAAAAATGGGAAAACTATGATTTTTATGGTGAACAAATGGGAAAACTATGATTTTTATGGTGAAAACATGGGAAAACTATGATTTTTATGGTGAAAAAATGGGAAAACTATGATTTTTATGGTGAACAAATGGGAAAACTATGATTTTTATGGTGAAAACATGGGAAAACTATGATTTTTATGGTGAAAACATGGGAAAACTATGATTAACTATGATTTTTATGGTGAAAACATGGGAAAACTATGATTTATATGGTGAAAACATGGGAAAACTATGATTAACTATGATTTTTATGGTGAAAACATGGGAACACTATGATTTATATGGTGAAAACATGGGAAAACTATGATTTATATCATGAACGCATGTGAAAAACGATGGGACAACTATGATTTATATGGGAACATTTGGGGAAACACTTTGATTTATATGAGGAACCGTGTATGATATATTTGGAAACAACAGAACATATCTTGGGGATATATATTTATATATAGATATGAAGAATGGGACAGAAGTAACCAACCAACCATATGATGTTTGCGTTTGTTTGAAGTTTGTTAGTATACCCCCAACTAGCCGTTTTAGGGGCGAAAAAAAAACACATGAACGTATGGGAGTTTGAGGTACCCGATAATTTCACAACCGCATATCATGCACATATCAATTGCCATGTGACTGATAGATGATTTTATTGCACATATGTTGATACATGTTTTCCTTGTAAAGTTTTTGATCCCCTCTAAAAGGTTATTTTTGAACCAGCCACCAGCCACCAGAGGATCATTTGAACTCTGATTTTTGTTTGTTTTCCTTGTTTGTTTTTTGCAGAGTTGGATGGGTTTCATCAGGTTTGTTGCCTTTTTGGAGGCTACAGCCTCGCAAAAAACCAGCCTATTTTGGGAGGATATGGACCAAATTAAAGTAGTTGAATGCATGAATGGAATGTTGAATATGAAGCAATGACAAAAAACAATGGTGGATCATGGTGGTAAATTCTGATCCACATTATTTTTCCACACCCACATCATTGCTTCCGCTGTTTCATAGGGTCTTCCAGGATTCCACCATATCTCCGCGATGTTGTTCCAGTATAACCCCGAAAAAAAGGATATGACAAGTAATTTCCCACATTTGTTTCTATATTTTCATATATATTATATGTTTCACATATTTTCCCAAGTAATCCTACATGTTTTCTACTTTTTCATATATTTCCCATAGATTTTCCCATCGGATTTGACCTTTTTCGGATCCCCATCCGCCAGGCTTCAAATATCGTTGCCTAATCACATGGAACACCGAATACTCAATCGCACAATACTTCCCAAAGGTGACGTTTTGCTGAAATTGCTCTTCGTTCATGAAAATTGTGGGCTCCCTCAATACAGCACAGCAAATACAAATATAGTTTTCTGACTTCTCTTGGGTTCTCCGACCTTTTGCAACATGGAGGGGATTGTAGCAGCTGTTTTCAGCAATGGTATCATGTTGGCAAATATACAGGCTGCTTAATTTTATTTCAACCATCACATAAAATATACTTGCGCATGTTGCATGTTATTATGTTTGCACCGTCCTCGTCGTGTTGAGTTGGTTCGTCAGCTAGTCTAAAATTTGTTGAAGCGTTTCAGTGAAGCATCACCTCATCACTCAAGGTTTTGATCCTTTAAACCATACATTTACAGATATTCATGCATAAACATGTGTACAAGGAGAACTTCACACATTGACACGCACACGCACGCAAGTCTATATCTATCTTTGACATAAATATATGTACATACATACAAATAATATATCTATACTTATATATTGTAAATATATAATACATATTCACAGCATGTGCATGGACATTGGAGTGGCCATTCCCTTTGAAGAGAATGCACGCCTTGCCATCACGGAAAACTACCTGCCCTGCACCCCCAATGCTCCCCTTCTGAAGAGCGAGTATGCATGGTGATGTCCCGCAGCAACGCCTTGCAATATGGTTTGAACTTGTCTGCACTTGGGGGGCCAGAAGTATGATCACATGTCAAAGGGAGCTTGTGGTCTTAGACGTAAAAAAAAGGTGCACTTGGCTGCCTACTCAATTTGTTCAAGATTTGTACCAAGCATGTTGTATGGCCACGAAACAAGTAATATACCACACTTGATCAAATCCCTGAGATAACTTTTGAAAAATGTTATTCTTGCTTGATGCCTCTCCATATTCTTTAGATTCTTTGCGCTATTCTTGTTTAATCCATATGTATTTTTATTTGATCCGTCGCCCCTACTCCTTGCTTCGCTCCTTCCGTCTTGTTTTGGCTTTGGCTTCTCAGGCTAATTCCTGCTCGCCCACCAGACTTTTACTTCACCCACTTGAAGGATTAGCTACATATACCTGTTTGACACATGTTGTTCTTTATTATGCGTATATACATGCATGTTTTAGGTGTAATGAACAAGATTTTGTATATATATATATCTCTCTCTCTCTATCTAGACATAGGTTTATATACGACCAAAAAATGGTATGCAGATATATACATTTATAATACACATGTAAATTAATGTCTTTAGTTGCTATGCTCATACGTTTGTACATAGGCAAATGCAAAATTGCCGATGCCGACAGCATGGGAGGTCCTATGGTCCTATTGCTTGCCTTCACAGGCGGTTGGGCCCAGGAAGCCTTCTTTCTGATCAGCCCCTTAGCGCTCACGACCTCGCAATGCTTACCCTTAATATTTTAAATTTGTGTTGGTGCTGTTAAGCAAATCACCTTGCACAAGAGAGGGGCTGCCAGCCCCTATCCCCTGCAAGGTCCGTAGCGCTCGGGACCTTGCACCGCCTCTCCCCACCGTAGCTCGGGGCATGGGTTTTGACCTTGCAGCCCCCTATCTTGAATATTTTTAACGTGCTGTTAAGATAATCATACTCAGGCGGTGCAAGGTCCGTAGCGCTCGGGACCTTGCAGGGCATAGGGGCTGGCAGCCCCTCTCCTGTACAAGGTGATTTGCTTAACAGCACCAACAAAAAATTAAAATATTAAGGGTAAGCATTGCAAGGTCGTGAGCGCTAAGGGGCTGATCAGAAAGAAGGCTTCCTGGGCCCAACCGCCTGTGAAGGCAAGCAATAGGACCATAGGACCTCCCATGCTGTCGGCATCGGCAATTTTGCATTTGCCTATGTACAAACGTATGAGCATAGCAACTAAAGACATTAATTTACATGTGTATTATAAATGTATATATCTGCATACCATTTTTTGGTCGTATATAAACCTATGTCTAGATAGAGAGAGATATATATATACAAAATCTTGTTCATTACACCTAAAACATGCATGTATATACGCATAATAATGAACAACATGTGTCAAACAGGTATATGTAGCTAATCCTTCAAGTGGGTGAAGTAAAAGTCTGGTGGGCGAGCAGGAATTAGCCTGAGAAGCCAAAGCCAAACCAAGACGGAAGGAGCGAAGCAAGGAGTAGGGGCGACGGATCAAATAAAAATACATATGGATTAAACAAGAATATGTGCAAAGAATCTAAAGAATATGGAGAAGCATCAAGCAAGAATAACATTTTTCAAAAGGTATCTCAGGGATTTGATCAAGTGTGGTATATTACTTGTTTCGTGGCCATACAACATGCTTGGTACAAATCTTGAACAAATTGAGTAGGCAGCCAAGTGCACCTTTTTTTTTACGTCTAAGACCACAAGCTCCCTTTGACATGTGATCATACTTCTGGCCCCCCAAGTGCAGACAAGTTCAAACCATATTGCAAGGCGTTGCTGCGGGACATCACCATGCATACTCGCTCTTCAGATAAGGGGAGCATTGGGGGTGCAGGGCAGGTAGTTTTCCGTGATGGCAAGGCGTGCATTCTCTTCAAAGGGAATGGCCACTCCAATGTCCATGCACATGCTGTGAATATGTATTATATATTTACAATATATAAGTATAGATATATTATTTGTATGTATGTACATATATTTATGTCAAAGATAGATATAGACTTGCGTGCGTGTGCGTGTCAATGTGTGAAGTTCTCCTTGTACACATGTTTATGCATGAATATCTGTAAATGTATGGTTTAAAGGATCAAAACCTTGAGTGATGAGGTGATGCTTCACTGAAACGCTTCAACAAATTTTAGACTAGTTGACGAACCAACTCAACACGACGAGGACGGTTCAAACATAATAACATGCAACATGCGCAAGTATATTTTATGTGATGGTTGAAATAAAATTAAGCAGCCTGTATATTTGCCAACATGATACCATTGCTGAAAACAGCTGCTACAATCCCCTCCATGTTGCAAAAGGTCGGAAAACCCAAGAGAAGTCAGAAAACTATATTTGTATTTGCTGTGCTGTATTGAGGGAACCCACAATTTTCATGAACGAAGAGCAATTTCAGCAAAACACCACCTGTGGGAAGTATTGTGCGGCTGAATATTTGGTGTTCCATGTGATTAGGCAACGAGATTTCAAGAAAGGTTGAGCCCTTGCAACAAACAAGACAATAGCGTAATTTCAATCATTGTTAATTAATCACTATATTATATGTTGCATTAAAAAATATTTTGAAATATATAGAAAACTTTTTGATTATTTGATTATTTGATTATCTTAACAGCAGCCAGTTCGACCTTTGGATATTACATATAGTATATCACAGCATATTACATATATATATATATTTTAATGTACATATGACATATTACATCATGATGATGTATATCACTAATATGTAGTAGCAAGTGTAATTTTATGCAAACCATAGTTGAATATTATATCACTACAATACTACCAATATCATACTGTAGATATATAGTTTATCACTACAATACTACTATAGTTAATCAAGGATATATCATAGATATTACATGTACTACTACGATATACTATATCTATCATTTGCACATACTACTACATCTAATTAGTTATATACATCGTCAACATATCAATAATAGCCGTATATCACTGTTCTATCACTTATTGGGTTTATACAAATAATACATGTTATATGCACATCATCACTTATCAATTATTTATGTATATATATATGATATTACTATATGATTATAAATTATATATATACATATATTGTATTATTATACACATTTATGATAATTATTTTGTGTTTGAGGTGCTTTTCTACTGGGTTTACTGGTGATTATGGATGAATAAAAAATGAACCCCGGCCCCAGGGCAGCAGAGGGGAAATTATTTGCAAACTAGCGGATCGGTGAAATATAATGTTGTTTCTCGATCTATAAGACATGCCCACAGTGTTACCCACATGGCAGAAAATGACACCAACAGTTTCAATCCATTCAACCAAATGCAGTCCACATATAACAAACAAGCCAAGCAGCTGAAAGCGAAAACGCCCAGTGTATTCTACAGAAAGGGCCCCCCAAGTTATAAGTTGGTCTATAATTCATAACTCCATGACTCTCTGGTTATAGAAAAACATATAGACATATCCACCATGAATTCTGTGATTCTACTTATACCCCAATTTTTATCCATCTAGTAGGCCCTTATCCTGCGGGTAGCGACTGTATAAGTTCCTTCTAAGGAGCTATGGCTAACCATATTCTCTATAAAAATAAGGATAACCAAGGAGCTACAATCAGATTTCACCATCATCATCATCATCATCATCATCAATGAATCATCAATGAATCATCAATGAATCATCATCATCATCATCATCATCATCATCATAGTAAAACACCCAATGGATTCCATGCTTGTAATTCGATATTTACACCATAAATCCAACAGTCACTGATTCATAGAAACCACCAGATCCCTCCCCGAACTCATGTTATATCAGGTAGATAGTGTTACATATAATGTTATGCATGTATATCTACGTCATGTTATGTAATGATTACTGTAGTACATGTAAATATATGTATATATATATATATATGTACACACCACCAGAAACCCCTCGAACATGTGGGACCTTTTCTATAGGGTTGCGCACTTTTTCATGGCGGTCCATCATTCGTTACTTCTAAGTTGGCAGGTTGTGGCTTGGCGCTGGGTGCCCTTGTCGACCTTGACTCCTTCCACAGCTACTGGGCTGCAACCCACAGGACCTTTGAGGGATCTAGGTATGTTTCAAGGATAGGGCTATATCCTCAAAACCGGTTACTAAGTGGGATGATCCTCCAACTATATAGTGGGGATATTATTGGCATATACAGTACTTTTCATGAATCTTGATGATACAGAACGGGATATGCAAGCAACAATTTGATGAAATCGGTGATTTAACCCCCGTTTGGGTCCCGATTTTCAGTCAATCAAAATCCCTGATTTCGGGGCAACCGACCAGTTTTTTCCTGTACTCAATTTTAGCACATGACCTATACCATGGGTATGGTTCAACAGAAAGGAATACCAAATAATCGCATGTCATTAAATATTTAGCGTCTACCCATCCGAAATTTAGTTACATGGTTTTAACCGTGAATTTCCTTCCAATAAATCCAGTGATCCTAGTGTTCAGCTGAAACTGGCTTATGTGTGGTGGGTGATTGTCTGAAAATGATCTAAACACCAAATTCGAATGTTTTATTATCAGTTAAAAAATGGTTTCCAAACCCATGAATACTATACTGGTTGGTGGTTTGGAACATGTTTTATTTTTCCATATATTGGGAATAATCATCCCAAATGACGAGCATATTTTTCAGAGGGGTAGGTATACCACCAACCAGTATATATATATATATAGTTCGATATCTCTACCATCACAACCAGTTGCGGGCCCAGGTGAAGTACGAAGTGCCCTTGCAGATCACCCGCGACTTGGCCAGCAAGGTCTTTGGAGCCTCGGCAGATGATTTGATGGAATCTGAATGGTCATTTCATGAGGATAGAATGGGATCATATGTGACATAGCCATATTGATATGATTTGGGTTTATCTGAAAATTGGGGATTAAGCCCGCAAACTAGCTATTTGATGCTATTTGAGGAGGAAAATGATGATAATCCTTCAGGTTTCTGGGGCATCCTATGTTCAGACAGACCTAAATGGGATTGTCTCAAACTGGGGATACCTTAATCGAGACCCCCCTCTGGAGTTTGGGGATGTTTGGGGTACCCACGGATATCCTAGTTTTGAACATACAAAAACCATGAATGTTACCCTTTGGTAAACGTTTACATAACTATGGAAAATCACCATTTCCAATAGGTAAATTAACTATTTTTATGGGCCATTTTCAATAGCAAACTGTTAGTTTACCAGGCCGGGTAACGTAGAATTTTACCACTTAAATGATGTTAAGCCATTGGGGTTTGGGGTACCCATGGGGATCCTATTTTCCTGTGTTTAGCTGCAGATCTTTGTCGCATTTTCTCGTAGCAAACTTTGCGCGCTTTTCTCAAAAAAAATGACCCAAACAACCTTTTTCTATAATATCAAAATCAATTCAGTATTTTTTCGTACTCGGATTCTATGCACTATGAGTTCCAGGTGTGATCTGGGGAGTATTGTAGGACCGTTAAATGATATATGGATCTGGCCTGGCTTACAATTATTGGCCATTCGGGATGGTCAATTGCATGATCCTGACCGGTCAATTTTGGTTTCCCAATTTTGGCACCATACCCATATGGAGGTTTCTTAAAATGGAGGGTTACCCCCAAATCATTGATTTTGGTACAATGTGAGGCCCCCAAGATATCTAAGTTGGTTTATAACTCCAATAACTATGGTTTATGGTATTTATAAAAACAATAGTTACTGGGGTTATTAACCAACTTATAAATGGGGGGCATCAATTGAGGATTTCCCATTATAAAACCATCCGGCCTGTGGAAACCAGACCCACGGACACGCCTCCAGGATTCCCAAGACGTCCTGCCAGCCAGACTTTCGTACCTTCCATCCTCCTTCTCCCAATGCTCTCCCGCCTTCCACCCCCTATCTGGTTTCTCCTTCCTCCCCCCCTTCCCACCCCTTCATTCCATCTTTCCGATCTCCATCCCTTAAGCACCCAACGCCTCACGCTGGGTAGCCCTTATCCCTTTTGTTTGCTACTCAATTCACACCCATTTCTTCTCTCCTCATCGTTCTTGATTCGTTCACCCCTCCGTTTTTCTTTTCTACTTTCCCATCCTTTCCCTTTTCTTCTCACCTTCGACCTCCCTCCCCTCTCCTTCTTATCATCACTCACCACTCACCCCCCCCCACAGTAACTTGGCTGCGTGGTGACCTGACACCGGGCCACGGTTGAAGAGTTGGACCTGCAAACTGATGCTTTCCACCTCAGCGGATTGTGGTTTTTAAGCCTCGGATAACTGAGACCCATGGCGGTTCCCAGCCACTCCCTTAGACCTTTGGTTTTTTTGTAAGATAAATTAATATAAAGTTGTAATTTCGTTGGATATAAATAAACTCTAGGAGTTTAGCAGGGGAGCTGGAAACCAATTGGATGGATGTAGGATACTTGATGGTACTTGAATTTTTTGACCCTTTGATGGAGATACAGTTGCTATGGATAACTCCAATAGCTGTTGGGTGTATGGTAGAGATATATCGAAGAAGTTACTATGGTTATGCTTCAGAAACTAACAAACATTTCACTGGGGGGCACCACCTTGCGGACCTTGCGACATGAGGAAACATGTTATCCGATAATGTTATTCCATAATATTAGTTATATCCTAATAATGGTATCCCAATAGTGTTATCCCATCTTATCCCATAATGTTATCCCACTACTATCCGATGTTATCATATGCTGGTTTCCTAAGTCATAGAGGTAGCCCTAGTTTTCATCCATGTCACTAGGATTTTCCCTGATAAACCATCCAGCTATTGATTGGGGTAGCCCCATGACTTCGGAATCCCCTTAAATAGATTGGATTTTGTTTTATGGATTTTCCACTATAAACCATCCATTTTGGGGAAGCCCCATTTATGGAAACCTCCATATACTTACTTTTTGCATGTTTTTGCAGGTATCAAGATGAGCCCTGGATTCCATGGATATCCTCCATCCGATGAGCCGTGGATGCCACTTCCTGTTCCATTCTAACCTATCTGATGTTAATTATAGCTAATAGTTAAGTTTATATTATACATGGCTATAACCATTAGTTCATGGGATTCCCATCATATTAAATTCCTAATGGGAAAAACTAGTGGTTATAGCCATGTATAACTAATTCCCATGCTCATGGCAATATCCCATCATATTTCATGAATATAGATATGTTATCATAATCCCAGGATAATTGGATCCCATAATGTTCTCCCATCTCATTCCATTAACATAGTCTGGTTGGTGGTTTCAAACATGTTTCATTGTCCATAATATTTCATGATATAGATGAAATAGAAATGGAAATGGGAATTAGTTATAATTTCATCAATGATCCCATTTCTATATTAATGAAATTTCATGGGATTTCATAGAAATGGACTATACCCTCTGGCTATTTAACATAGCCATGGAAAATCACCATTTTGAATAGGTAAACCTCTATAAATGGGCCATCTCCCATGGCTATGAACCAGAGGGTAATAAGTTCATAATAACCCATAAGAATAGTCCATTATATAATAACCCATGGTGGATTAATAACCTATTAGAATCCATAATAATCCATAATAATCCATAAATAGCCAGAGGGTAAATCATATGAAATCCCATGAGAATCGCATACCGCATCGCCCCAAGGTGATGCCCACATGCCCTGCATCGACCTTGAGGCGAAGAATTCAGAGTCCACCAGCCATCAGGACCGGCCAAAAATCTGGAAAATGTGGCGACAACATTTTTAAAACTATGATTTTTATGGTGAACAAATGGGACAACTATGATTTTTATGGTGAAAACATGGGAAAACTATGATTTTTATGGTGAACAACATGGGAAAACTATGATTTTTATGGTGAAAACAAATGGGAAAACTATGATTTTTATTTTTATGTGAACTGAAAACATGGGAAAACTATGATTTTTATGGTGAAAAAATGGGAAAACTATGATTTTTATGGTGAAAACATGGGAAAACTATGATTTTTATGGTGAAAAAATGGGAAAACTATGATTTTTATGGTGAACAAATGGGAAAACTATGATTTTTATGGTGAAAACATGGGAAAACTATGATTTTTATGGTGAAAAAATGGGAAAACTATGATTTTTATGGTGAACAAATGGGAAAACTATGATTTTTATGGTGAAAACATGGGAAAACTATGATTTTTATGGTGAAAACATGGGAAAACTATGATTAACTATGATTTTTATGGTGAAAACATGGGAAAACTATGATTTATATGGTGAAAACATGGGAAAACTATGATTAACTATGATTTTTATGGTGAAAACATGGGAACACTATGATTTATATGGTGAAAACATGGGAAAACTATGATTTATATCATGAACGCATGTGAAAAACGATGGGACAACTATGATTTATATGGGAACATTTGGGGAAACACTTTGATTTATATGAGGAACCGTGTATGATATATTTGGAAACAACAGAACATATCTTGGGGATATATATATATATATAGATATGAAGAATGGGACAGAAGTAACCAACCAACCATATGATGTTTGCGTTTGTTTGAAGTTTGTTAGTATACCCCCAACTAGCCGTTTTAGGGGCGAAAAAAAAACACATGAACGTATGGGAGTTTGAGGTACCCGATAATTTCACAACCGCATATCATGCACATATCAATTGCCATGTGACTGATAGATGATTTTATTGCACATATGTTGATACATGTTTTCCTTGTAAAGTTTTTGATCCCCTCTAAAAGGTTATTTTTGAACCAGCCACCAGCCACCAGAGGATCATTTGAACTCTGATTTTTGTTTGTTTTCCTTGTTTGTTTTTTGCAGAGTTGGATGGGTTTCATCAGGTTTGTTGCCTTTTTGGAGGCTACAGCCTCGCAAAAAACCAGCCTATTTTGGGAGGATATGGACCAAATTAAAGTAGTTGAATGCATGAATGGAATGTTGAATATGAAGCAATGACAAAAAACAATGGTGGATCATGGTGGTAAATTCTGATCCACATTATTTTTCCACACCCACATCATTGCTTCCGCTGTTTCATAGGGTCTTCCAGGATTCCACCATATCTCCGCGATGTTGTTCCAGTATAACCCCGAAAAAAAGGATATGACAAGTAATTTCCCACATTTGTTTCTATATTTTCATATATATTATATGTTTCACATATTTTCCCAAGTAATCCTACATGTTTTCTACTTTTTCATATATTTCCCATAGATTTTCCCATCGGATTTGACCTTTTTCGGATCCCCATCCGCCAGGAGCAGCGCTTCCGGCTCTGGGGGTTGACCTTCCGAGCCACCTCGGATGCCCTGGTGCTGGGCGAGGAGAAGGAATTGGGCTGGCCACCAGTGAAGTTCAGGCCCGACGCCTTTTGGGACGCTGAAGTTATGGCCATGTATTTGTGGATTATGTATGTTAATGATAGTTTATAGAAGATGATAAAGAATTGATATATGAATATCATTTATTAGTTATTCATAGTGATCAATGATTAACAAGCAATATGATTAATGATATTAGTAATATGATTAACAAGTAATATAAACTAACTAACCAACTAACCTCCGGTAAACCAACAAAAAGCTATGGAAAATCACCATTATTAATGGGTAAATCCACTGTAAATGGCAATTTTCAATAGCTATATATATATATATACTGGTTGGTGGTTTGGAACATGAATTTTATGACTTTCCATATATTGGGAATAATCATCCCAACTGACGAGAATATTTTTCAAGATGGTTAAAACCACCAACCAGATTTATTAGTGGATTATAGCTAATAGTGAAGTTTATAGTAGTTATACATGGCTATAAGCATAAGGGGCTGTAACCATCTGATTATAGCTATAACTACTATTTATTTAGTTATAACTGGTAGTCTAACATCAACAATAGGGTTTTAACCACCAACAAATAGGGATTTAGTTGGATTTCAAACGTACAGTTATGGTCATTTAAACAAAAATCATGGGATTACATGGGATTTATAGGCAAAGATGTGGATTTATAGAGTTGGACTTGAGTTGTGGCCATGGCTATTACAACTGGTTATAACTGGTTATAAATGGGGTTATAAAATTGGAATTTCAACATCAACAAGTTCAAGAGGGATTTAACCATCAACAATAGAATTTCAACATCAAGAATACGACGGATGGTGCTCCCCAGTGGTGTGAATGTTGGTTAAAAGTTCTATCTACCATAAACATCCATAAACCATAGAATTCAGCCACTTTTTTTAGGCAACTGAACGCGAACTCGAACGGGGGGCCCACTCTGTAGGGATAGATTTGGATTTCAACTGGATAGAATATGGCCATGGCTAGCGAAAAAACGGGTGATTTCAATGGGATACATGAACCATAAATATAGTAAGTATCCCATTACATTATAAATGGGGTTAGTTCAGTATCCCATTACATTACATAACCAGCTATAAGCTATAAATGGGGTTAGTTCAGTAATTACTTATAACTGGTATTTCGGGCCATTACTGTGGACTCCGCTGGACGTGTGTTTTTTGATGTGACAAATGAACAAACAAAAACAGGAAGTCAATGGAGGTTTGAAACTGGGAAAATCAACGGTTCAAATGCGGGTGTTTGATGGGAACATCTAATATCAATGAAGGTTACAGCTGGAAACAGTTTGGAGGGTATTTAGATGGCATATCTAAATTGCCATGGATTATGAGGATATGAATGGGATGTTATTTCTTATGGGATATCAACGATCGCCGAACAATGTGTCCAGGATGTGAAATAGGCGATGTTTTCTCCAATAATTCAGGTTTTCAACTTTTCCATCTTAAGATTAGTCATAGCCATATGCTCCCTGCATTCATGGGCCCCCGACTAACATTCACCCCAATGATGGCCTATATATATAATATGATATAACATGCTAATACTGGGATATGGGTATAGGAGGGTAGGAGGGAAAGGAAGTGTGGGAAGATACATTGTGAATATGGAGAGATCATTGAATCATGGCACATATCATGGTATATCCAGATAAATGATAGCTACCCGGGCATCACAATAGATGCTGTCACCGGGCTTTCCCTGGAAGGTGGACAGTGGCACCTCCGTTGGTAATGCTACATGTGACTTATACCCACAGCTCTTGTGTTTTCTATGTTCCATCATAAGTTATACAAAGACATACAAGTTACCCTAAGGGCCCTAGGCCCTAGGGTAAACAAACATAGATGTGGACAATTTCCCTGGTTTTATGTTAGTTTGGGGTCATGTTTACCCCACGTTTTCAGCCGGTCTTCCCTGTGTTGCGACTTCCCAGGTCTGCAGGAGCCAATTTTTTGCTGGCCGCCTGGTGTGGCGTCCAGGAGCTTCGGAGGAAGCGACGAAGCAAGCGACATCTGCTGGCCTTGCTGACGTGTTTCAGCCTTCTGGCGCTCATTCTGAGGCACGGTGTCCGCGCGAACATGGGACTGGGGACCTCATAGGACTGGGTCCATTTCGGTAGAAATCTGACTGGGTCAAAATCAGAGTGTTGTACCATACCTGATGAAGGTTCGATTGCAATGAAGAATATGGTCTTGGCGAGAATTTGAAGTAGCAAACATATATGTCAATTTCACCGATGGCAACGGGGTATGGTAATGTATAGCACATTATATAATATAAACGTATATGGGTGCGTGTGTGTGTATATCCAGACATAAGGCAGGAATCCGGTTCCTTCTCCGGTAGATTGTAGGAACCTCCTGATGATGAACGATACTCATTTTAGCCTCAGATCAATACGGTTTCTTTATACACAGGGTCGTAAACAAATGATAATTATACATAAGTGGTACAGGTACACTATGAATAAACCAGGGCCTTCAAGTTATAAGTTGGTTAGTTTATGTTCACCTATCTAACTAGCTTGATATATCCACCATACATCCAACATCATCCAACTATAGTTGTGGACCAAAAGAAACCTATGGTTTTGGGCCCCGCAACATGCATGTTGCAATCCTGATTTGTCCACAAACTTGGCTACCCAGCTAGGCCTAAAACCGGTTCATCATCCTATTCCCCTACCGAAATGGCCATAACTGGGGTGTATATGGCTATTCTATTTTCGACCCAAGTACGTATGGTAACGACATTTAAATATGTGGAGGGCGGGCCAGACCGCAAGGCCCCGGAGGTAGTCCAAAATGCCTGTTCGTATATTTTCAAAATCCCTATATGTAAATGTAGTTACCGTATAGTTTATTCTATATCTTCATGATATCCCCAGAAACCTGCATTTTTTATGCCAAGGTTTTTCGGTCCTGACAGGCTTTTGCGTTTTGCCTTTCTCTCCATGATGCATCCCACCGCAGCTGTGCCCGCTGTGCCCGTGCCGCCGGCGTTGCCCACGGCGATGCATGCCATGCGGGCCACCATGCGGGCGGCTGGTCCCGGACAACGGCGTGTCCAGCCGGTGATGCTGTGTGGAAAAAAAGGTGGCGACACGCGAAACGGCTGGATGGATCGGTTGCTGTTGGTTTTAGACTTGCAGGAAACCATTCGGAAACAACTGAAATAGCCATTTTGAAGAAGCATTTTAACCCGGGATTAAAGACACCCATTCTATTTTCAAAGGGGATACCAAATTTTCATATGGGGATACCAGTCTATTTTGGGGGGTAACCCTGCACTATTAGTCCGGGGTTGACATTGCAAATAAGGGAACGGTTTGCAGGAAATCATTCTGAAAGAACGGAAGTAGCTGCCTTTGATGTGGATCTTCAGATTTCTGTGAAGGGACTGATACCTTCCCTAACCTCATCGCCGTTGTCGTTGGGCAGCGAACGGATTCTATGAAACAGGTTGCTGTATAATGCTGTATATCTATTTCGGATATCATACTGAAAATTTGATGTTGTAGATAGTTTCCCCTAGTTCGCAAAGGGATTTTTTTGCGCCCTTGCGACGAGGCCAGAGACCAGCAGCGGCAGACCTCCAAGCAGGAGTGGATGTGGGAAAGCAATGAAAACCAATGGTGTGCCATTTGGAAAACGATCCACTTCCATGGTGGGTTTTCACATCTATGTTGGTACCCCAAATCCATCCAAATCCCACAGTTGATGATGCTTCCCTCCATGAAATTGGCCATTTGCCATGGGTAGTATCTCCACTTGTCCGGCCTTTGGCGCAAAGTTGAGGAGGCATCATCCAGTTTACAATTTTGACTATGAGATGTCAGCAAGGAAACCACAGATTTGCCTATACAGACACAAGCATGTAATCAAAAGATAGGACATTCACACAACAAAAGTTAGGATTTCGTGCAGTACCCCCAAAAGTTGGCAGATACACTCTGAGTTGTGTGCTTCACTACTAAAAAGAAAATATCGGTGGGTTCCAAGAAAGTGTGAAAAAATACACCCACTTCCCAGGCCATGTGCTGGTGATACGTTGCCAACTGTTTTTTGCTGAACAACAAGCACTCTATTTTTACAGATTAAACTCTGCAAGTTCCAGTTCTACCATGTTCTACCGAAATTTTGCACTTCACATACCAGTTTGTGGATAAGTCCATCATTCTTGCAGCCAGGTAGTACACTTTCAGCTGCGTTTGTTTGGGTATAACCCCCATTGACTAGTTCGATATATATATATATACATGTACATATATATATATATGTATATATATATACTGGTTGGCGGTTTCAAACATTTTTTATTTTCCACAATATATGGAATAATCCTTCCCATTGACTAATATTTTTTTCAGAGGGGTTGAAACCACCAATCAAATGTATATATATATATACACATATATATATATATATATATGTACATATATCTAGCAATACACCCAATCATGGCCCTAGTTCTTGGAGTTATGTTCACTAGCGAATCATACCACCTGGGGAATGTTATTCCCATTCCGAATCCCCATGATGTCATTAGTTTGATATAACTACTATAAACATCGATAAAGTATATATACATATATATATATATATGTATATATATATATACACATATTATGTATATATCTATATATATATATACATATCATGTCATTCACTAGTTTATAATACATATTTATATTATATATTATATATATACATATTATATATATACATATATATTATCTATATATATATATATATATATACCATAAACATCAACATCCATAAACCCAAGAGATCTGAAGTCATGAAGTCCCCCATTATCACGTTACCATAGCGCGCCATCCTAGGAGCGCATTGCCATGCTGGGTTACACCATCGGCGAGATGGAAGCCTTGTTCGACAAGGCTGAGGCCGGCAAAAACAATGCATGCTGCTGGTAAGATGTACATGAAATTCAGAAATTCCATGTTTATTTTTTGTTGATAATTGGTGTTTTTTCATTTGTTGAATTTAAGAAATTCAGAAATTCCATGTTTATTTTTTGTTGATAATTGTGTTTTTATTCATTTTTTGAATTTTTTGAATTTAAGAAATTCCAATGTTATTTGTTGTTGTTGATAATTGTTTTTTATTCAGAACAATGGGATTTATGATGTTTTTGTTCATATGTGTTCTTTGTGATTTCGGGATATTTCCTTGGTGATGCTTCTGTATCTGCCCTATCATGTTTTGGCTCAGAGGGCGCCCCAGAATGGGCATTGTTTTGAAATGGATGTTTTAGTGGGAAAAACATGGCGATTAATGCCGATTACTGTAATGGTGATTAATGGTGAATTTCAATAATTGGACAATTCATGGATACATCCGATGTTCTTATCCGGTGTCATCAAACGTGGCTGGCTGGGAATTCCAGGAACGAAATGGAGGTTTACAGCTGGGAAAACCATCAATAAATAGGGACCAAGATCAGAGGCCTCCTAGGTATTTGTGTTGTTGTTTTTTCTGGATTGTTTGCCTGCATGTTTAGCTCAGAACATCCATGTTTGACTCATGACTTACTTCTGGATGAATTATCGTCGAATCAACTAACAGTAACTAACATACAGTAGCTATGCAAGAATCAACATTGTTCAAAGACAATCATGGAACTATGGGACTAAAATGGATTCCAGGACATGGTTCAAAGATGTTCTAACATCTCAAGGATTCTCAGGGTATTTTTCTCACCTCCAGAACTGAATTTGCTGCAAGGGATTTGGAGCTATCAATTTCCGGATTTTTCAGGCTGCTGAACTGTTGCAATTTAGCAAAGAAGAATGGAAAAGATGGCAAATTGATGCAAATTGCCCATGAACAAGGCCGTACTATTGGAAGTGGGATAGCCAGAGCCCCAAGAAAAACTTTTGGGGAAGTGCAAACAACGTTTGTTTGTTGTTTTTGTTCGAGCAAAAACAAGTATCAGACCGTATTATACCATTTTCGAGGGGATGAACATTCATAAATGGCAATGTTTTTTTACCTTGGGATGCTTTGTTGGTTTGTTTTCCTAACGTGACAAGGTACCTCAAACTTGAAATTGATTAAAATGATTGAGTCATACCCACACAGAATTTGGATTCAGACATGTAAGAATAATCTTGACACACAATGTACAATTATTAATGATGATTATTGTTTTCATAACATTCAAACATAGTTGACAATTATCAATTATACAATATATATATATATAGAATAATAATAATAATAATAAATATATACATACACATTTATTTGCGTTTTTTCATCAGCAGCACCATTCCATCCCCACATCTCTTTCCGCTGCTTGCGTTGCTACGGTGTCCAGGCTGCTTGCTACGAAGCCAAAGAGGAAGCCGATAGGCTGGAGTCATGACGGTGTCATGAAGGGTTCCCCAAACATGATCCAATCCCATTAAAACCAACAAATGAATGGTAAACCAACAAAAAGCGAACTGGAAAATCACCATTGTTCATGGGTAAATCCACTATTTCAATGGCAATTTTCAAGAGCGATATATATATATATATATGGTTGGTGTTTTGGAACATTTTTTTCAGATATTGGGAAGAATCATCCAAACTGACAAGCATATTTTTCAGAGGGGTTAAAAGCACCAATTAGTATATATGTATGGTTGATAATCATGACTTCACTGTCACTCTGATGTCATTGGAAAGATGCTTAGTAAGGACCAATAGCTATGGTAGAGCCGGACGGTCGTCACCATGACCATGGCACCAAAGTGCAAATCTTTCACTGTGTACGATGATGTAACGATGTATGATCAGATAAATGGTACGATTTATCTTTCATTATCCATTATTATCAATCTGTATCTACTCTTCATATACTATATAAATACAGAGTATGTATAAATACAGTACATATATATATATATAGTCTACGTATATATATATATATAGTGTGTATATATATACGTACAGTACATTTACATGTATCAATAGTATAGATATATATATATATATATAGTATGAATATATACAGCACGTACACATATATACAGCACATATACATATATGTATGTACTGTTTATATATATATGTATAGCCTGTACAGTATACATTCAGTACATATACATATATATATATATATACACAGTATATTTACTTATATATATATATAGTATGTATATATACAGTACATACACATATATATATATACATATACACAGTATTTATATACAGTATATATATATATATATATGATATTATTAGATAGTTGACTATATGACTATGACTCATCATACATATGTCGATTGGGATACACATAATATACAGCTGCGCAGGCTTCCAGAGCTGAGCAGCGGCGCCACAAGTTCTGAGTTTGCCGAGCTGTGTCGCAAGGCGCGTAATTTCCAGCAGCGCCGTTGATGGCGGGGACGGCGGTTGTGAGAATTATGGGGATATCGTGGGGATCATTTCTCAGAATATACATGTATGTATACCTTAAGCAAATCAAAGTAATTGGAATAATCCCATGGGATGTTTAAAATTAATGAAAATAATGGGATTATTATAGTATATATGATAATTATATGTGTATACATATACATATTTACTGATTTGTATGGGACAATATAATAATCAACATGATTCGGGGACATTTTAAATGACACTTTTTTTCTTTTTTAAATACAATCCCATATGGATGTATGGAAGAATTGGGGATATGTTTGGTGTGAGTATCTGGAATCAAAGATGGTTTGCTAGAAGATCTTCATTTTGTTCGATGCTTTTTCCAATTACAAGCCGTTAGGATTTTCCAGCTAGCCATGTTTGATTGCCAGAGGGCAACCAGCTATGAGGATGTTTGAAGTCAAAGTTTAAAGTTGGTGTTAAGAAAATGGTGAGGTTCATGCATTAACACCAGGGTATATATGTAACCAACTAATGATTGAATTAATGGTCATAACATGTCATTAACCAACCGCAAAATCGGTGCATCTTAGGCTTTCCAGGTCCAATCGTCTTTCTTTTGGTGGTGTTTGTGTATATATATATAATATGACTATTTATATAATATAATTATATATATAATGTAATTATATATATAATATAATTATATATGATATAATTATATATTTAATTTAATTATATATAATATCATTATATATTTAATTTAATTATGATATATAATTATCTTTATATGATATTTTAATATATATATATATGTTATAATAATAATAATATATATATATATATATAATTTGTTTCAAGGTTGTTACTTGAACCCCCAATCATGCTGTCACAATAAAATTGTATCCTAAGGCTTTTTGTTTTCCTTCTGGATCCTGGAGCTGGCTGGGATTTGGACGGGTGAAGACGCTGTGATGTGGTTTGTTTGTTCATAGTGTCCTGACCACAAAAACAGGTATACCCTTTGGTAAACTAACATAACTATGGAAAATCACCATGCTATGAAGGGGACAACACACTATAAATGGCCATTTTCAATAGCTATGTTAGTTTGCCAGAGGGTAGCACAACTACTGTAAATCCAACATCCCCGTTGTTAGCTCTCGAACAAATCAGTACTGTATATCGACTTCTACATGCTTAGTCCTCCCACCCTCTCATTCAACATGTTCCAACATATGTTCCACTATTTATCATTGTTATGTGTTTGAACATGTTTGAACCATGCTCCATTAAATCAATTTTTACATAACAGTTTTGTCCCACAGAGTGGTGCCTCCCAGTTATGTTCATTTATAATTTTATAACCCCCATTCACTAGTTCGATTACCAAAAAACCATCGAATTCACCTGAGTTGAACCGACTTAAACATCAGTCAACCATCTCAACTCTATAAATCCACATGTTTGTTTGCCTACAGTTGTGGCCCGAAATACCACTTTTAAGTACTAATTTAAAACCCCATTTATGGTTCATGTATAGCCCCATGGAAATAGCCAGTTATTACTAATACATGGCCATGACTCAGGTCTATAAACTCGATAAATCCACATCTTTTCCTATAAATCCAAATTTTTGTTTGTATTTTTTTGTTGCCTATAAATCCCATGTTTTTTGTTTAAATGACCATAGCTGTATGTTTGAAATCCAACTAAATCCCTATTGTTGGTGGTTAAATCCCTATTGTTGATGTTAGACTACCAGTTATAACTAAATAAATAGTAGTTCTAGCTATAATCAGGTGGTTATAGTCCCTTATGCTTATTGTTTGTTGCTTAAAGAACCCCCTTCGTCTCGTCGAAATCAGCGCCTAAAACAGGTGGCCGAGGCCATCGCAGCGGCAGAGGAGCAGCTGGAGACGGCCAAGAAGGAGGCGGAGGCGGCAGAATCCACGGCAGAATCCACCGGGGTTAAGCCGGTTAAGCTGCGGAAATTCTATCAATATTAGTGAGTATGGTGATTATGTTGTGAGATAAGCCAATTAATAATGCTATATAGTGGTATTAATCACTATAATCACTATGATCACTATTATCACACTAAGAATGGGTGAGTATGGTGATAATAGTGAGATAATAGTGATTATAGTTGTGATATGTTGTGATCAGTGAGTATTAATGGTGGGAATCGATCATAGTCACCAGTTATTGATGGTGGTAATAGTGGTAATAGTGGTGATCAATGACCATATTCATGGTGATAAGGTTAGCCACTGCAAAAATAGTTATTGATAATAGTGAGTATCATAATAGTGAGTATACAACCTATTAATGTTGATAATATTGGTCATTAATGGGATAATAGTATGATTCAGAATGATTAACTGGTAGTAGTCATCAATGGTGAGAATAGTGATTATGATGGCGTATCTAGTACAATATCAAACACCATATAGTGAGTATGATAGAGATTATCAACAATTTAATATCAATAACTCATCGTATTTATTCATGGTGATGAATGCGACAATAAGGAGTAACAGTGATAATAGTGGTCATTAATGGGATAATAGTGATTATGATAGTGACAACAGGATGGGCCCCCCGTTCGATAGCGTTCAGCTGCCTTATAAGTGGCAGAATTCTATGCTTTATGGTAGATATAACGAACTAGTTAATGGGGTTTATAAACCAACTCATAACTGGGGAGGCACTATCATTACAAGGGGCTGAATTCCCAAGGGGGATGATAATAATGATAATAAAAACAATAAGCTATTGACTTATGACAGGGGCTGCTATTTTAAGGGTGTTGGGTTGAACAATCCATAAGGCAATGTTTTTCTTTGCGTTTTCAATGTTCAGAAGAATCATCAGCTTCTTGTTAATGATAAATAATGACTAATAGTATAGAGTGACAATGGACATAGTGACTTTAGTAATTATCAACTGTATTGTAATTGACTATTTGACTATTTGTGACTATTTGGGGCTAATTACTATTGATGGGATAATAATGACTATGTCACATAATCATTAAAACTAATAGTGATATAGTCATAGTCATTGTACATTAATATCAAACTAATGATGACTATAATAATTACCATGATAATTCATTCTCCACCGGATTAGTAAACCACTAATAGTGACCCAGAATCACTATTATCCATACGTATCATACATAGTTGGATAGTTAAGAATATGGGTGTGTCTGAAAATAGTGTACCCCTAAACCCAATGGTTAATGATCATTATCCCTATTAAATGGCTATAATTGGGAATATACCCTATTTTCAGACAAACCCATATACATTAATTCACACATCCCCACCCCTTAATGTGACCAAGACATTGGGTCGCTCATGTTTCTTCGCAGGGGCTGAAGCAGGGCGACGCAAACGGAATTCTGGATGATCATAGGAGAGCATGCGAGCCGTTGCGGTGTGTTTGTTTGGACAAGATTAATGTATGGGGAGTTGAGTCAAAGAGATCCTATGGACATATGATGAAATATGGGGATTCTACCCATATATAACAACAGGTTGGTGGTTTGGAACATGACTTTTATGATTTTCCATAGATTGGGAATAATCATCCCAACTGACGAGCATATTTTTCAAGATGGTTAAAACCACCAACCAGACAATCATGGAAATATGGAGATATAATTCATGAAAATGACAGCGTAAGTGGTATCAACAATGGAGATTCAACACGATTGAACAATCAGAGCCAACAAGGGGTAATGAAATGTCCCGCTTCAACATCATAAAACCATTGGGGGAACACCTCCACCAACCACTGGTTTGGGTATGTTTGGGTGATGGATAAAATACGATCCCATGTTGTTCAGTTCCAGCAACTATTTTGACTACTCAGCCTATGGACGAACCAGGAATTACTGTGGTATCTTGATAACGAAGAAGGAACAGGAAGCCAACAGAACACTTTGTGCAGGGATACAAACATCATCAAGACCTGTATTTTTTGGCAGATTCTGAGAGGCATGTGCAAATATGCATATTCCCTAGAAACACTACAAAGTTTGTGCTCCCAGCACGTGACGGTTGTTTCATGACAGTTTTAACGGATCCGGTTGCTGAGAAGCTGCAGCATCAAGTCCTTGAAAGATCCTTCCAGCTGTTGCGGTTTCGAATGACAAAGTCCCCTGCTTCACCTTAAATGCCAGAATTAGATGGTGGACAAACCATGTTTGTTTGATTTATGGTTGTTCTTCAGGGGTGTGGGATTTGAAGGACCTGGTTTCTTGGAGCTACATCCCACGTAGCAAGTGGGTATACAGTGAGTATATTAGAAACAAAGTATGAATGAAATATCCTTAGTTGTATATGGGTTATAAGTTATGACTTACTGTCCAGTTGATATAGAAGTTTTGGGGGTGTTATTTGGTTATCAACCACTGATATAGGTTTCTATCAGGGTTGAACCCAATCAATCACAGGTGACTCATAACCATAAGGAAGTGATATCGCTTCCATCCACCGTATCAGTCATGTTATTTCTTCATTTACCAATTTCCCACCCTTTTGAAAGGGGTGCTGGGAGCTAAAAGCATAGCTGTATAAACCCAGATACCCTTTGGTAATTTAACATAGCTATTGAAACTTGCCATTTATAGTTGATTTACCTATTAAGAAAATGGTGATGTTCCATAGTTATGTAAACGTTTACCAGAGGGTATGGTGAATCAAATGTGGTTTACAGTTTAAGATTACAGTTTTATAATGTTTTATATGTTTCTCCAACAAAGCTGAATAAATTAAATCATGCCCTCACAACGTGGTGTCACTGCAATGATGTTTTTTTAAGGGAAACAATTCTCCCAATGGCCAGATTGTTTTTAGCTGTTTTCAGGTGAGTGAATAGTGATAAATTGAATAAATGATGATCATTTCGCCAGATCACTGCACATTCATTTGGTATATTTTGGTATCAAGTACTTGGATGATCTTGGATGTACAGTGATAATATAAGTGTCTAAGTACTGTAAATTATCATAAATTATCCAAGTACTATAAATTATTGTACATCCAAGCATTGCTTTCATGAATGGTCTCCATTCAGCGCCATGTTTTGTTGGAACCTTTGGCTTCATCGCCACGAGGATTGAATCCGTACGACTTTTGTCGAGGTTTATGAAGCCAAAGCAGCAGCAACTGGAACGAAAACGGACGGAGCAAGGAGTTTTTTCACATGTTGTGAGGCCGCTTTTTGGTCAGTTTAACATTGGCATATCACCAACAGAAAGATATGAACTTAAGTTATGCCAAATTATCTATATAGCAAATTCGGGCATTCGAGCAATCTTTGGGCAAAACATGTTGAAGCTGTTATGCTCTACATTTGAGTAGACAACATGATAAAACATCAGATTTAGGGGTAACCTATTTTCAGACACACCCACACGTATACATACGCAAACATAAACACATTTTATAGTGACAGCCCTATAGGTAGAATGATGGGGCTTTGACTACTGATTCTCATGCCAGGGATGATAAACCCAAGCATGCAAGGGCAATGTCTCGCCATGTTTCAAATAATCCACAAAAGATCAATTTTGGGAAGGGAGTTCCGGAGTTCCGGAGTTCCTTAGTGCCTTCATACCTCTTTTCAATGGCTTTGTCGACCCCAATTGGTGTTCCAAAATGGTCATCAGAAAAAAACGGGAGTCCGTAGCCCGTATCACCATGATTATGGCCATATGTCAATGGTCATTGCAGGATCCTAAAATGGAGGTACGTTAGTACCATATTTTTGGCCATATTTTGCTGGGATATTCCCTGAAATTTAGGCCTTATATAGGCCTTCTATATGGAATCGGTACCTCCAATTTAGGTTCCTGGAATGGCCATTGAATTGATGGATGATGAATGATGGATGATGGATGATGGTAATTCAACATAGCTATTGAAAATGCCCATTGATAGTTGATTTGCCGAACTTAAACATTGTGTCCCATGATTTTCTGATGACGGTGCTGCCCTCGAGGTTAACCTCGGCCAAGTTCGTGCTGGCTCACTGGGAAAAGCAGGTGGCTGTTACAAGAGCCGCAGAGGCACCGCAGCAGGACATGGCCCACATGGCTGGCTGCAGAATCCCTAGATTTTACCCGGTAAATGAACAGTTGGACCCTGAAAATTACCAATTTTTAGAGGAAACTAATCTTTCAACCCCTATCTGGCAGGGTCTATGTTCATTTACTGCAGGGTACATGATTTCACTGGTTGGAACTGCGGTGATAGAAGCACCATGGCATACCATGGCTATTGGCCAGGCCGGAGGAAAGAGTTCCTGGGAGAGGTGTATCAGAAATATTTCGGTTGTATCCCATTTTTTAGCCTCATTAAGATCCCATGAAATGATGATATGCCATAAAAAATCCCATCAAACCCCTCAAACGTTGATGGTGAAAAATCTCCATGTCCCATCCAATATCCGATGAAAACTTTTTGCATTAAATCACCATGATATCCCTGAAATCAAATCTGGACCTCACCATTTTCCCATATTTTCCCCATCAGCCCGCCGTTAATGAGCTCGGCTCAAAGGGGTTTTTGTTGGGGCTCCGCGGAGGTACAGGACTTTGGCAAAAAAGCCTGTGCAGCTCTACGTTTAGCCTCTCCAAAGGCACGGTGTGTTTTTTTTTTTCGGGGGAAGAAACGTGCCATTGGCATGGATGGGAACATGATGGGTTTTTGGAAAGGGAACATCTGAATCGGTTCTTGGTTTATGTTGATCTCCGAAGATATGATGGGAACACGATGGTAAATGTGTGTGAGTTTTTTGAGGTTTTTTGATGTTGGCTTTGGAATGTATAGCCCTGTATAGCATGAAACTTGTTCAGCCCTATTGGAGGGTGTCACAATCGGTCCAGGACAGGATTTTTCGATCCTGGCAGATCTAAGATACTTTGGCCATGGCTGGCCACGGCTTGGAAAAAGCGAATCCAAAGCATGAATTTAAGGCCGGGTTTTCTATGATGTATTTTGGCTATGAAACATCGTAATTATCATGCTTATATTCCAGTCAGTTTGATCACCCGAGGGTCCAATGATTGTTGACCGGGAGGTTGCTGCAATGAGAAGTCCGTAGGGGGAATCATGAAATTGCAAGCCACCCGTCCAAAGCACTAGTTCTGGGTGAAACCTCGATGAGTGGGTCTGCTGATTGTTTTTTTCCCTATCATTTTGCATGGGGATGTATTCCAAACCACTGCAATTTTCATCAGTAGCCCCCATTGATCCATGAATCTTTAGTGAGGCGCAGGGAAGCGGCACAGAATTGTTGGAGGGCCTAGGCGAGGCTCCGAGGGGTTGCAGTTGGCCGATGGGGATGGAAATCCTATGGTTTTTACGTGTCCAAAATGGGTTTTGCTGCACGACTTGGACGAAGGGAAACTTGTATACGTTTGGACGTTGTCAAAAAACCTCACTTTTGACGTTTGAAGAGATAGGGAAAGGATGGGAAAGGTTTCCTCTAGATTTTCCCTTAAGCTATATGGTCAATGCCAATACCAAAAGAGAAGTAACTCATGTTGCCATGATGACTAAGTGGCTTTGTCAATGGAACATAGATTGGGTAGACCGTAAATTGTTGGTTTGTAATGGAAAGATATGATACTCTGTTGGAATTCGGGGTATTGCATGCTCAGACAAACCTAAACATTGCAAACAAACAATTTGTGTGCTGTTCACATCTCAACATGTCCACCAGTCTATATATATGTTTTTTGATGTGAAAACCGAAAACACGGGTGAATCGTCTTTAATCCCATGACCAGATGAAGGATGTTACAGACTGGCCACCGCCAAAATGTGATGATTGGACCATGAGCACAAATCTTAGAGTTGGTTAGAGGATGTTAGGAAAAAAACGGACTGCCTGGTTTTTGCACGGTCAACACAATGGTATACTGCATATGCCTGTAGACATTACCTATTTGTCGCATTGATTGGCCATGTAAGTATATTTATATTATTAATTATATAATATACATATAAACTGTATATACTGTATATACTGTATATACTGTATATACTGTATATACTGTATATACTGTATGTACTATATATACTGTATATACTGTATATATGTATATACTGTATATATATATATATATGTATTTACTGTATATATTTAATTATATTTATATGAATGCAAGTATAAACTGTGTATATGTTCATCGGTCACACATCTTATGCCTGTGACCTTTGGTTTGTTGGTCTTTTCAGTGTTTTTTTTTTACATGTGAACAGCATGTCTGGGGAAATTGGTTCTATCATTGTACTGGAATTGGAATAGTAATCATGAATGTGCTTACATGTTTTTTGCCCTTCATTTCTTGTATCTGTGAACCTCTCTATATCCTTGTGCAATCATCAGGTATCGCAAGTAGCTGGCACCTTGGGTATGATCTGTGCTGTGTTTCTTCCTAAGTGCATGAAGATCACAAACTGCGTCCAAAATGAATGTGTTTGGATTGCATGCAAAAGACAAACACATTGCAATGGAGGGGGAAACTGAATGAACTCCACTGATAAAAAGATAAAATAGATGGGGACACCCAATGAAATCCAATGATAAAATGAACCAATCGGTGGGGAAAACTGATGAAACCGAGTGTGAAATTTAACAAATAGATTGGGAACACCGATTGAATATAATGATGAAATCAAGGAATGGATGGGGAAAACTAATGAAGGACAATGATAAAATCAGCAAATAGGTCGGGCAACATTGACAAACACTAGTGATAACATTAACAAATAGGTGGGGGAAAACTGATGAAATCGAATGATACAATGAAGAATTAGGTGAGGAGAACTGATGAAATCTAATGACATAATGAAGGAACAGGCAACCAAAACTCATAAAGTCTCATGATAGACTCAAGAGGTAGGTGGGGGAAACCAATGAAGCCCAATAATAACATGCACCAATAGGTTGGGAAAGTTTTGGACAATTGACGCAATCCACTGTATAGACTTGGAATAGATGATAAAATTGAATGTTAAAATGAACAAGTAGGTGGGGAGAACATGATTTTTTTTGGATAAACTGCTCAAATAAATAGGTCGGCAAAACTGATGAATCCTTCGATAACATGATCGAATAGATGGGGAAAACTTATAAATTTAGTGATGATCTGAAGGGAGGAAAAGGGAGGGAAACTGATGAACATGACAGCATGGAGAAATAAGGTTTGATCCCTCTATCCAATCTATCTATCTATGTATCTACCTACCTACCTACCTACCTATCTACCTATCTACCTATCTACCTATCTATCTATCTATCTATCGATCGATTGATCGATCTATCGATCTATCGATCTATCGATCGATCGATCTATCGATCTATCGAATCTATCTAATCTATCCTATCTATCCTATCTATCCTATCTATCGATCTATCGATCTATCGAATCTATCTAATCTATCCTATCTATCCTATCTATCCTATCTATCCTATCTATCCTATCTATCCTATCCTATCCCATCCCATCCTATCCTATCTATCCCATCTATCCCATCTATCCTATCTATCCTATCTATCCTATCTATCCTATCTATCCTATCTATCCTATCTATCCTATCCATCCTATCCTATGCTATCCTATCTATCTATCTATCTATCTATCTATCTATCTAATTATACATATGTATCACATTATGTATCAGTATCCATGTGTTTTGTTGTTATGTTTACTCAATGCTGGTTGTTTCCGTTTGTTTTATCGCTTTTTCATTCAGATTTTTTTTTTCTGAAATGCTTTTGTTTTTTCGGAATGATAATGGTACGTATGTTTTTGCTGTCCTGTGTTTATGTTTGTTTTTTTGATCTGGAAATCTGGAAATGATACATTTTACGTATACATATGTATATGGTATTGTGATGTTTCTGTCCAGTGTTTTATTTTTGTGTTGTTTTTCAAAAACAAGTACAGATAGACTGACAATCTGATAATTGATATTCTGATGTTTCAGTTTTGTCCAGTGTTTATATAGTTTATATTATGTTAGACATTTCTATCTGTATCTTAGTGTTACACATATTTCCCCGTTGTAAAAACAATGATAGAAACATGACAGATGGAAACGAACTACACATGATAAACATTACAGATATAGAACATTAGATAATCGATACATATATACGTATTAATATGTATGTATATATACATATACATGGTTTCGTGATGTTGTTTTTCGTGAAACCTTTCCCCGATTTGCTTTTATTAGTGAAATGGTATTATGTTTGTATATATATATATATCTACATATATGTAGGGTTTCGTGATGTTTTTCCAGTTTTACTATATTAAGCATTTCTATCTCTACATTTTTCCGATACATATGCTTGGATTTACGTATATTATAGATAAATACGCGTTCGCGAGTTTTTCTGGAAATGATTTCTTATCCAGTTTTGAACTTTTGTTTCTATCTGTTGTTTTTTATATATATATATATATGACTGAAAAAATGAATTTTCTATTTGCAAGTCTTCCACTATATATATATATATATGTATGTAATTATATAATATAGTGAGATATAGGTGGTGTGTCCCATGATCCTTCAGGTCTGTTCAAACCTTACCGCAGCTGATTGAACCCGGGCCTGTGCCTGGAAAGTTGAAATTTTCCGCCGTCGTTTCTCGGGTTTTCCTCGTCATGCTCAGGCACGCCGCACGCCACGGTGAGAATGGGGGGCGGATGCGCAACGAACAGAAAGAACAATACAGAACAGTACATATTCATAGTATTATTACAACATTCCCTATGGATCCAGCCGTACCTTCTTAGGAAGTGGGACTGGGGTATGATTTGGGGGGTGTCTTGTACCTTCTCAGGAGGTGTTTGGATCCATAGGGCATAGTAGTATTGTAGTATTCACACGTTTTTTTCTTAGTGGGTTTCATAGAATCCTTTTTTTTGAAAGCACATCCAAACGTTGTTTTCTCCAACGACATTTACATGATCTTCCCATCCATCTGTATTTCCCAGCACTCACAGTGAGATCAAGTTGCAGTTCCTTATGGCTGTTCTCTCGGGATCTCTCGGGTATGTTCACATACGAATCAACATTGGTGATCAAAACACCTATGAACGAATACACTGTAGTACAGAAAAAATAGTTTTGGGGTTGATGTTTATGCTCATAATGTTTTTTTTTGCACATTTTAACATCTCATGGTATTTCTTGATTGGCTGCCCAGTAGAGGTTTTTTATGTCCTCAGTTTCTGGTGGCTTTCCTGGCAGGTTTTTCGTGATTTCCATGCTCCTCACAAGCAAGGGCTCTCAGTGCGTGGAGTTGACTTACTGACTGCTTACTGTGAGGCAGTGATGGATAGAACACGAAAATCATATACAGTAGGTCATGTATACTGGTTGGTGGTTTGGAACATGACTTTTATTTTTCCATTCAGTTGGGAATTTCATCATCCCAACTGACTAATATGTCTCAAGATGGTTAAAACCACCAACCAATATATATATATATATATGTCATAGGGACCAGGAGTAAAGTCATGGAGAAATGTCCAAAATTCATCGTGTTTTTTTATTGGGGTTACGGTGTCGCGAATCCACCCGATATCAGCAGGCGGGGGCTTCCGAAGGGAAGTGCAGTGAAGCCGTTGACGTGGGTGGTTATACCATGCTTGTTAACAAAAAGCATGGTTTGCCATTTGTAACATGAATGCCCCCCCCAAGTACGTGATTAAGGCAATCTCAGGCGATGAACGGTTTCATTCAGACTCCAGACCTAATTATATATATATAGTACATAGTACATAGTTGTATGTAGTTGTGTCTTTGAGTGGACTGGCCCGTAGATTGGACAGATGGATGAGATGCTTACAAAGATAGACGTGATTGCAGGGCAATGCTTTGTGTGTTTCTTAGTAAAGGCCTTCATATACGGTATATATATATATATATGATATACAGATATTGCAACAGACACATATCATTGTTATCATATGGGAGCCGTCCGAAAATCCATGCAAGGCTTTTAGTATCCGAGTGACATCTGCAGATATGGATGTATGTGTTTTGCTGCAGTGGCGAAAGGCCGCGAAAGCGCGGCGTAAGGTTTGCGAAAGGTCTGAATACCACTATTTATAAATACATAAATAACCCGGCGGAATTTTCATCGTCCACATATTTATTACTAATTCATCGTTTCGCCATAGCGAAGCGTCAATTTTGACTGAAAAAAAGGGGTCTCCGAACTTGAGGGTTTAACTTTTCTATCGACAACCCTCTCAGCGTTTTTTCTTCTTGAAGAGGCCCAAAGTCGAATCAAGACAGTTGCTTGATGAATGTCGCAGTTGTCTTCAACAACTCGCGTGGGTTTTCCCATCGCCATTGGAACGATCTCACATATCGAAATATTTTCCGATTCACTGTCATGGAACCTTTTGTTGTAGGGATACTGTGTGGCAGTTGAAGAAGAACGGGCAGTGGCGTAGCACCACGTATGTGTGTAAGTGCCAATGAACGTTATTGTGGCGTAGCATTACGTATGTGTGGCAGTTGAAGAAGAACGTGCAGTGGCGTAGCATCACGTATGTGTGTAAGTGCCAATGAACGTTATTGCCCCACCCCACCCCACCCCACCCCATCAAAAACTATGCGTTTTGCTGGACGGTAAAAATTCCGTCAGCATAAATAAGTTATAGTAACAGTATTCATGTTTGGCAGTTTTCCCTGCAGAATTGCCACAGGATTCATGTTTCGTATTGTCCCATGTTCTCAAATTGGTAGTGGCACCCTCGTTGGCATAAATTATTAAAGACACCCTTGCATAAACATTAGTTTCTGAAATTTCATTTTTTAGACGAGAAATCCGCGAAAGGTTCGCGAAAGGTCCGCGAAAGGTTCGCGAAAGGTGAATCCTCCCGGACCCAACCCTGGCCCAAAATGGGCTAGTTCTTTCTGCAATGTCGCAACTTCAAAAGCTTTTCAAAGAATGGGTGCCAAACCAATGTCCAGAAGTCAAACGTCCTCACGTAACACTGACTTGCCCAATGCCATCGACTCTGTGGACTGGAACAGACTCATCACGCACAGCAAGAATGTAACTAACTAGAGCAGCTTTGAAAACGGATCTCCAAGAAGTAATGTTTTTAAATGCAATCCTCCTGTAAATCTTTGTGACAAATTTGCACACGAAAACCTGATCATAATCCCATGTCCCGATTCAGCTGGGGCGCGAAAGGGCGCGAAAGGTTCGCGAAAGCGCGGCGTAAGGGCAGTTTTTGGGTACCATAATTTTGAACAACCCCCATATCTATATATATATATATGTAATCACATTGTGTATATATATATATATATATAATCACATACTTTCAAATATCATATATCTTAGAAGCCTCAGCTCAGCGTTTTTTTTTTAAACGGTTTTTACAGGGATTGAGATTGATGTTTCGAGGTCAAGTCAACAAAGATAATGATGATTTACGGTACACATGTTGATATCTGGATTCTGGTCCTCATATTTATGGTACTTAAATGTGTTATAATCATCTTTATAACATACAGATGTGTACATTAACCACTTATAACTGGTTATTATAATGGGATAATCATCTTTATAATGGGATTATATACCAATAACTGGTTCATGATGGTTAACGGTTAATAATCACTGGTTGGTGGTTTGGAACATGAGTTTGGCATTTTCCATTTCATATATGGGATGTCTAATCTTTCCTATTGACGAACTCCACCATTTTTCAAGATGGTTATTGCACCACCAACCAGATGGTATTTAAATGTATTTAAGCTATGTGTATTGTCAATGGTCAAAAGTCCATTCTTCAACCGTGCTTTGAGTTGTAAGTTACAACTCTATCCAGTGGACTGAGGTGTATTTGCCGTCACGACATCGACATCTGAGGTTGGGGTTGGGCATGTTTGTTAGAAGGTCCAGGCATGAACTCAAGAATTCGGGTAGGAATGGACGCGGAAAATTCATGTTCTGTAGTATTCAACCATGCGATTTTCGGGTAATGAAGAATAAAAAAACACATCCATCCATATCCATGATGGGTCAATAGTTATGGGATCATTTTTTGGGCAAATACCACAACATGATTTTGCCATACGAGGTGATCCCATGCCGTGGCTGGCGTAGCGCGAAGCCTCCATCAATGGAATTTAACAAAGCTCAGCTGTTTCATTGAAAGGGGGGGTCATGTTTATGTTCATGTCATTATATATACCCTCTGGTAAATAAACATAGACCCTGAAAATGACAATTTTTTAGTGGAAACTAATCTTCCAACCCCCATCTGCCAGGGTCTATGTTTATTTACTGGATATATATATATATAGCCATGGTTTACGCCATGAATTTGATATAAAATGTATAAAGTTGTCGGAGTAATTCCCCAATTGCCCGCCCAGATTTGGTGAATCTGCAGTTAAATCAGATCTGCACGATCCATACATCCTAAAAGAGTAGGCTGGTTGGATTTTCACCACACAACAAACAACTGTTGGATTCACGGCGCAGATAGCTATAGTTATGGTGTTACGAACCAACTTATACCTGGAGGGTCCTAAGTTGTATACATTATCCCCTTGTTATAGCTGATAGTATCATGTTAGTAGTTGCTAATGTATTACTGTATTTCTTTTCTGTCATTAGCTTATATAGTATTATATATTATTACTATCATCATTATTTGGATATTGGTGATTTCTTGATGAAGTCAATCATGGGGATTAATGACATCAGCACATACATTTCGTGACATCACTGGAATGATTGTTGGTAAAGGATAATATCTCCAAATGGTTGAAGATGATAACAGTTATTTTCAGGAGAGCGAATTATTACAGTTCAGCCAGATCCATTAAATTAGTATTAGTTCCCATTGAATCCCGTTAAATCACCATTAAGCGCTATTAAATCCTATTGAAAGCCTTTATTAATTCCTATTATATCTCATTATATAAACCATCATTAAATCCTCAATAGATCCCATGAAATCCCAATTTAAGCCCAATTAAATATAGTAATCTTATATACCCTCTGGTTATTTAACATAGCCATGGAAAATGGCCCATTTATAGATGGTTTACCTATTAAAAATGGTGATTTTCCATGGCTATGTTAAATAACCAGATGGTATATATATATATATAATTTTCATGATTGAAACTAGTAAGCCCACCAGAATAATCTATCCATTTAATCCCCATTCAAATCCCTATTGGATGGTGCCCCCCCCAGTGATAAGTTGGTTTATAAACCCATTGACTAGTTCGTTATATCTACCATAAACCATAGAATTCAGCCACTGAAATTTGAGGCGTTTCTGAACGCGATTTCGAACGGGGGCCCCATCCTGTACGTTTCACATTCAAAATCTCCACGAATCTCAGGTGCCGCAAGATCCGGCCGCGCCTTCGGGGCGGCCGAAGATCGCCCTGCGCGGTGCCAAGGTGGGCACGACGCCGGGCCCGCCGTTGCCGTCCCAGGCCTCCGAGGCCTCAGAGGAGCGAAGAGTTGTGGTCCAGTTGGCTTCTCAAAGGCCATGAAAATCTGTGGGTTTATTATGGTTTTTTTAAAGTTTATTTTCGGGATGCATGTTTTCCGGGACCTGGGCACCCTTTTTTTGGACCCATGTTTTATGGACCTGGCCGGATTTTTTGTTGGACCTGGGGGCACAAAAAATTGGGGGACTTGCCTGTGTGTTTTCTGGACCCTGTGGGGATTTTTTTTTGGACCTGCATGTATTTGTGCTGGACCCAGGGAAAGCCAAATTACTTGTTTCTGACCTCGGTTTATTTTTGGACCCGTGCACCTGCACCGCGGACCTTGCCTCCATAGGGTGGGGGGGGGAACTCCATTGTTATAGGCGCTCACATTGGGCTTGATGTTTTTGGCCCTTGGTCTTGGCCCAACCTTGGTTTCAGGAGATTTCTCCTCGGACGAAGGATGAAGGCGGGAGAAGGGGACCACCAAAAATGGCGGTTGATATTGGATAGGCGTGTTAGGCGTTTGCACACGAGCCAAAGGTTTTTTTGGGTTGCACTTGGATCCCATCTGATTTCTGATCAATGCCAACAACTGTATGTTGCTAATTAAAAGGTATAAGTATACGTGTTCGGCAGTCAATTCTGTTGGCAAATTCTCAGAATCTTCCAGATTTCCAGGGTTTCCGAAGTCTCCCAGGGGGGCCTGCACTTACGATCGTCTTGATCGTCTTCATCGTCGTCGGAGCCGCACTGACGGCTCTGATGTTGGCCAAAGTCTGCGCACATCGAAGGCGCAGCGACAGAGCCTTGGACGCATGTCGGAAAGCCATCAAGTCAACCTCCCTTTCTTTATCTGTTTATACCACCCATAAAACGATGATTTTGGGGATGAATTAGTATTGGCTTTACTATACATTGTGCATTTGTTGCAAAATTTATAATCACAATTATCACAATCACTTTTCTCGCTTTTGTTCTTCAAAGATTGCGGTTGATTTGGAGACGTCCCTGTAGATCTTGGGATGCCTTTCCAGCCACTCCCCTGGTTCCATACGCAGGTGAGCTGCCCCTTGTGATGATGCTTGGCGAAGACGACTGGTCAGGGGATCACAAATGAGACCATGGAACACAATTTGTCATCGTTTGTCCAAGGAACAAAATGTATCCAAGAGTTCAAACATGGTTGATGATCAGTCCTTAAACGATATTAATTACACAATTTTCAATCACACCCCAACCGTTTATCCCATTATTTCCTGTCACATATCCCATATGAACAAAACATAGAAACTCATAAGTGAACAGTGGCTGCTAAAGCTGGGTGTTTTTTTTTTTCGGAAATCATACTGACCTGGCTCAGATCAATGGTCTGTTGGGCGAAAAATGGAAGGAGCGAGCTATACTTCAGGGTGCACTGGAACCACAACATATTTTTTTGTAGGTTAGATTTCACCACGGTTGGGATCATATCCCAACTTATGAGAACTTTTGGAGGTTATTACTACCATAGTTGTACCAATTACATTTAATAACCCCAACTGCACCAAATCTGGGTTGAGCTGCTGTATCCACTTTTCTTCAGTCTTGAGGCAAACATGCGAGATCCCTTTGCCAAACTCATATTTTCTTGGGCAGACGGTATGACATGGGAAATGGTCAGCGCGTCCCATAGAGCTTGGCTGCCCCAAAATGATGGCTTTGTCATGGTTTGTGCACCAATAGAGAACACCCACATTTGATGGCTGTTCATGGTTGATCATCATTTTTCCCCTCTAAAATGTGGTCCTAGTCTTTTTGGGCCATTCCCATGTTTTGAAGAAACCCTTTTGATTTGCACTTGACGCAACTGAGGACGGATCAGGAGTATGAGCGCTACGAGATGGAGATGGAACTCATGCGTCGGCAACATGGCGGCAGTTCACACACTCTTATTGCTGTCTAGTCGTGGTTTGTTGGGGAACAGTCTGCTACATTGGGGATTCGTCTCAATACTTGCGGCACTTGCGGAGCAGGTTTGATGCCGGTCACGCAAAGATCTCCAAACAGAAATTGATCTTGAAATGTCTGTGCCAAAGGGGGGCAGAAACAATTTTAAACTCATGTGATGACTGTTTCTCAAGGGCAGCCATGGACTTTACATAGATTCTGGTGTGAGCTGCTGGGATGGTCCATCAAGTTAGCATCACTGGTCGTGGGATGTTGTGCATGTGGGTATGGGTCAAAACCTATACCACAACCGTGTTGTCACGGGATGAACATCCATGTGCTACACCTGTTTGCTGATGTCAACAGCATGGGAATTCATGGGTTTTGAATGGGTTTGACCGATCCATCCGAGTGTTTCAAGTAGTATACAGGTAGCTTGGTAGCTTGCAGCCGAGCCCAGCCCAGGCCCCGGCAGAGCATCGAAGTTCCTCGAGAGGAAAAACCCAAAGAGGCCGATTTCGGACTTTGGAGTGCCGGACGTTTGGGGCCCCCAAACCATCATGATGTAAGGATGATTTATCGATTTAGGTTTATTGCTACCGGGGTACCCCTAATTGAAAAATCAAAGCCATGTGGCTATTTGCCATGAAGGGGCGACCTTATATAAACCCATGGCATTCATTGGCGTGCGATGGATTTTTGTTTTACCGTGATATGTGATGACCCTGCAGGGGATGATCTTGATGCTCATTTCGGAGTGTACCCCAATAGCCATCAATAGCCCAATACCCAATTCTCGAAGAATTGAAGAAAGCCACTGGTTGGTGGTTTGGAACATGAATTTTATGACTTTCCATTCAGTTGGGAGTAATCGGGTTGGTACACCACCAACCAGGCCATCTTGGTAAATTTTGCATTTTCTTTATCAAGAATCAGCTGATAATATTGATATCCCCAGTCACTCTACTCTAGAGATCTCTAGAGGTGTACCAGGCATAATGGGATGGGATTGGAAGATATACCGAAAGGGCGCACCGCTAGGTCGGTTTGCACAAAAAAAATGCGAGGAGGGTAAGATAGATGAGTTTGCGTGAAAATGATAGGAAAGAAATGCTTCATCATATTTCATCATCAATTTCCCCATTGAATTCCATCGTGGATTTGTGGGTCTCCTCAATTTTAGGACAATGTCACATTATTCTAGATCTGAGCGGATGGTATCCACGTTTTTGATGATTAAAACTTAAAACTCTTATAAAAACTCTTATTATATATATATATATATACTAAAAAAACAAAAAGTAACTGCAGTACTTTTCTCAGTCCAACTGTTTTCGAGTTTTCTCGTCCCAGTTCGCTGACACCATTTGCCGATTTCAGGTGTGGCGAGGAGGCGGGCTCAATTTAGAGGAGCTCCCATGGGGATGAGAAGCGAAAAAACACGGAAGGCATGGGTCAAAAACTTGAGCTACCTGGAGGATTGTCCAAAATTCATGGTGAAGAGAACTTGTGAAAACACATTTATTTATATAACCAAATATTCAGTATTCAGAATGTATTCGGTATATTAAATAAATATATATATATATAATATACCGAAGACATCCGAATACTCAATATTTGGTGGTTGTCAGTGTATATACACAGATGATATGATTTCTAATTATAATCAGCACAATTCCACAATGATTGAAGACGATACCATCCGAGTGGTGATCCTCCGAGCGAGCAAGCATCCAAGATGGAGGTTTGATGATTTTGACATACTTTGACCATTTTTGACCCATGCCCATGTTCAATCGAATCCACAGTAACAAGGAGAAAAACACAAAGATCAACAAAAACACACTAAAAAAAAGGAAAAAAACATTGCTGCCAATGCCCCCCGGAGATTAGTCAAGGCGGGGTGTGAACACCGCACTCTCGCTGCGTTTGTCTTGTCTCTCGATGACGGCGAACAGATGCTGGCAGAAAATGTTGGCCTTGCTGGTTGGTTACTTGGATCACTCCACTTGCTAACTGGTTAATCAGTTAATCATCATAATATATCATCAATCATATATTTATAAGATTTTATTTGCCAGTTCTGGGATAGCCCCAGGCCCCCGTTCGTGGATTTGGGGTGAACCACTCAGCGAGAAAAATAGAAAGCCGGTGGCCCCCAATGATCAACAAGGATGTCTACCCGATTCTTCCATAATTGCTGGGTCAACCGTTTTTTGTTTGCTTACCCTCTGGCTATTTAACATAGCCATGGGAAATGGCCCATTTATAGAGGTTTACCTATTGAAAATGGTGATTTTCCATGGCTATGTTAAATAATCAGATTGTATATTTCCTTGCATTCTTGCTAGCAACGATACCCTCCATTGGGTGAAACATGGTGGGGACGCGTGGGGACCAGCCAGCGCAATTGAACCGTTCCCAGTGCTGTTTGGCCTCGACAGTTATCCCGGATGACAAAAAAAACAGCGGTAAAATCAATGGTTTCCTACATAGTGAAACTCCCAAGATAACTTCGTCAATTTTATCACCATTATATTATAAACAACCTATATGGGGATGGGTCAAAGCCTATTACTACCATATCTGTTTTTTTTCACATCAGCCAGCTATTTTAGGATAGGTACCAAGGTTGTGACCCATAAGGCCCATATCTTGGTGGCGTCACCTTAAACAAATGTGTCCTTCACATAACCCGAAATTTCCAATTCATCACCCCCTTAAAAATGGAATTATCCAATATGATAATATGATAATTATATATAATTATCAATATTCACATAAATCACATTAAACATATGTGAATCCATATGACAAGGATGATCATCATTCACATATGAATGATAATTAGTATCACTATTCACATAAACCTTCACTGGTTGGTGGTTTGGAACATTTTTTATTTTTCCATATATTGGGTTTAACCCCAACTGACTCATATTTTTCAGAGGGATAGGTCAACCACCAATCAGTTCAAATATGACATGAGGTATTATCATGATGTATTAATTATCATTAATTATCATTATATAATGATCACTAGTATCACTATTCAACCAGATGACAAGGATTTTCCATTTTTCTCACAGGTGATCCCGAGGGTGATCCCTTCGACAAGGATGATGTGGCCGGCTTTGTCAGGCCGGAAATTTCATTTTCGGATCATGGAGGTTTCATGCGAAATTTGGCGGCAAAAATCCGCTTGTTTAAACATATGTTCCAATGGTGAATTCCCCATTAGAACGGATAAGAATAGTTAACAATGGTTAATGATGGTTAATGATGGTTAGTGATGGTTAAAAAAGGTCAATAATGGTTAATAACAATGGATAATGATTGGATAAATCTGGTTGGTGGTTTGGAACATGATTTTTTTTACCCAATAGTTGGGATGATGATCCAATCTGACCAATATTTTTCAGGGGGTTGAAACCACCAATTAGATATTGAACAGGGGAAAAGTATGGAACATCAAAATGGATGGGACAATCCGCGCTTTTCCAGCATTTTTCATGGAGAGTACACAATGTTACCCCCCGAGTTTGGTGCAGAACATCGTCATTTTCTGAAGATCACCATTTTTGAGGCCCTTTGAATCTCAATTCTTAAGACAAACCAAAATCTGGTGAACTGAAAATTTTCGGATGATCCAAGCAGCTGGTGATCTTCCACAGTTTTCAGTGAAACGTCAATGTGAAAGATCATTCGATGCTGAGAGGCTCACTTCTGGATATTTCTGGATTACTTGATACCTTTTTTGCTCCACATGCTGCGTGACCAAAGATTTTAGTCCATATTTAGTATTAAACATCCAAGATTGGGGTACCCAATGCCCATTATGTTCCCTAGTGGGAAGCCATTGAAACCAATAAACGCATTGGTCAGTAATTACATCCTCATGGTTTTGGACGTCACCTGTCCGACAAAAAACGGCGACCGCTTTGATCATAAGAACCACCCAGAAATCCCCACCAAGAAAAGTGGCGTTGTTGGAAAATACGTATACCCTCAATTCTGATGCTTTTTGATTTCACTAGTAAAGATGGTGTCACCAAAGATGGTCCGTATCCGCCATTTTCAGACACACCCTGGCCCTTATGTGTTTGGACGATAACAAAAGCCTAGTGGAAACGACATGTGACAAAAGTTAGTTGAAAGATGGTGTTTTTGCTTGAAATCCACCACTCGACCATCATCCCTCCATTATAATCTACCAGAATATCAAATCCCAATAAAATGGATCATTTGAATCCCCAGTTTGTCTTCCCGCCAAATAGGCCCAAAGACCACACCATATAATACTGTTATATCATGTCATACTTCCATTGTATCCCTATAAAACCTTCATGGTATCCTTATTTCATCCCATTTTCTGCAACCCAAATTATATCCCAATGACACATACCCGGACATACCCACTGGTAGTCTGACGTAGCCATGGAAGATCACCAATATTTGTAGGTATACCAGGATATACCATGTAATTCATCGAACGAATTGAGCCATTTTCCATGGCAGCCAATCACATGTCCCATTATCTCCCATTAAATATCCAATCATATCCATTATAAAAGACCCAATGAATCCTATTAAATGCCTTGTTGTTGTTGTTGTTGGTCAAAGACAACCATTCAGCCAAGCCCATGTGTGCCACCATTAACATTAAATGTCACGCTTACCCAATCTAGTTCAGGTAGTGGCTAACATGATTACCCAGCATTCGTCGCCTAGTATATTTGATTATATCATATCCCATTATACATCCCATTAAAACCCATTAAAACCCATTAAACCCCATTAAACCCAATAAATCATCCCACTCAACGTCCCATTCATTACACATATATATATATATAATTACATATAATTATTTATTTATTTATATATATATATATATTATGATACACCCCATGAAAAAAAAAAAAGCTAGTGTTGATCGCTAAAGCCCTATTTCCGCAACGTCTCTTCCCAATCCCCAGAAATCTGGTGCTTTTCCAGGCTGCGAATGCAGGACGAAGCTCCGGAGGAGTTGGTGATGAGCTGGCAGGGGGAGCCCAGTATTTGTTTCTAACGTTTAATGGGATTTCAGGAATCTATATCAATTAAACGGGCATTTAATGGGATTCATAGTATAGTGTAATCTATCTAGTCAGTATGTATTATATATATAATATGCATTATATATTATCAATCTATGGTATAGCATTATATACAGTAGATTCAAAATACACATGCCTGGATCCCAAACGATTCAAACGGCCCCTTTTAGGAATGCGATTTCAACGGTGAAATCCTCCAAAATCAAGGTGATGTGGGTTCCAGATTGCAACTCGCGGACTTACCAACGACCTTGGACGTCACTGTAAAATAATATGATTATATTATTCGTTTTTTTCCTCAAAAGAAACGAATTGTTCAGGTTTCTGAAGTTTTGCAAGTGCGGCGATATCTATGCTGGTTGGTGGTTTCAAACATGTTTGGATTGTTCATTTCATATATGGGATGTCATCCTTCTCATTGACGAACTCATATTTATCAAGATGGTTATTGCACCACCAAGCAGATCTGTTCAATAATTAGTTGATAGATCAATTCATATAGTTGGATTCCATAACACCATGAAACCGTATTCCGATTTTCCCCATTCCAATCACCATCGTTGATTCAGATGAATCCGTCGAGATGATTCCAATCATTGACGACTCCCCATCGACGCTTCGGCTCACGGTGCCTTGACCTGCTGGTGTTTCTTTTTTGAATTCATACCCTCCGGTAATCAAGCGTTAAACACCTAGGACTGGGTTAAGTATGGAATATCACTCTAGTACCTGGTTGGTGGTTTGGAACCTGAATTTTTTGACTTTCCATTCAGTTGGGAATGTCATCATCCCAACTGTTACTCACTCCATCATTTTTCAGAGGGGTATATATACGTATACCACCAACCAGATACCCTCCGGATTTTCCAACGTTCAACGTGGCGAAGATCCACCAAAACTCGATGAGTTGCTGGATTTTCCAACTAGAACCTCCATGGACCAACGTTTCACCGGCGAAGGTTAGATTACCTGACGCAGAACAACGAATACAAAGAGATCCTCAGCTTCTTTGGAGAGCGAAGGCGAAAAAAAACAATAAAAAACATGTGAGCCATTGACATTGTTATTGGGTAAACATGGCTTTAATGTTAGTTGAAGGGGGGGTTAACCTTATGAGAAGGTTGGAGCCACAGACAGAGGCAAGTCAAGCCACGGTTTTTTCATGTTTTTGGGTGTTTGTTTTCATTACTTTATCATTGTCATGTTGGTTTGCTTATTTCCAATTTTGGTTTTCATTTTTTTGTTTTGGTTGTCATGCGTTTTTTGTTTCGATATGTGTTTGTTTGTTTGTTTGATTGTGTTTTTTTTTCATGTTGGTTTTTGTGTTTGTTTGTTTTTTGTTTAAATAGTGGTTGTTTCATTTCCCCTTGTTGATCTGTTATGTATGCTTCCTTTGACGAAACCAGCAAAAACTGAGGCAAACGAAAACATTAAAAAAAACAATGATGAAAGAAATGAACGCCAAAACGAATATATGAAAACACATATTTTCAACTGTCCAGTCTCTAGCTCTCCCGGCATTTCAGAAGTTTAACAATCAACAATAGGGATTTTATGGGCTTTATTATTGGGATATATAGATAGATAGATAGATACATATATATAAGTAGAATTAGATATTTATGAATTTAATGGGATTTATCGGATAAATGATGGTATACTCTCTGGTAATTTAACAGGTTGCTATTGAACATGGCCCATTTATATAAATCAAAGATGATCTAGCTATTTGAAATGGTTGTTTTCCATGGCTATATGTAACTACACGAGGGTAGTTGAAACTTGGTGATGTTTTTAATTCCTTTCCCACCAAATAAAGAACTACATGCGACTCGGTTAATATTTGATGAAGAGAAATGGAGAAAAGAGAAGAGAAGAGAAGAGAAGAGACGAGAAGAGAAGAGAAGAGAAGAGAAAAGAAGAAGAACAATAATAAGAAGAAGGAGAAGAAGAAGAAAAAGAAGAAGAAGGGGAGACGAAACCGTAAAACGGAAGCAGCTTGTGTAGCAAGTGCTTACTGTAACAACTTATTGACCGGATACCAAATGAGCACCGTTCGATCAGCTTAGCACCGTGCAAGTCCTGCGACTAATACCGGTAGACGTTTGTAGTGCTGTAGAAAGTTTCGCTGTTTCGCTAGCTACTGGCACTGCCGGTTTAGTACTGGGGAAGAAGGAAAGAGTAGGAGTAGGAGTATGAGTAGGAGAATAGCAGTAGTAGCAGTAGTAGCAGTAGTAGCAGTAGCAGCAGTAGTAGCAGCAGTAGTAGTAGTAGAAGTAGCAGGAGTAGCAGGAGGAGGAGTAGTAGTAGTGGTAGTAGTAAGTAGTCGTAGTTGTAGTCGTAGTAGTAGTCTACTTATTACAAAAAAACAAGTACAAGCCAAGAACAGAAACAGGAACAACACCTTCCAATCAGACACGCCGGCAGGTCGGCGGATTGTCCCCAATTAAATGTCCATCTTGTGGAAATATTTCCATTTCTTGCATGTAGGTCCAAAGCTGGTTCATTGTTTGACTTGGAGGTAGGCACCGGAACTCTCCACGAGTGTTGCCATCTTTTCTTTTGCCAAGAGAGAGGGTCAATACAGTGCCATGTAGATGGGTTGAAGAAACACAAGGAATTGGCATTTATAACTCCACTTGCGCACTTGTATTTGATATATAGTACTGTAAAATACCTGGTGGTACTTTCACTCCAAGGGGTTCAACTCTCTGACTACTGAAACATGTGATTGGTATGTTTTCCTATTGCCAGGGGATGGTGTATATTGCTCTGTGAAATTTGAATGGTGGGCTTTATATAATACTAACCGTTTTCTGCGTTCCGCCCATACTTGGATGATAGATCTCAAGTAACGTCAATGCCTAATGAGAACAGTAACTGTGCAAACTGCAATGCTGGTCTTTTGGAAGCACTTGATTTATTTTGTTGCTTGTGCAATTACAGCATTTTATTGCCTTAGTGTTTGGGGAATTTCGTGATCCAGCCCCGGAGTATCTTACTAGCTGTACTTGTTTGATATCTTTAGAGACATGGATCGGAGGGGATTAGCATCCAAGAATTTCAGTTGCCATTTGGCAAGTAAACTAAGAAAACTATAGAAAGGCACTGTGTTAGTAGGTAAATCATCTATAAATTGTCCATTTTTCCTTAGCCATGATAGTTTACTGGAGTTTTTTTTGCTGTGAAAACCATGGGATTCTAAGGGAGTTCTGACCCCTCAGACGTCACATTCGCCATGACTCACTAAGGATCCTCACGCGTGAGGAACTTTGGATTCTGATACGAGTCTGCTACAAGGTGGGGACACCTCCGTGTGCCGAGCTCGGCGGAGATCATGTTGTTTTATCGAACTAGGTTAACTATGGCTTATGCTACATGTATGTATATTATATATATATATATATGTGTGTGTGTAGCATGTAAGTATACTTAGCTATGGTTACTGGGATTAAAAAAAAACACTAAACTTGACAACTGGGGGGGCCCTGGTCGAGTTGATATCCCAGACATCCCAGATACTCCAGACATCCCAGATACTCCAGACATTGCATGAACCTTCAAACAAGATAGACAAGTAATTCATTGCTCTTTTCACAACGGAGTTCTCAGATTTCTCACAAGTCTATCTTTGTAGGGGAAAATAGTGTATCCCCCACATTTCATGGTTAGTCATCATGTTCATTCATGTTCCCTATTAAAGTTGCCAAACATAGGCTATACCCCATATGCAGACACATCCAAATCTCATATGTTTATATCATGGTATTATCATCGATCACATCATCTAACTATAGATATTTCCAACTAACTATTGGTAATCATGATATATACATTGATATATATATATATATAGTATATATGTATATCACCCAGGCCGCTTGACCCGGTGAAAAGTCCTTGAGCCATCAGCCAGGTGGTGAAATCCACCGTACTGACCACCGACTTGAGCGCCATGGACTTCGGGTAGCAACGGTGTTTTTTTGTTTTACAACGCTTGGATTTATTGGGCTTTGATGGGATATAAATATATATATATATATAAATAATGGGATACAATATTTGGATATATATATATATATAGATACACATACATACACATAGACATATATATATATACATACATATATATATATATACACATACATATATATATATATACACATACACACACATATATATATACATATATATAATGTGAAAATGGGACATATGATGTTATACTCTCTGGTAATTCAACCGTTTCCTATGGTATAGATGGCCCATTTCGAGTAAATGATGGGTACGGCTTCCCAGTTGGAAGAACCGTGAGAGACTGATGTAACGAGGCCATGGCTGCCGGTTTAACCGGTTTTGCAAAACTTTCCCGGCTTCCCTTTGAGTTCTTGTCACATTGAAATTCAATATATAATATATATATATATAATTATATAATTATGTATGTAATGGGATACAATAATGGGATATATATATATATAATGGGATTCAATCTTAAAACCTCACCCCAAAACCCTACAATTCACAGCCTTCTCGAACTCGAAGAGTTCTCGTCAACCACGTGACCTCAATGGATCCGAGCACTGCACGACGACGCCGTGACGCGCCTTCAGGGGCCGGATTTTTTGAAGGTTGGCTTTTGCAGGTCATTTCCCATTTCGAATCCCCAAATATTTCGAATCCCCAATATTTCGAATCCCCAAATAATTCGATTTTTTCCCAAATCCATGCATGAGTTTATCACCACTTCACTTGGTGGTTCACCCTAGGAATCGTAAGTGGGTCGGTCCCTAAGTTAAGCTGGGGTGTAATTATCCACTAACAATTCCTGCAGTGGACCATCAGGTCCCAGTAGAATTGTCATGTGTATAAATGGTTAAAGATATGGTAAACCAGATAATGTGATCCCAGATCATGGACTGTCATTGGTTCCTATCACCACTGAACGCAGATAAAAAGTTATGTTTCTCCCATTAAGTAGTTCGTTACATCTACTATCAACCACACAATTCACCTGTACCTATCTACTTCAAAACCAACGTAGCAAAATCAACATTTTGGCATATTTTGCAAGAAAACAAAGCCATAGAAATCCCTACTAGAAATCACATCGAAAGCCCACAGAAATTGCCATATTGGGTGGCTTAAAGGCACCAAACTTCGCCACTTTTGGCGCAGGACAGTACCGTCTTGGCCACGTTGGAGGTGGGGGAGGTGCGCGGTGATTTAAGGGAAAGGGACCAGGATTTCTATCGGATTGAGGCTTTATGGAAATTTAGAGGGCTTTAAATGTGGATTTGTGATGATTTGTGATATAACTATAATGGATGGTTTATGGATTTGTTAAAAAAGGTGTTCATGGGACTTATAGAGATTTGGTGTGTTCTTGTGGATATGAACTCCACAAATGGTGATCATAGAGGTTAACATGCAGTAAGTTGAGACAATGATGATGCCATTCAAAAATATTTTGTCAAATCCTCCTGAAGTGATGGTAGATTCATTTGATTAACCGACCAAATTATTGTAATTTGCAACACTAATTTAGTCTTGCTTCGCCTTGGCCTTTCCGAGGTTGCACAAAACCTTCATAACCGATAGAGGACGACCCTATACCGATACCCCATTTGTGATACCTCCGGGAATACTAAAATCCTCACAACCGATAGGGGGCGACCCTAATTTGTGCATGGCATTAAATCTAACGTATAATTTTGTCCGCTCCTCATTTGAGTTGTTCTCTCTTTGGGGTTACTATATGGAAAAAAAACTACCATGGGAATCCCCAAGGGCAAGGAACTACTTCCATGATTGGTTTTCCATATGAACTTGTTCATCTACTGCAGGGTAGTTTCCATTAAATCTGGGATGGTGAAAGCACCAAGGAAAAATGAAGGAGAAATAAACAATATGACTATTTTTTTCGGGTGGCATATGGTAAACACGTGATTGCCAGAAACAGGCGCACACAGTAAAAAGCAAAAACGAAATACCCTCTGTTAATCTCACAAAGCTATGGAACATGGCCCATTTATAGATGCTTTACCTACTAAAATGGTGATTGTCCATAGTTATGTTAAATTCCCAAAGGAGAATAATAGGTGCGTGGAAGTGGCTGGGCTTATGACCTTAGCACTGAAGTTACATCAGGATACCATATATCCAAGCCCCATTTTGGGGCCCTAAACTTAACAAATCCTGAAAAGAACGTGGGCAAAACTTGGTTTGGTAGATTGCTGGGTGAATACATTATAATGGTTTAATGATTGATACCGGATGGTAGTTTACCAAACATTTATAGTGGTAGATAATCATAGTATATTTTAATACTATATTACTAAATCAAGTATACATTTGGAATGCATGATAATGACCCCACGTCGTGACGCCGCTGGTTGGTGAATGTTCAGGGGGGAAATACAACCAAATGCTATCATTTCAGCCATTTCCACAGGATGGGGCCCCCGTTGGATAGCGTTCAGTTGCCTTATAAGTGGCTGAATTCTATGGTTTATGGTAGATATAACTATAGTTAATGGGTTTATAAGCCAACTTATAACTGGGGGGGGGGCACCATCCTGCAGGTTAGTGAATAGATCTTATAATTCAGCCAGATGGATGTTCCAAATAACCAGATGGATATAACAATGGAAAATCAATATATCCCCAGTCAGTGGTATCTTGGGCCAGATGAATTTAGCCAGAGGAATCTCCAAGATGGGCGACCAGGGTAGGACCCAACAAGTTGGCATTGCGTTGAAGATATCCCTCAATGATTTTCCCCCACAACCCAAGAACTATTGGAGTTATACTGTACCAGTTAAGTCGACCATTCAAGTTGATTTCCCATCTAGTTGCAAATAGTGAGGCAAATCCAAGTGATTTAGCTTTAGGGACGGAGGTTAGCCAGAACTTATACCCTTGCTTTATTCTTTATACAAAGCCTAGTTCGCCCAGTGATTGAACCTATAGTTATCACTAGTTATAGTCACCTATTCAGTTCGTCGCTGGTTACCCTCCGGTAATCTAACATACATGTGGTGTTTACCCACCATGAAATTAGTTTCCAACACTAATCCATACAGATTCCTATTAGATCCCCATTAAATCACCCTGAAATCCAATGTTCATCACTAGTTATACGGCAGACGACGTGACCCCACGCCGTGACCCCTGGAAAAACGTGGTGACTATCGGGGAATCCTGCACCACCAATTTGGGATGGTTGAAACCCTCTAAATAATGGGGATAAACCATCAACTGGCGATTCGGATTTCGCTGGCCCATCCGCAGTATCTGTGATTTAGGTAAAGTATGGTAAAGTATCATATGCCAGTTGATTACCACACCTAACATATGATATCATATGATACTGTACCTACCGCTAACATATGTTACCAAAAAGGCTTAATTAGTATAATACGTATGGTAATACGGTGCAGTTATGGCCATGGCTATTAGTTATAACTGGTTATTTCCATGGGATGGATAAAAAACATTCATATACATTCTATCAATGGGGTTTTAAATTAGTACTTATAACTGGTATAACTCGGGCCTTAAGTAGTTACTTATAAGTGACACCTTTCTGGTTATATGCCATTTATTAGTTATAACTGGTATTCTATAAATGGGGTTATAATTAAGTACTTACCACCTGTGGGAAAGGTGTCACTTTAGTCCATGGATTCCACCTGAGAGGTGGTGGAACTCATTGGCGACGACTCGCACGCCACCGAGGAAACGCGGGTTGTCATGGGGAGAGATCTCCATGTCATTGAATGATTCAATGTTAAAACCAGGTTAGAAATTTGTTATCATGATATGTCACCTGATTTTTTTGGGGGTGTTGGATTTATTTTGTGATTCCAATGCTGGTGGCATTCAGATTGTATAGCAACCCACCAGAAAAAATGCAAACAAGGGTTCAGTGACCACTGTTTCTAGTAGGATTTTACTTGTCGATCTTTTTTTGGAGGAAATTATATCTTATGTTGGGATCTTCCTAAAATGGTGCATCCGAAGTTAGTTATTGATGTTTTTGTTTAACCAAGTTATTTGCATTTTTAGGGGGATTCGTAATGGCTTGGGGCACCAGAATTTTCGCGCCATGGGGAACCATCCCTAAAATGGTCTATTTCCATTTGGGGATCCACCGAAAGGATGGGGATATTCCAAATAAATCTCCCCTGTGTGGGACCCTGAAATGTACAAATCATTTGCTACGCCAAGATTTTCTAGGGGTGGTCTTATCATTAGCAGATGAACCCTGTAACCGTAAGGCCCGTGGAGCCCGTGGAGCCCGTGGGCCCGTTGGTCTTGGGAAGGGCTCTTCCCAAGCGATGACTGGCATTGATTCTAGAAATTTATTGAGTTGTGAAATGTGACAAGGGCATTGGTTACCTGATAGTGAGGTTTTGGCCGTTTGTTCTGACAACTTCATGTTATCTTTAGCAAATCGCCCCATCACAAAATCCTAGCAATCATTGATGTGTCAATCTTGTCTTCATGTTTGGTGGGTCTCCGCAGTCCGTTTAGAGGTTCAGCCCTTACTATCTCCTTATTTTATTAATCGCCTGGTAGACCGGGGTACCTTTAGATTTTTTGATAGAAAAAGCACATTCCCCCATAATATCCACAGCAACCACCAAACATAATTGACCAAATTCACAAAATATTATAATATATGTATACCCTATACTTCCGCTACCTCGATTTTTTAGGTCTAGATCTAGATTTGTGAGCTCGACCTAGATTGGTATGTATAGGTACGTTTGTATTTTGCAGAGGTGCCATGGGGAAGTTGCTCGGCGACTGCCAGCATGGGCTCGAAAGTACCAACCAAAAAAAATGCCTTAAACATTCACATGAACAACTCAACATTCCGTCAACAATTTTCCAAATTTAAGACTTATGGCATATCAAATGCTAGCAATGTAAATTTAATTATATGTTCATTATATTACACTTGCTAAGTTTCTTCACTGGTCTTCAATGCTGAAACTCATCAGCAAAGTGGTGATGTGGGGATCAAACAAATCCGTATATGTGTTTTTGTTGTTTCTTTTTTTCCGCGAAAAACATGACCGTGGACAAACCGTGGACAAACCGTGGACAAACCGTGGAACGACCTATAGAATTGTCGTGGAACGGCCTAGAATTGTCGTTGAACAACCTAGAATTGTCGTGGACACCCCCAAAACAATCACCCAAATAGTGCTTCGAAAGTGTTTTACATCTATCAATACATTTTTGGAGATGGCCTCTGAACTACATGTCAGGGCTGGAAGCAACATTTGATAACATAAGTTTAATATAGTTTCATATAGCTGCGCTCAAGCCAGCAGTACAGCTGCTACCAACATCAGAACCCAGTATGTTTTTCTGAATTTCTATGATGGAATCTAAGTCAATTGATTGTTCATCCACATGATGCATTGAATGGACTATGTCATCGGATCAACATGTCCTAATTTACCTGAAACATATCAAAACTATCATTGTTTGGGACTGATTATGACCAAGTTAGGGAACAACCATTCTGACAATTCTAGGTACCTCACAACAATTCTATGTATACATCTTTAAAATAGGTTGATGAACTCTCATGCTATCCCCTTGCGTTACCCTGATCATGCCGCCGCAAATGCAGGAGTTGGACCTGCATCGGATACGCGTCCGAAGGTTGAAAGATGGACAAGAGGGTTGGGCCGCGGCCTCTTGGGGCTGCGGGGTTTCGACTTCGGAAATGGGTGGGAAAAAACTGTTATACATTATTTTGGCATATCCCCACTGATGGGAGTATATGGGTTTACAAATAATATTTGTTTATATATATATATATTATATGGATTATAAACCATGGATAGTAAGTGGGATGCACATCTTCATATCCAAGATATCGGCCACTTCAAGCCTGAAGCAATTTCACTTCGAAGTCACCAAATATGTTGGGAGGTTGAAGCAACAAATTATGTTTACTGAAGGGTGATTTGAGGCTGTTTGAGCCACATTTTTAGACAGGTATAGAATGGTATAGATGTATAGACCACATTTGCAGACCCGTCTATGACCACAGATGGACTGCTTGTCAAGTGACCAACGACCCAACGACCACGGATCGACACACGCTTTGAGGCAACCCAAATGAGGAACATGTGGTTGGTTTAACGGATTTCATCAAATCAAGTACCCTCTGGTAAACAAATATAGCTATTGAAAATGGCCCATAAAAATAGTTGATTTACCCATTTTTACAATGGTGATTTTCCATAGTTATGTTAGTTTACTAGAGGATAAAACCCATTAGATCCCATTAAAATCCATTAAACCACCATAAATTCCCATAATTTCCCATTGGATCCCATTAAACATGTTGGTTTTTCATGATTTTCATCGGATCCCCGGACCGCGGGCAATTTTTGCTGAACAAGATCATCCCAATGCCTCCATTGCATAGGGGGACGTTCCATTGCATAGGCCTTAAAAAAGGTGGTGCCGCCCCAGTGATGTGAATGTTGCTTTGTAACCCCCATGAAATGAATAGTATATATATATATATATTATATATATATATATATTATATATATACTTATATAAGATGTTATAAGTTTTAATCTACCATACACCCAACAGTATTGGAGTTATGTTTACCAACATAGCTAACTAAATCCTCACTAAATCCCAGTATTTAAGTCCCACTATATAATGAAAAATCATCATTAAATCCCATGACATTTCATTAATCAGGTTAAATCCCCATTAAATCCCATTAAATCCCATCAAATCACCATTAAATCACCATTAAATCACCATAAAACATTGGTTTTTTAAGCGCAGAACGCAGATCCCCCAGGTTACGGCCCGCGGCAACGCCAACAACGTCTTTCTGCAGTTGGGCGGCGACCGTCTCTCCGTCGTGAAGGCGAAGATGGGATTCCCAGCCGTTTTTTTTTTTCGTGAAGGCCAAGATGGGGGGAAAATCCAAAAAACATCCGAAAAATGCCATTAAATCCCATTAAATCCCATTAAATCCCATTAAATCCCATTAAATCCCATTAAATCCCATTAAATCCCATAAATCCCATTGAATCCCATTAAATCCCACTTATATTTTTAAAAAACACCATGAAGCATGGGGATTTAACTGGGAACATTCCTGGGATTTTTCCGATTTCACCTTGAAAGATGGTGATGTAACAAAGGGAACCATGAAGAATTGGGATTTAACTAACAAGAAACCGTTGATTTCACCAATCAAAATGGTGATTTTGTAGCATGAGTTGAGAATCAAAGACTATGAAGAATAGTTTGTAGGGGTCAGTTTTTGAATTGGACAATCAATTGTATGACAGTGCTATTTTCGGAAGTTATTTGTAAATTTTAATCTTCCAGTTTGTTAGCAATAATTGCAGAAGAAGAAGAAGAAGAAGAAAACGAAGAAGAAGAAGAAGAAGAAATGCAATGCAACTTGAATGATAGTTGTAGATTATGGTGATTTTGAGCAGGAAAACAGTGGTATATCATTGCTTGAGTGTGAAATCACCCCGATAGTGAGATTTTTTGGAGGTAAGATGAGGTATATAAGTCTTAGTGACACTATCGAATATTTGTAACATTACTTTTGATAAGATACCAGAGCAACAAAAACATCGTTGGAGTATGTGAGGGTGTCAGAAATAGGTTTTTTTTTTTTTTTAATTGGCACTGCATTTCTTTGCTTGTGTTGTTATCCCATGTTTCCCATTGTTGCAGGTCAGTTGAATGTGAATCCAACGACTGTCAGTATTTGTTTGTCGTTTAGTCATGGTCACTTTAGTCGTGCCTAGATTTGTGCCCTGGTTTGCTCAACTACCATCCCTGCAACCAAAGCATCAGGAGACCTCCTTAACCGATTCACTTTCCATCAGCGGCCAGGACCGGGCGATTCTGTAAAAATCTTATGGGTGTGACCCATGGCTTTTATACGCGCACAGCCACAAACATTGAAGCACGAGCACCACTCAAATGAAGCATTCAGCGAATAAACCGCATGCCCTTTTTATGCAACTCTGCACACTCTTGATGACCCATGTGTTCATTATACATACTAGTTGCCCTTTGGTAAACTAACATAACTATGGAAAATCACCGTTTTTAATGGGAAAACTCACTATTTCGACTGGGCCATGTTCAATAGCTATATGTTAAATTACCAGAGGGTAACAACATTCAGCCCAAGCATGATCCAATCATTTGGGACGTCTGAAACTTGGGTATCCAGCGATTCATCATCATTCCTCTCGAAAGGCCAGAGCCGGGGGTCTACCGAATTTTCACACCCAAACCATATGGACATATGGATGCTTACATACATATAGGAATTGAATGGAATTGATCATGATAACATATTGTATATCCATATAAATATAAAAGTTATTTATTATTATTATTATATATATATATATTGTGATAATACCATATAATACCAGTATTTGTCGCATGATATTCCATGAACATCGCATCAAATCCCATTAAATCAGATCTGCCCAGAGTCGAAATTTTGATCTCAGGATGCCTTGAGGCAACTCCGGGTCGGAGAGATCTTGGACATCATGGGTGAAGAATCCATTGATGAGGCCGCCGGACCGGACCAGCTGTATCTGTGGCTGGCCTGGTGAATATGGTTATGATATGTTACCCTCTGGTAAATTAACATAGACCCTGGCAGTCATCGGGGTTGGAAGACTTGTTTCCATAAAAAAAAATGGTGATTTTCAGGGTCTATGTTAATTTACTGGAGGGTATGATGTGTTATGATCCCCAAAAAATGGAAACCTAAAGGACCTAAAACATTCTAAAACCTATCAGCTCATAGCAAATCTACAATTTGTAGACAATCAATGCAAGAGTTCGTCTAAGATCTATAAACATCCATCCACATCAAAATTCATGTAAAATCCATGGACGATTCCAAATCCACCTCTAAAATCCATAAATATCCATAATAACATTCATCAAAACTCATCCAAAACCATGAGAAAGTCCATGGAACATCCATAAGAATCAATAAACATCCATCTACTGTCATCTACTACAATATTTCACTGTAGTTATTCAGCTTTTGGGTCGCACCACTGGAGAACTGTGTCCCATCAGGTCTCCGGGCTGCTGCGTGCCCGTGTGCGAGCGCAAAGCGACGGCTCGGTGGGCTGGGGGGCCCAGATGGGCCCAGAAGCTCCCAAAGGCTCCAGGGTTGATATATGGTTATGATATACCATTTTTATAGTGGTTAATGATGGTTAATGGTGTTTTTTATCAGTGGTTGGTGGTTTGGAACATGAATTTTATGATTGGTTGATTTCATGGGATCATTTCATGGGATATACCATGTTTATAGTGGTTAAATATCTTTCATATTCACTGGTTGATTGGTTGGTGGTGACTGGAACCATGGAATTTTGAATGATGGTTTATCATCATAGTGGTTAATGATGGTTAATGATGGTTAATATGAATGGTTAATATTAATTGTTATTATATGGGATCATCATGGGATATACCATGTTTATAGTGGTTAAATATCTTTCATATTCACTGGTTGATTGGTTGGTGGTGACTGGAACCATGGAATTTTGAATGATGGTTTATCATCATAGTGGTTAATGATGGTTAATGATGGTTAATATTAATGGTTAATATTAATTGTTATTTTATGGGATCATTTCATGGGATATACCATGTTTATAGTGGTTAATATCTTTCATATTCACTGGTTGATTGGTTGGTGGTGACTGGAACCATGGAATTTTGAATGATGGTTTATCATCATAGTGGTTAATGATGGTTAATATTAATGGTTAATATTAATTGTTATTATATGGGATCATTTCATGGGATATACCATGTTTATAGTGGTTAATATCTTTCATATTCACTGGTTGATTGGTTGGTGGTGACTGGAACCATGGAATTTTGAATGATGGTTTATCATCATAGTGGTTAATGATGGTTAATGATGGTTAATATTAATGGTTAATATTAATTGTTATTATATGGGATCATTTCATGGGATATACCATGTTTATAGTGGTTAAATATCTTTCATATTCACTGGTTGATTGGTTGGTGGTGACTGGAGCCATGGAATTTTGAATGATGGTTTATCATCATAGTGGTTAATGATGGTTAATGATGGTTAATATGAATGGTTAATATTAATTGTTATTATATGGGATCATCATGGGATATACCATGTTTATAGTGGTTAAATATCTTTCATATTCACTGGTTGATTGGTTGGTGGTGACTGGAACCATGGAATTTTGAATGATGGTTTATCATCATAGTGGTTAATGATGGTTAATGATGGTTAATATTAATGGTTAATATTAATTGTTATTATATGGGATCATTTCATGGGATATACCATGTTTATAGTGGTTAGATATCTTTCATATTCACTGGTTGATTGGTTGGTGGTGACTGGAACCATGGAATTTTGAATGATGGTTTATCATCATAGTGGTTAATGATGGTTAATGATGGTTAATATTAATGGTTTAATATAATTCTTATTATATGGGAATCATCATGGAATATACAATGTTTATAGTGTTAAATATTTTCATATTCACTGGTTTGATTTGTTGTGGTGACTGGACATGGGAATTTTTGAATGATGGTTTACATCATAGTGGTTAATGATGGTTAATGATGGTTTAATATTAATGGTTAATATAATGTTATTTTATGGGATCATTTCATGGGATATCCATGTTTATAATGTGGTTAATATCTTTCATATTCACTGTTGATTGGTTTGTGGTGACTGGAACCATGAATTTGAATGATGGTTTATCATCATAGTGGGTTAATGATGGTTAATAATTAATGTTAATATTAATTGTTATTATTGGGATCATTTTCTGGGATATAACCCTGTTTATAGTGGTTTATCTTTCATATTCACTGTTGTTGGTTGGTGGTGACTGGCACCATGGCATTTTGAATTGATGGTTATCATCATAGTGGTTAATGATGGTTAATATTAATGGTTAATTTAATTGTTTATTATATGGGATCATTTCATGATATACCATTTTTATAGTGGTTAATACTTTTCAGATTCACTGGTTGATTGGGTTGTGGTGACTGGACATGGAATTTTGAATGTGGTTTATCATCAGAGTGGTTAATGATGGTTAATGATGTTATATTAATGGTTAATATTATTGTTCTTATATGGGATCATTTCATGGATATACCATGTTATAGGGTTAGGATATCTTTCATATTCACTGGTTGATGTTGGTGGTGACTGGAACCATGAATTTTGAATGATGTTTTATCATCATAGCTGGTTATGATAGGGGGGGTTTAATGATGGTTAATTATTAATGGTTAATATTACTTGTTATTTTATTGGATCATTCATGGATATACCATGTTTTATAGTGGTTAGATATCTTTCATATCACTGGTTGATTGGTTGGTGGTGACTGACCATGGAATTTTGAATGATGGTTTATCATCATAAGTTGTTATGATGTTAATGTGGTTAATATGAGTTTTAATATTATTGTTATTATCTGGGTCATTTCATGGGATATACCCATGTTCTATGTTGATATCTTTCATATTCACTGGTTGATTGGTTGGTTGTGACTGGAACCATGGAATTTTGAATGATGGTTTATCATCATAGTGGTTAATGATGGTTAATGATGGTTAATATTAATGGTTAATATTAATTGTTATTATATGGGATCATTTCATGGGATATACCATGTTTATAGTGGTTAATATCTTTCATATTCACTGGTTGATTGGTTGGTGGTGACTGGAACCATGGAATTTTGAATGATGGTTTATCATCATAGTGGTTAATGATGGTTAATGATGGTTAATATTAATGGTTAATATTAATTGTTATTATATGGGATCATTTCATGGGATATACCATGTTTATAGTGGTTAGATATCTTTCATATTCACTGGTTGATTGGTTGGTGGTGACTGGAACCATGGAATTTTGAATGATGGTTTATCATCATAGTGGTTAATGATGGTTAATGATGGTTAATTGTTTTTTTTTTTTTATCACTGGTTGGTGGTGACTGGAACCATGGAATTTTGAATGACTTTCCATTCAGTTGGGAATTTCATCATCCCAACTGACGAAGTCCATCATTTTTCAGAGGGGTTGAAACAACCAACCAGTGATCATGGTGGTTTAAATATGGAACCATTAAAATTTCATAGGGATTTTGTCAGATTGGGCTTCAAGGGGACGACCAAAAAAGCCAGAAAATACTGATGTCATCGAACAATCCAAAGCAATCATGTTAACACATATACTTTCAATAACTCAAACCAGAAATTCATTGGATTGGCTTTCTTAGGAAAATCTAAACGGAAACCGTTGTGTTTTACCACCAATTCTTTAGTCTTCTATAGGGTTTTCCTGACATTTTGTTCCCTTCAACCAATCGAAGGTAATCCAATGATCTATGGATGGAATCACCAAAAACTTGGAAAAATGTGAAGAAACATGAAACAATATCTGGTTGGTGGTTTGGAACATGTTTTTCCATAATATATGGGATAATCCTTCTCATTGACTAATATTTTTCAAGATGGTTAAAACCACCAACCAGATATGGTTCATGGTGAAAAACCACTAATTACATATGCTGTCATACGTTCCAAGCCACTCACCACAATATTGTGTTTTTTGCTATTTCCTTAAAACCAACCCCAAATGTTGGTAAACACATGAACAAAAGTAAGAACACACATGAAAACACATGTATGCTCCAGTTCTAGTCCCCGTGTTTCATAGGAATCCCAAGAGTTGCCGGTGCAGGATTTCGCAACCATACCCTATAGAATTCACCATAACCAATGTGGGGCCAACGATAGCGAAATATAGCGAAGTTGGATAGATTGGATAGCGAATTTCACCCCAGGACTCAGGGAATTGTCGGGAATGATCCACTGGCTACCTATCAAGAATCATCCCAGCAACCCCCAGCAACTCATCCATTCCCTACGTTTAGCACCAGTAAGATGAATACTGTCACAAAACTGGAGTTCATTATTAGTGAAATGGAGTGGGGTTGATATTCACTATGGCCATAAAACTATCTAATTTCACTATGGCCATAAAACTATCTATTCATATTCACTGGTTGATTGGTTGGTGGTGACTGGAACCATGGAATTTTGAATGATGGTTTATCATCATAGTGGTTAATGATGGTTAATGATGGTTAATATTAATGGTTAATATTAATTGTTATTATATGGGATCATTTCATGGGATATACCATGTTTATAGTGGTTAGATATCTTTCATATTCACTGGTTGATTGGTTGGTGGTGACTGGAACCATGGAATTTTGAATGATGGTTTATCATCATAGTGGTTAATGATGGTTAATGATGGTTAATATTAATGGTTAATATTAATTGTTATTATATGGGATCATTTCATGGGATATACCATGTTTATAGTGGTTAATATCTTTCATATTCACTGGTTGATTGGTTGGTGGTGACTGGAACCATGGAATTTTGAATGATGGTTTATCATCATAGTGGTTAATGATGGTTAATGATGGTTAATATTAATGGTTAATATTAATTGTTATTATATGGGATCATTTCATGGGATATACCATGTTTATAGTGGTTAATATCTTTCATATTCACTGGTTGATTGGTTGGTGGTGACTGGAACCATGGAATTTTGAATGATGGTTTATCATCATAGTGGTTAATGATGGTTAATGATGGTTAATATTAATGGTTAATATTAATTGTTATTATATGGGATCATTTCATGGGATATACCATGTTTATAGTGGTTAATATCTTTCATATTCACTGGTTGATTGGTTGGTGGTGACTGGAACCATGGAATTTTGAATGATGGTTTATCATCATAGTGGTTAATGATGGTTAATGATGGTTAATATTAATGGTTAATATTAATTGTTATTTTATGGGATCATTTCATGGGATATACCATGTTTATAGTGGTTAGATATCTTTCATATTCACTGGTTGATTGGTTGGTGGTGACTGGAACCATGGAATTTTGAATGATGGTTTATCATCATAGTGGTTAATGATGGTTAATGATGGTTAATATGAATGGTTAATATTAATTGTTATTATATGGGATCATCATGGGATATACCATGTTTATAGTGGTTAAATATCTTTCATATTCACTGGTTGATTGGTTGGTGGTGACTGGAACCATGGAATTTTGAATGATGGTTTATCATCATAGTGGTTAATGATGGTTAATGATGGTTAATATTAATGGTTAATATTAATTGTTATTATATGGGATCATTTCATGGGATATACCATGTTTATAGTGGTTAGATATCTTTCATATTCACTGGTTGATTGGTTGGTGGTGACTGGAACCATGGAAACTTTTGATGATGGTTTATCATCATAGTGGTTATGATGGTTATGATGGTTAATATTAATGTTTAATATTAATTGTTATTATTTGGACATTTCATGGATATAGCCATGTTTATAGTGGTTACTATCTTTCATTTCACTGGTTATTGGTTGGTGGTGACTGGGAACCATGAATTTTGATGTGGTTTCTCATCATAGTGGTTAATGATGGTTACATGATGGTTAATATTATGGTTTATATTAATTGTTATTATATGGGATCATTTCATTGGATATACCATGTTTATAGTGGTTAATATCTTTCATATTCCCGGTTGATGGGGTTGGTGGTGACTGGGAACCATGGCATTTTTTGAATGATGGTTTTATCTCATATTGGTTACATGATGGTTAATGATGGGTTTAATATTAATGGTTAATATAATTGTTATTATATGGGATCATTTCATGTGATATACCATTGTTTATAGGGTTAATCTCTTTCATATCACTGGTTGATTGGTTGGTGGAGACTGGACCATGGAATTTTTGAATGATGGTTTATCATCATAGTGGTTAATGATGGTTAATGATGGTTAATATTAATGGTTAATATTAATTGTTATTATATGGGATCATCATGGGATATACAATGTTTATAGTGGTTAAATATCTTTCATATTCACTGGTTGATTGGTTGGTGGTGACTGGAACCATGGAATTTTGAATGATGGTTTATCATCATAGTGGTTAATGATGGTTAATGATGGTTAATATTAATGGTTAATATTAATTGTTATTATATGGGATCATTTCATGGGATATACCATGTTTATAGTGGTTAATATCTTTCATATTCACTGGTTGATTGGTTGGTGGTGACTGGAACCATGGAATTTTGAATGATGGTTTATCATCATAGTGGTTAATGATGGTTAATGATGGTTAATATATGGTTAATATATTGTTATTATACGGGATCATTTCATGGGATATACAATTTTTATAGTGGTTAATGATGGTTAAGGTTTTTTTAATCACTGGTTGGTGGTTTGGAACATGAATTTTATGATGGTTTATCATCATAGTGGTTAATGATGGTTAATGATGGTTAATGATGGTTAATTGTTTTTTTTTTATCACTGGTTGGTGGTGACTGGAACCATGGAATTTTCATTGACTTTCCATTCAGTTGGGAATTTCATCATCCCAACTGACGAAGTCCATCATTTTTCAGAGGGGTTGAAACAACCAACCAGTGATCATGGTGGTTTAAATATGGAACCATTAAAATGTTAAATAGGGATTTTGTCAGATTGAGCTTCAAGGGGACGACCAAAAAAGCCAGAAAATACTGATGTCATCGAACAATCCAAAACAATCATGTTAACACATATACTTTCAATAACTCAAACCAGAAATTCATTGGATTGTTTTTTTAGGAAAATCTAAACGGAAACCGTTGTGTTTTACCACCAATTCTTTAGTCTTCTATAGGTTTTTCCTGACATTTTGTTCCCTTCAACCAATAGAAGGTAATCCAATGATCTATGGATGGCATCACCAAAAACTTGGAACATTGAGAAGAAACATGAAACAATATCTGGTTGGTGGTTTGGAACATGTTTTTTCATAATATATGGGATAATCCTTCTCATTGACTAATATTTTTCAAGATGGTTAAAACCACCAACCAGATATGGTTCATGGTGAAAAACACTAACTACATATTCTGTCATACGTTCCCAGCCACTCACCACAATATTGTGTGTTTGCTATTTCCCTTAAAACCAACCCCAAATGTTGGTAAACACATGAACAAAAGTAAGAAAACACATGGTATGCTCCAGTTCTAGTCCCCGTGTTTCATAGGAATCCTAAGAGTTGCCGGTGCAGGATTTCGCAACCATACCCTATAGAATTCACCTACAATGTGGGGACAACGATAGCGAAATATAGCGAAGTTGGATAGATTGGATAGCGAATTTCACCCCATGACTTACTGGTGCTAAACGCAGGTAATTTTCGGGAATGATCCACTGGCTACCTATCAATAATCATCCCAGCAACCCCCAGCAACCCATCCATTCCCTACGTTTAGCACCAGTAAGATGAATACTGTCACAAAATTGGAGTTCATTATTAGTGAAATGGAGTGGGGTTGATATTCACTATGGCCATAAAACTATCTAATTTCACTCAGACTCAGTCAGTACCATATTACCAAACAATCATAAACAATCTAAATCGGAATCAAAAGCATATGTTTCCTCAAAAGCATATAGTAATCCCCTATGGATCCAAACACTGTCTCAGAAGGTACTTAACCCTCCAAATTATAGTAAATTATATCCCACACACTTCCTGAGAAGGTACGGCTGGATCCATAGTAATCTAGAAATCATAGTAATCTAAGCCATAGTCAGTTCACTATGGTCACCATTTTTCTATGATAAGATGTCAGAAGTCACCACCGAGGTTGGGCCACGAAGGTGGGAAGCACCGGCACGACTTTCCTGCGCCAGCTCTGACGGGTCCAAAACAGATCCGCACGGTGACCAGGGGCGATGCGGCTGGAACTGGGCCCAGTTTTCTGATGGAAAAAGCGGGAGATTTTTGATGGATTTCACCAGAAAACTTAAAAATACTTAAGATATATGAAATTGATGCAAATTGTGTTAAGGATGATTCTGAAGATTTTTATTTGAGATGATTTTGTTGATGTTTGAGTTTTTAAGAGCTGTGGATTTAAAGTTTTGGCAATGCAATGTATATGTTGAAAGTAGCATTTCAGGAATATACAGATGATGGGCCTTTATTTGTGGTGAGTCAAGGTGCAAAAATGCATCTGAATAGGAAATGGACCGATACCTGTGCTTGAGGCCTTCTGGCTGCAATTTTCCGTTTGGGATCTATGATGGTTGCATGGCATTCTTGGCTGAGCCCGTATTAAAGACCCAAAAACAATGTTCTTAGGAATTCAAGACCTTGCAATTCTAGAATCTATCCCATATGCTCCATGTATGGAATATTTACACACATTTGGGTAATTTGGGGGGTAAATGTTGCTAAATATTCCATAGATGGAGAACTTGGGATATAGGAATTGACACGCGGTCTCTGCAGCGTTGCCCGCCTCAAATCATGCGCTTGATTCGTGCGGCCAAAGCAAGCAGAGGTGGAGATGGCAATTGCTGGTGACGAATGGGGATAGGTCAAGATTTAAGCCCCACAGATTGGAATGTATATGTTTAGTAGGAAAGCCCTCGAAGCATTGGCATATTCAATTTTGACTACAGCATTCAGCATTCAGCTTTGAGTTCACGAAAATCTGGGTAACGTCATGGATTACCCGGTGGTTGCCTTGGAGTCTCGGCAAAGCAGTAGTTGAACATGGCAATGTGAGATATCCCATTCATCTCTATTTGAGATGATTCTCATAGCCTATGGATCCAAACACCTCCTGAGAAGGTACCAAACACCCCCCAGTCATCATACCCCAAACACTTCTTAAGAAGGTACGGCTGGATCCATAGGGATAGTTAAAGTTGATCGGTTCATTGCGGGAATAAATGGCCAGAGGGTACACCTGGGTTGAATGATTTGCACCACAAATGGATACAAATGGCACATTGAGTGTAGGCAAAAAAGATGATATTGTATGGCAAGTATTACATAACAATGTGCAGCAAAAGCTGCGGTAGGTGCATATCTTACATGAAATTTATCCCAGGACCCTGATTGTTACACCAACAAAAGTTGTTTTTCGATGGCTGTTCATGTTAATTATTGAGGTGGTCCCACATGTAATTACTAATCATCGATAATGGGGGGGGGCTTATGATGCGCACAACTGCTGAACATGCGGGGTAAATGGTGGTGACCGGGCAGATGGCTGGTCGTTCTTCAATGCTCATTTGGGGGTTTCCGAAGTCATGGGGATAATTTCCCCAAAATGGTTGGGTTATAATGGAAAATCAGTAAAATGGATGATTTAGGGGCACCCCAATTTTGGGAAACCTCCATCTGTCGCATCTTAGAGTGAGACCGTGTCATCCGAAAAAAACACCTGGCCTTGAACTATGGTGTAACCCGCGGTGATCGTGTTTTTTTTGTCAAATGGATTTGGAAATCCCATAGTATTCCCATAGAAATATCATAGAAATACCATGCCCCCCAGTCAAAGTTAACCAATTCTTGTTCCATTTGTTTACTCTCACACAAAAATTACTATACTGCATGTTTAATCTCGAAACGTGGCCCAATAGACCTATTCAAATCATGGAAATCCCTCCTCTCTATAGACTAAACATCACCTAAGATCCACGAACTTGGAACACTGGTGAGATCATCGCTAGTCATTTCAGGTTCATCCCACTTGGTGCGTTTCGGAACACTGGCGATCAATCCCATAATTTCTGGTTATTCATGGTTATCCCATTTTACTGAAGACCAAGTCTTCAAGACCAACCAATTCTGGGGATGGAATGATGGAAGAAAAATTGCTTCAACGTGCCATTTGGTGACCAACGTGCCATGCAGGTGACCCCGAAAATGCCGCGCTACATTGTGGGAGGCTTTCTCGCAGAGGTTGGGAAAAAAGCAGAAATGGTTTGGGGAAATGCGTAGGGTCTTAGATTGAAACCACTGACTGTAAGTTTGGAAAATGCAACCAAATTCCATGGTATATCATTATCTGGCGATTTTTTCGTATCACCCCGGGCTCGAACGTCGATAAACACATTGATCATCTATAGCTGAATTGATCAAAATAATAACTATGGAACCTCAAGAATTGGCTTCGGAAATGTCTGGAATATGATTTTCTGAACTTGGATTGGACGCAATTTTGAGCGTGCAATGTGAAAAAAAAATCGGGAGAGTAGAGGCTGACATGAAATAAAAAATCGCATGGCGAGCTATAATGGGATAGGTCTCTCTATTTTCGCCTGGTAACTTGGAACTTGGATGAACCAGAGCCAAGAATCGAAATCAGATATGATGACCTAATTTGATGAGTTTTTCCAGGCTATGGCCCAGCAGGCAGCTTCTGTCTTTGTGAAATCTCTCCGGCGCCGCAACGATTTGGAAGGCACTGAACCTCCCAGACTCAGAAAAGGTGGTCTGGGAGACTCAGATGTGACCATTTTTGAGTATCGAAACCGATGACTGGGAGATCTCCCCCATGACCTACAAGTCGTGAGGCCCACGATAGCGTTCAGTTGGTGCCAATACCAGTAACTCCAATAACTCTGGTTTATGGATGTTTATGGTACTTATAACGAACTAGTTACTGGGGCGAATCTAAACCCACTTATAACTGGGGGACCTCACATTGTAGGAAACTTCCTAGGCAAATCATGGAAAATCTTGATCCTGGCACGGCCACCGTGATCACCGTAAAAACGAGTCCATTGAAGTTGCCATGGAAAACACGGACGCATCATTTGGGTATGAGAATTATGATATAAGTCACACACTTCTACTTGGTTGATGAAGATGATTATACGATATCATACTATGACTATAGCATATTAATGGTTGCTGGGTGACCATTCATGTCTGCAAACCACACATGGTATGGAATGGATATCAGTTGCCAACACCAACGAACATGTACAACTAACATGAATATACTTCATACACATAGTTCAGGGGTGACTGAATATTTCTGAGAATTTTAAGTAATAGCTATGGGTCAAAATGGATGGTTTAAGCCTTTGGAATGATTTGGTGAATTCAGTTGGTACCCCGTCGTTTTGTGACCCAAAGCGTGTCGTAGTGACATCACCCATGAGGATTTTGGAACCTTTTAGTTCGATGATATACCGAGACTTAAGTGATGGCTTCATAGCATGAAAAATGTCCAACTCTTAAACCAGCCGATGCCGAGATGGAGGTGTCCTATGTTTTTTTTAGCTATAGGGCTACTCCCACGACTATCATCCACTATGATTTCATATCCATGAATCTTACTGGAAACCCCCATATGTCTCCGCTATTTTGATAGGTTTTTCTATTTTCCAAACCATCCATTTCTGTCTCCGCCCTTTGGCTCCAGCTGAGCCATGTGGGGCGTACCGTGGGGACCGGGACCATGGCCCGGGCTCCGCGGAAGCTTCGCCCGCGCTGGGGGCGTCCAAGTCGACCATGAAGCGAAAAGCGCCCAGGAATCTGGTGCTCACCGTGCTGCTGCGCATCTTGCCTCTGGTTCCCTGGACTTTATTATGATTGGGATTTCTGTATACAAAAAAAAACATGATATTTCTATATACATGATCTAAATACAATATACAGTATACATGTTTCTCAATATGACTCAATATATAGCATCATAATTTATAGCAGCATATTATAACTATGGTTATATATATATATACATATATATTTTAGGGGATATTGATGGCTTAGGCTTATGGTGATCCTGACCAGTT